ATATAGACGCCGGCCAACGTTTAGAAATTCACAGACATCTGATAGGGGCGACTGCCATTCTACAATTGGGTCCTCTCCCACGTTTATATGCAACTACGTCGCTTGCAGCCTACGCCTGGCCAAATTTGACTGTCAACGCACGGTTCAAAAATTTCAAACCGTGGACCGACGGTTGGCCAGACCCCCCCCTTCTGGTACGGTAGTAGAGGTTTCCTGCCAGAATATGACGGAAAGAGCAGGTTGCTGTAGTGGTGTAGTCAAGTCACGCTTTCCGCGCTTTCTGCTTTCAAACAAGGAAAGAGCGCATACCACGCACTAGTCAAACATCTGCTTCCATTGGTGCACAGCTCTGTCCTGCTTGCCATTGAGTGTTGGATTAGGTGACCGCCATGAAACTGTAAGAATTCGAAATGCATCATTAAGTAAGGTAGGGAAACTGGTGATTTCACCATGATATTAAGGCCCCTCCAAGCAGGATACACAGCCCTGTGGCGGCCAGAACCCCGACGACCTCCCTCAGGGTGCCCTTTCCCTTCCTACCCGGCGCACTGTTCTTGGACGCGTTGCTCGGCGTTGGAGATGGCGAGGCGGTCCTTAGCAGACCGGTTGGGGTAAAGGTGGTCTGCTGGGCGGCGACGCCCGTGACTCCGGTCGGCAGGCTGCTGCCCTGGGCCGACAGCTCGATGATCGTTTGGCCGGTGCTGTTGAGGTTGGCCTGGGCGATTCCGATCTGGTGGTGCGTCAAGTCGTAGACGACGTAGGCGCTGCGCAGGAACGTGTCGCCCAGGAGGGTGAAGTTGAGCCCGCCTGCGTCCTCGATCACTGCCGTGCTCTGGATTCCGAAAACGCACGGGCCGGATTTGAAGTGTGCCGTGGCAGCTGATGACGCCGATGATGGTGGGAGGATGTCGAGGACTAGTTCCCAGACGGGCACCGAGATCCGCGCCTCCCCAGTTGATGAAGGAAAGGTAAACATCAGCTTCAACCCGGGATCTGACGTCAGGTATCCGCAGTCGATCAGCGTCATGCGCAGGTCCGGGTCAAAGACGGCGCCCAGCGCCGAGTACAGGCGCGAAGTAATCTCGTCCGGCAGGTAGGACAGGGTCGTGCCCGAGTCTAGCACGGCCGGGACCGGGTGGTCGAGGATCGATGTCTGCATATCCACACTGGCGGTGCCATTGGTATGGGCGAGGGAAACGGCAGTAAAGTTGACTTCAAAGGAGGAGTAGTCGTTGTCGTCGTCGCCCCCTGGGGGCTTGTATAGAGGGAGGATCTTGAGGGGCCCGATGAACTTGTCCGTGTCTATGCCGCCAAAGAGGATGCTGCCGGCATCGGTGCGCCGGTCGTTGAGGTAGAGCGAGTAGGCCTTGCAGCTGATTTTGCCCTGGTTGGTGAGCTCGTCCATGATATTGGGGTACTTTGTGCTTGCGCGCTCGCCGCTGCTGAAGCCAAGGCCCATGATGCCGGTGCCCCTGACGGCCTGGGTGACGTAGGCCATTTGCAACGACTTGATGGTGGTGCCCCCTATGCTGAAGTCGTCGGATATGTAGTCCCCCGATGCGGTGCCGCCGTCCAGGTAGACAATCTTGAAGCCGTGGGGCGTGACCAGCTTGTTGGTTGAGCTCTTGGAAGGGTCGTACGTGTCGGTGCACGTCATCCCGTAGAGGTCCTGCAGCTCCTGGTCGGTGCAGAGGTTTGCCTTGTAGCTCAGCACCCACGTGTCGCTGCTCCCTGTGTCCAACAGCATCGTCATGGTCTGCCCAGGCGTCCCCACCTTGACCTGGGTAAAGTAGCCACCCCCTGCGATGCTGTTGATAAGCTGCTCCGAATATGTCGAGCGGCGAGACAACGTAGGTACACCGCCGCCGCGCGCACCGGGCGCCCCTTTGGTGACATTGAACCGGACAACGCTTTGCGATGACACGTCGGAAGCTAGAGCAAGCAACGCAGCCCAACCGAGTCTCATTTCAGCTGTCCTTCAAACCCTAAAAGAGATGCCTTGATTCTCGTCTCGTGGGCGTAGCTCTCTATTTCTTCAACCCGGCCGTCCAAACACGGAGGAGCTGAGCGTCGACGGCAGCAACCGGAGCGGGCGGAAGCGGTCTGGTAGCAAGCAGGAAGACTGGCCGGGAAATGTTCACGACATTATTTTACGGTGAAATAGTTTTCCAATTCGATTCCCCGCCAAGGGCGAACTTGAGGGAATGTGAGGGTTTGCACAGTCTGGATCAGCCTGCAATATCAACCAACATCAAAGGAGAAAAGGGGTAACCCGCGCTGGGCCAAGACGACGAGTTGAAGCCGGGCATGCAAAGTTCAAAGGTCGCCCAACAAAACATCTTTGCGAAGGAGAAGCTTGTCGGCCGCGCGCCAACTCGGTTCCGAGCTGGCATTTTTAAAACATTCTCCTTTCCCAAGAGCACCTTGGCGTTCGGGCTTGGAGCGGCGTCGGGGTTTAGACAAGAGTCTGGGCATGGCTCCTCGGCAGAGGTTGGCGACGAACGAAAAGACAATCCGACAGCATCATAGCTTGGCGCCCAGGCTGATCAGCGCCTTTTGTTTTGTGGTTGAAAAGAATGGCTTGGGCTGACGGTGTCTGGGACTCTGGGCAAGTCTTGGTGGTCCGATTGTCTTTTTTTTTTGTTCCCGTTCCCCCCTTTTTTCTTTACAGTCTAACCTGCACAAAAGAATCAGGTCCGGAACGCTATTTTTGATTCTTATACCCAGGTTATTCCTAATGCCAGGGTCCATACATAACCCTAACCCAGGCCAAAAGTTGCCCAAATCGGGGCCAAAATGCCAATTTTCAGGGTCAAATGCTCGGTCCCCCAGCCCCAGTCGGGGGTTCAACTATACTTTTGCCCACCTGTATATAAGAACAATCCTGACTTTGTATGGGTTACTAAGCAAGATTCGTAAGAATAATTCCAATGCCTAGGTTATTCTTATTTGCCATACAAATCGCTCGGGAACCCCGATTTTGATGCTTATACCCAGGTTATTCCTGTGTTTCGTATTCTTTTGTGCAGGTTAGACTGTATTTTGTTTTGTCTTCCCTTTACGATTAACGTGTGTATGTTTGCTGTGGTGGGCTAGCATGTAGCGAAGGCTAACTAGATCCTATAATTAACTTACATGCATACGGAGTACGGCATTTTGTGCTGTTAGGTAGTACTTATCTTTAGCCAGTCTACGATCGGTCAAACGACAAGATGGATGGCCATGATGCCAAGTCCAAAGCGGCTCCTCAAGAAACTTGGGAGGTCAGATAAACCGAGCAATGCTCTGGAAGTTGCTCCGCATTGGGCCTGCTTTGACTGTCCACACGTGTACCGACGATGTGGGGGAAGGTTGCAGTGCATGCAGCGAAAGATGGCTGTAAATACATTACATACAACTGTAGTTCCGGATACTGTATTCGGTATGTGTGTATTTTACATTACCGTCCAAACCTGACAGCCGAGGAAAGCAGCAAATGCCCCGACTAACAAATTTCTCAACGTCAAATTGCGCTCCGTTTTCGGCACTGCAACAGTACCGGTAGCACCGCAGCACTGCAGCCTCGCAGCCTTCTGCTCCTTCGCTCCATGGTCTCCTGTTGGCCTCTGCCGCGCGCCTTGGTCCTCCCACGTTCCAGGCCTGCCGAGTGCCCAGTGACTTGGCTCCGGTCTCAACCGTCCACCCCGGAACGTTGAGCCTATTCGCCAGACGCACACATCAGGCCATAATGAGCTGGGCCAAGACATTCGGCCTCGCTCTGCTGTGCCCGCTACGAGAGAGAGCGACATCAAAGCAAGCACCAACCACCTAACGTTATTAGTGTAGATATATGCACGGTAACTACATACGCGAGTATATGTATGTACGATACACTCCTGATAGCCAAAAAGGGTGATGGGCTTTCCATCTCACCAGCGAAGTACACGAGTCGAGCAGTCACTGCTTGGAACATCGGATTGAGGGACATCCAGCAATACAACGCATCAACGCTTTACAAAACCTAAGGTAAGCGCGGAGTGGGCAGGGACGAGTAGCAATGGAAAATCCGCAGGTCCAGTTTCATCTATTAGGTGAGCACCGTTACTTCAAAGCTGTGGAGCATTTCGTAAACAACGGTCATGTCGCTGACTCGCTAACAACGTTACAACCCAGCACACTCTTGAGTACTGTACTTGTACATATCCATAGCAGAGGCTCCGGGAACCAGCTCATCACACTGTCTTCGAGCTCTGTTCTCGGCCTAGCCACACGGGATGTTGCAGGAGCAGCAGCATTTCGAATCCTTGTGGTGCAGTGTTGTGTAGGTGTTGAGAAGGGCAAGATGGGTACTGCGCATGGGCCATGCCCCGCGTACACTTGGTGTTGCCCCGGCTCAAATATCCGGAGGTAATTTTCATAATACATGTACCGTAACTACTTTATGTGCTGTTCGTAGTGTAAGATATGTAAACAGCTTGGTACACTGCTTTCGTGCTTGCAACCTTGGTGGAACTCATGGTGAGATTACTAAGTTACGGAGGTTGGGGCCAAAAGTTTTCGTCAGCTAGAGCTAGTGCCAAGCCTGTCAACGTGTGAGAAGCGAAACGGAAGACAGATACACTGTATTTTATATAGGAATACTAGCGTTCCCTCGGAGATTCCAGGCAAGTGGGCACTGAGGTAGCCCTGTAATTGGCCCTACCGGTGGGTTTGACTTTAGTGGATTACAGTGAATGGTTGTAGGTGGCTTGGCTAATATGTGCCAACCATACTGTTTGCGACCTTGGCAGTCTTGGCAGGAGGAATGTGACGAAAACTTTTGGCCCCAACCTCCGTACTTCCAGGTTGTATTGTCATGACTAAGGTACTGTACATTACAGGAATAATACTCTACGGGCGTTTTCATGCCAAGCCCGCCAAACCACATTTGGCAAACGGCGTCTGCAGCGAAGGGGACACCGCTGTGGATGAGGGGGAGAGTGCGATACACTAATACACACAAGTCCTACAGAGTACAACCCAACAATTCGAATGCTCCTTTTACAACTCGCACGGCAACCCCCGGGCACCTAACTTTTTTCACGACTTGCCGGCTTGTCGGCCAAACGTCACCTCGACCGTGCTTTCCTCCGCACTCACCTCTCGCTGGCCCCGGTCAAAGCAGCAGGAATCATAGGAAGAAGAATGCCTTGCGTGCCACAGATCCGTCCCTCCGGCCGTTTATTCGCGTGTCACCTCGCTTCCACCGGAAGCTGATTGTTAAAAAGAAACACAAAAGAAGGGATTAGGGGACAAAATGCATCCTTCGATTGTCGACACGAGCATAATCGATCTGCTCGAGGCCGATCCGCGACCTTCCTTCATTGTTGCCCTGGCACCACATCCCCCGACTGTAGTCTACACGAACCGGGCCTTCGCGGGGTATCCAGAACTCCTAGAACTTATCACGACCAGGAGGGACGATTCCCAGCACCTCTGGGAATGGATCACTGGTTTTCCCTCGTCGTCGGCCCCTCAGGAGCCGGCCACGACCGGTAGCGTTACTTGCTCGTCCTTCTCATATTCGAATGTCTATTGGACCCGGTCGGTTGTTCACGAGCAGATGGTGGTTGTGGGCGCAAACGAGCAGAGGAGCTCGTCAGAAATGCCGGCTAGGCTGCCGCCCGACGCCGAGGCCCGTCGGAGCAGCAGTGTTCCCTCGCCGAGACGCATACTCCCCATTGATGGTGACGTGGCAGGCCTCGCTTCCGGGCCCTCGAGCCCCTGCCCGCCCTCACCCGTATCCGACCGCCGCGCAAAGTCCAGCCCAGCAGTCCCAGCAGTCCCGGTAGTCACCTTGGCGACAAATCACAGGGAGAGGCCCCCCTCTCGGACAGAAGCCGTCCAGTCTCTAGAACCCATCGGCCGGTCCGTGTCCGATCCCGGGTGGATACTCCCAGATACCAAGCCGGGTAAGTGGCTTTGCCTTCGGTCTCAACAGGCGCCGCCGTCCGGATGGCCGCATTGTACGACAGAAATGCTAACCGGCAGAATCAAGAGCTACGTCCCTTCTTGGATGTAATCAACAGCGTCGACTGGGAGGCAACACCGCTGGGTGCTATGCGGACCTGGCCGCGAAAGCTGAAGGAGACCATCAATCAGATTTTGGTCGACAGTCGTCCAATTGCCGTCTATTGGGGCCCTTCCTACACCACCGTCTACAATGAAGCATTCAGCCAGCTTTGCGGCGCCAAACATCCAGCAATGCTCGGCATGCCTGTCGAAGAAGCCTGGAGTGAAGCGGGACAGCGTCTGAAGGACATGATGAGCAGCATCTCCCCGCACCAAAGGGGTGGCGTCGAGGATGAATGGCGGTTTTTCGTCGAGAGAGAGCCAGAAGTCGAGGGCGGTCCGCCTTGGCTAGAGGAGACGTATCTGAAATGGTCCATCATACCCATTGTCGAAAACAACCAGTGTCTTGGGTTTGTACATCCTGTCGCCGAGACGACAAGTTTGCGGCTTTGGGAGCGCAGGATGAAAATGCTCATTGAGCTTGGCGAGGTGCTGGTCACGGCAAGGGATGTCAAAAGCTACTGGGAGAAAGCCATTCAGCAGCTGGGCGCCGTCGAACCACGCTATGATATCCCCTTGGCAATTCTATACACTGTTGAGGAAGACCCAGACGCCATACCCGCCACGCCCCCAGTGTCTGGCAATTATGCCAAGATTTGCCGTCTAGCCGGGGTGCTGGGCGTTCCCGAAAAGCATCCCATTGCGCCGGATTCGCTTAACTTGCGGACCGGTAACGAGCCCCTAGCGCACTTATTCAGGGAGGCGATGGCAACCAAGTATCCTCTGTTGCTGCAGACGAGCGACGGGACCCTACCACAGACGCTCCTCGAAGGACTGCAGTGGAGAGGGTTTGAAGGGGACCCTTGCCGAGCTGTTTTGATCTGCCCGATACGACCGACCAGGGAGGAGAACGTAATGGGGCTGCTCGTTCTTGGCCTCAATCCCAGACGCCCGTATGACAACGACTACCGGCAGTACATCTCTCTGCTGAACCAGAAGATGGCGACGTCTTTAGCGTCGATCGTGCTGCTCGAGGAGGAGGCTCGAAGAGGTAGGAATGCCGCCGAGCAAGCTGCGTACGACCAGGCCATGCTCCAGGAGAAGTTGGCGGTGCAAACCAAGGAGGCAAACGAGTCGATCCAAATGTTTGAAGCCGTGGCCGAGTTCGTGCCGGTCGGTATGTGCTTCGGTGACCCGGAGGGCAACCTCACATACGCCAATGATGCCTGGCACAAGATCACGGGCTATCCGGGAACCGGGACGATTACGAATCAGAGTTTTCTGTCGTGCGTCAAGGAGGAGGATCGGCCGCTCATTATCGCCGAGTACGAGAAGCTCAAGACGGCGCGTAATGTTCAGTTTGAGTTCCGTGTCAAGCGACAGACCAACTTGGAGAATCCCTCGGCTCCGTCTCACACCTCACCGAGTTTTGAAAAGGCCGGACTAGACCTGCTCTCAGTTGGGGATTTGCAAGAACGTCATGTGCTGGCAACTGCCAGGGCCGAGTGCGCCGCGGACGGGAGTGTAATTCGCGTCTTGACGTGTCTGACGGACGTAACGGCGCACAAACGGGCGGCCGAAGAGGCGGTGCGGCGCGCCCAGCAGGCCGAAAACCTCAAACGCATGGCCGAATACGCCACGGTCGGGCTGTACGATATGGACCTTGACGGGCGACTGCTCGGGGCCAACACCGTCTTCTTTGAGATGTGCGGGCTGCGAAAAGTCGATCCTGCTGAAGTGGAAATCAGGCCGTGGCAGATGTGTGTCCGCGAGGACGACTTGTCGCTGCTTACCGACAAGCTTGAGAAGATGGTGCTTGAGGACAAGGTGCAGACCGTCGAGGTCAGGCTCAACACGACGTGGGTGGCTGATGACGGTTCAGGGCACACGGTCGTTCTGCCACGCTGGGTTCAGGCAACCTTGATGCCCGTCCGAACGACGGAGGGCGTCATACAGAGCTTCACGGGCTCTTTTAGCGACGTGTCGCTGCAGAAGTGGCAATTGGACTGGGAGAAGGAACGCAAGGAAGAGGCCATTGAGTCCAAACGGCAGCACGAAAACTTTATCGACATGACGTCTCACGAGATGCGCAATCCGCTAAGCGCCATCATTCATTGCGCAGATGCCATCACTGCCACGCTTACGCGAGTCCAGGAGCTCCTCGGGCACGGCATCTACGGCGCTGGAACCGGCGTTTCTGGCAAGGCGCTGGGGGGCGGCGTATCCTCGGTGACTAACCTGGCTGACGACTGGCGCACCGAAGTGCGTGACCTTATCGAGAGCAGCATTGACAATGCCGAGACCATTGTCAGTTGCGCACAGCACCAGAAGCGCATCGTCGACGATATCCTGACCATGTCCAAACTGGACTCTAATCTGCTTTCCATCACGCACATTACGGTTGATCCTATCCGAATTGTTCAGGAAGCCCTCAAGATGTTTGAGGTGGAAGCTCGGCGAGTAGACATCAACTTGAGCATGGTGGTCGACGCGTCTTATCGCGCCCTCAACATCAGATATCTTGATTTTGATCCGTCGCGGCTGAAGCAGGTCCTCATCAACCTGCTCACCAACGCGCTCAAATTCACCAACACCGGCCCGACACGAAACGTCTCGGTAGGCATTAGTGCGAGCCTCACGCGCCCAACCGAGGCCACGAGCAAAGTGCAGTTCATCCCGCGATCAACGGAAGCCTATGACGCGGGACACGACCAGCCGGCTCCCCAGAACCGTCAGCACCCGGTCTTTTTGATGTTCGAGGTCAAGGACACTGGCCAAGGCCTGACAGAAGAGGAAATGAAGAGTCTCTTTCAGCGGTTTGTGCAGGCCACGAGCCGCACGCACATCAAATACGGCGGCTCCGGGTTGGGCCTCTTCATTAGCCGCCGCCTGACGGAACTGCAGAACGGCGCCATTGGAGTGGCCAGTCAGCCGGGTGTTGGCAGCACTTTTGCCTTTTACATCGAGGCTTACCCGCCGAGCGAGGCAGCTTTCCGCAGTGCCGAGGCCGGTGAGGTGGCCAGCGGGCCCCTGTCTGCTCTGCGGGTCACGCCGCCGGGCTCAAGCGGAGGTCGGGTGCCCGCTGAGCGTACCGTTAGTAGCAGCACGCTGAGCGAGGCTGCCAGCGTCACGAGCAGCAGCTCGGCACTTGTCTCCCCTGTTACAAACAAGGGCGAGACGCCCATGAGCAGCGAGATAAGCGTGTCTCCACTAGCGTCGTCGGCATCCAAGATCAATGGCGTGCTGGTTGTCGAGGATAACCTCATCAACCAACAGATCACAAGACGGGGGTTGATCAATATGGGTTTCACCGTTGATGTGGCAAATCATGGCGTTGAGTGTCTGGAAAAGCTACGGCTGACAGATCGATTTGTCCCATCTACCAAGGAGCGGACCGGGGAGGCCGAGGAAGTGTGTTCCAAGGACGCCACCTCTGCCTGTTCAGATAATCGAACCCACGATGCGGACATGGCGTCCCCAGGAACGGTGCAAGCGCAGAAGTCACAGCAGGCCTCTCCCTTCCCGCTATCAATGATCCTAATGGACATTGAGATGCCGGTCCAAGACGGCTTGACGTGCACGCGTCACATCCGGGAGCTGGAGAGGGCGGGCAAGATCACGGGTGGGAGGATCCCGATTATCGCGGTTAGTGCCAACGCGAGGATGGAGCAGATCTTGGAGGCCAAAGAGGCGGGCTGTGACGACGTCCTGGTGAAGCCTTACCGGATGCCCGAGTTGCTGGAGCGGATGAGGACGGTCATGGAGCGTGTGGCTAGCGGAGGGAGCGAGCATGAGCATGAGCATGAGCATGCGAGTGCGGATGGAGGGAATATGTAGTGTAAGCGAGGCGTTGTGTTTCGTTCGGTCAAGGGCTGTGCGGATAGATAGGTTCGGATACCCCCACCTCCCCTTCTCTCCCCTTTTCTTGTGGATGTCGTTGTACGGATAGTACTCTTGAGCTTGATGGGGCTGGTGGCTGGATTCTTCCCCGGATGGTTGGATGCGTGCATAGCATAGCATGGCATGGCATGGCATGGCATAGCGGTGTAGACATATGAATAACTGAAGACTTATGATGTTGGTCGAATCTTGTGGTTACATACCATGGCGCTTCCAGTGGTCGCCCGGTCTACATCACACACCTGCAGTACCTAGTACTTTGGGAGAGCCAAGGAGCTGGGCACCGGAAGAATTTCAGCATGTGCGTGAGGTTGCAGAGGGGGTTAGTGGTTCGCTACCTGTGTATCCGGCCCTGCATTGGTGTGCTGCCGAAGAATGAAGCTTTCACGGTCCGGACTTGTTTGGCTTTCTTGCATTCGTCCGTTTGGGTTACAGTATTGGTGTGACCAGGGATATGCCCGATGGGGTCGGATTGTCGCCCGCAGCTTCTGTGGCTTCGAGCTTCGAGCTTCGAGCCCGGCCAGTCGGGCAATGATGTCTAGTGTAATATGCGCATCATGCATGGGAGATTCTGTGCCTTAGCTGACTTACTACACAGTACAATGGCTTTCTCAAAGGTTAAGCTTAAGCTTGCGTCATCGATAATGGAGACGGAGTTCATGTCTTCGCTCTTCGACAGATTGGTCGTATGCATGTGCAGTGCACTGTATCTCCCTTGAGAGATAGGTAGCTACTAGGTACTCATAGTAGTAGTCTAATCAGGGGGGTTAGAGATGAGCACGCCATTTTCCCCTTGACAGCTTCGGTTGTTAAGCAGGGGAGGGAAGGTGGAGGTGGACGAGGGGGGAGTTGCCCTGTTAGGGTCACACTTGATCTACGAAGAGAAATCACTTACAGGAAGGGCCTACCCCTGACTTGGTGGTAGGTCCGGATGCAGGTCTCGGAGTTGTTGAGTTTGGACGGTTCGTGGGGTGTTGCAAGTGTACTCCGGAGGTGCGGTCTTACACTACATACTCGGGCCATTCTTATAATTATATTCGGGGCATATTTACATTTTCGGTGCATTGTTTATATATACCTGCGTGCGTTCCCTTCAGCACTTTCAAATTGCTGACTTGAGACGAACACTTATTTCCAGCTTCTAAGGATCAGTTCTAGTGAACGGGACACCCGGCGGTGCATACACTTACCGGAATCAGATCGTCAAAACCAAAGAAACGGTGGGTAAACATGGAGAGCTACGGCCAGAAACCCCGGGTCTACCGCACCGCTATGTTCAAGGTGCCAGAACCAGAGAAGCAGGAAAAGCTACTCGAGGCGCTCCGGGTGTTTGCGAGGAGTCAGGCTAGGGTATGTTGAGTTTCCACCTCCCGAGTCATCAGCTACACATTATTAGATCCAGTCTCTCTGGCAGTCCGAGTTGTTCTAACCAAGACTTCCCGCTTCAGGACGGAAAACCATATATCCTTGAGCAAGTGCCCTTTCTGTTCCCTCTTGGTCCTATCCGCATCTAACTCCCCATCCAGCATACACGCCGGCCTAACCAAGGACGAAACGCGAGCAAAAGGGTACACGGTTGTGGCGCAAACTTTGTTTGCCAACCGCGACGACATGGAGTACTACGACAACGAGTGCCCAGCGCATGCCAACCTTAAGAAAGTCGCGGCGGGGCTCGGGCTTCCTGAGCGGCCGCTCATAGTGTACTTTGAAGAGTGAGAGACAGGGGACTGAATTCGGGGGGTTAGCATAGATTATCATTATTCTTCAAGAACGAAGCAGATGAAGTACTTGACCATGAGCTTGTAACCTCAGTCAGGACAATCAAATCAAGAAACAACCAAACATTATAATCCATCACACACTCCCTCCACGCTCACGCTCCACCTTACTCCTCAACCCTTCCACCCAGGCATCAAACCCCCCTAGCAACTGGCTTCCCACTGCAAGCCTCACCACAGGAGCCAAGACGCCGTAGAAAGTCTCCCAGGTGCGGTACTCGGTTTGGGTCCCATCGACCTCGACAAGCTCCTGCACCCGCTCGGAGCGGAGCAGCCACGCGGGCAGAAGCAGCCCGTTGCGTTGCCGCCAGGCCACCCGCCATCCCTTATGGCCCGAGGAAGAAGAGTCGTGGATGGGCTCCAGCACACTGACCTCGAGCGGTGTGGGCCGTCCGGAGGCTCCGGTTTCGGGCGAGCTTGGGTCCATGTGCACGTCAAAGGTGAATTTGGTGCCTAGGCGTAGTACAGACGGGTCGGGTGGTGATTGAGAGCCTGGCTCGACTGGTCCATCTGGCTGGGCGTCGATGGTGCATTTTCTGCAGAACCGGTTCCAGGACGGGTCTTGTTTGGTTAGTAAGGTGAGTGAGGGGAGGTGTGTAAGTAATTTGGGGGGATGTTTTGAAAGGGGGGAGAGAGATGGGCTTATCGAGAAAGACATACAGTCAGATGCCCTGAGCAACACATCGAGACATGACTTTGGGGTTCCCGGTATGCGCGCCGTGCAGATTACGGAAAAAGACCCGCCCGGCCCGAAGGTCAGGGTCGGGAGCGGCGGAGCTAGGCTTGCGGGAGAAGAAGTCTCCCCGGAAGAGGCGGTCGTCATGATCTTCACACAATTGGGTTGAAGTTGCCAGCGTAGGTTTGTATAGGACTCCTTTGTGCCTGGTCTATGTCAAGCCAGCTTGCAACATCTAGGAAACAGCCAAGGATGACCAACAAGTTAGTCCCTTCCAGTCTTGGGAGTCGGTGACAAGCTGGGCCCGGAACACAACAATCACAGCCTCACAGGCAGTGACCACTGACCACTGCAGCGATCGCCTGGGGTGATGTTCATGGACCCTAACCCCCAGCAAGCTACTACGACTCATCTGTTAGTGCAGCGAAAATTTTGTATGCAAAAATCGTCCTCTCGACTACCCCTCGTAACAGAGCTACATGTTCGTTCCCGAGGCTACAGGACATTCGAGAATCTAAGTTACTGGCAGGAGCCCTAGGTATCCGCTGGCCCTGAATATTCTGGGCATGCAGACAAGGCAAGTATGTAGGATACCAAATTGCAGCTGAGCGCTGACATGCAGCGCAATAACATGCGTGCAACAGGCAGCGGAATACCACAGTACTGTGGCACGTTCAGGGAGCTTCAGTTGTGTCCAGCGAGGAGCTTGAGTATGAGTATGACACCAAACGTGCGACGCCTTTCAGACGGGTGGTTTCAGAATTCTGGATTCCTATCGATGCATTTACTATGTCAAGTCCATTATCTGGCTTTCTCTGCGTCTGGCCCCGGCCCCGTGTAATCAGACATTCTGATTCCACGATCCACACCTACGGCGGCGATGACACGACGACTCTATGTCTCCCTGCTGCATCTGGAAGCACGCTACGATTCTTGTAAGCCTCCTCACAGCTTCCCGCATGGCACATGGTTAGCTTGATGTTATGAAGCACTTGGAGTGACTTAGGTAGGCCGCCCACTGCAGATATTCTTGGGAGCAAGCAGTGACTCTTGGTACAAGTACAACAGGCCGGATCTATCACAGCCAGCCCCTTAGATTCAGGGTACCGCACCTCGTGTCGAGCTGGACAGCATAGATGACGGCAAACTGGTGCCGGTGTATGACCGTGAAGTTGTCCTAGAACTAGTCAGCGGTACAAAACCATGTATGTGACTGCTTGGGAGCGAAGGGGATGTAATAAATATCGTGCATTAGCCACCACCTTTCCACTCCAAACTCATTCCATATTGTCAACTCATCTGGAATGGCATTTGATATCTCGCCCTTCTTATGTACCCCTGAACTGCGCCCTAAGAACATGGATACGAGTCAGCTGCAGCCAAGCCCGCGTCCCCTTTACGGCGCTTACGATGATAACGACGTGCTGGTCATCTATGAATATCTCAGACTTGAGGCTGCAATAGGGGCTTACTTGAAGGACAGGTTAAAGCTGGAGGACGCGCCGGGACGGCGGATTCTTCCCGATCACGATGCCTGGGCCAGGTACGATATTGCAAGAGGGCCATCGGCACCCTCCCCGGGTTGCCCGCATGCGATCAACCCCAACAACAAGATCTTGAAGAACAAGGACTACGACGACGAGAACAGAGACAACGCGACAATGGTGGCAACAGTGCGCCAGTACTAGCCAAAATCACTGCCTGGAACCCTCCTGGCGGTACAAAGCCATTCACCATATTCTGGCAAGAGCCCTCTTCACGGCCATCGACTTTGGTTCCTTCAGCGAGTACGCCCTGCTGCCGCCATCCATGATTGCCTTTTGGCGGAAACTGCCCAGGTCGGACTGGAGCTGGGCGACATGCAAGGTTAGTTTAGATTCTTTACTAGTAGTACCTTCTGCCCCTTCCCTTCTGTTGAAAGCGCCTTTTTTTTCTTCTTCTTCTTGCGCGAGGGAATACGTAAGAGTCAAGGTTTGCTAACAAGACGATTCTGGGCGTTTACGTATTGTGTCTAGCATTACGGAAATGGCAACGCTCCTGCAATGCCCTCCCAGGCCTCAAACCTCGAACCATCCAAGTTGAACGTGAACAACAACCTGAACAGCCTTCAAGCTCCTCAAACTCCTCCCGCTCCCGTTCCCGCTCCCGCTCTCGGGAGACTCGGAGATTACCTGCAGCAGTACTTCAAGTGGTGCGGGCACCACACGCCATCATACCACAGGTCCTGAAACTGCGGGATCTGCTCTGCAAAGTCCTACCAGTAGTCGCCTGCACGCCACGTCCACCCCCTTGGGCCGGTATCTTCAGCCGCAGGAGCAGGGAGCAGCAGCAGCGCGAGGCTGAGCTCAAGGTCAAGGAACTCGAGGACCTGATCTGGGCCACTGCAAGGCTCGGCTACACCATCCTTTCACACCCTTGTATCTGGGCCTTCAACTGGCACGACCCAGGGATGATGCTTCAAATGCCTCGCCTGCTAAAATATCCCAATGCATCGGGCGAGAGCGAGAGCGATCGTCAGCCTGAGCCTATAGAGGTGCCTATTACCAGAGTATTCGAGTGCGGGACTTCGATGGTTCAACTACTCAATCCCTACGGTTCAAGTTCTGTTGATGTTGGCGAGGTTGGTTAGTAGGATTCCGGTGGTGTGCTGGCTCGCCGACTTCAAGCTTCGACGCGTTCCAAGGAATGTGTCCTAAGATCACGCCATGCAGATGGGCAAGCCGCCTGATGCTACATAGTCACAACAGGCTGTCCGGCTTTGCCGCGAGCATACTTAGGCCGCTATGCCTTGCAGTACTAGAATAGATACATGTGTTATGGACCGATTGCGATGCAATGAATTAGGTACAGTTATGAAAAGAACAAGTCAGAAATGAGGCGCTCAAAGCGACCGCATGTGCTGTCCGCCAACCGAGGAGGGAGGGGTATCAAACTGTCTGAAGAAAAATAAACACAGCAATAATGCTCAGAGTGTACAGTGTGGCTGGTTTCCACTTGTTACTCAACCTGGTAAGGAGGTGCCGGTACGCAAGACCAATGCTGCGCAGAGGTGTGCCGAGTATTGCTGTCTTACTTGGTCTCCGCGGTCTTGGGCTCCTCGACCTTAGTTTCCTCCGTCTTGGTCTCCTCCGCCTTAGTTTCCTCGGGAGCTGCCGCCTCGGCAGTAGCGGCCGGTTGCACAGCGGCAGCTTTAGGTTCAGCCGCAGGAGCGGTAGCGGCCGCATCAGGCTGCCAAACAGCCTCGACGATGCTCATCCGGCAGCCCTCAGGTCTCCGGACACCCTGGTAATCCATGTCAGCACTGGCAGGTTTTGGGTAGGAATCAAGATAACACTCACCTTAAAGACAAAGCCGTCCCCGGCAGCCTTGAAAAGATCTTTGAACTCGGCCTCGGTACGCTCCTGCGCGTTCAGGAGCGCAAGCATGACGGCATCCATGCGGCGCATGACCCGCTCGTCCCATGGGTTCTCCTGGCCTGGCTCTCGCAGGCAGTGGTCGTTGATGATGATGCGCGCCCCAGGTTTGAGAGCAGGGATCAGGTTCTTGAGGATTCGGACGGCATAAGGAGTCGAGTAGTTGTGGATGATCCAGCGGAAGTAGTAGACTGTTTTGGCAAGGATTTAGTCCATACCGAAACTTGATCGCTATTCCCACGCCACCAGAGACTTACCGTCAGCACCCTTGATCGGCTGCTCCGTGAAGAAGTCGTGAGCCAGCATCGTGATGCGCTCGGCGATCTGAGAATCTGCGCTGATGGGCTTTGGCGCACTGTCGACCGTCTTGGGCAGATCCTGGACCACGAACTTCATGTTCCTGTACTTGGCAGCCAAGTCGACGCACATGAAGCCGTGAGACCCGCCAATGTCGACAAAGGTCCCGCCAGCCGCATCGACGTCAGTCAAGTCGTAGCCGCCCTTGTCGACATCGACAAAGTACGAAGGCTCGTACCCCTCGCCGCCTGTCAGGCTGGCCATGGCGCGACCCATGCGGCGAGCCCATTCCGGGTCCTTACCAAAGGTAGCAAACATGGGTTCCTTATCGACCGTGTCAAAGGCGAACTGGAAGCCGGTGCGAGTCAGCGACGTCGCTTCGGGATACGTCTTGAGCGCCTGCACGACATGGCCCGAGGCTCTGAAGATGTCTTCGCCGTTGAAGCCAACCCAGGCCTGCATGTTTTCGTCCTCTGCTAGCACGCGGGATGCGGCCGTGTGAGCAATCACGCCCGGTTTGGGTTCACAGAAAATGCCATTGGTCATGGCAAGGCGGAGCAGGCGAGCGAGGTTGATGGGGTCCAGAGTTGTTTTGGTCTGGAGTTCGGCGAGGGTAATGGACGAATCGACGGGGACAAGTTTGGCTACAAGCATCGTAGGTTAGACAAGAAAGCCAGAACGCCGTCAGCAGCCCATGGGCCACTGCCAAGACGTACCAATGCCATAGTGATTGAGGGTAGTAAGTGCCATCACGTCCAGGAACTTGAGCAGTCGTCAGTATCGCATCATGATGTTTCTGGGACGTCGAGCAGTAAATGGCACCCACCTCCCAGATGCCCCACCTCACCGACTCACGGGGGCCGTGTGCCAGCAAGCCGAGTTCCTTGGTCGCGCAGATGATCTCCCGTCTGCTCTTCTGAATGTCGTCTGGCAGTTTAGGAAAGTCTGCGGGGGCATCAACGTCAAAACTGGGCATGGCCATATTGTTGTCCTTCATATACGCCTCGAGTTTCTCCGTCTCCCTGGCAATCTCCCGAGCCAGAGTCACCATCCGGGATGGGGACTGCGTCGAAGCCGTGTCAGCTTTGCTGGGCTGCGCAGGAGATACTGCAACGCCATTTGTGGCAGAGTTCTTGCCCAGGAGTGAGGCCGACACAGCCGAGAACGAGTGTCTATTTTGCTTCTTCGTCTCGCTATCTGCAGGTGTGGTTGACGGAGGGCTGCGGTTGAACCAGGAGCTCAGTTTGAGTTTTGCCATCTTGATGAGTCGTTGCTATGCGACTGTTCGTAGTGCGGGAACTCTCCCAAGCTATCAGCCGTGCAGCTGCTTCACACTTCTTTAAAAGGGGTCAGCCCTGTGTGCCTTGTTCTTGATGACAGCAACGTGGTGGGGTGACGTTTCGCATCGTGGTAGACAAACAAACACAACCTGCGACTCGCCCGGCAGAATGACTATGACAGCAGAGCGAAGTTGGTGACGGGTGACCAGAAGGGAGAGAAATTGCCAAGTTACCTGCCCGTCCCAACTACCGATAGGGGGAGATCTAGATGGAATGAAACAACGAACCGAGTACACAACACGAGGCGTAACGTTATGCTTCCGCAGGACCGTCAAGTTAGGTTCCGTCTTATCACAGGAACCCGGCAGATTGGATTACGGACCCGGGACCTGACGGTAACGAATCTCGAGCCGGTAGGTCCCCGATTGCAAATCCCGCTCCCGCCGTTGATCTCGGCAAACGACTCGGAGGGAATGGATGCTTGTTGTCGAACGGCACAACTGGGAACCAACGGAAAAGCAAAAGACGCGACAGCTGCGATCCGCCCAGATCGACACAGACACAGGGATTGGCTGGCTATGATCCCTAAGAATCCTGGGGTATAATAAGAACAATGTGTTGCAGTTGCAAACGGATGAAGCAATCGCTGGATCCAACCACGGACAGACCGACAGAGAAGCGGCCGGTTTTGTACGAATATCAGTGAAACTCTCATCGATCCTCGTGTAGACTGGGGAATCCATCCGAAAAGGAGGAGCCAATTGACCAATTCCACTAGCAAACGAGACCCATCCCCATGGAACATCGTGGTGGACTCCCCTGCCCTGCCTGCAGCTGCTGCAGCATCCATGCTGGATCCTCAACGCGTTCGCTAGGCTCATGCAGAGAGCAGTATCTTAGCGTCATTGCTGCAGAAGCGAGTGGTCAGTAATCTCAGTCGCGGGGGAATTTGCAACCTCCACCTCCACCTCCACTTGTTGGAGACTCAGGGTCGCTCAGGGTGCCTTTCCCAACTGCACTGCGACGACGTGGATAGTTATTGCATAGCGCTCAGCTATAGATGGAGTGTAGAGACAGCCGAGGGTCGAGCATTGTAGTGCAGGCACTCTGACATTAGGTAATGCAGAGTTTCCTTTTGATCCCTATCGCGACGGGAAAGAGGAAATGGCTTCGGAGCGGAACGTATGCTATCCGCAAGCCAAACCCGGACTATGCTCGATATTAATTAAGCCAAGACGCTGGGTAGGATGCTGCTGCGAGTTGCTCCGCAAGTTCTCATTGACTCGAGCGGCTAGTCGTCTTCATCAAGAGGATGGAACCTAGGGAGTTTGTCTGCACCCAATCTCAATGTACTACGGTACAGTACCATATACTGTACGACCGGGGCGCCCAGCGGCTCGGGAAAGGAGATTACACCACTGGAACGGTTAGTGCAACGGGGCTACCTAACGCTACCGTAACTTTACACGTGAAAGAGACGCATCTAAGCGTCTGCAGGGCACCTATCACACCTCAAATCTGCCCACGGTGTCGGGCTCAGTGATAGTGATGATGATGTCGTCGAGAGAACAAAACGACTCACAATTGGATGCATCGCGATATTGGATGCAAGTTGCATAACCCGAGATTTTTGGACCACAGTGACCAATTGTCATTCGCTGCCCTGTGCCTCCGTCCGACCTGCCATGCAAGCCATCGCAAGCCCGGGCGCCGACGCACTGACCGTCGGCGAACCCCCGCGTGGCTTCCAGGCTATCGGTGACAGATTCGGTGGGTGTTGTCTCAAGCCACCCGCCGGCCCACAGGGCCTTGTTGCCTGTGAGTGAGGCACGACCTTCTAACGCTATCAAGCAGATGCAGTGATCTAGGCGTTTCATGCTCAACAAAGATACACCACAAGATTCAAGAGGAAATCATCTATGTAAGCTCACAATAACACGGTAGAAAACACGCAAAGTTGAAGCATAATTACTGTGTATATACAGTACGGTACAAGTACACGCCCTGGAATGTATATACAGAAGTCTCGGAATACGGACACAAATGTGAGTGGTATCATGAAATCATGAAACAACCGAGACAAGAATATGACAACGAACTCAGCAATTCCCCGCTTCAACTTCCAATTCCACTCATCCCCAATTAATGGAAAAGAAAGGGAAGGAAAAGAGAAAAAGAGGGGACAAACTACACGTACTGTAGCCAACCCATCCCTCCCATAAAGAATTGCCTTCAATAGTTGGGCGGCTTTTGCCCATAGACAATATGCAACGGCATATACGCCAGGCAGCTGTTATCGTGGTAGGCTCTGCGGACGTCGATCAAGAAAAGCTCGACCTGCTCTCTGGTCCAGCCGCAACCCCTGGTCAAAGGGCCCAGCGCGATGGCCTGGATGCCGTCGATGAGGATGGTGCGCCAGTACAGCCCCACCGTCTTGAGCACCTTGTTCTTGGGCCAGGTGCCGATGGGGATCTGCAGCACCCGCTCCGTCACGTTGACGAAGCCGCAGTCACGCATCATGTCGGCGAGCCGCCCGTTGGCCGCCGCGTGGAAGTTGATGCCCAGGTTCTCGAGCCCGTCTTTGATCAACGTCCAATACTGCGCCACTGGGTGGTCCGGCGACATGGAGTTGTTGGCCGAGATGGGGTAGTGGTACACCTCTTGCATCTCGAACCAGCCCCCGGGGCGAATGTGTCTGTAGCGGGTAACGCGTAGTCAGCACACTAACAGTTCCTCCCTAAGGTTAGGCGGGTATGGCGTGCGCACTCTAATGCTCTCCTCATGAGCCTAGGCCAATCCTTGATGGCCATGACCGTATGGCGCGAGTGGACGTAGTCAAAGTAGTTTCGAGGATGGAGCCACCTTAACAGAAGCATGTTAGTGAGAGGTTAAAGACGGGAAGCAGGCCGGACAGAGGGTCACCTACGGGCTCCTGGAGTGGACGTCAGCGTTAATCGCCCTCAACAGCAGCACGGCTAGCCGACTTACTCGATATCATCTACCATGAAGCGCACGTTCGGCGGCACCCACTCGGGCTGGATGGGACTTAGATCGACGCCGAGGACATTCGAACTTGGAAACAAATCCCCCACTTTGCAAACAGGTCAGTCGCGTCGTCACGAACATTAGCGTCGCACGTAAGGCATACTTTCAATCGCCCAAATGCCCGTCCCCGTACCAATATCTAGAATCTCGTGAGGGTGCTCCCCGATAGGCGCAAAGTAGAGCTGCCCGCAAAGCATCTTGACCATGGCGTGCTTCATGTCTTCGCGCTGCTGCCTGCCCCATGAAATATCAAGTGAGTGAGTGGCCCCGTGGCAGATGCTAAGGGCGCCTTACTCAACGTCGTCATTCGGGAAGTTGTACCGCCCCTCGCGGAACTTGTGGTAGCGGCGCCCATTCTCATAAATGTAGTCGCGCACGCTCTCGGCAAGCGACGTCGACGCGCTTGTGTTGTTGTCCGTTCCATAGCCCGCATCCGTGCCCAGGTCGTCGCTGTCGACAACGATGCTGCCGTCCTCAGCCTGTTCCACCGCAGCCTGCTCCTCCAACTCGTCGTTCTCCGTCGCGTCGTATCTGTCCTCGGTGGTCCCGTCTGGGGAGTCAGGCGGCCTGGAGGAGCCAGAAAACACATATGGAGGCGAAAGGCTTCCCCGTTGGCCCGTGGACAAGCTGGGCACGGAAGCCGAAAGGGAAAAAGACTCGGCGAAGCTGCTTTCTGGAAGGGAGGAGAATGTGGACGTGCTGCCGTTGCCGGGGAGAAAGGAAGCAGCATCGAGTGCCGTCCCGGAGGAGCTATCAGGGCCTTCTGTGGCGTCTGTCGCGCGTACTGCGCATTTTCTAGGTCCATGCTCTACGTTTGCTGAAGGGGAATCTGCCACCGAGGAGGCTTCGTCATCTGGCCGGACGCGTTTCTTTGACCGAGTCTCAGACTCAAGCACGACTGGTTGAGCGGAGTCACTCGGTGGTTGGTCCATGGTACCAGTATCCAGGATGGGTTCGGCGAAGGAGGATAGCTGGGTTGAGATCCAAGGAAGAACAACAGTGGCCGGGGCTCGGAGGGATACTTGAAGGGCACCCGTAACTAGGAGGGGTCTGACCGCGAATCTCAAAGCAGAGGACTGAGATGGTCAATTCTCCAGTCTCAAGTCGCGAGATTTTGATTCCGATGGTTTCACCGGATAATAATAAACTGGGGCAACACTGCCTTTCAGATGCAGATATCCAGAATGCTTTTCAGCAACAGCCAGGAGCATGTGCCAAACTGATATCGGTGTGCTGCCAGAAAGACTTTGGCCTCCGGAGCCAGCTCCGTTTCCTTGGGATTCGACGGATGAGGAAAACGGGAAGCAGGGCTGCGGCTGATCCAAATCTAGGTTTTTAAGAGCCCGTCAGGGACATGGCGCATGGCATATCCCCGGATTTTAATAGTCAGCCGATCAAATGGAGGGCAATCGGAGGGCAACAGGTGCTTGAGTGGATACAATAACGGGACGGGTGTGGTCTTGGCTGATTTTAAGTGGGAAAAGGGAGAGAAGAACGGCTGGCCAGTGGTTTGGCTCCCGTCAACATGAACCCACCCCCGAATGGAGCCTAAGGTGGGGGAGACAACTCGGTTCTAGTGTAAAGATTCAAACGGTCCCTTTGCGGTTCGTCAGGGAACAACCCCTCCGATAGCTAAGGTCCAGAATTCAGGCGATAGGTAGTTATTAAAGCTTCCTGCAGGGAGTGGCCTATCGGGTTGTTTCTGTGTCAAGGCCACATAAGTGGATGAAAAGGCAAGACATTGTGCGAGAGATGCTGGGTGGATTTGTATCTCACTGAAAAAGGTAGCCATCTGCGAGATCTACCCTCGACCACCACCACGACCAGATCATCGGGGACAGAGTGGCCAGATTGAGTTAGTGTAACCACCAAGCAAACACACCTTGTGAGCCTTTATTATATAACGTTAATATAATATTACCGAACCTGCAGTGTCCATAGTGCGCCATTTCTCGGGCACGGCTGGATTCTGTGTTGCTCTGTGTCACACCAAAACCTCGGAGCAACTAGTCTAGGTCTTGTTGCTTTTAACACTGGCCTGTCGATGCGATCTGTCTCTTGTGAGTGGTGAGTGGATGGGGTGGATTTGCTTGAGGTAAATTGCAGCAATAAATTGCCTAAGTCGCACAAAAAGCAAAGCCTGCCAGTGGTGCATAGGTGCGGAGCTCACCTTCGACCTAGCCACAGTTGTGGCTGAAGCAGCTTGGAGGGGCCACTGTGCGCTGAGCTTCAGCCTCGCCCGTGTGGGCCCAACACAAGGCAGACCCAAACTGACGTGGGCCTGGATCTCTTGCAGCACTGTGACCATCAACCAACTATTTTGCTGATGAACAACCGGTTTAGCCTTCCTGCGCAACACCACGTCAAGACTGCCACCTCGTACAAGAAGAGCATCACTCCGGCTACCGAATTGATTACTCCGTCGTCGCCATGGCCGACGCAGCGTTTAAGCCCGAGAAGGACTTCTCCAAGGAGGTCGACAAGCAGATTCCCGAGGCCGAGCAGCTCGCAAAGGTAAATAGATAACGAGCTAGTCACTCTCTGAATCCACCTCCCTCGAGCATTTAATAAAATAGCAGAGCTGATGCTTATCCCCGGCGTGATAGACAGACATCCAAGCTGCCATCGAAAAGCTCTCGGCTCTAGAGAAGCAGACGCGCCAAGCGTCCGATCTCGCATCAACATCACGAATCCTCATCAGCATCGTAACCATCTGCAAGAATGCTGGCGACTGGGGTCTACTCAATGACCAGACCCTGGTGCTATCCAAGAAACATGGCCAGCTGAAGCAGGCCATCACCAAGATGGTGCAGACCGTTATGGGGTTCCTTGACGAGACACCTGATATGGCGACCAAGCTATCCGTCATTGAGACGCTCCGCACAGTGACCGAGGGCAAGATCTTCGTTGAGGTGGAGCGCGCTCGCGTAACCAAGATCCTCTCCGACATCAAAAAGGCACAAGGCGACCTCAAGGCGGCCACCGACACGCTCTGCGAGCTCCAGGTCGAGACGTTTGGGTCCATGGACCGGCGCGAGAAGGTCGAGTTCATCCTGGCACAGGTGGCGCTATGCATTGAGAGCGGCGACTGGACACAGGCTGGCATACTCAGCCGCAAGATCAGCACCAGGTACCTGGCCCGGAAACCCAAAAAGACGCCGGAGCAGCTCGAAAAGGAGAAAAAGGAGCGCGAAAAGAAGGCCAAGGTCGAGCAAGAAGCCGAGCCCCAAGAGGAGGACGATGTGACAGACCTCAAGCTGCGATACTACGAGCAGCAGATCATCCTGGCCAAGCATGACGCGAAGTATCTCGACGTGTGCAAGCACTACAGACAGGTGCTGGATACCGAGGCAGTGGAAGAAGACCCAGAGAAGCTCCGGGCGGTATGTATTCCGTCTGATCTGCGTCGGATAGAGCCTCCTACTGACTCCGCTACAGGTGTTGCAGAGAATCATATACTTTATCATCCTCGCTCCTCACGACAATGAGCAGCACGATCTGCTGCACAGAATTCACAAGGACCCTCGGAACGCCATGGTACCCCAAGACGCCGAGCTCCTCAACCTGTTCACGGTACACGAGCTCATGCGCTGGCCCGAAGTGTCGAAGCTGTTTGGACCGCACCTGCTCAGCACCGACATATTCGACTCAGTCAAGGGGCAGTCCGGCGACGACAAGGCGTTCGAGCGGTGGCAGGACCTGCGCAAGCGCGTCATCGAGCACAACGTCCGCGTCGTGGCCAAGTATTACACGCGCATCCAGATGGGCCGCCTCACACAGCTGCTCGATCTCAGCGAGGACGAGACGGAGAAGTACATCAGCGAGCTGGTGACGGCCAAGACGGTGTATGCCAAGATCGACCGGCCAGCACGCATCGTCAGCTTTGCGAAGCCGCGCGATGCCGACGACATACTCAACGAGTGGAGCTTCAACATGAAGAGTCTACTGGGTCTTTTGGAGAGGATCGATCACCTTATTACCAAGGAAGAGATGATGGCGCGGATCCAGCCAGGGGTCAAGACAAAGAAGGGCAAACAATCCAAGCGCTAGTCCAGCTCTGCGCAGAAGCAACTTGGTTCGTAGATGACTGTACGAATAGACATGATTTAGGGAACCGAGTGCTTGCTCGGGCACATGGGACAGATGAAAAGTGTCAGTTGGCCGGGTCTTTTTGACACTGTCTCTCACCGCACCCCTTGCTACTACCGAAGACAGTGTCCGAAAGCTTGCATTTCAGAGGCTGTGGCACCCGAACTCAACAACAGCTTGCCCAATCGGCCCGCTGCGTTCTCTTTTGCAGACGTTGTGGCATTTAACGGCGAGATTGAGTGTCAACGAATCATCGCCCTTCACACTCAACACGGGAACTTTTGCAATACGTTTCGCGTCCTGGAAGAGAGCAGAAACTTCAGCAGGCTGACGGACTTAGATAGCAATCGCCGCTAGGCATGGGGTTGATTTCCAGTTCACTAGGTAGAGTGTGCGACGGTGCACTCGTTACGTTGAAATCCATGATCCCGTCCGTAACTTCAAGGACCTGGAGGTGTCGTCGGTACGGAGTAAAGGGAGCCGAGCGGAGTCGGACTGGACAGCCGGGCCGCAGATCACTCACCCGAGCCGAGCAGTGACATCAACACCCTGCATTACCGGCGTGCCATCTCTGCTACCAGCAGGTGTCCTCAATATCTCCCTCCGTAGACCGGAATAAAAGTAAATTACCTTAGTGTATAACCCAATCCTGTGATCCCCATATACTCAGCCAGGCAGCCTCCATCTCCGTCCGCTTTGCAGGTTTCAAACAGCATCATGTCCAGCAAGCACAGTAGTAACGTTCGGGTCAGCTTGGGCTGTGTAGGCAGTCCGTCCTTTGACCCGGCCAAATCGCTACATGACCAAGAGACGCACGCCCGCGCAGTCTGTCTCTTGGAGGACGACAACCGGTTTGACGAGGCGATTCGGACCTGGTTTCGGATTCCCGAGGGAAAGGACGGGGATGGGGATGGCTATGTATATCGTGCCGTGGCCGAGGTCACGCTGGGGTTTGTACAAAAAGTCATCGAGAACGACATGAACACGCGCAGGACCGAGTTGTTGGCTGAGGGAGAGGGCGGGTGTACGTCGAGGTGGTACAAAGCGCCGGAGGGAGAGGTAAGTTAAGCTAGGGATGTTCTTGGGTTCTATTACTCTGTTTCGTTCGTACTTGAGTACTTCCAGCTCGATCAGAAGGCGGTGCTGTTGTTCAAGTCTGATGTTTCTTGCCTGATGGACACCCCTGAGTTGAACCCTTGGCTTCAACCCCTATCCCACCCACCCCTCATGGCTTCAGCTGTTGGCACACCTTAGTTCACAGTATCTATGCTTCCCCAAAGCCTCCCGTATGTATCTCGCTTCACACAAATAACTCTACATGCCGAGAGCACATCTTATCAAACCCGGCTCTGACCCGCCAGCAGCACACCCCATCGCCCACGGCCCCCGACGTAACATCCTACATCAACATCTTCCTCCCCACAACCAACACCTCCTCGGCCCTCAAGACTTTCCAGGCCAACGCCCGCAAATCCTCGGTCCGCCAGCACGTCGCCACGCACCTAGTCGCGAAACGCTTCTTTTTACCATCACATCCCCTCACCAAAGACCTATCAAACATCCCACGGTGCAAGCAATCGCCGGTGTTGAACCCGGCTCTGGATTTTTGGGCATGGTCGTGTCAGCTACTGGGGTGGTGCGGACCGCTGGGCGAAGAAGAGGACCAGTCGACACTGCCCGGAGCGGATGACCGTGACAAACGGGATGAAGCAATCGATTTGAGCCCGGGTCAGGCGACAAGAAGGTGGCAGATGTGGAAAGGCAGCCACCCCATTCTGCCCGTGATGATGCACCATTTCGGCTGCGCAGTGCCCTCACACGAGGGGTTGATGATTGTCAAGATTCTGGCAGAAGGCGGTAGCGGTGGCGGTGCGGGTGGTGGGAAGAACAAGACGAAAGGGGAGGAAGCGGCTAAGACGCAGAGGCCCAACAAGAACAAGAAACGGAAAGTGGTAGACATGGGCAGCGGGAACGGCTACTGGACCATGATGCTGCGCGGGTACGGGGTGGAGGTGGACGCCGTGGATAACGGCATGAGTAAATGGTTCGTGCTTCGCCCTTCGCCCTTCGCCCTTCCCCGTCCCCAACCTCTTTGCTCGCTCTCGCTTCACCATACACATATACCATCCGGGTAGCACTAGGCGCTGACAATGGCAAATGGGGAATGCTTTGAAAGGCGAACCACCTGGATCCCCGATACGCTCATCCAAACAGGCACCGGCTACCTCGCCAGCCACCCCGATCACGATAGCCTTATCCTGCTGCTGGTCTACCCCGTCGTGGGCGGCAATTTGACGGGCACTGCCGAGGGCTCCTTCACGCGTGACCTGGTCGCGGCCTACAAGGGAGACACGCTGGTCGTGGTGGGCACCCAAAACCACAACGGGTATACCGGCTTTCCAGACATGACTATGGACGAGTTCATGGAGCGGGAGCATAGTGGCGAATGGGTCAGGACAGTCCAAGTTGCGATGCCGAGCTTTGCGGGCAAGGATGAAGCCTTGTTTGTTTTCCAACGAGTTCCGGCTCTTGGGGATGATGGGTCTTTGAGATAATATTCGTCCTTTGGAGATCTGGCGACAGATGGCCGAGATGCTACTCGGATGCCATTAGCTCAGCCAACCTGAGCACACTACATGTTCAACCTTCAACCCTTACTTCTTCTTCCCTCCTTTGCCTTTCCCTCCCTTCTGTCCATCTCCAGCACCTCCTCCCCCGCCTGTGCCTCCTGACATCATCACCGTCACCTTCCCAACCGGCACGACATTGAACGCCTCCTCCACTTTCAGGCCCTTGATCAACTCCACTTCCCTAGGCCACATCTTCTCCACATCTCCGGCCGTCTCATCCACGACCCCCTTCTTCCCGCTGGCCGCCCTCCACCGCTCCACAATCTCCTTCACCGCCTTCCCCTTCTTAACCTGCCCAGGCTGCAGCTTAGCCTTGTACTTGAGCTTCCCCAGAGCGTTCCACGGCGCGCAGACGGGAATGACTTCGAGTATCTCGTCGCCCGGCAGCGGGGTGCCCACCAGCGCATCCAGCTGCGTCATGGATTCTGCCTCGGCGTCGTCCAGCATGTCAATGCCCTCCTCGATCATCAAGCGACGAACTTCTTCGTGCTCTGCAATCTGCTTCTTTGCGCGCTCCTGTGCCTGGCGACGGCGTTCCCTGGCTGCCGCTGCGTCCGCCTCGCGCTTGGCCTTGGCCGCAGCTTCGGCCTCGGCTTTCTGTCTCGCTGCGGCGACGCCGAGGAGCTCCTCCATTAAGGCGCGGTCTTCCTCATCCTGATCTTTGTATTTGGCCGCTATCTTCTTCGCTTTACCTCGTTGCCCGCGCTTATGTGGCTGGGATTTTTTGTGAGGCTGGTTTTGAGAGGAGGAGGGCGTCTCCGGACGGGTGGAAGGGGTACCGGTTGAAGGCGGGGAAGGGCCCATGTCTTCCGCTCCGTTATCTTCTTCGACGGGGGCTTGCGGGCGATTGACATCTTCCTCTGACTCAGCAGGAGCAGGTTCCCCTTCGCTGAGCTTGAGATTGGCCATCTCATCCGACGGGGACTCCTGGCTGCTCCGCGGGGCATTTCGCTGAACTTCCGCATTGCCTTTCGTGCCTGGTTGTAGGGGGTTTGCCCTCTCGTTCTCGTCGACTTCTTCCTCGCTGTCGCTCTCTGAATTCTCTCCTGGGTCCTTTGTCTGAACGCCGCTATCCTCAGGTTTTGTGGTCGCGGCTACCGGAGCCGTACTAGAGGGCCCGACACCGCCGGCAGCATACAGTCTGTGCTTGACATGCTTGGTTTTGCTTTCTTCCGAGATCTTGAACAGTAGGCCGAACCCGAGGGTCAGAAGAGCCGGGGGAAGGGGATTGCGTTTGCCCCGGACCATAAAGGAGCCCATGGGAAGATACTCCCCAGCAGGAGCCGATTTGGAGACCTGGTCGGCGTTTACCCACCAGGCGCCCATGGCGGCCTTCGAGTCCCACGCATTAGAGCAGCAGACGGACAGGTTACCAGCTTGTGCGAGCGTTGACGGCGGAATCGGAGCATCAGGTGTTTTAGGGTCGTTCTTGATAATGACGGTTGGCGCGCCGTGCATGTCTGCGTGGACATAAACATCGCCCTTTCTCAAGTACCGTTTGTAGAGTATCTCATTCTGCTGAGCGTCCCGGCCACCGAGTACGAGGTAACCGTCAGAGGATATGAACCACAGAAATTTCTCAAACCACATTGGTTTCCTAATAGGCTGAAGCACAGGCTTCTCCTGTTTCAAGCCTTTCTTAAGGTCCTCGGCAATCTTCTGTTCGGCGTTCCTGAGCGCTATTTCAGACTGCATTAGGGTCTTCTGCTCCTTGCCGGCTGCCGTGCGTTTCTGTTCGTAGTACTCTCGGGCATTGTTCCATGGGCTAATCTTAAGATTGATGTCAATTGCCAGGCGCTTATCCACTGCCTTGGCTTTATTTGTCTCTGCATCGTGGACGGGTTCGTCATCTGTGTCGTAGTTGAAGTCCGGCGGCTCATCTGCCTCGGCTTCTTCTTCCTCCGCTTCGCCAAGGAGGAGCGTGATGGTGTTCTCATGGAGTCTCATAGGTAACTTGATAATTTCAGCCACAGGATTGTGTTGTTTCTGCTCTCGCTCAACCAGTTTGTTGACGTCTACCCAGTCCATGCCTTGCTGAAGCAGGCCATTGACGGCATCCATTGTCTCTTGAACCCGTTCGATGTTAGCCTCGATCGCCGCAGCTTTGCGCAGGTTTAGGATTTGAGCCTCTTGGAGCCCCTCTATCCGCTTCGCCTGATCCTGCCGGGCGGCATCGAGCTTCTTCTTGGCTGTGGCTTCGCGTTCCTGCAGGCGCGACTCAAGTTTTTGGCCCTCAAGCGAGGAGAAGAACTCGTCGACCGTCTTGTTGAAACCGTCAAACGTTAGAACTCTGCAGCTTGGATTGTCCTCGAACTGTTTTGGCAGAAAGGGCTGGAAATCCTCATAAAGGAGATTTCGCGCAGCCGTATCTTTCCGGGAATCCTCTTCATCCGCTGGCTCTTGCACCGCACGGGGGTTGGGCTTGGCGATGATGTACCCTTTCGCGACAGGCGAGCTAGTGACGCCGTCCAAGATGGAGCGCGCTTGCGTCAGTGACCGAAACAAGGCGTCAAGCAGCGCGTCATTATCTAATATATCTGCTGGCTTCGCGGTGGAAGCAAATCCTGTCAGGCGAAACACGTGGTCGACTAGCACCGGCGGTAACTCAGTTATCGTAGTGGCAAGCCCTCTTCTCAGCTCGTCTGAACTTTTCTTCTTAGTCTGCTTCGAAGCTGCTTGGGCTGCAGCCATCTGAAGAGCATCTCGAAGACGCTCTCGGGTTAACTCAGGAACCCCTTTGTAGTTTTGCCTGTTCTCGAGCGTATACGTCAAGCCCACTCGTTGAGGCTCCTGGCCTTCCCCTTCTGGGACATTTCGGAGTAGGGCAAGAATCTTGAGGTCGGCATCGGTAAGAATGATATTTCCGCTGGCAAAGAACTCGAGGTACAATCGGTAGGCGCCATCGCTGAACTGAAACTCGATGATTCGGTCTGTGCCAATCTGTGAGATTCCGGTGACCCGCCTGGTCTTGAGAAACTTGCGAAGACGCGCGACGAAGTTGCTCGGAGCGGGGGCGGCGGGGCGAGCAAAGTCGGTCAGATGGCAGCGAAATCCAGACTCGATGAGAAGCTGCTGTTTGCTATTCGGCTTGGCGAATTTCAGGAGGAAGATTTTGGAACTGAGGTCGTAGATATTTGCGACCCGTAGGGACACGAGGGCTTCCGAGAGCTCGTGAGCGATTACCTGAACATGACAGAAATGGTGAGAGGTTGGTCACCGGCCTGGAAACGCAGCTGACTTACGTACCCTGACGTCTAATGATGAGAATCTTTGCTTCATGTTGGGTTTGGTTGTTCTTGGGCTTGGCCAAGCTGACAGCGAGGACGAAATTCTTCGATGTCATACCCATGGCGGGGCAACCTGTCGTCAAATCCTCAGAAGAGCAAGTGGGGTGTGATGCAACTTCGGCCCCGCTGAAACTGCCCCATTGAAGAAGCCCTTGCCCTCTCAATGCCCTGCAGGAAGCTTGCGAAAATCTTGGGAGTGGGAGTGAATCAATGCAGAAAGTGTAGTCCTCTCAAACGGTTTTGCCTGATGATGAAGTGATGTACCGCGGCGAAAGCCAAACCACCAAAGAGCATTCCAAAGATCAAACACATGACTTGCGCTGTCCACAGCTGCATAGCGGCGTCTAATTTCTTGACTGGCCTTGATCTTGGAGTGTGAGGCTTCGGTAGGTTGAGGTTTCTGTAGCAGGAGGTGGATGGAGGCGCGGGAGTTTCTCCCGGAGAAGAACAGAGAAACAGATGGTGTCTCCGAGTCGTTGTCAGGGATATCTTTACCGCCTCCACTGTCTCTCAAGGTGGCTCGTTGTCAAACTTACTGTGGTAGAACACGGACTCCGCTGGTCTCCTTAGACGCCAAAATACCGTACCTAGTGACACCTGACAGAAAGCAGATAGTACTTCTAACTGACAATTCGAGGCATTCACCTAGACTGAACGTACCGCAACCTCCGATCTGAAACGCTACTTCGTTGACTGCTGGAAGCCACATACGTCCTTAATATTCTATATCCGCAAGGTAATTCTGGCGGGAATTGGTCAATCCCTCTAGCAGGCTGGAAAGCTTGAAGAAGCTTGAAAAGAAGAAAATAGTCAACGTTAAGATCTCGTTACTCAGGGAATCTGGGAAGCCCATTGTCTCAAATTTAGCTTCCACCTTTCCGGAACGGCATTGGTAAGCCGTCAGCTAAGAGCTCAGCCTTCACGCACTAGGCTCCAGCCAGTCCTTCTCAGTAGGAGAGAAAATACAATAATCAGGTGAAGCTTGGAAGAACCCTTCTGGCCGCGGGGTTCTACACCAAATAAGTCGGAGCCAAAGTCCCTCGATGGGTGTTGCCGAGGGCCGCTAGCACCGAGAACGCCAAAGCATTTTCAGAGGAGCCGTTCGGAGGCACCTGCCCGGCCCGGCGGATAATCCCGGGCTCGACGATCAAGGGACCGCAGTTGTCATGGCAACCCACCGGAAACAGCGTGCTTGCACGAGCGGGCGGTTGGAGAAGACCTCGGCTGGTATCAACAAAGTTCTTAGACGGGAAATATCGCAACTTTGGCGTAAAACCATTCCGGCCGAGGTTTTCTGACCGCTCCGGCTGCGCGGTGATGGATGGCGGCAGGCTGGGCCTTGACGAGTTCTGCGCTTGCAGAATCTCTGTGGGAAGGCTGGGGCCGAACGGCCCAATCGTAACAACACACGAAATCTTTGTGTTGAGACAGCATCGCTGTGAGAGCAGCGGTTGACAGCCAATTGCGAGGACCCGGAGCTGGATGCCAGCCCGCAGATTCCCTTGTTCGTCCAACCTCCCCAGCCACCTATCAGCTGGGCTAGCAACCATGTCCTGTCTTGGACCCACTGGCCAGTCAGAGCATGCAGCTCTGAGTGGGTCGATTCAGGTGATTTTCAGAGATCCCCCGGTGTCACACCCACAGAGCCTATTCAAACAGAACTGGCAATGCGCGCCGGTAACCGCGCTTGTGAGCATCAAGTGCTGCTTCAGGATGGACCAATTGACGCACAATTCCATTTAATCCGTGGGATCGAAGAGGCTGGAGTTGGTTGCCCTTTTTTCAATTTTTGATGTTGCCGAATTCCCAAACGTCAGAGAGGTTCGGTGGATGTGCTTTTTCAGCTCGCAATGGGACAGCTCCCAACTCTCAAAATGGCTGGGCGCATTCCCCAGGGAGGAGCGGGCATGGGAGGCTGGGCAAGAGCCCCCCGCGGACGGGGCAATCAGGGTCGCTCGCGCGGAGAGAAAATTGGGTCCGCTAAACCACTTTGGACAGCAATAAACAATGGATTCTCCACTCATGTAAACAGACAGCTCGGGAAGCTTGGAGCTCCTGCCACACGCATTTCTGTCTGATGTCTGGCGACTGCCAATCAAGACCCGGCTGTGGCCTGCCCACACGGCGATTCGCACGATCCCATTGGGCTTTGCTTGCATCGTTGCAAGGTCGTTGGGGTCCCCCGCCAACCAGCACCATGGCCGGAAGCGCTCCGCCCAATGCGTATTTGAACGGCCCTCGCAGCTGAGGGCTCCCCGTTCCTGTCCCTGATCTTTTCTCCTCATCCTGTCACCGCATCGCCCTCTGTCCACTCATAGGCAACCACACTTCTCTTTTCCCTTGTTGGAATTCGATTGAAACCGAGTAAAAGAAGACGGGTCCATCCATAGACCGCCTTCTCCTCTCTTTTCTTTCGACTTCTTTCTAGGAAAAGAAGCAAGAGGGATCTTCTTGTCTTCCTTTCGTCTCATCGGAAGGACGAGGAGAAGACTGCCTCTCTGCGCCGTAAAAGGTCGCCAACCTGGACTTTGAAGCCCGCGTCCCGGTCCCTTTCAGCGTCTTCCCGTCATCATACAGGGAGTCTGAAATCGCAACCCAAACCCACCGACACGAAGAGTTAGAGATCAAGCTCCCCCAGCACGCCGGACGGGAAGGTCAACACTCTTCTTTCCAAGCCCAAGCACATCTTCCTCCACGTGGAGAGGGTCGCTTCAGAGAAGAAGAGGTCCGCATCACTCGTGAAGAGGAACATCACCGCCGTCCCGGCACCCACGCAGAGTTCACCTACCGTGAAGAGCATCGCAGGTAAGCTTTGTTTGTTTTTGCTCGGCTATGTATCCCCCTTCTCCGCCTTTTGCGCTCTGTTTCTTTTTTTCGCTTGCGTTCCCCTAGCTTGGATCCGCCTTCACCCCTGCAGACCGGGGGGAGCTCAAGGCTCCGCCAAGGCGGTCTAGGGTAGAGCTTGCTGCCGCCATAAGAAAGGCTGTTCTCTCTCTTACTAACGCGTTTCTCGCTTTTCCGCCAGACCTCAATCTACCTACACCGAATCTCGCATTGAGATTGACGCTCAACACCGCCCCTACGGCTCCGCCATTGACGTTGCTGAGAGCGAGTACCGCTCCCGGGTCCAGCCTAACTATCGCAAGGAGGTCCACGTAACTGGCACCACCGTCGATCCCCCTTCCTACCGTCCCACCTACAAGGCTAGCACTGTCGTGGACGACGTCACCGTCGACGGCCAGAAGTTTGTCCCTTCGTACAGGAAGGAGGTTCACGTCACGGGTTCTACTGTCGACCCACCTGCTCCTCGCTCCGTCTACCACAAGGACGTGAAGATCACCGAAGAGACCGTAGAGTATCCCCGTTCCACCGCTCCAAGCCAAAAATCCAAGATGGGTTACTACGACGAGGACGGTAAGCATGATTCCCTTCCAGTCCCGGGCGCCTGAAGTAGCCCCCGACACACAAGTGTGCTCACGCCAAACTCAGGCCACTATCACTCTTTCCGTCAGGGATTGCACAAGTTGGCTGACCGTATCGTGCATCCTGAAGGCCATGAGCGCGTTGAGGTTACCGAGGTCCGTGAGACCCGTCGCCCCCGCGAGCCGGCCGCGCCAGCGGATGCCTCGTACGCGCCCAACACGGTGACCATTCCCTGCCACCACATCCGGCTGGGCGACATCCTCATCCTCCAGGGCCGCCCGTGCCAGGTCATCCGCATCTCGACCTCGGCTGCCACTGGCCAGCACCGGTATCTCGGCGTCGACCTCTTCACCAAGCAGCTTCATGAGGAGTCGTCGTTCGTCTCGAACCCGGCGCCCAGCGTGGTCGTTCAGACCATGCTCGGCCCGGTCTTCAAGCAGTACCGCGTCCTGGACATGCAGGATGGCACTATCGTCGCCATGACTGAGACGGGCGATGTCAAGCAGAACCTGCCTGTCATTGACCAGAGCAATCTGTGGAACCGTCTGAAGAAGGCTTTTGAGACTGGCCGCGGCAGTGTTCGCGTCCTGGTCGTCACTGACCATGGCCGCGAGATGGCCGTTGATATGAAGGTTGTCCATGGCTCCCGCCTCTAAACGGATGCTTCGTGCTGCTCGAGCATCAACCCTGCATGTATCTGGTCTGCAATCGGGTGTATCTAGGCATTTTCTGTTTATCATTGCAAGATTGGTCAAAACTCGGCTGGGTAGGGGTCACGACCCGGCGTAGGATGCTTGGGTACGTACGGGATTTCATGTCGGTAGACACTGTATATGATGGATGATCTGTAATGGATGGATGATTCTTCGGTACACTATACGCTTATCCCTGCTTCTCGACCCATGTTGAGGATATTTGTGTGACGTGTAGGATACATACCATAGAGTCCAAGTTTGTGTTTGACTTTCACGGCTGGTAGTCTTTGGAAATAATTACTCGGTAAGTCACCTTCTAGGTCATGCCATCCCTTGCCATGCTCTGTGATCCAACATGTAGATGTTTCTAATAAGACCGGGTTCTATTGCCATCATCCCCTGAAGGCAAAATCATGCTCAGCCTGGATATCCGGCCAGAGAGGCGCGGTTGGGAGCTTGATCTCCTTCCCAGCTTTGGATTGTTCTCCAATGGAAGTTGTAGATATTAACAAGTTGCTATTTTTGGCTCTACTCTTGCAAGGTGATCCAGCCGGCTTGCTCCTCCTTGCTAGTGAGGTCGGCTTGAGTCCGAGTGGCGTTCGTTGATCAAGCGGGAGTGGGCACAGTGGCACAAATACGGCAGCGGTGGAGTCGGGACGAGGTCCGGCCGGAACGGCCTGGGCCGTAAAGCCGTTTTGTGAAGGCCTCAGCGGCGAGCAACTAGCCTAATCCACCTGCTGGCTCCGGCATAACTTACCTATTGGCAGCATGCATATTTTATTCAGCGGGCAAGGCTTTGGAAATTGCAACTGCAAGGTCAAGCTAAGGAATGTAGGTGTGTTGCTGGTGTGTGCTCCCTGTGAAGAGTGGAGATCACATCCGTGTCGATCCCGCCCACACCAATTTCCTCGCCAAGTCTCCTTGCATTTGGAAAAGCGAGGAGAGCGACCACTACTGCAGAGTTCCACGTGAGGATAGGGATGAAGCGAGCGCTTTTCATTGTACTTCATTCTTCTCATCCAGGCTCCGAACCAATCGGTGGTAACGTCCGGCCTTCATGTGGGGACGGCGACCGAGGCTGAGAACCATCTTGGAGGTTGGGTTTCTGCCCGTCGGTGCCCAAGCCCAAGATATGCCGCTCCGTGCTACCCTACGATACTCGCTTGGCCGGCTCGGCCGGCTATCGAGAGGACAGATCTGGGTAACGTTGGAATCAAAACAACAGTCAAAGGGATCCTTGTAAGATGAGCTTCAGCAAGATTGGGAAATCGGTCACCAGACCCTTAGTCACCCAGCGGAATTTTTAGCCTTGGTGTGGATGACATGATCTCGGAAACGAAAAGAAGCGACAACTTGGCTGATCAATCCTTCAAGGGCATACAATACATTGTTTGACTCGCCACTCGTCTTGATTGAACATGGGAGACATGGTTGGAAATCCACGTTTGTGTGACGGGCATAGGTGGTTCGCGAGGCAGTGAAGCAAGGCGTGACCAATTTAGACAAGGCGTGGCTTCGTGTTTGCCCATCAGCAACGACAACCCTGGAGGAACCGCTTTTGCCGTCATTCTGAACACCTAATGGTCTTCATGCGGATTTTCATGCACATACAGTAATTCCAGTGTTCACGTACACTGACTCTAGGTATGCCACTCTGTTGACGGTGGGAAGATGATGAATGATGATCTGTACACTAGACGGGAACCTCGTAAGGCACTGGTGAACATTGTTGACATCTTTGGCAGCGTTGCGTTTTATCAAGTCTCTGGGTGACGTGATGCGAGGAGGGGTCTTGCTCGAGTACCTAAGGTACCTAAGTAATCCCCGCCACGAGACCCCCATCGAGAGTTCCAGGTCGCAACCTGGCTTGAGCCTGGGCATTCTTTTATCACTGGTTTCAGTTGTGTACTGTACCGTTTTAGCGGATCCAGACGTCATGCACCACTTCACGGTCTGCTGTGGCCATGGGATGGGCACACAAAGAGCTTACCTCTCTCCGAAGGCCCGGCCCGATAAACAAAGTCCTGGTACACAAAGAGTATTGTGTAGGGCAGAGTCGCTGAAGTGGTGTTGACTTACACAGCGCAGGGGAACGGCAGCATTGAACCTTCAGGTACCTAGCTCCACCTCAGTTACCTAAGTTACCTCAAGTGGAACGTACGCACAAGGATAAGCGCCGGGCGACCTGGAAAGACAAAGCTCTGATACCTGAGGCTACCTACCGGTATTCCTGGCGTGCAAATACGGAATTAGGAATTCGCTACTTTTCATCACCAACACCACAGGTGGGTGATCCACAGAGTGGACATTCGCGACGATCGGACGAACGAGCTTGGGCTGACGGGCACGCCTCATCCCCACTTTAAAGATGTCTGAATCTTCTCAAATGTTCCTCGAAATGATAAATATTGCCAGACTGCAAAGTGTCTGTCCATAAACTGGCTCGCATTCCGATGCTGTGAATGGGTCCTGACGCTCCAGTGACTCAAAATTAATTACCCCGCCGACTTGCCCGCTTCCCTCCGGGGACTCGTTGGACTCGTGGCCGTCTCTGCGACCCAGCGGCACTGAGCTGAGGGCCAACTGGCCGTTATCTTCCTTCACCGTCCTCTCGTCTTCTCTCGCCGATCCAATCGCCGTTGGAATCGTCCTTGGTTGGCTTGCTCTTGGAAAAGTTGCTTGAGCAAACCTGTGGAAATCGAAGCCCCCGGCGCATACCTTGCATCAAAGGGGACAGACAAAAGCTTACGGTCTTCCTGCCCCGCCATCATCATCATTGAACCCCACCTCGCCCACTCCTGTGCGCTGCGCCCCCGACATACCTACACACCCAAGCATACACAGCCTGCAAAAGACGCTCACTCAACCGCAGACCACCTTTCCGAGAAAGAGCTGAACAAAATTCAGGGACACCGCTCTCCTCGTGAACTGGCCACCGCCTTTTCCCAGTGTCAACCACAGCACCGAATCGTCGAGCGGTGAGCCGACATTTAGGTATCTGTCTTCGCCAGGAAAATCGCATTCAGCCGCCATCGTCACGCTGACCTTTGAGAAAGCCATTCGGACAGGTGGGATCCTGCCGCACCTAGCAATGGCCGACCCCGCTCGGTACCTGTACTCAGGCACGACTGGGAGGCGGTCGCCGCCTCTTTACAATCCCGCGCGGGCTTCTATGCCCGTCACGGCTAGCGGTTATGATCCTCTCTACGCCGGAGACATTCATGCCATGTCAGCATCCCACCACGAGGACCTAGTCTCCCGACCAGCCGACGAGTACCGCACCAGTGCCGTACCTGTCAGCGCAACTACGTACACCGTGCGCAAAGAGCCGCTGTCGAGGAGCACCAGCGTCAACGACGGCACTCGCCAGCACCGAGTCGTTGAACCGCCGTCCAAGCGGCCCATCATAATCACCACCAAGCATACTTCCTCGGGTCCCAGGTCGGGAAGCCCGTCGCGTGACCCCTACCGGTCAAGTGATGAATACTACACCCTCCCGGCATCCTCTGTCTCGAGGAGCCGAGCCGCCGGCCAGGGCCCTTCGAACTCGAATATGGAAGACGAAGAATACCGGCGTCTGAGGGAGAGAACTACCCGGGGCGGCGATCCATACCGACGCCCAGGGCCATTGTACCCTCACCGCGGCAACACGCTGGATTTTGAAGACGACGGGTATGAGTACACAAAACCAAGTGACTTGGCCAGATATGACCTCGACCACGACCGGCCGCGGAGGAACCGTCGGGAGAGTCTTGACCGCTATGATCGATACTATCGTCCGACTGTCAGCATTTCAACGGACCTAACCCGGCCGTATTATGAGCAGAGAGAACGGCGACCCCGGGGCCCGCCCCCGACAACGTGGGGCCTGGACAAGGTAAATAGAGCCGCCGCCGGTGGAATCTACGACGGTGCTGGCATTCCAATTCCCCTTCCTCCATCGGTACCTCTGGCACCGGATGCCAGGCGATCAGGCCCTGGCAGCCCTACGGTCGATCACCGGGCCGCCTCCCACGCACGGCCGCTTTCCCTGATTCAAGACAACGGGGGACGGACTGGTCACCACGACGATTACTACCGAGATGACGATTTGCCTCCCCGGGACTATCGTGATCGCGACTACGGTTACTTTCAGGACGATAGCGTCGGCATCCGCGGCTTTGGCATCCGCGTGAACTCAATGGACCCTGAGGAACATCGCCTGCCCCACGACAGGCATTATCGAAGTGATCGTCATGATTACTGGGATGATCGAAAAGCCTACGCCGATCGTGAATTACGAAGGTTGTCTGATGAAGACCTGCAAATTGTCAGACATGAATATGATGATCGGGATCACAGGCGCCACCGCGATCACGATCACGATGACGAGGCGCCTCCCAAGAGAAATACCAAGCCCCTTTCCGATGATGAACGCGATAGCAAAACAGATAAAGTCCGCGATAAAGTTAGTGCTGGACTTGGCATCGCTGCAGCTACTGTTGGCCTCAAGTCCGCCTTGAAGCGCCCGGACAAGGACAAGGAAGACGCCTCTCCGTCGAGAAGGCGTGAGGATGAAGAAAGCAGTCACCACAAGCGTGATGAAAGCGAGTCCCGACTCAGAGCTGCCCGGAAGGAGCCGATGCTCGGTGACGAAGACTATGAGATTGTTGAACACCCAAGCGAAAAGCCGCGAAAAGGGACAGAGCCTGAGCCTGGCCCCAGCGGTAAGAAGAGAGAGGATCATGTAGCCCCCCCGCCCCGGGACCACTCCTCATCTGGAGACGAAGGGAAGACCAAGATTCGCCGTCGACAGCGGGCTTCCACCTTTGACCCCAATGACACTGCCGGGCTAGCCGCGCTGAAGGCGCAGCTGGCTGCTACCGAAGGAAAAGAGAAGACTCCCAAAAACGACGTAGCCTCGCCCAAGGAGCCGTCTCCAGATCGCAGATCCTCTCCTGGCGGGAAGGATGATGACAATGCGAATTCTTCGGCCCTAGTCGTTAAGGAGGACCGTGACCCAAGCCCGCCGTCGCGTGACGAAAGGCAGGTCCGGGTTGTGCCTCCCCCGAACGAACCGGCCGAGAAGAAGCCGCTCAAAGGTATCCTGAAGCCGCCAAAGCCACAGTTCCCTGAAGAGCCAAACCCTGTCCGCGAGGGTGTTGCACCCCACAAGGACGACAAGACCAAGGCGAATGTGCCCCCTGGAGCTAGATGGACCAAGATCAGCCGCAAGATGGTCAACCCTGAGGCACTCACCATCGGGAAAGAACGCTTCGAGGTGCGCGATGACTTTGTCATTGTACTGAGAGTGCTGAGCAAGGAGGAAATTCAGGCTTATGCTACCGCGACCCAACAATTGAGAGGTAGGTCCCCCCACTCCGTACCATCCGAGTTGTGGTCCTAGATCAAGGGCCATATGGAGAGGGCCAGACGCTAAACTACACAAATTTTGTTACAGAGCGCCGAAGGAAAGAGTATGAGCGCGAGATGCGTGAGGCGGAGAAGGAGAAGGAGAAGGAGAAGGAGAAGGATGATGACGACCGCGGCGGCGGTGACGAGGATGAGAAGAAGAGGGGCCATCGTGATCGTCACCACCGGCGGGATAGGGACGACACCAAGGATCGGGAGAAGGACAAGGACAGACACAGCCGCCGCCATCGGCATGATTCGGATGACGACCGTGACTACTATGATGATGGTGATGTCGTCCACGAGTCGAGGTCTTCGCGGCCGGCTGAGTATCATGGCCATACCGGCCACCACAGGTCCTACCGTGACTGAAGAGACACCTATCGTGATGGGGTGAGGATTCGGTCATGATGAGAGAGGTGTGTTGAACGTTCAAGCGTTTGATCTTGGGTCTGTTTTGTGCGAGGGATGTCTGCTGGTTTAGATTACATATATGGCGTGTGCGTGCAAAGGCAAGCGAGCGAGATCACTGGTGTTACGAGTTGGAGATTCAATGGCATGGAGCGAATGGTTGCTTCATTTTTGGATATCTGGACTGCCGGGGTTCACAGGAGTACTGCTGATAATGGCCTTTGGGGTGGAATACACTATACGGGAAGCATTACACAATGAAAAGCAATTTGCATTTGACCGGTTCTGGTTTGAGTGATTGTGTCTCTAGCTGGCCAGCATCGTCCTTATTGTCCTGTGTACTGTACCTGTATTCTCCTATAGACGGGTTTTGAGTAGCTGATGTCTTGAAAGGAGTTCGGGACGTGAGCAGATCATATATCCGTGGTCCGGAAAGGCCGTTGGTGTGACTGCTAGGCTGTTAGCTGGGAATTAGAGAACGACGACAGCCATATGACCCAACTTCCATCCATGGTGACTGGCCAGTATCACCATTATTCTTCTAGAAAAGCTGAGGCGGTAACTAGTTAAAATTTCTAAGCAGCCAGACAGCTCGGCACGAAGGCAGGCGAGTACCCGGTCCCCAAATTCTTCTCTTATAGATGGGTAGATGGTTGAGGTATCCGTCAGGTATTATCGTCAACATCAGAGTCTTGAGCAGACCGTTGAAGGCTTCCCATTCTATTGATGCCATTTTCATCTCTCTTCTACGTAACTGAAGACCTTCTACTTCGGTCTCATGGATCCTAAGCCTTGAGCGATTGGCTCATTAACTGCTAGGCGTGTGCTTATTGCATTGGACTCTGCCTTGGTTGCCTCTTGATACCCCTCTCTTCCAACAGCACATCCCCTGGGTGACTCGGGATTGGACTTGGAACCTTCAGACTCCCCTGGGGATGCCTTGAGAAGGATGAGGTTGTCTGGAACCAATTTCTCGTCAAATAAACCAGTATACGGAGCTTCCGAGTCTACTCCGTAGGACGAGCTCTGTTGAGAGCAAATGCTCAACTTCTAGAGCTGAACGCGTCCCTGTCTGGATTTGGCAAAGTCTAGTGTGATGGACGACTCATCGGGGTTCCAGATTAATAATAGTAGCGTTCGGATCTCGCTGTTAATTATTATAAAGCATCGTGTCTGAGCAATCAACTCCTCGACAATCGACATTGGTGAGCACAGACGACATAATTAACGTTAGCTCCAAAAAGGAAGCCGGGCAGTGCCAGCCTCGCCAGCATAGTCACCGACCCCTGCTTTCTCGCGGTCAACTCCCGAGGTGAGCCCAGGAGGGAGGAGGGTATGTACATGTACATACGACGAGTGTACAAAAACAAGCCTCTTGCGACCCCCATGGACGAACCCGGTGAAGCGAGAGCTTCCCCGACCAGCCTGCGTGAACCCTGGCTGGCCAACCACGCAAACAAACGTTGCATGATACACAAAATCTATTCCCGTAGTATCAAAACGCTATATCCGTAGTACAGTTTGTACAGTACATACACTTGAAGCTCAGTCATTGAGGCTGCAAATTCAACAGCAATGCCAAGTTCACTCTCATCAATAGATAGACACTTACAATACCCCCTAAATGGCCTGGAGTTATCTTTAAAGCTATCCCAACGATGTTGCTCCCTTTGTTAAGTGAGGCTGGCCGGTTGAACCGCGAGTGGGATAGTGGGGAGAGTAAGTATAGCTTATATAAGCACCTACATCTTTAATATCACCCCAACTACAAGATATAATACAAGTCCTTACGCTACAGATATTATAAGAAAACTATCTCGGGGCTGTCTTTCACCTGTTTGACATTGTCCTGTAGCTTGCTTTTCTGTTCTGCGAAGAGGTGGGGAGAGTGGGCGTGCTTAAAGGTACGAATTGTACTACGGATATAGCTTTTTCGTACTACGGGAATAGATTTTTTTTTGGCATGATAGGATCTCAACAAACAGGCAGGGCGGCCTTTGCGCTTCTTCTCCCAGCTCAACTGACACGTTTTGAGGTACTGATACCACAATCCCTTTAACTGTGCAATTGGACACTTCGGTGGCAAAACGCGTAACTGGCCAATTGGGAGCTTTTCCGTCTGCCAAGACGTAAATCTATACAGCTTACTACTTCGTCAGTAAGATCTTTAATGGCGCACAGCTGAAAATTGGAGGGAACGCGGTGACACACGGAGCCTGAAAAGTCCCACCAAGTATCTATGGGGCGCCAAAAAAAGTGTCCAATTGCACAGTAAAGGGATACATAGATGGAAGCCTGGCACTTTACTGGTTTATCAATACGAAGCGAGAATATCGAGAGATACGTCCATGACTTAGTTACTGTATTATATATTCCCCGTCGGCCTCTCCGGAACTCAGCCGGGCGGCACAGCAAAACGTTCAATGTTGGTGCCCAGGCATGCCAGGGGAGGATCGTGCGTGGGAGAGCAAGCGGAAGGTTTTGACGAAGTATTATACCGTACTACAGTACCGGTAATTCAGCATCAGATGACATTGCAGCGGATGAAGGTGTAATTGAGATTTGTTTTTGTCTTGTCATTGAGACTGCTGGGCGTACTGTATACCCCAGGTACGTTGAATTCATGGTATCTCCATGGCTGTCTCCTACTGAACAGTACCCCCAGTTTTCCTCAGATCCAGGACGCACAGATGAGCTGGAAGTGTAGTCGTGATAAGTATGAGTGGTGATGACAACTGCCGGACGATGGGCCAGGAGATCCAAACGGCTGAAACGGGGCATTCAGCTACATATCATATACACGTCACACCGAGCGCTTCTCATTTTGCCTACACTACACAGGCTTCATTGGCGACAGTGATAAGTGGTGAGAGCTTTGATAATCGACGTTGCCGAGCAAGAACTGAGTAGACAAGTGAAGTCATCATGACCATCCCTTTCACCAAATGTTACCGGAACAAAACACAAAACTGGCAACGTCTTCTCTAAGAGGTACGGATGCTGATGATGGAAGAATACTGGCAGGAAAAGGAGAGAGGGAGCAGCGGTGTGTTTAATGTCTGAAACGTCATATGATGTGTTTTAAAACTTTCCTCTACCGTCCCACAAGGGGTTTGTTTCAGAGACAACATCGAAGGTGATCTTGGTTCAAGAGGAAGTGACGAGTCTGAATGTCGGCTTTGTTGACTTGTGGTAATCGGGTTCCAGCACCGAGGTAGGAACAGTACAAACGGGATCGTGGACATTTGGACGTGTCTTGCCTCTGTTCCCGCTTGGAATGCCGGCGAACAGCTCTTGTTCTAGTCAGGTGTAGTGCAGATTGATGGAGCGAGCATTGAGCCGAGATCCGTGTGTACTAGTAGCTCAGTCGGGTGTTGAGCATCCCTCGACGGACCCTTCAGATAACGATAGAGTCGGCCGCATCGGTCAAGGGCTCGTGACACTGTCTGGTGGTTCTAAGCCAGACGCGTTCTTTGGTTGATACTAGTACAGTATACTGAGGCTTTGCGAAAGAAACTTGTGATGATTTTGAGCTGACTTCAGGTCCGAGTTGATCTTGTAAATTGTTGATGTCCTTTGTTTCAAACACCCAAGGTAAGCTGTGTCGCGATTCTCTTTGAGTTTGGACGGTTTCAAGCTCCAAAGGGTGATCCGATGTTGTCGTCCATCAACGACGTCGCACGCGACGTCTTGGCGGCCACGGGTGACCTTCAGCTCATCGCGTCTCCGAGGGTTGGTAAGCGCGTCCAAAGTATCGTCACATCAGGCACCCCCGGCTTTCCTACAACCCCAGTTCAGCCAGGTTGCAGGAGCGCTGGGGGTGGCCGGGATGAGGGTTCATTCCTGGTTGCGCTGTAGTTACACAACGTCATTACCGGTACTGTAAACCGCAGGGGACTCGTGTTGTGCAACGCACAATCTCACACACTCTTCTTCCCCTCGTCGTCAACGACCAGGCTTCTTGATGGCCCTGGTCTATCCATAAGGCTGGATACCTACCTCACCAAAAGCCTGGGGAATCCATGAGGCTGCTGCTGCCACATGCAGGACGCATACCACTTGCGACATCTGCGCCAACTGATGAATGAACGGCTTTGGGCCTCTCCCTTACTGTGGACGGAGCACTGCGACTGGCGTCCCTCTGCGAACACCGTCCTTGGCAGGGGTTGATGTGTGATGATCATGAGACGTCCGCGAATTATTACCTACAAAATTGCAGTCAACAATACAGTTCTTCATATTGATGATTTACCCGGGACTAACACGTCGCTTTTATTACTTCGTGTACGCTAAATCCCGCAAATTGATAGCGAGGTCAACGAAGTGAGTACTTCGTACCTCAATATGTATTAAGGGAACTGTGGATCGGACACACTGACGCTTGTGCTGTGCAATTTGGAATGAGTCGAATGCGCGCTCCTAATTATCATAACGCAGTTTTTGGTGCAGGGTTTCTGATGTGAAAATTCGGGGTACACGCCGCAACAGGAACTCCTGCTCCAGCTTTGGCGCACGATTTCCCCCATTGCAATGCGCAAGATCGACACGAAACGTCTCGATCGACCACGCCAAAATCTCATTTCACGATAGCTGAAGACGTTAGTGCGTTTGTAGTGTACTGTAGTGTACTGTACACTACATGATTGTTCTTACATTACATATGCTACTAATTCGCTATTGGGTCCATCAGTGTGTGCATACCGGGGATCGCCTCCGGTGGGAAGGATCAATGCAGTGACAAGGCATGTATGGAGTACGGAGGTATACTAGTGTATTTGCATGGGTGGCACTCGCAGGGGAAGGTGGGAGCAACACAACCTCCCACATCTTGCGGAAAAGGATGCAGTGCCTAACGTTCGCGTCAGGTGTTCGCCTTTATAACTCCCGTTGGCTGCAGATGGTACGAAGGTACCGTAAACCGAGACCGGATGATGGCCAATAGACAGAGTTACTTGAGAAGTTTGCTGCAACCCAACACCTTCTTAGTATCCGCGAAATTAGTAAGGTCATGGACTATGTATATACCTACTTACTTACCTAGAGCCAGCCATAGCGGCCTTTAGGTACAGTACCTCGTCGTGTATTGCAGTCTACGTAAGCCGTCATAACTAACGTGAATTGGGATAATGTGCCAGGATGATTCAGGGGTTTTGGCTTTTGGCAGCCCATGACCCTAAAAGAGATCGCGGATCGATATTCGACCCGGCGTGACAGGAACAGGGGAAACGTCTTCACATCGCCCCCTTGTCTTATGTATCTTACATATGAAATACAAAGCTAGGTGAGGTAAGTAACAAGGGGTGTATATTATGCCAGTATCTGGATTGTCCTTTATATTACTCCGTACATTCTGCAGGACTGGAATCCACATTAGCGCCTGAAGCTGGCCGACTTCCGATTGACAAATGCAAAGAGATGCCTTGTGTAGCAAAGGGCGGACGCGAAGTATCATTGAGCCACTGTCGAGAGTTTAGTGTATGTACGGCGGAAGTCCTCCGGCAGAGGTCGGATGATAGGTGGATTGGCTATGGAACTTGATACGGTACCTTCCTATCTACAGTCCTCCCCACATGGTGGTAAGTCATTACGCTAATAACACTGGCGAGCTGAATGAGTGTCTGCAACTGCACTATACTTGTAAGTAAGGTAGATGCCGCGATTCCTGCATCAGCCGCTGGTGTAACGTAGGTATCCGGGGTTGAAACCACTGCCGTTTGTGCCTGCGGCTCGTTAAATCAATTTCCGGGAATCACCAAGGTAGTGTACTTCGTAGTCGATTAGGTAACGCGTCAGTTTCTCAAGGAACATCTGTCATGTATCAGGTCCGGGTACCTCTGCCTTGGTTTCTTTTGACGGCTTCCAGGTTCCAGCCGCGATGACGAGAAAGCCTCACCAGGGGCTATTGAGGTGGTGAGTTCGGCAAATTCTCCGAGGGGTGGGAAGCCGATAAAAGATACATGAAATTTAGCGTGTATGCTTGGTATCTCATACAGGCCGTATGTATGTGTATGTAATCTCAGGCCGTGGACAACTTCTCGCATAGCCGTCAACTTAATAATACAGGGTGCGGGCTGTTAGAACAAGACTCTTCACCGGAAGATTGCTGGCATTTGATGCTAACGTTAAATAAACGGGCGGCCGCGAGTTGATGGAAAAAACTGTCGAAAGTTGCAAAGTTACCTGATGCCCCCATCAAGCGCTCTTGGAACCTTTCCTAGCCTAAGATAGAAAGCCGGTAACTACCTGTACCTGATGCATGATGTATTATACACTATATACTGTATATACATACATCCGCAACTGTCTCAATTCATGTATTCCATGTCTCAATAACTCTAAGATCTTCCAGGTTGGTGTTTGAGTTGCAGAATACCGTGTCTAGAGTCTCCTATCGAACGAAACTTCGTTTGACAGAATAGCTGTTTTGTCGGAGGGTCTTGTCCACGTAAAACGCTGATGTAACCGAAGGAAACGGGTTGGTTCCCTTTTGCTATGTACGGGGAAAAACGAAGACCATTGTCGATTCAGAATCAATGCTTCCAGTAATACAAATGTAGTCTGATACCTAAAGTGAGTACGTTTCAAGGTACCCAATTTATCAATGGTTGCTGCAATGCAAAAAATGGTACACGATTTACTAAACCCCCTTCTGCCTGATCGTGATGTGCTTGCCTCGACTCAATTACATAAGGTAGGTAAAGAAATCTCGTGACCTAGTACCTTAGAAACCTACACAACTTACAGAGCCTGGGGGGGGCCTTGACTTGTAGAATTGTTGTGCCGGATAATGTTCGTTGTTGAAGGTACTTAGGGTCCGGGATATATCCCTAGTGAGAATCACTCCTAGACACTATTAATAGGTATCAAAGGCTGTTCCGACTTTCTTGATTTGCCTTACTTGGATCTCTACTGTGGCGGGTGTGGTTAGTTCCTAACTATCGGTAACTTGAAGAGAGTCCGACGTTACTTCGTACACGTAAATGAACCTGGTGGCAGCGGCTCAGCAGTGCTGTGCTGCCGTCGTCTTCCCCCCACCCTCACTCTCTGTCCGTAGGGCCCGCATCCAATAAACCTGGTTCCGTCACAAGCCACTTCATCACCATGCCGCCCAACCGTGCATTTCCTGCACAAGGCGTTAACGTTAAGCCGATCTTTTGCTCCCCGTGATTCGCTGACAGTATCGCCATTCCTCCGCGGGTTTCTATATGCAGGCCCGAGGCAGGCGGCCAAGGCCAGTTGCCTCCTCGTCTTAGGTGTTATCGGATGATTCATTACATGCATCTGCACTAACGTATTGTCCTGTATACCACCGTAATACAATACAGATGGTGTGTAATGTATATAATGTATGTAATGTATGTACACAACTCTATTAGTTACCATACAGTTCAAGGCTGGTTCGTTCGTTGTACAGAATTCATACAAATAGAGACTAATACGTCAACGAAAGAAAAGAGGGCATCTAGTAAGCTCTGAACAGCGTTTTCTTCCAATCCCTACTTGTAGGAAAAAGTGACTCTTCGATGTTGAGATCTAAATTTTAGGTTGGTGTTGCACTTTGTATTACCGAACAAACCATCAGCGTCGCTTGCCACTTTGTGACCTCGATCCCAACATGCTGGTGCACCCCGGCCCAAAAGTTCCACCACCCCCTTCGATATGGAGTACATTTACTACACTCAACACACATAACACATAGTACACCAACATACATAAGATAGTAGTAAGCATGTATGTACCATGCCATTTCGCGTTTTCAACATGAAGCGGCTGTGTCCTCACCTGAAGATTCCATACACAGATCCTGCTGCAACCCCCACGAGAAAAGCAACGATAGGTACTCTGTAGTTTACAGGAAAGAACACACCAGGACGAAGCAACCTAGACGTCTTCTTTAAATGGCCAACTAGTAGAAACTACAACGCGCTACTCTCTGTTCTAGGTTCCTACGTATCTGTCCAACCTTTCCCTTTCACGGCTTTGCCTTACGGTGTTATGTAGCTCGCTTTTTGATATTGCTCGCTCTGCTGGAGCCCTCATCCTGGAATTTACGATACATATGTGTGCTCCATCCCGTATCACACCTCCTTTCGACACGATTCACCGCTTGAACCGAGAGAGCGAGGATGTGAAAGAACGACAATGTGCGAAGCCTGCCAGTTCCTCGATTGAGTTTGAGAAGTTGATGATGTGGGGAGGATGTATTGTATATTACCTTCATATACTCTGAACATTACACGAGAAGCGAAGAATGCAGTAATTACGAACAAGGGCCCCCTCGCGCCATGTGTGCTGATTTTAGACTGTCGTGTAACCCAACCGCCTCGCGTGCTCCCATCCCGTCCTAATCCTTGTGCCTGCTCGGAATCCTAGCAAGCCCCATTCGCCCCGAGATTCTCGAAGTCGAGGTGAGCCAGGGGCGTCTCAACATCGAGAAGAGGATTGTGTCTCTTGACAACGCGCTATCCTGTTGGATGATGATCAGGCTCGGTCGAGTTCTCGACCAGTCCATACTCGAACAACCACTTCCAGTGTTATCGTCCTGTGAGCTGCGAGCTGCCAATGTAGCATGCTTCAAGAAACTTTCTGCTAACCTGCCTGAAGACCTCTGTAGGAGTCTTTGCACTTCTTAATGATTGATTGGAGCATACGGTAGTCAACATTAGACTGTCCGTCCAACGTTCCTTCCTCCCTGTCACGGTTTGGTACCGCGCATACCTTGCCAAAGGACCCGGCCGCCTGGTTTCGCTGTCCGAACTAAATGCTGCTTAACTTTTGACCCGGCATCCCATCATCGCGTCTTTGGCACTTTTTACCTGCCACCATCCACGAAGTCGTGTCTAATCTCTGGGTGCGACTTCAAACACGTTTGTAACCACCTCTATTTTGAGCCATCTTCACAGTTAGGTAGGCGAGCACGGCGAGTAAGAGGGCGCAAAAGAAAAAAGGTGCGTACAACCGAATCACACTGTCTATGTCACTATCCATTTCGTGGGCAAATCAGCTGGCAATCCCACACATTCGCACGCGCTCGGAATTGGACTAGCGTACCGTATCACAACCAGCGCGATCCCGTGTCAATCTCGGCAATGTTCCGCGCTTAGTCGTGCTTTCTGGTATTGCATGAAAAAAAGGAGCATGAAATTTCAACATGCTGCCTTATTGATGCATCCTTTTCTCTCATCACGATTTTTCCAATTTTCACAGTATATTGCAGAGGCTGAGAAGCTGACAATTCGACGATTGCAATTCTTCCAGATACACTCCCCAACCTGATTTCCTCTCGCATTTGGCCACCACCGACACCGAAGCGAGAGAATCGCCAAAGGAAACGTGGTTGTCTCCGCGACCCATTCTCGACAGCTTTTCGCCGTCTATACTACCATTAGAGGTCTCAAGAGATCCCATCTGTGAGTCGCTTCTCGCGCCTACCTATATCCAATGCGGGAGCCCGGAGCGCGTCTTAGCACCGGGATAGGCGAACAGGTCGCGTCGGGAGCGCACGGATTGTAGTGGAAACCTGGTTTTCTGGCCACACTTGCGAGGAAGACCTTGGGGGCGATCAACAAAAGTTCCACGGTTCCCGGATCGCTATCATCAGCCGACAGCCCAAGACACGTCTAGCTCCCCTTCACGCGCCTGGATCTACCTGGCTGACACCTCCAGGCAAGCACAGGAAAACGAACGACAAGCCGGTCGAGGCAGTTCTCAATGGGATTGACGATGGCTCAACATCGCCAGGCTCCTCGCCAATTCAAAGAAGAGCCCGGACATGACTCGGTAAGTGGCACTTTTTCGTCCTGGAACTGCCTCTATCAATGCAATGAGCCCACCCCATATTCGGCACTGCCGCGTCAAAATATTCGCTGTCATGTCGTGCCAAGCGACTCGTCCTTGCGGTAGTACCGCTTGGGCCTTCGCAGCTGTCTGGCGAACACACGCGGTTCTGTGTGCTCGTCCGTACCGCTTGCCTGGATCGAGTTGATCTCGACAAGCGCGTATGACAAGATCTCAAAAGAAACCATAACTCCCTTGTTGTCCGTTATTCCCTTGCCCTTGACCCTGCTGCTGGGGTTCGCAATCGTTCCAGAAACGGCGCACGCCTGCCCGCAAGCTTGGCTGGGGGGGTAATTGCTGGGAATTACAGGGGGCCGCTCTGTTTCACCAGCAGCCAGGGCTCCGGTAATATGCGACAGGGGGGCTACGCCAGGGCGCGCAGCACTTCCGCTCTGGAGGAAATGGGCTGCACCACCGGCAAGGGCATGCTGGATATGCAATTACCCACACAACGAGATGCTAGCCAAAGTTGGCGGCACTGCTGCAGAACACATCATCCGACCCATATTGGTCTATCGAAACGATTGCATCCAGAGCTCACGCTTCGTTCATCGGCTGCTCACCGCGGCGTGCTTGCCCAATGGCACCAGTCCGGCACAGGCCCTCCGATCAATGTGGCAGATCACTGAGCAAACATGGCACGGCCACCAAACGGCGGGCACATGTCGATGGGAGCAGATGCCGACACCCAGTGGTGGAAGATACATGCGCTTGCCTCCACTCCACAGTTTCCCCCACCCGTCCAAAACTGGTGGGCATGAATGGCGGACTGATCTAGCGATCGAGTTCCCTGTCGCCACAGATTTGCGAGGGCCTCATTCCACATGGAGAGTCAGTGCTCGGGATCACTTGAAATTACTCGTACAACGGCGGTCTCTCACAGTCGAGGGATCCCCGGTGCTAGTCTTGTTGCGTGGAAGAGTCAGTTGCACGGTTAGCCGGCGGTGCTGGAGGCGACACACCGCTGTAAAGTGGGGCTTGCGCTATGTGGATAGCTCGTGCTTTGTCACTTTTCGCTCATGCCGGGTTCCACCAGTCGCAGGTTTTCTCCGAGCATGACTTCGCGCAAGTCCCACCTGCCAGTACACGCTGCTGCAAATGTCATCCCAATTGACTGAGCGGGGAAAGCACCCGCCTGTCATCCGCAAAGTGCTGGAGCGAACGTAAATCCAGTCCACCCCAAAAGTCTACATCGTTGACCTGCTGTTTCAAGCGAGGCAGTCTGGAAGGATGCAGTGGAAGGCCAACGGTCGGAATGACCGGGGGGAGGGGACATGCAGCGAGAAGGATGCAGGCGGGACTGGGAACCACATTTCGGGACAGCTCTCAAGGGCAGGGATTGGATGTTGAAAGCCGATTGGACCCGCATACTCACCGCCCCTTACCCCCTGTCGGAGAAAAGAGCATCGTGAGAGGCGGCAGCCTGTCAGAAAACATCCAGAGGTTTGCCCTTCAGTTGCTAGCTTCGGACGGCCATTCCTCCTTGGGCAATAGTCGTGCTACTCGGGGCTCCAGTATTCCTGCCATTGGTCATTTCATCTAAAATGCTGCCGTTGCCCCCTGTTTCTCGTTTCTCATCTGTCCCTTGAACCCCGTCATCCTTGGCGCATCTTCCCCAAGACACCCACACCTTGCCAATTTTCTTCATCTCTCGTTGAGAACCCCGGGCTTGTTTCTCGGTGTTCACTTTGGCCGGTCTGGACAGAGTGCGGGAGAGCGAAGGCGTTGTTGGGCTTGTATCCCCAATTCTCATCCCGCCCCGTAACTCCAACGCCCCCTATATCAGAACCACCCAGGCATTGTCGTTCCCCTGCCCAGCCCCCGGCTGCGTTGTTATCTACCCTATCTCTACCATTTCCCATTGAGGCACCCTGGCCGGTGCTCTCTACACTACCTAACCGCGATCCCCACAAATTGCGACTTTGCCAATTTTTTTATCCGATTTGGGCCAGGATCGATCCTGCCGGTCTCGCTTCCTCATCCCAACGCTTCAAATTTGGTTAGTGGCCCTGTTGCTTCCATTGCCTTGCACGAGCAATCGCTGCGCAATTGCCAAAGTATCATACACGGTCGCAGAGAAAATACCAAGTGGGAATCTCGAAACCTCGGGAGACGATTCCGAGCCTTTCTTTGTTCCACTCCAGGGTGGGTAGCATCGCCTCCCTGGCTCCTCGCAGGCGGTTTGGATGCCGCGTGGAAGGGCCTTGTCCTACAAAATCCCAACCCAAATCCCCGAGGCTAGCCCGCCTCAACCGTGGGTCCCTCGTCCTTCTTTCAGGGGACCGACACAACGTCTCGCTGCCCAGTCCTTGCAACGCGGTCTCCAGCGGGCAGAAAAAAAGCACAACATCCCCAGACGCGTCTCAAGGCGCTCCAGGAAACACATGGTTTTGATCTCGAAAAGAACCCTGTACCGTGAGGACTAATGGTCGTCTCCTCTATGCAGCATCACACCCACCATCAACAGCAGGGTCCTGTTCCGCCCCATTTGCAACAGTCTCGACCCCCGAGCATTGTTCATCAGCCGCATCACAGCCAGACCCCGGCCCAGCAGCAACAGCAGCAGCAATCGCACCAGCCGCAGCACTCGGGCGCGTACTCGTCGGGACACTCAGTCTATCAGCAGCAGAGCCAGGCTAGCAGTTCGCAAGACCATACCCTGCCGTATTACGCGCATCCAAGCCCGTACAGCACGCCGGGTGCAACAAGCGGATACACGTCCGCAGGTATGTTTGCGTATGACGCGTCTATATGAGAGAGAGCTGAGTTGACGCGCCCTTACAGACACAGGAGACATGATGGCTGCCACAATGCCAAGACCCTACCCGCCAATATATCATACTCCCCAGTCGAATTCACCTGCGTCGGTGGCTTCACCTTCTGGCCATGATCAGCAGAGGAGCATGTACGGCCCGCCTCCTTCGCAATTACATCAGCAGTCGATGTACTATGGGGCCCCTCAACAGCAATACTCGTCCATGCCGGCGCCTGCGCAGTCTGCGTATCAACATGCCCAACAAGCTCACCAGACCATGAGTTCGCAGCCTAGCATGATGATGTCTCATGCGCCTCCTCAACATCAGATTAGCCAGCACGCGCCGCAACATGCTCAGTCGGGGATGACGGTCAGCCCGCGTCCAGACAAGATCGATACTCATGCCATGAACCAACGGATATCACAGACTTCCGCACCTGTCGGTATGGGGAGCGCGTCATCAACTAGCCCTCAAAACGGCGCGCCACTGTCGACGCCCACCGGTTCTACGTCGGGGGTGAACCCAAATGCTGCCCCTGGGCCTATCCCTGCGACGACACCATTGGTGGTGAGGCAGGACACGAATGGCGTGCAGTGGATTGCATTTGAGTACTCGCGGGACCGCGTCAAGATGGAATATACAATCCGCTGCGACGTTGAATCGGTGAATCAGGATGAGCTGTCGGCCGAGTTCAAAACCGAGAACTGTGTGTATCCCCGCGCGTGCTGTCCGAAGGACCAGTACCGCGGAAACCGCCTGCAGTATGAGACTGAGTGCAACACGGTGGGCTGGGCACTCGCCCAGTTAAACCCGGCACTCCGGGGCAAAAGAGGCCTGATTCAACGGGCCGTGGACAGCTGGCGCAACAGCAATCAAGACCCCCGATTGAGGAGCCGTCGCGTGCGCCGCATGGCCAAGATGAACTATCGCAACAACAAGACGGGCTCGACCACTCCGCACCCGGCCCACATGGCCGGCGGCCCCGCGGCCCCAGGGTCGACAGGCATGACGACGCCGACCGCCATGGGGGCCGGCGCCGGCTCAGCCATTGGCAAGCCAGGAATGAACAACATGGCGTCGCAGTTACACCACCATGGTCAGCAGGATGGAAGTGCTCAGGGAGGAGACGAAGTCGGTATGTTTCACCAGATGGCCTAAAGCGCGCGCGTTGTTGTGATTAAAGTGTGATACCTCTTCAAACCGCCTGTTTACATGCGCCTGCATTCTTGGACTTTTTATTCTTGGGTTGTTGTTTGGAATTTTTTGGGAAATACTCGCTCGTCGTCCCCTTCTGTTTGGTTATATACCGGCTCGCAAGCATCGATATTCGAGAGCGGCTCTCACTTGGGCGACAACAGGAACCTGGTACAAAAAGAAAGATCTGTACATTACAATAGTCGCGTTTGCTGTTAGTCTTGTTTTGCTGGTTTTCGGTCGTCGTTCAGTCGTCTGGCTGCTGGCAAACGGTCTGCATTGCATTCTTGCTCTGCACGACACACTCATCAGCATCGCTCGTCACATACCAACCAGCACCTTCTTCATCATCACGCTCTGCATCGTCCCCGAGAAAATCGGGGTTGTCTCCGACAGGGTCCTGACTGAGATCATGGTACCTCAAAGATGCGCACCATATGTATCCCGAGCGTTTTGCCGCGTCGTTTGGAACCTTGCGAGTCGTTCGTCCTGCTGTGCTGGCCTGGTTTGGAAGTATCACACTCACATATGCGACGCGCGTGCTTGCGGCAAGGCCAGGAAGAAGAATCCCGGACGCGATGAAACCGTGATTTGTTAGAGAGCGCCAAGCTGACCAACCACGAATTCATAGGGGCCGGAGAGTACATAGACGATCAGCAGCACCATCATCACCACCAACCCCCGGCACAGCCAGGCACGGACGAACGCCCGGCGCACGTCTTTACCGGCTACGGCTCTTACAGCGGTGCCCCGCATGGCGCCTCATCAGTCTCGTCGATCCACGACAATCTCAATGGGTCGCCTCACGGCAGCGGCGGCGCCATCGCCGCCCGCCGTCCGAGCGCCTCGCGAGGCTCATCGCACGATGGCCCCGAGGATCTGTTCCCAGACATCCCCGAGGCGAAGAAGCGCAAGTTCATCCTGGTCGAGGATAGCGATCGCCAGAGCCGCTTGCGGGTGCGCGTCACACTTGACGGCGTCGACACGCGTGAGATTCCGGACAGTTTTCGCAAAAGCAGCAGCGTATACCCGCGCTCGTACTTTCCGCGTGAGATGCAGAGCCCGCCGCCGAGCGCGACGGGTAGTAAGTTCTTCACTGATGACGTGAGCGACGTCGAGGATGACAGGACCACCGAGACTGAGGGCCGTCGGTCCGGGCGCGGTGGCGCTGCCTCGAGGCGCGGGCGCACCATGGTAAAGGTGCCGATGGGTGATGGCCAGGAAGGGGAGGTGGCGATCCCGAGGACTCGAAAAGTGTTCAGGGGCAAGGAGGTGCGACTGAATGACCTGGGCTATAGGATGGCGTGGCTGCAGAGCAGAGTTTTTGCAGGGCGGACCGTATTCCTGCAGAGAGCTTGTAAGTGTTTTCCGTGAAGAAAATTCGTGCGTGTTCAGAAATACTGACATGAAGCGCAGTGGACTGCTACAGGAACAAGACGCGGAGCGCCATGGAATCGGTCATGCAGGACGTCAAGACAACGGCGCCGCATTATGAAACGCGCGTGGGCAAACGCAAGTGGCACGAGCGCATGCGCGGTGGCGAGAAAGAAGAGGAGTCATGATGCGAGCGGACGGTGATGGTGATGACGAACAACGACGACGACACGGAGTGAAAGGGATGAATAGACGGTATCCGCAGGGACAGTTGCAGTTGTACTCACCAGACATGTCCGGTGCTCGCGGGAGCAAGTTTCTGGCTTTTACGGCCTTGTCTGGGTGATGTTGTCAGACGGGGAACACTCTTGGGGTACATACTTTATTTTTCGCATGAAGGTCCGTCGCCAACATGCTATGGGCTAATCAATACGATGGCGGCAACGGTGTATGGCTAGTCAGCACATGAGAACGATTTGGGGGGCTGTCTGTTTGAGTACTAAATATGTAAGTAGTCGGTGGTGGAGTGTAACAAAAGTCAAGGAGTACATGGAAGAATATAAATAAATAAACGCATGTGAGGGATACTGATGGGCTCGCTGCCATGTAATGCGGAAGTGCCCAAGGGCCATACTGGTAGTTGGTGGTGAAGCCGGGTTGGACTCAGAGTAGCAGCTGCAAGACAGAACCTTGGGGCTATAACTGACAATCGGGAATGAACGCACGAGTTGCACAGGGTATTAACAACAGACATCCGGGGAAGCATTCAAGGTCTGGCGTAGCCAATGGGTTGGTTGCTAGGTCAGGGGCCAGAAGTTGGCCATGCCTTGACATCGTTCACTCACTCCCCTGTCAGCCACTTTGCGACTGCTGCCGGGTCGGCCGCGTTCTCCCTGGACGACTGTCAGCCCTTATTTCAAGGATTCTGGGTTCAAGGAGAGCTGAATGATGCTGGTCCCTGGACACTCTCGGCACTCCTTGCAGCAACCTATCTCCCTCGGGGGAGGAAATAGGTCCTTGTACTTGTCCAGGCTCACACGTTCCCTCGTTTCTCGAGATCGGTTCTCAGGAGAACATCGAGACAGGAAGGAAAAGAGATACAGCTAACATCAGCAAACACTTACCAATGCTCAACCGCCCTTCCCTCCTGGTCAAACCTCCTGTCACCAGACATCATCAGTCATATACTCTCCGAGTCGTTGCGCGGGTACAGGGACAACCTTGTTTGGTTCCAAGGAGGAAAGTAAACAAAGTCGGCTTTGGGGGAACATACCACAAACCACAAAAGGGCACCGCAAGGACTCCCCTCGACCTCTTCTTCACCGATCCAACCTTGTTCTCCTCCCCGTCACCATCACCATCCATTTGCCCATGCTCCCCCTTGGTCTCACCAGCCCTCAAAACCCCCAAAACGCACCCAAACACCCCGTCGGCCCCGACCGTGATACTCTCAACGTCCATGACCAGCGTTTCCCCCGTGGCAGCCACCAGGGCTTCCTCATGCACCTGGCAAGCCGCGACCCCGCGCAACGGTGCCCGCGGCGGGGAGGTCAGGTCCCGGTCGGCTGGGTGAAGCACCAGCTCAGGTGCGGCAATCTCAGAGATCCTTCGCACGTCGGCGTACAGGTAGCGTAGGCGGTCCGTGGGCGACTTTAGGTTCTCACAACTTGAAGGCTGAGGTGGGCTGGGGACGTGGGGCATCTTCAAGTCTTTCCGCTTGGAGACTGGGAGGGAACAAAGATGATCTTGTCGTGGTTGTTGGGTGAGGAGGAAGAGGCAACGGGTTGACGGTCTGGCTGGCTGGTTGGTGGTAGGAGAAGTCCAAGGGGTTGGTGGCACTCACTAGGTCTCGGCTGGGGAGTGAGGGAGGGACTGAGTGACAGGGTAAGAGGCGATCAAGATATAGCTCTTCCTGGAGAGGAGGGCGAAGTCGGAAGGTATGCATGTTGGGCTCCAAGGTGGTTGTGGTAGACTGGTAGTGCAAGATACTGCCAACCTGACGGGTGGGGTGCGATCCGGACGTCCGATGGGTGGTGAGCGTGTGGCTTCTACTCACAATACTTAAGGCGGCAAGGAAAATAAATCGGCAAGGCTATTTGCATACTTCAACGCCGTGTTTGCCCGGTTTCAAGCTAACTCTGCGCAGAAATGTACATGTATATATGTAGGTCGTCGTGTCGGTTGATGCAGCTCGTTCAACTCCCTAGGTAGGTACCATGTATTGTACGGAGCTACTCTCCAGTTCAACACCTACTCTAACTTGACGGGATTGGCCCCTGGATTGCTCAGCATATAAATGTGAGACAACTGCAAGATACAACTCGGTGAAGGGAGTCACTTATTGTAAGTCTGTCTCTGTTTAAACAGTCTCTTGGATTCGACCTCGTCTGTGGGAGGCATGCATCTGTTCAACAACTTCAGCTTTTCCAGGGAGTCACCAGGCCAGGTCAATAAAGTTGAGCTACGACAGCAAGCAGATGAACGCCTGACAACTTCTACCGTCGCGGACTGCCTCTCGTGGTATGGTCTCAGTGTGGCATATAACGACGCATGCCGCCTATAATTGGAAGAGAACAATCCAGGATTATATTGGCCATTGGATGAGCTCTTTTGTTTACGCCGACCTCTGAGAATTTCAAGTTGCCCTTATTTGCCCAAGTAAACATCTATCATGAATAGGTTCAACCGTTACCCAACCTTACATTCCAGTATATGTAGTAGTATTCCAGAGGCATCTTTTCTCTCGTAAGTGTCTCTGGAACAGAGGAGCAGCTATAAGACTAGGTACCTATTTAGTACATCCAGTCTCTCCAGATTCAAAACTAGATGATAACAACGCGGATCAGCCGCTTAACCACATCTCGGGTAACGTTCTTGAGCGCTTTCATATTCTAGAAACCCAGCTACATAACCAGAGCAGATATGCTTCAGACTCAAACTGGTCTTAGTAAGTAGGTAATTGTTAGCTGAGGTTCAAGGACAAGAGACCCTGTAGTTCCATCTCGGTGCCATTCAGCTTGGTGATACAAGGTGATGTTTCCCAGAACCAAACCCTCATGTAGTGCAAATAGGTAAGGGCAGCCGTTCCAAAAAACGTTCAGCTTACCCCCTTGAAGGCTGAACCAAAGGCACCAGTAAAATACGAAGTAAAAGTTAGTACAGTACAGTATTTAACACGTACCTTACATGACCCATATAGGGGTCAGGTACGGAGCTACGTCAACCAAAGAGCCCTCACTGGCCCTCACTTATGAGACGCGATGCTCGTCTTTGGTCAATCTTCCTAGAATCTCTGGGCACATCGACTACGGTATTGTACATACATACAGTACGAAAGATGCACGTAGTCGCTGAGCGATGGCCCCCTCACCGTCAAGGGCTCGGGGTTGGGCCTATCACAGAGCTTCCAAGTGGTTTGGCGCGACGATAGACTGCTGCTGCTAGTGTACTAGTTTCCAGCTGAGGCTCTTCGAGAATCGGGATGTCCCGCAACTGGGGGCCGTCTGGTCCATTGCAGGTCCCCGATCGAGTGGCAGGCACTCTGCCCTGGGACCACGGCATCAACTGAGTTACCCAGGCCTTTACATTCAAACTCTTAGACGGGCAGAGACTTGCTACGTTAACCACGCACCGGGTCGACAGTATTCGCTGTTGAGTTGCTGTTCGTCAGTAACGTCATGGACAAGCAACAAAGAGTCACTTTCACCGTCAAGGAGATACCTGGGGAGAAGGAGAGCGAACAGCCTTTCCTGTCGTCCCCGGCAACTGGACAAGTTCGACCAAGCGGCACATCCGGTGTCGGGAGCATATCTTCGGTTTCGGCCCCTTATTATAATGCTGTGACGCCGGCACAACCAGGCCCCGGCCCACCGTACCCGGCCTACGCGCCGTATCGCCCTTATCCAGCCACCCGTGCGGGCTCCTACGACTCTTACTCCGCGCCCTATGCCAATTGGGTCCCTATGCCCCCTTTTCCGGGCTACAAACCCTCGTCGACAGACAGTCCTAATGACTGGAGCCCCGATGGAGGCGTCGTCGCTCCCAGCACCGGGCCTGAGCCGCTACCCTTTGGGCCTTATTACGAGAAATACGGACTGCCACACGATCTGCTGCCATATCCGTCTCCTGCCGGTCCAGCGTATGGCTACCCGATCACGCTACCCGGCCCCTCAGACACCTCGAGGCCGAACGACAATCCCGGTACAAAGATGCCCGATGTACCCGCCAACCCTGCTTTCGTCAGCGCACCCAGCACCGAGCTTGCACCTCCGCCGCCACCACCACCACCACCACTACCACCTCGACCTCTAAATACTTCAAGGCCAAATGACAGTCCTGGTACGAGGATGCCCGACGTGCCTGCCAACTCCGCCTTCGAGAGCACGTCCGGCTCTGCCGTCCCTATCCCGCCACCGCCGCCGCCACCGCCTTCAGGATTGCCAGATGTGCCGCTTAATGGCATCTTCCGAACCCCCATGTACGGATATTACTATGGTCCCTCCCCGCCGGTCCCTCAGGAAGGCGCATCGCAGCCCAGCTCCAAACCCGAGTCAGCGACAGCCAGCAGTGATCCGCTACTAGGAGTAGCCCCCGACGGCGCCGCGCCCACGCCTGCTCGGCCGACAAGTCACTGCACCTTGCTTCTCTGCGTCTACAGAAAGAAGGACACTAAGTGCCGCAGCTTCCGTCTGAAAGTCGACCGCTCATGGACCGATGCCCAGTTCTTCACCGAGATGCGCAACGCCTATTTCCGCCAGCTAGGCGGGAGGAGGGTCAAGTGGCTCAGCCTGAGGGGCCTCAAGGCCATTATCCCGCTGCACGTAAGCAACAATTACCTTACCGTAGTTCTGCTGTCCCATTGACCGAGCTGACTGTTCCCCTGGAAGGGGAAGCGTATGTACAGTATGGACCCACTACCCGTCCGGTTCGGCTGCTCGACTCGTCGGCGCTGGCGCTGCAGGAACTGTGGTATGCGTTCCGGCGGCCCGAGCAGATCGAGTCCCAGGGGGAGTGGGTAGACTGGGCGTTTGCGCTCAAGGCGCAGGCCAACAACCGCTACGGCCTCGAGTTTGTTGAGGGCTGGAACGGCTCCAAGATCGCCGCCCTCGGCGTCACCCCGCTGCTGGGCACCCTCGTCGCCTCCATCGCCTGGGCCCGCGCCGGCGGTGACCTGCAGACCGTGTTTACCGTTACCAGCTATGCTTTGGCCGTGTGTACTGGTTAGTAGTAGTCATCTCCCGATCTTAAACGCTACCTCTCCTCCTCATTTGTTTGTGCTTTTATGGACACTCCGGATGACTGAAACGCTGTCTTGCGATTTAGGTGGTTTGGCGCTGGTTGCTATCCTCAGTCAGGTCGGCGATTGAGAGGAAAGATGACGCTCTGGATTCAGCGGGTTTCAAAAGAAAATGGCGATTGCTGAGCTTGCTAAAGATGATCATGTCTCTCGTTTCAACTTTGAAAGGTGTTGGTTGGGTGATCGCGCACAGGGGGCCACTTTCCTGGCACCACTGCTGGGGGTCGGCTCGGTAGGCAACCACTCGAGCCACTCCAGCCCCACAGCCACTTACCTGATCCAGCCTTCCACGGCCCACGCAGGACTTGCGCCCTCTTAACTCACAACATCAACACCAGAAACATGTTGCTTCCCATTACATGTTAAGGAGCATCAGGAATGGTTCGTCCTTCCCTAGAATGCGTATGTGTTATAGGTATTGTACATACAAGTATCAAGAGCGACTTTGAATCCAGGCGTGGTAGCGGGGTACGTCACAGCATCGTCTCGACCACCGGCTTAGCATGGATTACCGGTACTTTCATAGGCCCATCGTCAACGAGCTGGGGCTAAGTGATCGTTTGCACTTTCTCCAAGGCAAGGCGTCAACGTCAACTAAAGTACACTTACATGGTGCATCGGCTCTGCTTCGATTCTGTGATTACTAAACTAATGAAGCAAACAGTTACTGGGATTGGAATGGCTAGACTGAAGTCTTTTTGGCCAAGAAATATTTTACCTGTTCAGCTCTGAGCTGGTTAGGTACACAAGCGCCCCGAATCTGCACTGCCCGTCATCTGGGAAACTCGAGGTTATCTCCCCAGATCAGGCTCGAGTTCCTTTGTCTCCGGCTTCTCGACAACCACGGTGCTCAGGGAAACCTCTTGTCTTGTCTCCTTACAGGTAGCATGGCCCATGTACAGCATGCTGACCCAGATGCCACCGTCTGGCAGCCCTACCAATACTCCCCTCTTCCCGATGGGAGCATCCGCCTGCTCGTTTTAGCTCCTTCTGAGGATCCCGAAGTCCCCATATGCTGCCGTCTCGTTGAGTACAGCCTACGAGGGCCGAACGAGAGGCCTGATCTCTTTGAAGCACTCTCATATGTTTGGGGCGGATCAAACAAACCCTGCTCCATCTCAGTTGGATCCGGATTCAGCCTGGCGATTACGGCGAGCTTACACGCAGCGCTGCTTCGCCTTCGGGGCCGCACTTTCGAGAGAGTCATGTGGATTGATGCCGTCTGCATCAACCAGGGAGACTTGATTGAGAGAGCCGCTCAGGTCCGGTTGATGGCAGAGGTCTATTGCCGGGCCTGCCGTGTCATCATCTGGCTTGGCGAAGCCGAAGGCGGTGGCAGCGACCAAGCCCTGAGCGTGATACGAGCGGCGGCTACAAGTGAAGAGAATACCAGATGCTTGGACAACAGAACTAGTAGCACGCAGGCGATTCTCACGCTGCTCCAACGGCCGTGGTTTCAACGCATATGGGTAAGGCTACCTATCTAAGTGTCTTCCATTAGTTTGCTGCGCGCGCGCATCGACACTGTCTAGACCAACTACTAACCTTTCAATATGGATTAGGTTCTCCAGGAAGCCGCGGCGGCCCGGCAGATTGTGGTCAGGTACGGGGCTGACGAGCTCGATGGATACGCCTTCTATCTTGGGCTGCGATCCTTACAGCAAACTAGTGGCGACGATTTGGCGCGACTCTTGAATCTGGTACGGCCAGCCACCTATCTCATGAGCGGCTCCATATTCCGGCCGCGGTCATACAACATTCGTCCTTCGGGCGAAGCGTCCCTGGACATAAGGACACTCGGCGAGTTGATCGACATGTATCATGCTCACCAAGCCACAGACCGCCGGGACAAAGTTTTCGCGCTGCTTGGCATGAGCTCCGATGGTACAAGTACCCTTGACGAGGCTGGTCTGTCGCCCGATTATACCCTTTCCTGGGGGGAAGTCATGCGTCGCGTCGTCAAGTATATCCTCGGTAATCATGTCAAGATTGACACATGGGATGACGAAGAAATGGCGGTGATCAGGGGCAAGGGATACATTATCGGCCGTATTTCTTCTGTGGAAAATGCCATTCATTCCAACGCGGGCCAGACTGTCGACTTCGTGCCGATACACGGCGTCGCGAGCCGTTATACTCTCCACGCCCTGGCAAAGCCCCTTCAGCGAGGGGATCTTGTCTGCCAGCTTCAGGGTGTCTTGAGGCCGGTAGTCATCCGATGGTGCAAGGGTTATTTCTGCGTCATCATGATCGCAGGTCCTTCACTCACGGGAGATGTAAACATAGCTGGAAATGATATTGCGCAACTAGGCCTGCAGACTGACTTTTGGCTCCTGTGGGACTGGCGACGGTTTGGAACAGACTGTGGAGCGCCTGATCAGGAACAATTTCCTCTACTTACAACGAGCCGGGTGGCTGGGAGACCGCACAGTGCCATAGCGGACGTGCTGCACAAGATATCGAGGAAATGGGATACGGGATTGACGTGGGAGAATATCTGGGGGTCCCAGACAGCGACTTCCATGTTTCAAGAAGCCGTGGAGGAATACGAACAGGCTTTTGGGCATGGAGGCCAATATGGCCAGCCCGGAGGGGAGGAATTCAACGAGGGGCAAAAGTGGGCGCACGAGGCCGCAAAGTCGATCAGAATGTTGGCGCACGCAATGGTACAACGGTTATCCGATTCCACCGATCAGAGAGCGCTACCAGGCGACGAGATATGCGTTGAGGAGACGATAACAACGACTGGCGCAGACTTACTGAGCGCCGTGGCGTGGATGAAGGAGGAGGTTTCCGAGATCATGACGCCTGGAAAAACTGCAGAAAATATGTTGAAGCAGGCAATTCACATGAGGATGCAAGCAAAGGGGCCGAATCACCCGGACGTTCTGAAAACAAAGGAAAAGCTCGCAATGAAATGCTGGAGTATTTGGCCAGAAGGCAAAGCGAAAGAATTACTTGAGGAAATAAGGGGGGTGAGAACACTTTTACAGGGGAGCGAACATCCAGATCTACTCTCAACCATGGAGAGAACCGCCGAAATAGGGCCATACAAAGGGTGGGGGAACTCTTGTGCGCAATTCAACGAAATGATAGAGGCGAGGACGCGGCTACACGGCGCTAGGCGCCCCGACACACTGACCAGCAAAGAGAAACTAGCTTACTGGAAAGTATATCAGGCGATCCAGCAGGGCTGGCACTCGTTCATCGAGACGGTGGACTTGTTCAAGCAGGCAATAGAAGAGAGAATGCGCGTCCAAGGGGCCAGCCACCCTGACGTGGCTAGAATCGTCGGCCTGTTCGAGCGAATGGTCAGATGGAATCTCCTTCCAAGACTTCACGTCAAAGAACTGAGAGATATTGAAGTTTTGGCAGGCTGGATGACATACTACGCTATACTTGCGGGGCAGGAGAAAATCTCGCAAGCATCTTTGGCCATGGTCGCAAGATACGAGAGTTCCGATAGGGTGAGGCGACTGCTTGAGTATGAAGGGAAGGAGTTGCGCATCACAGAACCTATTGTTGAAGCAGCGGCGGGGAATCAAGTCCATGGCGTGAAGGTTATGAAACTCCTGCTGGATATTCGAGGGGACGAGATTCCAGTTACGGAGAATCTCTTGAAAGTCGTGGCGTTGAATAGTAATCCGAGTCATTGCGCAGAGATTGCAAGGCTCCTGGTTGAGAGAATGGGGAGCAAGATTCGGGAGCTGATTACAGACGAGGTACTAATGACCGCAACGCGGAATAAATGGGTACGAGATTCCCTCAGCGGCGTAGAGTCACCATTCGAGGTCTTTCTAAACCTGAAAGGGAAGACGAGGATCACAACGGACGTGGTTCGGGCGGCGAGAGAGAGCAGACACGAATGGCGATTGATGGAATATCTCAAGGGGCAAAGAGGCCGTGGGGTTCTGACTATGGACGAATTGGCACACCAGATGATTTCACGATATCCTCAAGTACCTTACTACATATAATTCATTGATGGCGTTGCCTCAGTTCTACTAGTATATAGTAGTTGTCGTCCCTTACATTCGTTGAGATATCATCATGTCGGAGCTGGGCAATGGATAGTTCCAAACCTAGAGCTTGAAGTAGACGATCTCTTCATTGATATGGTACCCGCTTTCGAAGACAATCTGCCTTCCGAGGCGATCTTAGGCTGGGAGTAAGGAAGATCCTTCAAGTTGACAAGATTATCGCCTGTGAGTACTAGTACCTAACTATAACTCGACTTCGGCTCGAACATGGTACGGATGATGGAGATGGCTCGAGATACTTCATGGAGCGCATGTGACTGTGTTGATATATGCCACCAAAGGCTGATCAGGAGCGAATTTTTTGGGCCACCGCGCAAGTTCAGACGGTCACGGTGTTCAAGAGGATATATGGAGGGGCAAAACCATCAACAAGTAAGGGCATTCAGCCCGATTCCTGTTCCGAGTCCCACTCCGCCCTTCCATGCTCGCCTGCATGGACATTCATTATGTGCATACTTCGTACATAAGCGACTTTACGCTCGGCCCGCCGCCGTATCAAGTTTCACCCGACAGGCTAAGCGCTCAAACCTGCCACAGTTCGGGTTTCCGGCCGGGCGAATCCACACCCGATGCGGGAGAGGGAAACAAGTGCGGTGTGGCAGCGGGAGTCCAGGACATGACAAATCGCCCAACCGCCCAGGGACAGGGGTATGAGACCCGCGCCACGGCAAGTACCTAGGAGGGGATATAGAGCAGAGTCCCGATGAAACAAGATCCGGGTTGCAAAACCCTTTGGCTGCCTGCCTCGCCTGTCAAGCTCGTCGGTCTTGTTTTCCTTACTCTTCTTCAAGCCAAATCACATGGTTAGGTAGAGGTAGTAGCAGGTTGGCAGGCAAGATTACATTGTAGCAAGCTAACCCAAGCAAAGCCCGTCACAGACCGGAAGGGTCGATTTCGCCGCCCCTTTCTCTATGACCACCAAGTCCACTACCAGCTATACTGATCCTTACCTTACCCCTTTTCCTGCCTCTCCAAATTCAGCATTAGTTGCTTGTATGCCGTGAACCTTCATAATCGCAAAGAAAAATGTCATAAAATCGCCATACTGACAACGACCACATCGCGGAGGCATAGGGGAGTAGCAGCGATGAAGCAAAAAAGATAGATAGAGGATCCAAAATAACGACCGAGAGCGTCTTCCAATTCTTTTCTAGAACAAAAAAGGGAGAAGATACGTTCTCGCCACTCAACCCCAATGGTTAACACCTGTCAACCATCCAGCAAAAACACCAACAGACCACAGATTACCTAGATGTAGAAAATAGAAAAGAATATGGTACACACTCCCGTCCGTCGACAAAACTATCAGCGCCAGCAGAGCCTTCGTACAAACAACGTGGACCGAGACGGCACGCCGGGCGAACGAAGGCCGGAAGACCAGGGTATCAAGAAGGCCCAGAATCCGTCAACCACGCGATGCCGACGGTTCAGAATGGGACTCGCGCCCCACTTTCTCTGGTATACCGGAGTCGGGGGCAACGGGTCCGTTGGCTTTTGCACGCGGAGCGGCGCTGTGCTGGAGGTCGGGTCAAGGCGGGCACATGTGCGGGAAACGAAAGAAGAAGGGGGCTCTCTAGGCGGCAGCACGGCATGCGGCTTCTTGCGCGTTGCAGTCGGCAACGGACGCCCCCTGGGCTTGCCCTGAGTTCACAGCGTTGGCGCAGCCATTGTTCTGGATGGCGCAGGCGCGCTGCACGGCCGCTTCCCGGTTGACGAAGGTGGCGCCGTTCACCGAGAAGGGCCGGGCAGCATCACCACTGTCTTCTACTGCGGGCGCCTCGACACCGCCAATGGCACCACCAGCATTAGCCCCAGCGTTGGCGTTGGCGTCAGCGTTGGCATTTTGACCGCCTTGCTGCTTGCCCTGGCCCCCTTGGTTCTTTCCTTGGTTCTTGCCCTGGCCGGCGTTGCCACCAGCGTTGGCATTGTCGCCAGCATTGGCATTGCCACCGGCGTTGCCGTTTTGGTTACCCTGGTTCTTGCCTTGGCCGGCGTTGTTGTTTTGGTTGCCCTGGTTCTTGCCCTGGCCGGCGTTGCCACCAGCGTTGGCATTGTCGCCAGCATTGGCATTGCCACCGGCGTTGCCGTTTTGGTTACCCTGGTTCTTGCCTTGGCCGGCGTTGTTGTTTTGGTTGCCCTGGTTCTTGCCCTGGCCAGCGTTGTTGTTCCCGGCGTTGTTGTTGTTGCCAGCGTTGTTGTTGTTCCCAGCGTTGTTGTTGTTGCCAGCGTTGTTGTTGTTCCCAGCGTTGTTGTTGCCAGCGTTGTTGTTGTTTCCGCCGTTGTTGTTGCCAGCGTTGTTGTTGTTCCCGCCGTTGTTGTTGTTATTGCCATTGCCATTACCGCAGGCACCGCCTACGCTAAAGTAACGACAATCTTCCTGGGCGCCACGCTGGGCAACAGGCATCACAATAGGCTGGTGGTTGGAAGCGCTGGTAATGGTGCAGCAACGGTAGCAGCCAGCAGGCAGACCGCCGTCCACCACAGCTTGGAGCACACCCTGACCGTTTCCGGCATCGTTGATCCCCTTGAAGAAGACGAATTGGGTTGGGTCAAGGGGCGTTTGGGGATTCAACGTGTTACCGGTATCCTGGATCGTGACATGAGTGTGGCCGATGATCTGACCTGCGCCGTTGAGATCCTGGGGGGCCGAGTAGTAGGTGCTCGTGGCGTTGGTGAAGGAGCCGAGCTGCATGTTTTGCACGTTGACAACGACGTTGAAGGTCGTGAGCGCTTCCAGATCGTCAAAATTGTTGGGGTTGGTAATGACGGTAGAGACCATCCGATTGACAGAGGGAATCTTGCCCATGGCTGCTCATAGTTAGCGAGGATTCTGACTCGAACAGGCTCGGTTCTACCTACGGATACCGTTGCAGGAGCCATCCCTGTTCTGCAGACCGTTGGTCAAAGTCTCGCCAGCGCAGAAATTGATGAAATTGGCGTTGTCACTGTGAGAACTGCGGTTAGCGACTGCAGGTCAAACTCTGGCTCCTGATCTGTTCGACGTACGTGGCAGAGTTGACCTGACCATCAGCGGGGACCGCGCCGTTCTGGCCGGTTGATTGCGAACCGGTCTGAATGGCGTTGGGGGCAAGGCAAGTCTCGGTGGCCCCATTATTGTTGCCCCCGTTATTGTTGTTGTTGTTGTTGTTATTGTTATTGTTGCCGTTGTTGTTGTTGTTGCCTCCCTGGTTCTGGTTGTTGTTGTTCCCGCCCTGGTTCTGGTTGTTGTTGTTGTTGTTGTTGTTGCCACCCTGACCGCCATTGAACTTTCCGTTGAACCTGTTCTGCCGTCGTTCCAACGCAATCGGGGACCTGTACTGATGAACCGAGGCAGCCTCGGCAACCATGGCCAGACCCATGAGGGCCGCCACCGCAGTCTTCATCAACATGCTGGGCAGATGTTCCTTTTCGAAACCGGCGGGTCGTCGAGAAGAAGTCGTCAAGCTCCGCGGGAGCCGTGTCGCGAATCGAGAGGAAAAGATGGTTCCAGACCGTCAGAAACAAGAGTATTGATGAAAGGAGTGGTTGGCGACAACTGGTGTCGACAATAAAGGTTGATAGGGATGTACAAGTAGGTACAACCCACGTCTGAAAGGAACGAATGGAAGAAGAAAACAAAGAAGACGACACACTACCGCCACACAGAGCAAGAATGGGACATGGTCAGAAAAGAAGGGCAAGACTGGAGTGGTGAGGCCGGTAAGGGCTATTATAAGGCTGCACGGCTCCCGGACTATCCAGCGAGGAGGATGTGGGCTGCGACGACGATCCGACGACAACGCCAAGGATTCGTTTCTTATGCCCCGGCACTGCCAAGGAGTTTCGACTGCCCAGATATCCCCAGCAACTCCAGGCAAGGGAACCATAAGGGAAGTATGGAATAAGGGAGACAAGGTAGCAAAAGACGGCGGTGCCAAGCCTTCCGCGACCAGGAACCCAGACACATGGCGAGCGAGAGAGAGCAAGGATTTGTTTTCTCCACGCTTCCAAAACGCGGGTGTGTGCAGGGCAGAGAAGAGACAGGGGCGTGATGTCAGAATCGTCTGACTGAGTAGGACAGGGAAGAGGAAAAGTCCTGTGTCAAACACCCTGATGAAAAAGACTTTTCACTACCTCCTTCCTAGGGCCAGCAGGGTCTGGTCCCTGAAGCAGGACCGTTCGCCACTACCGCTGGGAGGAAGATGTTGGGAACTGGCAAGAGCATCCTGTTGGGACTTTAGAGATCAGAATGCCGGAAACAGAAGGAGCGCCTTGGATCCTGCAAATAGGATTGGTGCGCTGCTGAGATGTCGTGCGTAGCTAGAGATCGGAAGAAAGCGACCTTCTTGGCCGATTTAGCCAGCCGCCGATGATCGTAGTAACCATAAGTGTAGCAGAGGCCTTCTTCGACGGCCAGGCAGCGAGACGCTTGCCCAACGTTCAGATGAAAGCGTTAGGCCTGCGTGCCCTGTCAGTTTGTGTGCTACGACACCTAGCGCAGGGAAAGGGAAAAGGTTCAGCGCCAAACTCAAATGTCGCCTTCTCCAACACCGGGATCTATGGGTTGAAAGTTGAGGCTGCTTCTGTGCCAGATGTCCACGGCAACCCTGACTCGTCCCAGCTTTTATCCAATCAAGAGGCCGGATCGCGCCGATCGCGCATCTTGTGTCTCGGGATGAAGCGCAAGCGAGCGAGCATTAACCTCCGCACCCCCTCCCCCACACCTTCCAATGCCCCACTTACCTTATCCACGCGCATTCTCAGCCGGCCAGAGCGATCCCTGACTTTCAAAAATCAACCCATATCAACCACCACCGGCAGGAACCCAGTCCAAGGTGCCGATTGACGGTTCCTTGTCAGCGGAACATCGGCTTATCGGCATGACGGCGAACATCAGGAGTACACCTTGCTGAGCCGAGGGGGAGGTGCTGCGAGCTCCGTGCTCGCCGCCCCCGCGCTGGTGTCGATATCCTTCCTCTGTATCAGAACTCTCCGCCGAGGATCGATTGAGGCAGTTTGCAGTATCCTCAGTTTCCCACTAACAAACCCTTTTGTGCGAGGACATATCACATTGGATGATGAGACTACTGTACGGTCTTCTCTCCAGCTGACTTGGGACTGCCGATTGGGTCGCCCTATCACCGCCGTCGATCCGAGACCTGAATTCAAGGGCGCCATCCGTTAGTTCTGTTGCACTTCGGATGGTTGGGCTACTGCAGAACTATGGGATTCAAACCAGACTAAAGTGTACCTTATGGTTCGTAGGTTTGTTCCTGGCAGTTTGGCAGAATGACACTCTTCCTGATCCCCCTGGATTTGGATTACGGGGTTCCATAGCCTGGATGACTTCGGTCTAGTGTACTTCGTACACAGGGCTGTCATCCCCACGTTGAGCCGCACGCCGCACACATGCAGCATTCAACACCGATGGTCTCTGAGGAACTTACCGCCTTGACGCTGATGCTACCCAGACTGTCCTTGCAGAAGCTCGCTCACAGGGTCTGGCAACGATATATGGACCAGGACGAAGTAGAGTAATAAAGCAACGAATATAAAGTTATGTCAAAGACCCGGCAAGGAATCCGAGTGCAACCTGACCGAAACAAGCTTGTTTTTAGGGGTTTGCCTACACTACACGAGCCTTGTTTCATTGCAATGTCCATCCCTGCCATTGATTCCATTGCCTCTCTACGGAGTAAGTTGGGTGCGTATCCTGAGGTACTCTAAACTCGAGGGGATGTCGGGAAACACGGCACACTTGAATGGCAGCTACCTAGGCTTCCTGATGTCACGGGGCGACAGAGGTTCCAAGGCAATGGTTTTCGTAACTCGAATTTCTGAGACTGCTGAGGGCTGGTGCTGACTACAGTACCCTTTTAGGAGTCGCCCCGTAAGGGCAAGCTTACCATATACTTGTAACCTTACGGTGACGGGACCCAACTTCAATTATATCGTCCCATATCTTCATCCTAGGCAGACAATTCAGGCCTACAGCCGCTTTCGAAAGTGTAAGATCGGATTACAGAAACAAGCGTCGGCAAGCGGGGAGAGGCTCCAAGCGCGATGCTCGGCGGCAAACGTGGTGAAGCTCACCCCTGTTCAGGATGAGACGACGCAACGCTCCTGGTATCTCCCCTCAGCTTCCCGCACCTCCCATTCTCCCATCAAGTAGATAATTTCTCGCTGCTTTGAAACGCTGCAGATTGTTCTCTAAACCAAGCCCCTAATCTTGTGCAGTTGATGAAGGGCCTAAGAAACGGAAAATATGCCGCTGACTGTCAATCGCTACGTTCACCTGTTCAGGCCGCAATTATTCGCATAATTGCCCCAATCGAATACCTAGGGGGGCAGAATACAGCGCTGGGTCTACACTTCAAGCTCCTGACGTTGTATGTTGCAATATCGGCAAACCGTGACCTGGGATCGCCGGAACGAAACAATAGGAACGGCGGATATGCTCGGCCAAGCCTGCTGCCGCCATCAACTCTCGGTGTCGCATCGGTTCGATGACGCTCAGCGGGAGATCACGCATGGGATGTTTGCTTCGCCTAGGCGAGGAGCACGTTTCCATCGCTCCTCGAATGTCATGCGCGATCATGGATGATGATCACTTCTCAAAAGGTCCCAATCAAAGACGCAAGATGCGTCAAGGTTCAAAAGATGTGCCGCTCCAACTACCGCTGGCGGGGACGATCCCTTCCTCGTCCTTAGATCCTGACTGCGCCGATGAACTACTCACAGACCCTACAGATCTCCTGGTGATGGCTGATTGCGCAAGCTCGAAACGATCAAGTCCATCCAGGCCGCCAAACGGTAACCCGCCTTCGCGATTTGCGCCTCCACTACGGGAGCCGCGGCTTCGTAGTACTTTGAGCCCAGTTCCTGGCCGACAATGGCATCTGGGCCTTGAGGTAGGACTAAGGATTAGACGGCGACAGGTTAGCCATAAGGAACTGCTAGATCTCTAAGGCAAGGGACCATCGTTCTGCTGCGGGAGATTCAACACTCACCAGTCGTGCAAACGACCGCGTTGCTCTCGGTTGCCCAGGACAGGGCTGTAGACCTTGGGTCCGACACGTTCGTGGCTTTCAGCCATTCGTCCTTGGCCGAGAGGAATTTGCCCTCGTTGATCTCCGTCGTGAGCACATCGGCCCAGCGCTTGGCCGCCTCGTAGGGCTTTCTGTGGATGCCGCCCACCAGTTTCTCCGGAATGCTCGTATCCCAGACGTGGTGTAGGTTGAAGTTCCTGCCATCAAACAGCACGTGGATGCCGTTACCACCCCGCGCAACGTCCTCAGTGTGCAGCGGCTGGTGAATGTCTCCAACAAAGTGCACGACAAACTTGGCCGCCATGGCGCGCTCCGAGACGTGCAGCTCCGTATCTAGCAGTCGGGTCGTGTAGTTGTGCAGCGCGCTCACGACGCAACCCTCCTTCTTGCAGTCGCGCTCGTAGTCGATGCCGCAGTACGTCGGCGGACTGTCCTTGGCGTCGATGAAGTGGAAGGGGCCCGTAAACCGGCCCCATCTGGTGTAACGGAGCGAGTCGGCCCATGTCGCAACGCCAGCGAGGTAGTGTTCGGTGTCGTTGCGGAGGAGGCCTTGGAAGAAAGCTGTTGTCTCATTCGACACAAAGTTGCTGGCGAGGTATGCCACGGTGATGTGCCCAAAGCCTGTTCAAGCCCAAGATTTAGCTTTTGGTCAGGCACAACGGGTCCACGAGCTATCTTACCGCCCCATGCCACCACCCCGGGCAAGGCTGTGACGCCCAAAGTTAGTAATGATATCCTCATGGTCGACCGGTTCGTCCGCTTCAAATTATGATATTGGAAATAAGGCTTTGGACGGTGTTTCTCGACAGTATAGCGTGCGGTATATTCTATCTCAACAGAAGAGATGAGAAAGACTCACGTCATGAGTAGTGTAGAACATCCCACTTTTGATGTCGACTTCTCAGTCAGCTGCGCAAGGCTGACCTTGTGCTCAGCCCGTCGCTGGATGCGAGTTGCCGGAGAAACGCGCCGACAAATCAGCGAGTCGTGTCGGCAATCTAGCCCCACGTGTCGCAACCAGGGTTTATCGAGGGTCAAGTGGCCGAGGTCTTCTTTGTCTTGCGACCTGAATCTCTCGACCGTCGCACGCTATGTCACACAATATGCTGAGATGGAGGTACGTATTGCCAACAGCAGTTCTAGGTATCTACCTGTATTTTCATTGCGTCTGAAGCGTATGTACAATACAACCCTTGTTTGTTAGTTGGCGCAATACTCCCCACCACTTCACCTTCCCTTCTCTAGCAAAGGTCTGAAGCCGCTGCATCCAACCAATCCGCCAGATTTGACCCACATCTCCTCGATCTTGAGGTTTCTCCCTAAGACAAGGAGGTCAATCAGCGATAGAACACTTCAAACTTCATCGAATTCAATCTGAATTGAAACTGAAGCTCTATGGGCTTAAGAGCCCTTCACTAGGAGGAATGCAAGTTGTATTGACGGTTTTTTCCTTATCTGTATATTTCGCCCCACCTGAAGTACCGAGCTAACGAACAAACAAGGGGGATATTGTAGATATCTACCTTAAAATCAGGGTCAGAAAAAAGATTTACATTTCTACCTCACATACGCGACTGCGTCTTACAACGCGTCTCCCTACATACCACCCACAACATTCAAATCATCACATCTTCGTCAATTTGAGGCTAAAATGCGTGGTTTCAGTATAGAATTGTCGCCCAATATCTGCTCTATCCATTGGAATAGGAAGCATCTTACTCCCGAGGAGCGGGCATCTATAGTTACCACGCGAATGGCAGGTATACCCCGCAGGGTCCTGGCCTAGAACTTTGAGTATAACGAAGCTACTATATCCTATACTTGCCAGCGCTTCTGGGCCTACAATACCGTTAAGACTACCCTACGCAGTAGCTGGCCTAAGAAGCTGAATGCTGCCTAGGTCTGGTATATAGTTTAGATAGTTAAAAGGGACCCCTATATTTCCTAGGCTTGCCTACTTGCAAGTAGCCTTAAGTGTATAGCTAAGAGCACCCTCTAGAAGGTCTTAGGCTAGCATTAGAAGTGCAAATACTATACCATCAAGCGAATTTAGCTTACAGTCGAAGGAGCAGCCAAGAGGCTTGCCTATACGTGTAACCTAGGGCGCAAGGAGGACAAAATGCTAGCGGTATAGCTCCTAGCGCAAGTGGTATCCTGGGCTGACCAAATTCAGGGGATTTACTCTGACGAATTGTCGGTCTAGACCGCCCTGGAGACAAAGAATAGCTAGGTTTTCCATATCCCAGAGCAGAAGTACAATAAAGAGGTCGTCAATATTACCAGCCACGTCAAGTCCAAGATCACTATCATAGTATAAGGGGCCATCTAGAAGGGAGGGAGGTCCCCGCTAGGCATCATGATCAGGGACTCAGCTTTTAAGAAGAATAGGTATACTGCCAACAGCTATATTGCAGCTCTGGAGGAGAGTTTGGCTCCCTACTACTCTCCTGAGAGGTTTTTTCTCCAGGATAACGCGAAGATCCACGTGGCCAGGAAGACGACTAACTGGCTGGAGCGGCACAGAATCTGGGTTCAGGAGCACCCTCCTCACAGCCCAAACCTCAACTCAATTGAGCACGTCTGGAAGAAAATAAAGGAAATCCTACGTAGGGACTTCCCTGGCCTACATTTGCTCAAGAAGAACGAAGGTAATATCGCCACGGTCGAAGAGGCCCTGAGGGTTGCGTGGGAGAGGGTGCCCAGGACCTTATTGACAAGGCTGATTGATTCCATACCTAGGCACTTAGCTGCAGTGCGCAAGGCAAAGGGTTGGTATATCAAGTATTGAAGGCCTGTCAAATAGCTTTAAATTGAACGTATTCTTGGGCAAATTGGCCTTAAATTGACTGCGTTATAGGTGTGTAAGTCAGAGTAGTCAAATTGGGGTGGAATGAGTAGGGTGAATGTAAACCTTTTTTCTGACTATAACTTTAGGTCAATGTGTTGACCGCCGATAAGGCTGCGTCTCGCGCACATATCACCTACAATACACTTTCTTGTAAACTACTGGACTGTGTGTTTGTACAGTACAAAATACTGTACCGTACTTACATCCACTTACATGATAGATGGCCAATGTGCTCTGTAATCAGCCGGCCGCCACTGGCTGATAGTGAACCGGCCCCGCGCCTAAGGTACTCCGTACTCTCGAGAGTCGACAGCATCGCAGAATGCGGGGTTTACCTCATAGGGGCCTGTCAATACCACCTGCTTTCATCATTTGCTCGCGTGTGTCCCGTGCATCGGTGAGTTCTCATGCAGGGTTTTCTCGGTGATGCAGATGCGCACTGCGATCTGTCCAATCAAACAGCAAGCCACAAACTGGGGTGAGCCGTCAATCATCGTGAGCCCGGGTTTGCAATATCTTATCTTTGCAGCAGATCAGCGCCGACCGATAAGCCACAGCAACATGCTCCTCTGAGTCTCTGACTACAACATTCAACTGCAGCCTGCACACTTGGAGCTCGATGGCAGGGCGGTAACTGTCCGTCACCGACGCCCTCAATTTTACCCTATATAACTCGTCAAACTTCTACCCATATACACGGAACCCGTTCCACGATCCTCTTTGTGAGACCCGACAGCCTCACCGCCATGCGAGGTTTTGTCGCCACCATTCCGGAGGCCCTGAAGGCGCCAGCCGTTGGGGAGGTGCTGTCGGGCATCTTTGGCAGCGTCAGCTTGACGGCATGGATATGCCTTCTGGTAAGCATTACAGAACCTCGAGTCCAGACGTCAATGGCTGACAGCACTTGCAGCTCCCGCAGCTTATCACCAACTACAAAGCCCAGAGCGCGGATGCTTTATCCATGAAATTTCTCCTAATCTGGCTGCTCGGTGACATCTCCAACCTTTCCGGTGCGTGCCCCTTGTCCTTCCCGGCCTTGCGCACCATCCCATCAGATCTTTCCGTTAATCCTGTCCGCCAGGCGCCCTCTTCACAAACCTCGCACCCTCAACAATAGCCTTGGCCAGCTACTTTTGCTTCGCCGACTTGATCCTCATTAGCCAATGCACCTACTACAACACCATCAACGCCCGCCGCCGTGCCCGTGAGCAGCAACACCTCCACCATCACCATCATCACCACCACCATCCTCTCCCCCGCCGCGCGTCATCAACGATAAGCACCGGCCAGGAGGACACGTGCGCCGTGACCGATGCAGTCTTGCCCACCGAAGAATCGCCCCTCCTGCACCACGAGCAGGAGCATCCCCACCTACAGGGTACCCGGGCGCGGAGCGACTCGACAGGCCTGCCGGGCTCGTACCGGCGGCGGCAGCGGCGCGAGAGCAGCGGGCTGGACCCGCTGACGCGCATCATCACAGGCGAGGACGACACGCCTGACAGCAACCCCTGGCTGCACAACGCCGTCAGCCTGGCCGCCGTGTGGGTGGTGGGCGCGGCGGGCTGGTTCGTGAGCTACAAGATGGGCGCGTGGGACGTCGCCGACGGTGGTGGTGGTGGTGGGCCGTCTGTTCCCGACGACGGAGAGCTGGTGCCGGTTGAGCCGGTCGCGCTGGTAGGTATGGTGTTGGGGTATTTTAGTGCGGTTTGCTACCTGTGGTGAGTTTTTCCTTTTCCCCTCTACTTGTTTCCTTCTGGCGGGGAAATAGGCTAATGGACCGGTCCTTTAGTGCGCGCATCCCGCAGATCATCAAGAATTACCGCGAAAAGTCGTGTGAAGGGTTGGCGCTTCTGTTCTTCCTGCTGTCGCTGACGGGCAATTTCACGTACGGCGCCAGCGTCATCTCGTATTCCCAGGACCCAGACTACTTTGTGAGGGCTCTGCCTTGGCTGCTGGGCTCGCTGGGCACCATGGTGGAGGATTCAATCATCTTCGTCCAGTTCCGGATATACTCTCCCAAGAGAGTGCTGAAGGCCGGTGCGGCTGCTTAACGCTGGACATTCTGGGACTTTGGGACTTCACTCCTGGCGCACACGGGGGGTTATAATGATTTTTGATGGCTCGTCTTGGAAATCGGTGATGGTTGGATCCGACAGGGAGAACCTCATGAGTTGATGGCAAGGCATGGGCGTGACATGGGCTCGGTACTTGCGTGTTCCTGCATAGCTGCATGGTCTATTTGCATTTCTTGGGGCGTCAGGGCTCTAGGGCTTCAGACTGGAATGTCAGTTCTTTCTCTTGCATTTTGGGCATTCGTTGTTCGCATGGCCGGTCATGTTCAGTTGATTTTTCCGTGCACCAATTTATCTGAGTTATCTGCGCAGTTGTGTCCGTCCTCCATCGCCCCGCTGTGCTGGGAGCGTTGTGGCTTTCTCCATCAATGGGTTGCTAGGTATGATACTCGTTCTTGGATGTGGTCTCAGGGTATATATATCATACTGAAGATGTTTTTGAGGAATGGAAGACCTGGTCCAACGTGTCTGAACGGAAAGATTTGCACGCCCTTTTGGTATGCACATGCGGCAAGAGTAAACCCTATGGAAACGGACAATTTCAGGGCTCTCTCGGCGGACAGGTTGATCATTGATCTTATGGATGAAACGGGCTAAGGTACCCTTATGGTTCGACTTGGGCTCATTACGTATATGTAAATTCGATCAGCCGGCCTGCGGGCATCGGAGGTTTGACGGTAGACCCGCGCCGGGCCTGCTCTGTGGGGCGTTCGGAGGGCCCCTCCATGGGTGGATCTCCGGCATAGTCACACCCCCGTACAGATACAGGATTATCTCCGGTGTCCCGCTTGCATCATTAGTCCGGCCTTGCTCTACCGTGGTATTAATCTGATATGTATCATGTATGGCCCAGCGATCCAGGAGCAAAAACCCCGCCGCTTCCTGGTTGTGTCTATACGTACCTCCGTAGTGAGAAATTCAATCTCAGCATCTGCAGCTGGACTTCAGCCACTGTTTCCGGAGGCTTCAAAACCAAGTCTAATAAAAGAAGTTGACGATTCTTGGGTTCTGGGTGCACACACATCAGAACCGACTGCCGCAGCTAGGTATTCTATCATTCAGGGGTATAAAGGACAAGGCTGTCCTTCCATCGCTCTCCACAAAAGGGTCCGGGCATTTGCCCGGTTCTGGCCCAGCTGTCCGGGGCCGTTCCACTGATGACTTGCTGGCCGCCGTCTTGGGGCGTTCTTGAATCTGCGCAAGACGTTGTCCTTGATACGATATCTCTTTCGCTGACTACTCAATTGATCGACTCTCTTCTTGCCATCGCCTGGTAAGGTTCAAACTTCCAATTCATTTTCTTCTTGTCGTAATTATTGTAATTCGTGTAACTTTTCTCTTGTTCATCGTGAGTGTGTGTACGCAGAAGCGTAATTACCGTAACACATTACCGCGTGACTGCAGTTTCAAGCCTGAAATCCTCAAACGTCTCCGGGCCAATCGCTCGTTTTCTTCTCCTCGGCTCGTGTCGCGGCCCCTACCAGCCCCGGCCGCGCACAGAGTCGCAGCGGCGACTTTCAGGGTTTCAGACTTCAGATGCCATGAGCCAGCGGGGCTTGCCGCCCAGGGAAGCTTGACTGGCTGGGCGCTTCGCATTGCATTCGCTGCGGGTCTCGACTGGTTGTCCTTTTCCTTCGGATATTCTCTCGTTCTACAGGGTAATTTGAGTTCCAGTGATCGATAGATCGTCCCTTTCTGCTCGCAGGCTCGAGGATAATTACTCGTCTCGCTCTTTTTTGGTACATTACAAGCCAGCTGGTCTGAATACCTTCATATTGCGCGCTTAATACTTGTGCCGCCCCTCCGCTTCCCTTGACGGACCAGAAGACCTGTCGGCTCTCGAAGCAGAATACCTACCAAACGAGGCCCAGTTCATTGAGTGGCGAGATATTGTGTTAATCAGCTCAACATGAGGCTCGCTACCGTTACCGCCGCCGTGCTCTCGTTGTGCGTTTCGCTCGTCAGCGCTGGCGTCGTCACCATTCCCATCAAGCAGGATCAGGTCGTTGAGAAGAGCGACGGCGATTGCTTCTTTGGCGTTGTTACGCCCCAGGGGTGCGGGTGAGTTCCACCATCTTGGCTGACGGTAGATGGGTGACTAGTGATGTAGCTAACAAGATATTCTTCAGACCTCTTCGGAGTAGCTAAGGTCGTGTAGCTACTGCCCGAATCGCTGCCGATGGGCCGGTGTCGATGACATGGCAATCTTGCGGACAGTGATTCTTAATGGGGGTTTGAGCCGCTCGAGATGTCAAGCGCAAGCGCGGGCGTCGCTGTGGCCGATGGATGTAAATCGAGTCAGACATCAAATCATCAACAGGAGAGGAGTTACAGGCATGGGCGGTGGCGTCATACTTTTTCTCCTCTCATATACCTTATATCGGCCTTATAAGCTTCCTGCGCCTAATCGAAATACCGCTTGAACCTAGACCTGGTTGCAATATTGCTTTGGGAAGATTCGTAGACTTGAGTACCCGTCAAAACGGGGCACCGCCTGTCCAATATACCTTACCCAGAGGGCAGAGAGAGATAGTAGGATAACGTCATATTATGTGTTGGGTATATACACGGCTCCCCCTCGCGCGCCGCCCAGCCGCCTCTTGTGCATGCGAAGACCACCCCCCTTGCTCCATGTAAACCTCTGGCCTGCTGTTCTAATTCTGCTCCGTCAAAACTATGCCGGCGCCGGGGGAGGGGCACCCGTGGCGCTTCCACGCTGCAGGTTAGGTTGCGGCGGAAGAAAGATGGGCAGGTATGTAACAATCAAGGACATCACTGGTAACAAGGGTTAGCTGATGGAACGGGAAGCCCCTGGCACGGATAGGAGTATCTGTCGTACATGACATTCCAACGGAGAAGTAGCCTGGGGTGCTGTTGCTCTTTCTCGTTTCCTCGCTCTCGCCTAGCCAACTCTGTACGCTGAAGACAACGGCCGCCCTGTATCAGTCCGTCGTCAGCCTGCTGTTGTCTCGGATCCGATGACAGGATAGGGATATCGAGCCGCCACATAGGATGGAAAAAGCACACCGCACAGTGCTGACCGAACTTACCACCCTATGTACCGGTTTCTCATGAAAATGGCGGCCATGGGAAGCGTCGAGGAAAGCGTTGATTGAAACTCGGCGCTGTCGCCTTTTGCCGGCGGCTCTTGATATGGAACAACTGTTTGGGAATCGAGGTTAGACGGAATATCCAGTCAAGGGGGAATTGGTTTTGAGACAGAGGTTCTCACTCAAGTCCGGCCGTCGCATGTCCTCTTCGTGTTTGGACGCCATGATGGTTAATTACTGGTACGGTACTTTGCGCGGTGGCTTGATGGGCCCGCCGGTGGTGCAAGAGCGCGATGTAGTGATTTGGCGTCGAACCCCGATTTCAAAAGTTACCGATTGTTCGAAGGCGGCCGAGGCGCGTCTGTTAGGGCCCCACGGGGCCCACAGCAACCCGGATTCTCGGAAGACCTGGGCGTCCAGGGCTGGCGCACTAACATCAACCGCATAGCGCTCTGAGCCAACCTCCGCTGACTTGCAAGTGTGCATCTTTTCCTCCTGAAATCGATGCCTCGTGATGGTACCGAAAGAAGTCAGGCCCAAGTCACCGTGACCGCCTATAGAGTGTTGGGCGACACGGCAGCGTACCATTTCTTGTCGGACTTGGCTAACATTTGACTGTGAGCATCCCTTGAACTGCTGGTCCAAGTATCCCCACCGGCATCCACAGCTCCATACAGTAGTAGTGTAGTGTAGGATGGAGGCATGCTACAGAAACTACTACCTTACGTGTATGTATGTACATATCGACTGCCCGTGTGATTAGTTAGGTAGATATTGACCTTTCACCTGGTGTAACTAATCCCAGCGTCGAGGCGCTACAAACTTGACTGGGAGCCACCAACAAGACAAGCACTCACTGGGTGTGCAACCATTCAACGATGTTCTGAGGGGTAATCACTGCCCGATAGAAGCGATCATCTCGATCCGGCTGCATGCAGATTCCGCCCTTAACTTGGCACAAAATCATGGCGGTTCTAAACATGAGGGCAATGGGTGGCACATGGTCGGAACGGCAATCCCCGCAATCTAGACCAGCGAGACCAGTTGCCAATCTGTGGGCTTGCTGCACACGGGGTTGCACGACCTGCCAGTCCGTCCATGGCTCCATGCCATCTGGCCGGCTGGCCAGTGGGTGATTTTTCGTTTTGATAGGGCATCCCGGGGAAGCCCATCTCCTATCCGTTGCTGAAGGATTGGCCGCTGATGGAAGAGCCTGAAGACTGGCGGACGAACGAGCTTCAATAACGAATTACTAACGTTGGGTTAACGGAGGTTTTTTATGAGGCCGCAGAGGGGGCCCGCCCAATGCCAAAGAATGAATCTCGATTTGCACTGTACTCCATCTGCCACCGTTCACATGTAGTGTACAGCAATTGGATGCAATCTACGATCCGCTTTTTGAACTCGGTATCGGAGAGGCCGGTGGCAGGTGTACCTAATTATCGGGTAGCCGGAAAACGTCGATTCAACATTATGGTGGTTGATACTACCAGTAATCGAGAATAGAGGTATGTGGCAACGGTTTGACTCCTTCGACTCTGCGTACACCTTCAATCCGAGAAGCGTACTGTGTAGGCATTTACTTACCGCACGGTATGAACGTTTGCACGGGTCCACCTGCCAACGTACCCCTTGCTCACCAGGTCGGAAACTGCAGCACGCACGCCATTCTCCATCGTTCACGGGTCCCTCAGGCCGAGCCCCCCAAACCTCAGGACAAGTTAATTCGGTACCTGCCGCCGAGCCTAGTCTTCCCGACATCCCGCACCGGGCATACACTACACTCCCTACCTATACTACCTACGATTTCTGGGCCTCAACGTGCGACACGCACCCGCTCAGTAACGATTGTTACGACTCTTGTGCGCCTCGAGTCCAGATTCCTCCCGATGCCCGCCTAGCCCATCCTTCGCATAGTTCCAGCTCCAGCCGAATGATCCGCAATCAGTCGTGACGTTGCCTAACTAGTTCGAGACGGGGGCCATTTCCTCACTACAGGGGTCTAGCGGAGGTTGCGGACGTCAGCCCATCGTCCATCGCACATCGCCCATCGCCATCGACATATCGCCAGCCGATACTATCAGACATCCTGATTGCACAACAACCCCACCTTTTCGCACACCGCAGCTGTAGATACACATCACGTCCAAATCTTGCGGCATGGCGCTATCGTTTCCCTTTCTGCGATGACCTCCCGGCCCTCATTGGGCGTCCAGCAGCGACCGCCCCAGCACAAGCTGAGCGGGCCCAGCCTGTCGCAGCGGCCGGCCGCACACCAGCGCCCTGTTCCCCAGCAGCAGTTTCCGCCGCCGTCTCCCATACGCAAGGATGGAGCCTACTTTGACTTCAGTCCGGGCGATACCAGCGATGGACCCCCGAGTCGTCTCGGCCTCCAGCGCCGCGGCGGTTCTCGCCTCAAGTTGGAGCTCTCGCACGACCCAGTTGACTCCATGCCGCACGCTGGTATTGGGGAATCCCCGAGCACAATCGAGCCGTCAAAGCCCTTCACGCCCTCGCGCGTCATGCCAACCACCGACTCCTCCGATCTAGGAGACTTGAGCCCCCATCTCTCAACCCACCTGCAGACGGCCGACCAAGACGCCCCTCTGCCCATGCCCCGGCGCCCCCCTGGCGGCGTCGCCAATGTGCCACGCCGGGACCCACCGCCGACGCCTGCCGCCTCGGCCAAGAAACCAAATCCCCCGAAGCCGTACTCGGTCGAAATTCCAGCCGCCGCCCCTCGCTACTCGATACACGGTGGTGCTCAGGCGAGATCGGGCAGCTTGGCCCCGCCACCGCTAGTTGCACATGCTGATTTCTTCCCATGGACCGGTAACCACCCAGAAGACCAGTTTTCAGACAATGTAATCCGGAACGGATACTACGACAAGGGCCTCTTTTCGACTACCGAGACGCAGTCGGCTAAAGCCACGCTGTTTCCATCCCTCAAGCACAAGACTGGCTTGACCGCGCTTTCCTCCATCTTCACGGCCATTCTCGGGCAGAGGCGGCATATCGGCCAGATCACAGCCCCGTCGACCTTCAAGCCCCCTCCTCGAGTCACACTGACTGACACCAAGCGCGAGGGCTGGCTTAAGGACCTGGCCAACTCGGCAATCTCGCTCCGCCGGCTTAGCCGGACGATCCCCCACGGTATACGCGGCAGGGTCCTCTTAGAGCAGTGTCTGAATAAGAACGTCCCCACCGACCGCGCCGTTTGGCTGATAAAATGCGTCGGCGCAAACGAGATTCGAGCCACCAAACGCAAGGGGGTGAGCACCCTGGTGATGGGCGGCGAAACAAGATGGATCAGGGACTGGACTGTTGCTGTCGAAAGCTTCATCGAACACGTATATTTCTCGTTTGACGAAGAGGACTGGAAGTCCAAGGTACATTATACGTCAGTGCCCTCCATCTTCCCCGAAATTCACGGATTGCCGCGCTAACTCAGCAGTAGGACCCGACTCGCAGCACACCTTTACGCTGAGCATCTGTTAGACCGCGAGCATTACGGCGAGTGGCTCGTCTCCAACCTCGAAAACAGTTCCGAATCGAGGCTTCCGATGTGGATGCTCCTTACGCAAATGTACTGGAAGGATCTGCTTAAGCTTCGGAAGTACGGCCGAAGACTGGTCATGGCTCTTGTCAGCCATCACAACTTGGTAAGCAGCCCCAGGCGTCCTTCTCTCAAACCGGTATCCTCATGTCATCACAGATCTACACCCACCCTGACAAAGACATACTCCAACCCCTGCTCCAGAATCTAACGCAGTGTCTTAACACTCTGATCCTGAGCAGCCCGGAGAACTTTCTGTCTCCGCCAACTTGGGCAAAATTTCGTGATGTCCTAAAAGCATGCTTGCCGGCTGGTGATGAAGCCCGCCACAGCGCATTTATGGCCATCAATCTCCGGAACGAGCAGCTTGTGGCATCCGCCAACAGGTCGCAACCGGCTGCCCGGCATCTTTTGGTGCGGATGCTGGACGGAACTCTCCAGACGCCGATGCCGGTTGAGCTCCCCGCCCAGTGTTGGGGCATCTCGAAGGACAAGTCTGCTTTGGCAAAGGCGCTTCTCGAGTGGTGCACTTCGCTCTACCGCCCCGGGCTGGCAAAAGTATACGTCACCAGTCGGATCTTACAGCAGTGGAGCATATTAGGCGTTGACGCCACGATGGCCGTGTTGGATTTTCTCGACGCTGACGCCTGCGAAGAGCAAGGGCGCAGGCGTACACTGTACCACGTTGTCTGCGAGCTTGTCCGCTCCGGAAAATTCTCGGTGCCTCGCTATGTCCAGTGGCTCATTGCTCGTGGCGGGCTTAGGGACCCCACGCAGGTGCTACCGGACGGGCCCGGACAAACCCGCCTCCTCGCCGAGATACCGACGCATGCTCTCACCGCGTCCCAGCTGGATCTCAGAGGTGGAATGCTCCGGCGCGCTTGTTTTAGCGTGGCGGACGAGGCGCGGGACGCAGAGTTGGCCATTCAGCATCTGAAGCATACATTGGGACTGCCGCTCGACCCCGCTGAACCCATGCTCCAGCGGAAGCCATTGTCACTGGCCAAGCTAGCCAGGAAGATTGCAGCTAGCAGTCGGGCTCTAAAGGCCGAAATCGGTTTCTGGCTCCGCGCCAGTCTCGCCCCAAATGTCGAGGAGCAGGTCAAGGACGGGTGCCGAACCCCGGACATATCACCCACCATATTCTACGCTGTCCGAGCCGTGCTCGAAGCTGCCGAGGACTTTTCCATGTTAGGCGACATTTTGAAGTCGCTGACCAAGCACTCCAGTGTTGAGATCCTGGCGGCTATTGCTGATACTGTCAACCGGCATTTCTTCATCTTCACCGCTTTGGATGCTTCAAAACCCCTTTTTCACAACCTCCACCAGCGACTCAGGGCGGCCGTTCGTGAGCAGGGGATCGCCCTTCGTCCGCTGCTAGCCTCTCTTGTTTCCCTCGCCCCCAGGATTCCTGGCATGGAGGAGCTGGCCCTGCAGCTGAAGAAGGATCTAGCGCTGAGCGATCGTCAGAATCCGGTAGACGCTTGTTCGCCCGTGTCGGATAACATGGTTGCTCAGCTACAGGATGATGCCGGCGAACTACACGAAGAGATTGAGAAACTCCTTGCCGGCGGCTCCAACCTGGACCGGAACACGATGGAACGCCTGTTTCAGACGGTGGTGCAGCGATTGCAGGCATGCTGGGGCAAAGCAAACGATAAGCAGCGGGCCTATAGCGGTCTGCTCGGTCGCCTGCGCGTGTTCGACACACAGCACTTTGACGGTCTCATGGCCAAATGGCTTTTGTACCTCCGTACGCTCGGTAACCGCCCGTCCATCCTCAGAATCTTTCCGCTACTTGTCTCGGTGGGATGTCTGGACATGCCCGCTATCCTGGCAACAGCGTCTGAAGTTCCGGGCGGAGGGGGGGCAAGCGTCGCCCATACTCTGACGTCGACTTCTAATGGGCCCCAGGTGGTGCAGATTACACACCGAACGAGATACATGCAAGAAGTGCTCCAGTTGCTCATGACCCCTATCCCGCAAGACGACCTGGTGGCAGCAGACGAGTCCTACCGCTTCTCCATTCTTCAGGATCAGGCCGTCAAAGAAAATTCGAAGGAGGTGCTCGGGCTCATTCCTCTTGCCCTGGCCGAATATTATTACGCAAAAAGCCAAAATGACATTGCAGGCCTACCCCTCGACATTCCGGCCGTCCAAGAGCGGCTCCTCGAATTGCTCAAAAGCCTAGTGCTGAGGGACCCTGTCGCGGTAGCCCGGGCGCTAAACGCCAAGAATCCTAATCCTCAGGTCAGTGGTTGGGCCGACCACGTAACAACCACGCTGTTGATCCCTACTTGCGGTGGGCACGCGCACGTCACTTTTGACCAGGTCTTGGAGCTCACAAATGAGTTTACCCTGCCGTTCTGCCAAGTGAAGCTCGCGTTGAGCCTCAACTCAAACGAACAAAGCAGCCAAGAGGCCGTCGACCGGCAGCAGTCGCACGTCGAGCTTTTTGCAAACGCCATGGACAAGGCCATCGGCGCGGGCAATATCTCGTGGGTTGGAATGCTGAGCTGCCTCAGCGCCGACATCACGCAGCATCTCAAAGTGCGCGCCCAGCACCATTTTCTCAGTCTCTTGCCGTCAGTGAAGAACCCACCCGTGACGGACCCAGCAGCCCTCAGCCAGACACTGCAGATGGCAGAGAATCTGTTGGCAGTCCTCGACGCCATCACACGCGGCGGGCCAGCAGGAACCAGGCAGGCTCATCTGCCTCCGACAGTAGTGGACAAGGTGGTAGACCTGTGGGAACTCCTCGCCTCTCCATCGGCCGAAGCCGACCCGAGTGAGTCCGGTGTCAAGTCGGCTGTGCTCAACCACTTTCTGCCCCTCACGCTCAACTTCATCACCCTCCTCGCGCACGGCTTACCGCCTCCATCAACCTCCACTCCCGCCACCTCCTCAGCGCCCCCAGGCGACCTGAGCAGCAGTGGAAAACAAGCACAACAGCCCCAGCCCCAGCCCCAGCCCCCCAATGGTTACGACGTCCGCGCTAAGCTCTTGGTTGCCTGCGCCGGGCTCTTGCAAGAGCTGGACGTCCTGCACGCACCAGGCGGGGCGGACACAGTGGCCCTGGCAAGACGCCTCTTTGACCTGTCGTGCCTGCTGGTGGACAATCTCGGGGAGGAAGCGCGGGCCATGTGCGTGCGTGCGCTGGGGGGTTCGGGCGCGGCGGCGGCGCAGGACCCGAGGCTGGCGTACATCTTCTCATTTGCCGCTGATGGGAGCGAAGGGCTGGGCCTCTGCCAGCGGGAGAGGATGGTGGTGCCCGGCGGTAGTAATAATAATCATAATAACAAGGGGGCGGCGACCCCGTCGACCAGCAGCAGCATGACTCAGCAGCCCCAGCCCATGTTTGGGTCGCTGCTGGGCACGCCTGCGTCGCTCTGGGGCGGCCAGATGGCGGGCGGCGCTGAGCGGCTGAGCGTGTTCCACTTCCGCCGCTGGGAGTTGCTGAATGAGCCTACGCCGAATGTGGGCGAGAACGATACGGCGCTGAGCCTGGGGCTTTTTGAGGCCAGGAGGGTGCAGTAGTACATAATTTATTTATTTTGGGAGAGGAGAGAGGAGGGAGATACTTGAGGGGTAAGGGAGGCGGGCATGGGGAATTTGTATTTTTGGTTTCGGCATACTACATACGGTGTGTAACGTATCCAGGGTGGTCATGATGATTATTTGGCTGGTGCTGGGTGGATTGCACAGGCGGATGGGTCGGTACGATGGGATACCTTGACGTCTGGCTTTTGCGTCCTGGATGGTTTTCTTCTTCACTTGCATCATGCTTGGGTCTTGCTCTCTGTTGATACGATACATCTTTTGTCGGGGTCATGCATCGTGATACCAGCCAGTCGTTCATAGGGCCTTTTTCTTTATCTCATGCCTGTGTCTATAGCATCATCATCATTTTCTTCTTCATGTTTATGCAATGGCATGGCTGGGTGGTTGGTTGGTTGGGCCAGTCGGTTGAACAGGGATGGGGACGGTGGGCGGCAGCCAGTTTTTATTTTCAATGCATCTCGCATCGCATCGCCATCATTAGCATTTCGTGTCCTTGTTTATCGTTGCCCGCGACTATGGAGCTGGGATGGGGCGGATATGTAAGGGAGTCAGGAGCCTCGGCGGATGGATGGCGTTCTTTGCTGCAAGGGAGCTTCTGGGCATGGCGGTATGGCTACCGGTACGGTTTGGCTTGATGTTGGTTGTGGTTGGATGGTGCGTACATGTACCGTTCCGTCATAAAAGGGACATACATACACAATATGTCACGTTTCGTGTCTCGACTATTTCGACAAACTTGAATTTTCCCAGCCTCACTAGGTAGGTACCTTAGGTAACCATATGTGGCTCCAGCCAAGCTAGAAACATGCACTAGGACATAGTTCTTCTCCCTTGCTCTTGCTGTCTTCCCGACCTGAATGCCCACGGGCCACAACATGGAGGAAAGTCCAACCCGGCATTACTGCTTCGCGCCAGTATAAACCCAAACCCCCCCCCCCCTTCTCTTCCCTCTTCCCTCTTCCCTCCTGGAAAGTTCAGAACCCAATGCCCACGCTCTTGCACCAGACCTACTCCCCGTCATTGTTACATCCATATGGCACCATTCTCGTGTGCCGGAAGTGGTGGGATGAATACTGCAGTTACGGCCGGGCTTGGATTTTGCCCACCCCAGAGCAGAGCGCCCACGTGGGAGGTGGGAGACGTTAAGGGAGAGGCAACCTGCTCGCTACCAGCCATCGGCGACATCGTAACCGCTTACCTCGACAAGATCAATTCAGACGCGGTGAGGATGTTGACATGATTTGGTATGAATTTGAATCTGATTGTTTACTGTTTGATACCCAAGGGCCAAATTCAACCAAAGAGATTACCGGATTAGGGGAACCCTAACCCTTTTCTCCATGCTGGTGACCTGCTTACTGATGGCAGCAGATGAGAGAGCTGAAATGTGCCCGATTCGGGTCCAGGTAAGAATCCATGACATGAGCCGGACCTGTCTCCTGCCAGCACTTGGCGCAGGGAACACTCCATTAACTTGACCATAATGCTGAGGATGGAAGCCATGCTGTGCAGTCTCTGCGTGGGACTGGACATTGACGGCGCTATGCGGCGTCTTGAGAATCGGCACGACACTGAAGCTTGCGGTTCAGTACAGGTAGGATCAGAGTGGCACCTAACTCTTGCGGCCGTGGACGAGTCCTCGGAATCGTGCGATCTTTGCCGGGTAATCATGAAAGGCTGGCAGCGGAGCAGGGAAGTGGTGGTTGAAGAAGCTATCAGAGAGGCTATGTTTGACCCTCAAACTCCGCCGCCAGATTTACACGACCCTGTTTTTGAAATCCGGCAGTACAGGACGGAGTCTGAGATTACCCTTGAGCTCGTGAAGCAACCTAGGGTAGTCTACGACGGTCGCAAGAATGCGTCCAGCCTCTTCCTGCGCGTTCAATGCAGCCCGGCAACCGCAATCACTTCGTTTGATGCCCTCGATCCGGTCACGGCCGAGTTGCGCGTTGTCCATTCAGGATCTAACCACAGCTTGGACAGTTCTCTGCCTCCTCGTCGTACAGACGCCCTCATTTCGCCAGATCCGCTGTCCCAGCAGAGCCTGGACATTGCTCGAGGTTGGCTGGACACTTGCGTCAGTACCCACGGACCGGCGTGTAATGCTAATCCTGAGGGATGGATGCCAACCCGCGTGCTGGAGATACTAGTCCCTGATGGCAACAGGATCTGCCTGCGCAAAGCACAGGCGCTCCCGGCCGACGACGACCGTCGTTACGTCGCCCTCAGCCACTGCTGGGGACAGGATGGCACGCCTTTCACCTCCACGCGCGGGACGCTGCCTTTGCGGATGGAGGGCATTGACGTCACCACGCTGCCCAAGACGTTTCGGGACGCTGTTGCCCTCGTGCAGAGACTTGGCCTGCGCTATCTGTGGATCGACAGCCTTTGCATTGTCCAGGACGACTTCGACGACTGGGCGCGCGAGTCGGCCCAGATGGCCAACGTTTATCGACGTGCCCATCTCGTGCTCAACGCCGCCAACAGCCCGGGAGACACGGCAGGATTTCTCTCGGAGCGGGTTGTTCTAGACACGGTGCTCTTGCCTCCTCCTCCTCTTCCAACGACCGGTCTGGGTAGTAGTGAACAACAGCTCGGTCTTCAGCTGCGGTCCCCGCCCGGAAAACGCTGGCATGACCCATCCGGGCCGGACAACCTCGCGGGCGAACCGGTCACGGCACGAGCCTGGTGCCTTCAAGAGCGCTACCTCCCCACTCGCGCCCTGCAGTACGGGACATACCAGGCCTTCTGGGAGTGCGAGAGCATGCGCGCCAGCGAGGTCGGCGACGCTGTCGCACAAGAAATTGAAGGCGGCCGCGGCGGTCGCTTGACGCGCCTCTGCCGGACGGGAAACGGGGCGGCCGGCTCGGGCTCGGTCTTTGCCCGGCAACGCCGTGATCCGCGCTACGAAGGTGGCAGCGATTCCGAAGACGTCGCCTGGATCGGATGGTATAAAATAATCGAGGACTACACCGCCCGGCAGATTACCAAGGCGACGGATCGCCTTCCCGCCCTGTCCGGCCTTGCACAAGCCGTTGCCAGCAAAACGCAGCCCGGCAACCACTACCTCGCCGGCCTGTGGCGGTTCGGCTTGCTGGAGGGACTGCTCTGGTGCAAGGCCCGGCCCGGCAGCCAGGCGCTGGTGCAGCCTGGCTTGCTCTACGTGGCGCCGTCCTGGTCGTGGGCGTCTGTTGCCGGGCCCGTGCAGTTCCCCATCTACACGTGGTACACCAAGCGAGCGCGCTGGAAGGCAAAGATGGCCGACTTTGAGCCCCTAGCCGAGTACCTGGGCCACTCAACCCAAAGATTGGACGCTGACCCTTACGGGAGGCTGGGGCTTAGCCGGCTCTTGCTTAGGGCGCCCGTGTTGCCTGTCGAGTCCATCCGGACCCCGCGGCCGCGCACCGCTCCTGGGCTGGAATCCCTGTTTGGACAGGAGCCGGCGCGCTCCGAGGTGGCTGATGTCGTGGTGCAAATGCGGACTGGATCTGGAAGTATCTGGATTGAAGGAGGGTTTGATCGTCCGAACCAGAGCGCGGCTATCAAGACCAAGAAACTGTCCGTTGTGCTTCTTACCCGTCTGCCCCATGTCCTTGAGCATGGTTTTATTGAGCATCGCTTTGGGCTCATACTCAAAAGGGTGGAGACAGGTAGTAACAAGTACCGGCGGGTTGGTTTTGTCGACGGCGTCGTGCTGGAGAAGAAGTCGACGCTTGCCGCCATGATGCTGGGACGTGAGCCATTTTCGATTGTCGGGTATCCCCGGCCGCACGAAGCTGGCGATATTGACGGTGAAGGGCGGGATAATGACCTTGCGAGGGACCCTCTTAAGCTGGAGAAGACGAAGATCACGATAATTTGATGACAAGAAACGGGGCCGTGGCCGCAGCGCAAGCGGAGTTCGATACATCCTCGAACAACAAAACAACGCGAGAAGATTAGGATAATCAAGTCAACAAAGGCCTTGAGCACCCGCGGCTGTACGGAGGTCGGGGCCAAAAGTTATCATCACTCTCTGTTAGGGCCAAGCCTATCAACGTGCGACGAACTGAGAAGAGCATACTTACACTGTATTTAATTTGGGCATAGCAGTTTCTCTCCCTGTTCGCTGATTGGGCACCGCCCATGAAGCCCCTCAGCACAGGGCGATGCGCACTATGCCTACAGTGGTTAGGGGCCAGTGGCTGACATGGGCTGTGCGAGCCTTACTGTATCCAGGCCTTGGCAGTCTTGGCTATCTTGGAGTGATGATAACTTTTGGCCCCAACCTCCGTAGTGCATGCTGAATGCATATAGTAAGCGCAGACTCTAAAACGCCTGTATATCAGTAGTGTAAAAGCCATCGTCAGCCTATGACATAGAGCATTCATGCACAAGCTGGCCAACCCTTGACTCCTTGCCCCGCCAGTTCAAGCCCATTCCCAGAAATATCCAGCGCCGCTCCATTCCACACCATCCCATTCCCGCCGGCCCAGGTAAGCCGCATAGTCAGTCCAATAGCTCCTACCCGTCAAACTCGACCCCGACCACCTTGCCGGGGCCGGCCCCAGAACCGCTGCTCGGTCCAGCCCCATCCACAGAGAGATCGCCCGTAACGATGCCATCGCCGACACGGCTCGTGCCGCTGGCCTCTGCGTCAGCTCCCGTAAGCAAATCTCTATCCGAGCTCCGTACACTGCGACGCTCGGGGTCACCGCCATAGGCCACGCCCTTGCCGGCCCCGGACGACCGCTCACCGCCGGCGGGATCATCTTCATCCTCTTCATCCTCCTCATCATTGCGCTGACCCGGAAGCGCATTCTTCTCCAACTCCTTCTGCGCCTCCTCCATCCGGCGCCGTACCTCGGCCGCTACGCGCATCCCGTCCGTGACGATGTTGTCGAGCACGCCGCGCAGACCCCGGCCGACGGCAGGTGCTGTGGCCACTGGGGCTCCGCCAAGAGCGGCGTTGACCGCACGCCCGGCGCCGATGCCAAGGCTGGAGAAGGTGGTCAGGGATGAGGCGCTTGTTGGAGTATTAGATGAGCCGAGGTTGTCGATGATGTGGAAAGAGGTGGGGAATGAGGATTCGAAGAATTGTTCGAGCAATTCATCAGCAAGAACAACCATGCGGAAGGTTGGAAGCGTAATGTGCAAGGGATTGGACGGGTCGAGGGCGATATTAGCCTTCTCAGATTGGGCTTTGGACACACGTCGCCGCAACGCCAAGTCATCCTCATCAGGGGTTAACTGAACCGAGTTGAGCTGGAGTTCTGGCGGCTGCTGATCGCCTGGCACGTCAGATCTTTTAGCTTGCTTGGGGCTCCCAGTCGGCGACTCCATCGCTAATAGGTCGTCGTCGTCGTCGTCGTCGTCGTCGTCATCGCCAATAGCGAACGCGTCAGGGCTTGCAAGCTCTTCGCTCGCCGTCTCCTTCAGCTGGGCTGCTTGAAGCTTTTCTTGCACCTCTCGCACAGCGTTGTGCTGGTTGCTAGGATGGTCGGGATCGGCGTATTCAAAGCACCTCCTTATAAAGGCGCTGACACTGCCGAGGAATCTCTCATTTACAGACTGGCCCGGCACATCGTTTTGGCCCGCGTTTGCGCCTTCACTGAGGGTCAAAGTTGAATTTGAAGGACTGAGCGTGCCCTCGAGCCCACGTCGAGAGAGGAACAGCAAGGCTTCAGACATGCGTAGGATGCCTTCTCTGTCAACCTTGCCATCGCCATCGTCGTCGTACAGTTCAAAAAAATAGCTAATGGTCCCCATAATGTCTCGCTTGCCTTTGATGCGGGCCAAGCCTGAGACAACCTTTTGGAGTGTGAGGGTTGAGGATGAGTCGGCGTCCCACTTCTGGAACAGTCTCCTTAAGAATTCGTGGTCCGCGGGCTCAGGGCCGGCACCCCAAGGAGATAGCAGTGCATCAGACCTTTTGAAGCTGCTGTAAAAGCCCTTGTCCTTGTCTGCAAGAGCCTCACGGCGGGGAGTGGTGGGAGAGTCTGAAATGGCCCATTTAGACATGCCGGCGAGAAATTCACGAAACGCGTCGTAGTCCATCAGGCTGGTGCTCGGACCCAGGCCAACCCGTCCCTTTTCTATGCCGTGGTCACCCTCGCTCGCAACCTCTGCAATCCGTGACCTGCTGCTTTTGTTCCGCCTTGCCTGTTCCTGCTTTAGAATGTGGTCCCGCTGCTGTCTTTCGTACAGCACGCCATAAAACCTGTCGTATAATGCGCCCAGCTCGTCGTTGCTCAGCAGCTTGCTGTCCGGGGACAAATTCCTGATTGCAGTGCGTTTGGCGAAACTCTCGATATTGTTTAAGACGGCATCTTTATTCTTCAAGCGAAGCTCCGTGATGCTGCTGTGTGTGATACCCGAGAACTCCTTGAATGCAACGACCATGAGCTCCTGGAATTTCGTCACAGCTCTCAGCTTCGGGTTCTCCGACTTGGGGTGGGCTGACTCGTCTAAGCGAGCAAAGTAGGATTTGAGGACCGATATGAAGGCGCCGTCGTCAGCCGCGTCGAGAAGCTCCTCTCCGTTAATCCTGAGAATAGCCAAGCCAACTTGGAACAGAACTTTGGGTCCTTCGACAAAGAAGACATCCAAAACTCTGAAGGCGAAAACCAGAGGCATTGAATTGATGTAGAGCGACAGAAACCAGGGGAGTGAAACGACGGACAACTGGACGTCACTCTTGACAAGATGCTCCCACAGGATGGGCATCGTCTTCTCCACTAGGGACTCGAATACCTTTTGATCAAGGAGGGTGCCATACATGGTGGTGGAGTAATATCCGGGCACTAGCCGATCGCACAGGGCGGAAAGGAGGAAAAAGGCTTGGGTCTCAGACATGTAAATGAGCAGCGCCGCCACGACAATGTTCATAGCCTGGCAGTAGCCTACGTCGGCGTTGACCCAGCTATAGGCCGTGAGGACCCGGCGGAGGCGGCCAATGCCTTCCTCGCTCTGGAAGCCGGGATATTCCGGAAGGCTCCTGTTCAGGTCCTTCTCAATCTCGTCAATCGCCAGCGACTCCCTCCCGGAGAACTTGGAGAGCGTATCGGAATACAGCGTCGGGTTCTCAAGTCGCAGATAGATGGAGCCAGACGTCAGCTCCCACATCTCGCCTCTTAGCCTGTTTGGCAAGCCGACCCTGATCAGCTTGTGAAAGGTGGGCTGGCGGATCAACGTCACGTTCCGCCCGTTGTCGCGTAGATACTCGGCCCACAGCCTCATCTTGGCCCGGTCGCGGAGCTTTTTGGGGTCCCCGGGGTATTTGAAGAGCATGCCTAACCCGGCATCGGGAGGACTGGCATTCTTCTTGTCCTCCGGGCGGAGAAGGTATTCTGAATAGCACTCGGCTGTGACCTTCTTTAGCTTCCCAACATTCCCGACGTTTGCCCGCAGGCCCTTCTTCAAGCCGTCGCAAAAGCGTTCGCAGGCGGGCCGCGTGCCGGCAAGCTGGACTGTTATGCGCTGTTCCTTGAGGTCCTTCTTGTCCTTCTCCTTGGCGGCATCTTGACTGATACCGTTCCATGTTGCGATGGAGAGGGCGAACTGCAAGGGCGCGATCCGTCAGTCGACGCTCGGAGTGGTGGCAGCAGGAGACGGGCACACTTTACCTGGAATGTTTGACTGTGAAGGCGCTCGACTCTTCGAATGGCACAGAGCGGGAAGGTAAAGCCATTGCCGCTTGGCCCTCCGCCATGGGTTTGGCCGGTGAATATCGAGGAACTAGACGTGCTGGCCGACTGTTGGAAGCTGGAGGGCGTGGTGGAGAAGCAGAGGTAGGCTTCGGAAAGATGCAGCTTTCCGGCATATTGAAAGCCGCGGTCTCTATCCCTGTCGCCCTGCGTGGCATTCGCGGGCGGAATCGTGAGCTCGGCTGTTATCTCGTACAGAGGATGCTGCGACGACGGCAGGCGAAACTGGCTCTGGAAGAGCGAGGCCTTGGACGGGTTCCGGTCCGATTCGGAGAGATTTAAGCCCTGCGTCGGGTCCAACAGCTGTTGAGCCTTTTGCACAAAGCTCGAGAGGTTTAACATGCTGGGCTCCCGCTCTTGTTGGGCGCTGCCCTGTGACAGCAGAATTGGGGGCGGTCGCAGGGCGGCTTCGGCCTTGGTTCAGACGACGAGGACGACGACGACGACGTGCTCGAATCGCATTGCCTGATAGGCAGGGGAGAACCCAATCCTAGCCAGTATATTTACACGGAAGATCTACAGTCGGAACGCTGGGCTCTTGGAACTGGTGTACGGCTGAAAGCTGAGGGGCAATGCTGATGCTGCTGAAGGGATGGAGGATAGTGGTGCTCTCCAGAGGCAGCAGCGTGTAATTACTGCCTGTATATGTTACAATACATACATACGTTACCTACATATTCTGTACTGTAAGCACTAAGCAGCTCACTGGCAACCTGCAGTGGGCACCGTTTGCCAAGCGAGGTGTCGGGTGGGTCAATGGTTTTCATGCAATCCTGAGTCCCTGACCGTCGCTCACAGCTCTTGTTGATTTCATCAAAGGCAGAATTGATGTTTCACCACTGCCCCTCGCATTCCCTTTCCGAGTGCAGCTCCTTCACCAGCCAGAATCCACTGCAAAGTCAACCTAACCCGGCGCAGCAATCGCTGCATACCTATAATGTAGATTGCATAGCGGACATCTTCCAGATTGTTCCCAGCTCGGTTCATATCCCGGGCACATCGAGTTGCAAGAGCGAGCAACATCGTGGTCAAGAATACGAAGTAATGCCGGCTCAACTCGCTGGTGCTTCTCCACTACAACTTCTCTTCAGTGCATCCCATGGCATATCCTCTCCCTGTCCGGTCCAAGTGGAAACAGCACATCTCTAACCCAAGACTGCGGAACAGAGTTCCACCAATGTTATGTCAATGACTTCAATGGACTCTATTATACCCGTCAACCGCAGTAAGGCTGCATTCGGGTATTTTTACCCCCGGCAATTATCCAACGCCTTACCATTGATGGTCTTGTCTATGAGCTGAGCTATGGACCAAGCTATGGACGATGCTCTTTGGTCTTCTTGAATTATGGCCATGATTTCGCCAATGCATTGGATGACTGATCCTGAGCACCGATAATTGAAGGCGCGACCATCTTGCAGGGCAATCCTTCATCTGTCACATCTTTCATTGTCGGGTTCTTCTTGCCAGCAATCAATTTACATCTAGACTTGCGGGGCTCTCTTTTTAGCGGAACCAGCACTGATGAATCTCTGATCGACCCCCCTAATACAGTAAACCCCTATGCCCCCTACCCCACGTTGCCAAAACCGCGCGACCCCGCGAACCCCGAACCGAGAACTCATGAACGCAGACCGGGTCCCGTCCCGTCCCGTGCCCCCAATCCCCATTGCTGTCCTCAATCCTCATCGGTACGTCTACTAGCCAAGTCGGTTGTGCACTCCACTCCGCCTCGATATCTGCGACCTGGGGGCTGGACTCCTGATTTCTCTATCCAAGGTGCCCTACCCGCCCTCTCCGTTTCACAAGCACTGCAAAAGAAGCAGTGCTGAGAGAGGTGGCACGCTCAATATTGTTGTGTTTGCGACAAGGTGGACTCACTGTCCAAGTGAACTGAGAAAGGGCAGGCGATACATGCAACTCGGAGACAAGGTCTCAGACAAGCGGCCCCTTCACTTATATACACACACCTTGCGCAGTACGGTGCAATTCCAGGTTGCCTCGTCTTCCCAACAAACTCGCAGCTGACAACGTCTTCCACCAGCGCAATGGCGGCCACGGTCGCGCACTCACAGGCCCTAGGCCACGGGCTGCACCCGTTACAAGCGACAGCACTGCAAGCGGCGGGTGATGGGCAAGAGCAGCTTCAGCAAAACCACCAGGAGCAAAGGGCGTTGGACGAGGAGCCGTTTGACGTCTCGAGTGCCCGGAAGCTGTCTCCGGCCGATTTCGAAAGGGTGCGGACTCTAGGGACAGGTACGGCTCTCCTCTCGGGCCCGGCCAGAGGCACTAATGGCCCATCATAATACTTAATCTGGCTGCTCAGGGACCTTTGCGCGAGTCTGTCTCGTCCGACCGTCACACGGCACCGAGGCCGACCGCAGCAAGGTATATGCGCTCAAGATTCTCCGCAAGACGGAAGGTTGGTTTTTGGCACAAAGAAAACGCGAACAACACGGCCAGTGACTGATCGAGTCCCAGTAATCAAGCTTAAGCAGATTGACCATGTGCGCCATGAGCGTCAAATACTCGCCGACGTGGCGGGCCACCCGTTCATCACCAGGTTTATCGCCTCGTTCTCGGATCACGACTTTCTCTACATCCTGCTGGATTACGTGCCCGGCGGCGAGTTGTTTACCTATCTCCGGAAATTCCGGCGCTTCGACGAGGACATGGCGCGCTTCTACGCCGCCGAAATTGTGCTGATCCTGGAGCACTTGCACGAGGAGCAAGGGGGAATCGCCTACCGCGATATGAAACCCGAGAATCTGCTGCTCGATGCCGAGGGACACATCAAGCTAGTCGACTTTGGTTTCGCTAAGCGGCTCGGGAACAACGAGGACGACCGCCCAGTCGAGACGTATACGCTCTGCGGGACGCCCGAATATCTGGCCCCTGAAGTGATCCATAACAAGGGTCACACAACGGCTGTGGACTGGTGGGCGCTGGGAATCTTGATTTACGAGTTCCTCACCGGTTATCCACCTTTTTGGCATCACAACCCCATCGAGATCTACAGGCAGTATGTCTTGACTTACATCTGCTCCTAAACGCCTCCCTTGCCCCTCCCCGCTGACACACACGCCCCCTTGCAGAATTGTAGAGAAGCCCGTCGTCTTCCCGCAAGAACCAGTCATCAGCGACGCGGCAAAGGACATAATCAGGCAGTTCTGCACCGTCGACCGGTCGCGGCGCCTGGGTAACATCAGCGGCGGCGCGGCCAAGGTCAAGGCCCATCCCTTTTTCGCGGGTGTCGACTGGGAGGCGGTGCGGCAGAAGCGCCACAGGGGCCCCATCCTCCCGCCCGTCAGGTACCCCGGAGACGCCCAATGCTTCGACATCTACCCTGAAGAGGACGCAACGCGCGACGTGTACACGGACGAGATGGCTGCGAAGTACGACGAGTATTTCAAGGATTTTTAGCATGGCTGGCTGTGAAGGGTGGTTTAGCGATGATCCTCATGGCGGTCTGACTTTCTTTCTCCCGTGTCTTTATTTTGCTTTGACCTTTTTTTCTTCTCCTATTGATGCAGATACCCGGTTTAGCAGACGGGCGGAGATGCGGGAGCACATTGAGCGTGCTGGCATCTGCAGCGTCGTGGCAGGGTGGAATTGTTTTACCCCAACGTGCGAGGTTTGCTTATCTGCCCATCTCTCTTTCTGCTATTCTATTCTATACAGCCAGAGATACAGAGATACAGAGCGGACGGTGGCATTTGTGTGTCATGAATTGGATATTAGGCGTTTCGGATGGAGAACACGGGGGAACATGTGATCACAGACAAGGGAATGGGAAAGGGGCGGGGGACGAAGAGAGCGGTTGATGTACTATTGGCATATGTAAAATCAGAGATGGATGGAGTGGGGGATTGTTTTATCGTACGCTGACCACTGCGCGGAGGGCCGGCATCCTGGAAGAGAAAAGTCGAGCGCAGATATTACAACAAGGTAGCAATCCATGCAGGGAATGGGATTGATTGGCAAGGCCTCGGATTAGAAGCGCCAAGCTAAGGACGGCTGGGTGAGCTAGTCAAGTACGATGTCTCGGCCGTTGCGGGAGAAACGTGTACAGCCGAAGGTGCCCTAGGTATCTCGAATGAATAGCAATAATAGGAGCGGCCTACGTCTGGCCATCCACATAAGCCACACAGTTGTTGACCACCACATGCCGGCCATACAAGTCTCCGTGATCACGCACTCCGAACATCGGGTCCACGCAAGTCATAACGTTATATAGATATGTCTATCAAAATAGAGACCAAACTCCACGAGGAGATTTCCAAGCCTCTCATACCCACGCAGACACAGGTATATATAACCCAGTGTATACAAAATATATAGCATACCCATCTCCCCCTATTCAACCCCCATAACCGCTCACCACCCTCGGAGGAACCACCACCCTCCGACTCCCAACGCCAACACCGTCGCCAGCAAGAGCGCGCCCTCCTTGGTGCTCCACAGAAACGCCGACCAACCGACCACGAGCTCTCGTCTCCTCGCCCTGGCCCTCCTCTCCCAAGCATGCACGTCCACGGGGACAGGCAAGCGCACTCTCGGATCAGCCTTCCACTCCTCGTCGAGCAACCCGTCCCCTTCCCCAGTGCTAGTAGAAGTGGGAACAGCCATATCTGCCGCGCCCAGAACCGGCACCAGCCCGCGCCAGACAACCGGCCGGTGGTCGCTGGTCGCCAGCACGGGCAACGCGTCGTACAGCAGCGTCTCAACCCGCAGTTGTTGCCCGGTCCCGGTCCCGGTCCCCTTTCCGTGCCGCTGCAGTCGCTGCACCACCCAGGGCGCCACGTCCAGCCACAGAACGCGATCGCACCACCCGGGCCAGCGGTGCCGCGCAAACCGCCAGGGCACTACTTCCACCACCTTTCCCTCGTCATCCCCGTCCCTCCTGTTGCTACTACTACTCCTGGCAGCCGCAGCCGCAGCAGCGAGCACCTCGGCGCGGTTATCCGCGCCCTCGGCGGAGTCAAGCACGTCGTACTTGTAGGTAGGACCAAAGGTGACGGGGCTCTCAGAGAGGCCATGGCAGGTCCTGTTTGCTTTGCGCTCGCGCGTGAGCTGGTCGCGGTGGAAAAAAGTTGAGTAATGGTTCGGCGAGGCAGGGTCAAAGCTTGGGAAGACGGAGAGTGGTGGCGGAGTGGTCTCGGCGATGCGGTAGTTGAGGTCGCCCGCCACGAACAGGTGGGATGTCGGCTTGAAGATGGAGATGGACTGCAGTTTGGCTCTGTGCGTCTCGTCTTGTACGAGGTTGTCGTTGGAGGAGGACTGGTGGTGCGGTAGGAGGGGCCGGGTGTCTTCTTCCTCCTCGTTGTTGGTCGTGTCTTTGTTGGAGTCATTATCGTCTTCCTCGGAGGAGGACGAGGAGGAACCGGATGAGGTCAGAGTTGGATAGCGCGGCGCTGTGTCGCCTGCCCCTGAACGGTCCGGTGTTTGCGCGATGGACGTTTCGGCAGGAAAGACTCCCGGCAGAAGGCTCCGCGGGTTGGCAAAGGTCAGGCAAGACACGATGGAGCGCCAGTTGGAGTTGCGCTTTTTGAGGTTCCATTCCATGGCGGCCATGTGGGTGGCGACAAAGGTCAGCTCGGTGGACATGGGTTCTTCATCGCCGTCATGGCCTCGGCCTCGGCTCCATGTCACGCGCAGGCCGACGGCGCCCTTGTTGCCCATGTCTGCGGCACCGAAGCCACACTCTGCTTCCTCAATCTGCTTCGCCGCGGCCGGGTCACGGGCATAGAGAAGAATGGCCGTCATGCCGACATTCTTGGCCCGCACGAGCGTGTACGGGGGACCGGCCACCCTCGGCGGCGTGGTAGAAAGGACGTGCTCATCATGGCCGTCTCTCCCAGCGGCCGCAAGCACCCGTTCCGAGGCGACATTGAGTGCGTCACCAAAGCGAACATAGTAAGGGTCCAGGAAGTAGGGGCCGATAAAGGCGTGTGAGAGCGGTGCTACCTCTTGCAGCGAGCTATCCTCCCCAAATCAGCTTACATATACAGCCAGGGAAGATGATATGAACGCAGAGAGAAAGGAAGTGAGAGGTGAGAGTGAGAGTGAGAAACTGCGAGCCCTCAGATCGGGGTGGGGCACTCGGGAGGCCGAGACCGAGCTTCATTGCATCTCCTGATGTATCAATGGAGCACTAGATCAGCTCAAAGATCTAATTAGGCGACTCACAAGACAACAAGATCAGGCAGACCAGCGGCATTCTGCAACAGCGCAGTATGCAGATGCGAGGCAAAGACGGAAGCATTAATCAAGTTCTTTGCGCAGTTGAAGGTGAGGATCAACAGATCCAGCGTTGACGGCGCCATTCTCGACCCATCCGCCGCATTGATCGAGGATGACGGGCATTCCTCTCGGAGGCCCATGGTGAGGCCGTGGAATAACCGGGAGTGGTCTTGGTTCCGACACCCGGCAAATCCAAGCTTGTTGCGAGTCTGCTTGGTGCGACCCGGGTTATTCTGAAGGACGGCAAATGCAAATTCCGGCCGACATGTGGCAAGCCGCGGGGCGAGGGGCGTTGAAAGCCAAGGGTGTGCCACGTTTGAAGGCCTTGACAGACTTAACTAAAGGCAATGGCAGGATTCAGAACCGTAAAAGCTCCCAGTTGGCCTACTTCTGGCCTCCTTGTCTCCATCTTTCCCTATTATATGTGAAATTCCTGAGTCCCTGCTCTCTCGAGTCGCGTGTTGTCAGGTTGCCCCAGCCATGTGCCCCGCAGGGACTGCATGTATAGCCTCCTGACACCGATTTTTGGTCAGCGCCAACAACTTCGCTTCATGCACCCTACGAGGCTGAGCAGTTCGCTGTCCACTCACCGTGCATGAACTCGCTACATTTCCCACAGTATCACTACCACATGAACAGCAGAGGTCTGAGTCAAATAAGAAAGCAAAAAACGAGACCTTTATTATGAAAGCTACCTGCCATGCATTGCTGCCTTTCCCCCAGATCACGTAAACGGCGAGTTGACCTGTACCCGGGAATCCCGGCTGACTGCACTTGTCGACGGCTTCTCCGACTGCCCTACAAAGCTCGTGCAAAGGCAGGAAGGGAGAAAAGCCCTTGCGGTCCACGGGCACTTTGATCGCGGTTGGTCACGGTGGGTCTATTCCGCAAGCTCCCTGTTGCTTCAGGGCCGAGAGAACGGGCTTTCAAGCGAGCGAACAGAGTTGGCTCCTAACCCCCATCATCCCCATACCGTCCTCCAAACCACTTGCCCAATGTGATGCAAGGATGAACGCTGTCCCATGACGTCCTGTCAACCCGGCCTCCGACCTATCAGTACCAGCTCGGGAACTACTGCCCGGCCGCCCAGGAGCACTGCCACAAATGCCTAGATCGTTGGCTAGGGCCAGAACTGCAATCGTATCCGTTATCTCGGTATCAAAAATCGCTTCGTCCCCTGTTATGCCTCCCCACAAGCGATTCCCGGTGCGATAGAATGCAACGACTAAGCAAGCAAAAAGAAACGGAAAATGCAGGACCAAGAAAAACGAAAAAGGGAGTGGTGACGGGGTAGTTCTTTCTGTAGACGTCGAGAAGCGGCCGATCTCCCAGCGATGCGGACCCGATAGCCAGCTGAAACCTAAACAGTCGGCTGCGCTTCGAGTTTCTGGCCCGTCGTTGTGATCGTTATTCCACTACGCCACCTCGGACATCAGCCGTTTCCCAAAACGACACCCCGACAGGATCGGGATGCCGGGCATGCCGTTCGTCAGATTCCGACCCTAACAGCGAGTCCGGTACTTGACCAAAAGGCCAGGCCGAGCCTAAGCCAACCGGATCACACCGCAGAGCGAAGATCATCCGAGCCAAGGGGAAGGTCGTGAACTGATGAGATGCCGAAGGATAAAAAGGGAGAAAACAATCAATCCCGTAAAACCGGTGCGTAGGGCGTGTATCTGTTATCGATGCTGATCCGGTCCCGGCAAAGGCGCGGCCGCCTCCGCCTAGTAACTCGGGCATTTCATGGCGGAGAGCCGCTAACGGTCATCTCCACCCAGCCGACCAGGAAACATAATCATACAGCCCAAAGGAAGCCATGGTCTGGGGTGCTATTCGGCGCTTCAGTCCATGGGGCGGTACTTGTTCGAAGCGTATCCCGAGCCAGCGCCCTGACCTTTGGCAGCCGAGCGCAGCCTGTTATCGCAAACTGATCGTCAGCACTCCACGTCAGCATTGTAAACCCGGCCAGCGGTTAACGCGCAAACCAAGACTTGAAGAAAATATGATTCCTTACTAGGAATTCTTTGGGCTAGGCTGGCGGTCACTCACATCCTGTCGCTTCCACCGACGGCGCGGCTGGTGTCCGGGTTCTCGCCAATCGGCTTCCGGGTCTGGCGCGGGAGCGCCTGCTGGGCGTCCTTGCGCGTCTGCGACGCGTCCTTGGAATCGCCAGCAGCCGCCTGGTTGGTGTTGTTTCCGGCCGCCTGCTGGATGGCCTGGGCATTCTTCTGGTACTTGTAGACGGTCCAATCAAAGACGTAGTCGTACTGGAAGCCCTCGCGGACAAACAGATCGCGGAAGATCTTGCGCAGGTAGCTGTAGTCGGGCTTATCGTCGAAGCGGAGCGAGCGCGTGTAGTTGAGGTAGATGGCGAACTCGTTGGGGAAACCACGGCAGAGGACATCGGTGGGCGTTGTCATCTTCTTCTCCATGATGCGGTCGTACTTTTGCTTCTTGGTGGCAGCCTTGAGTCCCTGCCACGGGAGAGAGCCGCGGCAGAAGTAGAGCATGACGTAGCCGAGCGACTCCATATCGTCACGGCGGGACTGCTCAACACCGAGATGGGTGTTGATCGAAGCATAGCGGGCCGTGCCAGTCAGGTTCTTGTTCTCTCTGTAAGGAATGTGGAAGTGCGTCTTGGGATCGCGGTACTTCTTGGCCAGACCGAAGTCAATAACATTGACCTGGTTGCCACGCTTGCCAATACCCATGAGGAAGTTGTCGGGCTTGATATCGCGGTGGATGAACGACTTGGCATGGATGTACTCGATGCGGGAAATCAACTGATCGGCGAGAAGAAGGACCGTCTTGAGCGAGAACTTGCGGTTGCAAAAGTTGAACAGGTCCTCCAAGCTGGGACCGAGCAGGTCCAAAACCATGGCATTGTAGTCGCACTCGGTACCAAACCAGCGGACAAATGGAATGCCGACGCCTCCGGCGAGTGATTTGTAGACACGGGCCTCATACTCGAGCTGCGGGTGCTTCGCCTTGACGCTTTCGAGTTTGATAGCAATTTCTTCGCCAGAGATGATGTTGGTACCCAAGTAGATGTCACCGAAGGAGCCAGACCCGATCTTACGACCGATCCGGTACTTGTTCCCCACGCGGAGATCCTAGCAATTAGTTAGCCAGCTGAAGCCGCAATCAGTGCCGATGCAGATGCACCCGCGAGGAGAGCTGCCACGCCCGTCTCTTTTCCTTCCAACTTCTCTCGAGTACATCCATAGGCAGTAGACAGCTCCCATCAACGGCTGCAGGTCGCACTGTCTTCAGTATGTGCATCAAGATTTCGTACCATGGTAGTCATGTTTGCGGCTGGTAGAATTGTTCTACCTCCGGTAACGTCGTCTACTAGAACGCAGCTATGCTAGAGAAGTACTGCGAGCGATGAAGTTAGCGAAAGAATACTTCAATAGAAGTGAACCGGCCGAAACGACGTTTGAATGTGCCAGTAGAGAGGTTAGATGCAGAATGTTGGTGAAGTGTTGCCTCGGATGACGGAGGCGAAACGCAGGCAGCACTGAATCAGCGAGCCTCGCCAAGCGCTCGGATCTCGGAATTGAGCCTTTTATGGGTAGTGCGAATACGGTGCCGATGTCTTGAGGAAACGAGGCGGAAAAAAGAGATGAAAACTCCGAAACTGAAAATCGGACTTTACTCACCCGTTGAACCTAGTTTTCAGACTCGAGCGATGAGGGAACTGGTCGTACTCGACTCTGCAGTCGGTACAAATGTCGGCGAAGGGAAGGGAGAATTTGTGCGTTTGGCTCGAGAGGGTGGCGACAAGAACGAGAATCGCTCGCCAGAAATGGTCTGCGTGGGAAATTAGATAATTAGAATACTGCAATCGGAGGAGCTAGAACGAGGAAAAGGTTTTAATCTTACCGTCAAAGGGGATTTTTGTGCTCTCGATCGGGAGAAGGAGCAGCGTGTGGGCTTGGGGTAGTGGAAAGGGCAGGAGAGGAGGAGAAATTGGGTGAAGGCGATTTGGGGAGGCTTTGAGGTCCCAAGCTGGCCACAGCGGACAGTTGTTCCCCCCCTGCGAAGACGTCGCTGACTGGGCTTGCCCTGGCCACGACTTTGAACTTGATTGAACTCTCCACAGTGCGCCCTTTGCTCGACCAGCATCAAATTGTACAGTGCGGAAACGCCGCCGGACGGCAACAACGTCCAGGGCTCAGGCGAATTTGACAAGCGAGGCATCGCGCTGTGGACCTAGGGAGCCCTTTGCCCAGTGCCCACAGTCAGCCAGATGATGCCCAATCCGGCTGGCAGGGCAAATGAAGCTGCTGCTGGGCTGTTGTCGATTTCAGCCCCCTCACTTGCCTCTGGCCAACGCGGTCCCATCGGTCCTGGCCAGACCAGCCGTGCCAGCGCACCAGTTTGCAGCTGCCTTGGGAGTACCTAGGTCCAATACATTTGTATGCTTGATCATTTAACAAGTAAGCAGGATAAGGACACACGTATCCTGATGATCAGGTAAAGGCACCGTCACGAGGCTCATGCTACTCCGAGGGCCTCGTAACATTCAGGTTCTTGGCAGGCCTCTGGTTTTGGGCAGTCACGCAACGGAACTCGCCATGCGCTTCCGACAGCTCAAACAACCTGCTTCGAGTTCCCGATCAGCAACCCGCGCCAGTTTTGATCGGATAGCCCAACTGTAAACCTTGTGCGTCCTCGTCCCGTCTGTCTGCTGGGCTTCGCAGCCTGCCAAAACAGAGATGCCGGAATGCGCGCTAGGCCTGGACGTTCTGGCCCAGAGAAGGTTCGACGGGACATCCATGAGGTTGCTTAGCTGATCTGAGGACCCGACAGTGCGGGTCAAACATTTGTCATAACTTAGGAAATGCTTTTTGATCGAATGCCGCCTATCAAAAGCGCCTGGAGACGTTCGCTGGTAGTGTTTAAGCGCTTACAGCGTCACGCCCGTCCAGCCATGCGCGGCAGGCTTTGAAAGGGCGGGAGTGGTCTTACCGCTGGCACCGTGCCCGTAATATTGCCGTAATATTTAGCGGACATGGCGTCTACAAAGGGTAATCAAGCCGCAAACGCCTTAGTTCTCGATGGCATAATCGAGAAAGCAAATTGCAGTCAATGCAGGCACAAGAAGCAGACAGTCAATCCCGGAGACGCATTAACATCAGAGGTGGTCATTGAGCCTGAACCTCCAGCTGAAAGGAATAACTATAGAAATTTCAATGGGTTCATGTCTGGACTCTGGATACTCCGTGACATCCATACTGTATGTATTATATGGTCTCCGTACTGTGGACGATGCTGATCTGCAGGAAGGCTCTCGATGTGGCTCGCAAAAAGGCATTACCAGTATCATTCGGATCCAGAATCCAGATCAAGGTGATGATTCCATATCTACATACATACACTAATCGAAGCACCTTGGTTCCCAGCCGACTTATACACCAAGCTGGAGTACACACGTATGTCCTGCGTAAGTACCTGGCTTGTCGTGCACCCCTGCCTGCGCCCTGTGCAAGCCTCAACTTCCCACTTCCGAGTCCTCCGTGGGTTCGCGGCCGCACATGGGTCGCGCGCCACAAGCCATATGATGCCATGGATACAGGGCCACAGGTTCAAGATTCTACAGCAGCACATACCCGGCTATTTGACACTACTGTGCCTTGGAGCACTCAAGTTGACGGGCTGATCGGACACTCGGGCGGCTTGTCGATCCTCGATAGTGAGCTTTTCAGTCCGAATTCGAATTGCAAGTGTTGGTCGTGTGGCACAACCTGTAGGGTTGCCAACGGCGTTCATCAGCCCTGGCACTAACCAACTGACTACCAGGTAATAAGCTGAAAATAGCTCCAAAAGCATAAGGTAGGGACTGGACCGTCTCGCTCTGCTGCAGTTCTGCGAAGGTACGATCAGGTGCACTTCTTTCCTTTGATCACAGCGCGCCATAAAGCGACGAGCCGATCGAGCTTGGTTACACAACCCACAGCCTAGTATCACCTCTCCATTATAGGTCAGCCACGTTAGTTATTGGCTCTCAACCAATATTAGGGCGTCGGCCACTCACTCGACCTTAACCTTGGATCGCGGACTGGGAGGAAGGCCTCATTCCCGTCTACCTACTCACCAGCTTCAGGGACCATTCTTCTACCCTATGTTCCAGAGACACCATAGGGGTTGGACTGGTATTACTGCTTGTTGCTGAGATAGAGCTGTTCTCAATGGTAGCCTGCTCGGGCTGAAAGGCAGGTTGATATATGTTGCTATGAACTCTCGGCCTCACCGAGGTTCCAGTGACCACACAAACAACATCTGACGGGTTTGCCCACTCATTCGTGTCATCGATCCCGTAGTCGAGCCATCTAGATGCTCTATCAGCTTACTCACTGCCTTGTCCTTCGGCAGACACAAGAGGCAATCTTCTGGGGGAGTTCAGATCCCTTTTCATACCGTGGCGTTCGCAATGTCCGTCAGACATGTAGAGGCTAGAGGTACATCATGTAGTCGTTCACTTAGGTACCTTACCTTATATACTCGTGAGTGACGACAAATCAGAAAGCCTAGAGATACTATCCTATCCATACAATGCAAGTCATTGCCCTGGCATGTCCCCGAGAACTTGACAATTAGGTATCTCTGCAAAACAAGAGTAGTTGTCAACTTGAAGCAATGGTATTGAAGCTCTTCTAAGGACCTGGATACAGTCACGGGTACGTATACGATTGGCTTGCCGTTGACTTAACAAGTCTCAGGTCCAACCTGTCATTGTCGTTGTTGACTGCTATGGAGTCTAAGAATCCCCGAATGCCCATACCTGTCCCCATGGCATGAAGATCCTGTCCTTGTATGAGGTTGAGCCGGTTAATTCCAGCAATGTACCCAGGCTAGGTAGGCTTCCTTTCAGACGGAATCATTGTAGGACTGCTCACATGCGCTGCCCGTCCGCTATATACTTTGTCCAGCGCCCAATAATTAACCCCCCTCCCCGGAGTGGTGCATTGGAGAGTTACTGAGCGGTGTTTCACGGTGTTTCACTTCGCTCCTTCCCCTTTCTCGTCAAGAGGTCGCCAGTTCGAGCCCGCTCAGGTACCTAGATAGGCAACATTCACAAGCACCAGACAACAGGCTCCTGCACATCGCCAGGCACCAAACCTGGAGTCTCTGAGCATCGAGAGGCCCTGCCAGTTTGGGCTCCTTAGGTCAGACTTTGTTGAGCTCCTTCTAGCGTACCTGCGTAGCAATGCCAGCTTACCAGCGCTGGTTTTCCACCCACGAAGGCTTGGTAATCCATGTACCGTTGGCGTGAGTTACCCGTGCAAGCCTTACCGCCCAGCTTGCGCCTATTGGTTCCGAGATTATTTAACGTCTGAGCACCTGTGCTGAAGCTGAGTCTTTCACGACGCCACCACACCACGAGCAAAACGTCACTGACAAGCTGGAGGAGCTGGAGGGCCTGGCCAATCTGTGCGAGACCGAGCATGCTGACAAAGGTATTCGAGATGCGGGTAGCCTGCCATCACGATCCCTTGCCAACCTCCATGGAGGCCGTTTCCCCGAAGCCGGTATCACATTCGCTGCCAGTAGTACGTAGGGCCACTGTAGTACCCATGGTGATGAGGCGTCCGCTAGGTGGCCATCGACTACTGCTTGGCAATACTACTCCGACGGTCGAGCTGTCCGCTGGCTTCCCCAGCCTGGAGCCTATCTACCTACCTTCTTGACATTGACTCCCTGTACTTGTAAAATGCCTGACCTGGAGCTTGTGCTCTGGAAGAGACGTCGCCGCCGACTGGGGCTTGAGCTACTTGGTGGCTCTGGTAACCTGATCCGTTCTAGTATGATGTGAAGGAAAGATGACTCTTGATTCAAGGGTGGCAACCTTGACGGAAGCCTGACATCTTTGGCAGGATCAACATTCGTCTCATCACTAGGTACCTGCCGACGTCATACTCTTTCGGGAAACAGAGTGAGTTATATTGAAATGGTGCGAACTCACACACCAAACCACACACACAACAACAATAGGGGGAGGAAACGAACCTCGGAACTTAGAGCTGAACCATACTATAGACCTATGACCTATGACCTTTGACCTGTGACTCTGAACATGAACTAGAACTCGTATCACTCAGAGAACATATGCCAGAGATAGGTATTGCCCTGATTAGAGGGCTAAGACTACCGGAAAGTGGCCCGAAGGCCGGGTGCAAGTATGAGAGGAGAGTGTTGTTGTATAAGTTTGAGAAAATGAGAAAGTCAAAAGCGAAGTTGTAGATATATGACTATTTAGGGGTATGCCCCTGTCTCCACAGATCCGTCCCTCTGATCCGACCTACCTAGAGCTCCTCCACTGCTCCTGAGACCTCCCGAGCGTATGGGAACACTTTGCCCTGTTTCAATATGCAGCCCAGGATTCAACGGTGCTGGTGGGGGTTCAGTACTAACTTCCACGTTGTCTATTACAGGTGGGCCCGGCCACACAGCGTCCGAACATACTGGCACAAGATAGTACTAGCGAGAGGACATGCAAGGTTGCAATTTCAGAACTTACTGGCTAGGTAAGGTACCGTGGCCGTTGCAAGAAGCTGGCCAACTCATGTACAAAGATTCCGTCTCGTTGTCTGCATGTGAGCTATACACCTTACACGGGGAGTAACTTCCCCTTGGTTCCGTTTTGTTGGACCAACTACCTCCGGACAGCGGTTGTCCTGCAGCACGAGCCAAAAGTCATCCCCTGAGACAGAAGAAGCCGCATCCTGAATTCAAAGAGGCTAGAGGTGGGATCACAGATGAAGAAGATGTCCTGCTACGAGCGTTAGTGCTAAGACTGCAGGTTGAGAAAGTCAATATGCCAACATGAACGCAACTGTTCAGGTTCCCAATGTTGTCCTTGTTCTGAGCTTGACCACGAACATCAGGTACAGTACTCCGTACCTATGTAACCTGAACTCCATCGCAATTTCCATCCATCACGTGAACCCCACAAAAGGGCCCCTGGAAAGAGGCTGCGGGGCGTTGATCCCCCCTTTATGCGGCTGGTGAACATGGCCCCTGGTCCCTGGCTTGGCAAGGCTTCAGGGGCGCTTTTCCTAGCGTAGGTTGCATCCTCAGGGTCCAACACTTGTTGGGACTTCGTTTCTTTGTCCCGTCTTTGGTGATTTGCGTTATCTGCCGAGGTTTGAGTTTCTGGTAATAGCGCAACTTCATGATAGGGAGCCCTGGTCTCCTTTCAGGAGGGAGAGGCCTTTTCGTGGAACCATCGTTCAGATTATTCAGTTACAAGGATATCACGTATCGCTCGGCCGTCATTTCCCTCTTCACCGCGCGCGCCTGGCAGAAACCCAGAGATAAGACCTGGCGTATATCACCAAGAACAAGCAGCTCAATGGAATCGCTAGCCCTACCCACTTCGCCGAACTCGGCAATTGGCATCCGGAATACGATGTTGCTCGCACCTTGCTGCGTAGCAGTGAACCACAGGGTGACAGGATGGCGCGGCATGCTTCTCTGATAGCCGGTTTTCGGTAAGTTGCTGTGGTCAAGATTTCCAGGAGACACAGTCTGGTCAAGACATTGTCTTCTCGGGGCTCGTCTCAGCAGTTGCCTGCCCGCTCTTTCCATCGTCCGCGGCCGAGCAAAAGATGCGCTGTGATGACAAGGCAAGCGGGTTGCGCGGAGGCACCTCCGTCACGGTAAGAACCGTGCCTGAACTATTCACTCCATTGTTGGCAACCCTTGCATTTCATTAGTGTAGCGTGGCTGGACTGAACCTGTAAGGCACATAGTATGAATAGCCTCACGCTACATACATGATACATCCGTATGTACCGGTAACGTGGAAGGAGACCCAAACCGACATATGTACTTTGTAGTTGATGGTTCATCAAGGCACAGTATTGGAAGGGACTGATTAAAGGAGGAGACAGGGCCAGATTATTAGGTAGGCATTGTTCGTGGTCATTGAAGCCGGTCACTGTACTCCGTACAGTACCTACACATGCAGTTCTACAAGCCTACACAGTAGAGAGCTGGCGTTGGCCATGTTTGCCCACCCCGGGCTGCCGAGAGTTGGTCCATGACTTGCATCTTGTTACCTTAACTTGTCCGGGTGACCACCCGAAGACTCTGGGAGCTTTGACGCTAGCGGTATTTTGCCCCCTGAGCAGAACGCCGGCAACTTCTCAGCTGTTCACTGCCAGCTGTCTCTTTTTCTCTTCTTTTCGTCATTGAAGTCGAGTGTTGCAACGTCCAGTAATACCAATCTGTTGACCGAGCCTGTTGTTAGGCGAAACACACTCTTCCGGCGTCCGACTTCCGTCGTTGCCCTCTGCGAACCAGGAAAGGTGCTTCAGGCACCGCACACCGCTGCAATATTCGGGATCGCGCTCCCGATCTCCAGGGGTCCACTAGAGTAGCCACCCAATTGCCGTCTCTCTTGCCAGTCAACGAAAATTGTCCTCTTCGAGCGAGCCCATTTATTAAAGACGTGGCCTCGGTCTACGATCGCAAAGGATACGTTAGGGTAGTTGATCTGATCTCTCCAACGCTGCACAGTTGGACCTATAACTTGAGCACGTCGACTCTGCCACGGCCTCCTGAAAACCCACCTCAACAACGAACTGGAATCGCTCAGTGTTTTCACATTGCGGGGCTGGATCAAACAAAGCAAAATCCAAGCCGATCGCAACATCCCGTCGCATCGCAGCAGCGACTAACATACCGGGCGACTCCAGGTCAGAGTGGTAGGCGCAGTGGAGAATAGCAGCGGTGCCTTCTGCCGAACTGACACAACGCAGATTGCAGGACCAGGGCAGAACTGAGAGGTGACTTCCGAAAGCGACCGTGCAAAAGCGGTGGAAAGCATTCTTCACGGCTCCCCGGCACATAACCGTCGCAACATCTCATCGCTGAGAGTTCCGTCGCCAGCCAGACGGCACGAACGTCGAAAAGAGGGGCCAAAACCGTATCGATCATCGAGAGGGCTCAGAGTCCATCCCGAAATCGTCAATTTGTCGCCGGCGGACAGATCTGTGCTTTGCAACAAGTGCACGAACGACAAGCGGGAGCGACCCGCTGTCCTGCCTGAGTAACGCTCCTGATCCCCACTGGTATGACGCCAGCCCCGGCCGGAGGAATTCAGTCCAAGACATTTTGACACGGTAGCACGGGGCACGCTGCACTCCAGGCTAAAGTAAGGCCAGAAACAACACTCAACTCTCCAGGAGCCAAACCACCGGCACCTAATTCAGCATTTGCTCGCGCGTCTGCCTGCCATGGCCGCTACCCAACCAGAGCAGCAAGGTAAGTCTCCGTCAGAATCGTGCTACACCCTTTATCATCCTATCAGATGCGCAGTCTGCCGTATCGCACTCCAGTGGTGGCAGAGGTGAACAGAACCGGGGGGCAGAGATTCCTACCTACCCTTCCCACTTTCCCAGTTTTCTCGGGCTTTATATGGGGCTGCATTTGTGGCTAGGCATTTCGTTCCCGTCGGCTTTCCCCAGCCATTAAGCATGTTGTGTCATGAGAGGAGATTGCTGTTTCATCTCGCAATCACCGTCGTCATCGCATGCATGCTGCCGCTTGCCCAACCTGCTGTTCCTTGCTCGGCATATCACTAACTTGCTGGGGGCGCTCGCTACCTCGGAGGACATTTAGATCAGCAGTCTGCTGGCTTGCTTTTGAACCTAAACTCAAACAACCCCTTCCGCAACCGCGCCGCATCGCCCGCTCTTCCAAGCCCGGTCTCTCCCTTCGCCGACCCGCCTCCCCGACCCGTTTCGCGCAACCCGTTTCTTGACCCTGCCATCGCCAACAGGTCGAGTTTGTCGAATATCCGATCCGCCTCCGAAACCATGTCGCTTGAGAAGAGGCCATCGCTCACGGCTGAGGACATATTTGTATGTTGCATCCCAGTTTGTTCGCGCCGCATCAATACATGATAAGCCCGTGCTTGACTCCCATCAGAATCCGTGATCAAGGCTGACCACTCTCCACAGGGTTCTCTGACGCTCGAGGATTCGAAGACGTTTTCAGATACGCCGCCGAAGCCAGATGCGGCGAAGGCACCACCGACAGGGCGCAGTGCCCCACCGCCTCCTGGGCGTGAGAATATGCCGCCCCCCGGCCGCAGAGGCCCGCCGCCAAATCACCGGCCGACTCGCTCGCAGGAGGAGGCCCTCCGCGCCCGGAGAATGCAAGGGAACAGCGACATCTCGGGTCCCTTAGGTCCCCCCCGTTCTCCTCAGAGACGCCAGGAGAGACGCCCGCGCAGGAACTCGGAATCCTCCATCATGGACTCGGAAAGGATTATGACCGAAGAGGAGAGAAAGCAGCGCGATTTGAGGCGACGTGAGCGCGAGCGTCGTCACCGTGAGAAGGGGAAACCCAGCCGTCGGCTTGACATCATTGACCAGCTTGATGCGACGAGCATCTATGGGACAGGAAGTAGGCTCTTCCCCTTCCGACATAAATCAAGCCTCTCTGACCCACTTTTACAGTTTTCCATCACGACGGGCCCTTTGACGCGCTTAATCCCCACCGAAACAGACAAGGTAGCAGGCGTGCTCCTATGCAGGCCTTCCCAGAGGGCTCGCTGAACAACACGCTGGGTGGGTCAGGGCCGCTCAACACCCGTCCCGATCATGCAACCTTCTTAGGACAAGGAGAAGACGAGGCCTTCAAGGAGTGGTCTAAGGTTGCCAAGGGGAAGAAGGAAATGCCAGTGTTTGATCCCCTTAGTCGTGGCGAAACGCTGCACGGCGACCAGTCACTTGGTCTGGGCACGTCCACATTTCTGGAAGGGACACCAGCACCACGGGCGGCGATCCAGAAGCGTGAGGAAGAGCGGGCCGCCGAGGTCATGAGTGAGGGTCTCCAACGCAAGAAGTCGCTCGCCCAGCGCATTCGCAACATGAACCGCGGACAGCGCGAGTTCCAGCCATCGGGTAGATTGACCAACCCTGAGATAGGTTTCGGATCCCGAAGGTCGCCTTCGGAGAGTGGGCCGGCCTCGGCTACCGCGTCCTCTGCGAACCCGGAACGCAACCCCTTCTTCAGCGAATTTGCCTCGGATAAGGGGGGCGAAGAGGGCTTCACAGTACGCAAGATGGATTCGAATGGGGACAAGGCGACACCTACGAGCCCTCGCGGCGGATTCGGCCTGGAGCGCAGGTCGACAGCGGATGGGACGCCGAGCGACGGTACGCAGCCCAAGCCCACCGGTATTCTGGGCCGTATGAAGAGTTTGAAAGGTGGACGGCGTCAGCGATCGGGGCCTTCGGGTGGCGGTGACACAAATGCCGCCGCAGCCCCTGGAACAGCGGTTTAGAAACGTCGCTGGCGAATTTAAGGGAGACTGTTTTAAGCACCTCTTGCGAAGGCTGCTTGACCCGGGCCGGCGGTCTGCATGGCTGGTACCCCCACATCATCCTGTCCTCCGGTCCATCTCTCGACTCGATACCCTCTGCAGGCACAGACTAATTTGGGGATGCCGCAATCTGGTTGGCGGTTGAGTCTTCGCCGTGCTCGTGTTGTATGCTCTGCTCCCATGGCGAAGGAATGACATGGGCTACAGCGCAGTCACCTCTCGTCTTGTTTTACTCCCCCATCCATCTATTTTTCACGCTTTTGAGGCGACGTACCTGATCTCAGTGATCAAATTAATGTGATGCGTTGACAAGGAGTCAAGATATGCTAGCTAGGTAGTTCTATCCCTTCCTATAATCCGTTCTTTTTTTCTTCTCTTCCTCTCTCTCTCCTTGAGTCCATCACATGGTCTGTGTTGTAAGGCAGCGGGCAGTGGAAATTGTCAACGTATCCTTTTTCTACGGGTTTTGTACCTATACATACTTACGTTGTTGGCCGATCCCCTTTTGTCCATTACGGAAGACGGAATGGCTTTGGGTCTGTCTTGTAAACAGGCAGACAGACAGAAAGACAGACAAGTTAGTTAGGCGAAGCGCTGTGTTTTGGTAAGACAAAACGGCCTTGACTGATGTGTGAGCGATGTGAGTGAGTAGCGCGTCTAGCCTAGGTGTCCTCCTGTCCCTATCTACATGACTTTCCGCTGTGTAGCGGTGCATTGCCTTGCTCGACCAATCACTCAAGTAGTAATAAGCTGACCCAGGAGTTGGTGATGCAAGCAGGTAGTAGAGCTTACATACGGTGCTGTACATACTCAAATCTCATAGCAGTGTAAGCCCTGGGGCTCAGGGGCTGACTAAACGGTTGCTGGTTCCAGCGATGAAACCGAGGGTGAGTTGAATGATCTGATCGCTCTTGTGGGATGATGGAGCGAGGTTTGAGATGCTACAGTGACAGGATCTACCTTTTCTTATTGTTCGTGTGAGTCCGTGTCGCTTGATTGACGTTTCGTTGCCGAAGCGCCGTTTTTGACGCTGCTTTCCTATCAGACCTCCCCTCTCGGTTACTGCTGCGGTCTCCTTGGCCACCAACTATTTTGTGTTGAAGACACCGTTTCCGCGCTCACTTGCGAAGTCAAGTTCCGGATTGTAAAAGTCAGCTTCGAAACGACCATATAAGGTAGTAAGCAGTGTGCAAAGATTCTGCCTACTCATGAGTCAACCTGGAACCTTGAGAGGGTTGATCGTGCCAACAAGCAGAAAATAGCGTTGTACTAAAACCTAGGTAGGCACCTACCTAGGTAACTTAGGAGTTACTGCTTGGCCACATACATCCCTTAGGACTGCGGCAACGTTCCTGAGAAAATTCAACACCACGAAATCACCACTGAAGGCAGAATGGACTTCAATTAACTGAGACACGAGCCGTATTCAGCAGTGAAACAGCCAGCTAATTTGGAGCACATTTTCAGCCGGTGCAATGTTTCTTTTCAACCACCTACATTTCTGTTGACGACACAATGTTTTTTCTACCAACGCCAACAGGGTGCACCGGTTACACATTTACAGTAGTATTCCACAATATTCAACCAGATGACAGTCTTTCCGACGGTTTCTTGCCTCATCACGAGCAAGTATGGAGCACATGAAAGACTCCCGGGCACACCTGCCCTCGGCCATCCTAGAGGTCTCCCAATCCCAACTACAGCCACTCTCCGCCTCGGTACTTCTTGATCAGGAGCTCGCTAGGAAGGCACGCCTCCGAAGGAAGGGCAATTTGATGACTGGGTGCAATGAACTCGACGATTACGTCTTGCTCGGAGGGTTTGAGCGGGGGTCCGTCGTTGGGCTGAGCGCCGAGGAGGAAGAACTAGGGCTGTCTGTAAGTTCTCGTTTATTTTGCCTCTCTTCCTCTCTGCTGAAGAGTGGATAGTGGGCGACCATGTGCTCCTTCTGTCTTTGGTTGGGGCTGACATGAGAGACAGATCGGTCTTCAAACCATCGCCCGTATGCTAGCCAAGGGACCCGGCAAAGCATTGATCATCACTACACTGCCAAGGACCGTGGTGTTGTTGAAGTTGCAGAAGGTGCTAGCCAGTCAGCTAAAGGATCCAGGAGGCGGCAAACAGAAAATCAAGGGGTGCCTTGAGAGGATCTTCATTACCACCGTATTCAATATCAAAGGGCTCTGGGATGCTCTCCGTGAGCTGGAGACAGCTGCTCAAGCAGCCGGTACGGAAGTGCCGCAAGCTTCTGCTACTCAAGACAGGAAACCCGAACCCGAAATGGACGCCCCGGAATCCGGGCAACGGACCCGGCAGCGGACCGAAGTTCAAGACACCGAAGGCAAAGTCGGCTTCCACCCTACAGAATCACCTCTCCCTCAGGAGCCAAACGAGAGTGGTGCCTGGCATGATGACTTTCCTCGATCCGCCCTCCCGGACATTATCCTCATCACAAACATTTCCTCGATCCTCTCTGTCCTCTTCGCCTCCTGCGACAAGCCAACCGCACACGACACTGCGCTCCTCCTCTCATCCCACCTGCATTTCCTCAGCCGTTCTCCCGCCTACAACGACCCCTTGATCATACTCCTCAACTCCACGACATCCCCGTTCTCTCAGGCCTTCCACGACGATGCTGTCACTGCCACCGACACAGCCACCACAATAGGCGAGCCGTTGCGGCAAGTTATGAAGCGCACAGAGCCGACGCTCAGCTCAATCTTCGAACCCACAGCGGCACAACAAGCGGCTGCTCATTTGCCTGGGCAACAGCAACAACCTAGACAGCGAAACAGACCGTTGTTTGGGCAAGTCTTTGCGCAAATGCTGGATCTGCACCTACTCTGTACGCGTGTGCCAAGAACGAAGGAAGACGCCGCTGCTGCTGCCGCCGGTGTGGGGTCTGGGTTTGTATCCCAAGTTTGGGTGGTGGAGGTGCTACTGGATGAGATCGGGGTGTACGAGAGGCTTGAGGCTGAGGAAAATGGCGCGTTGGGCTCGAGGAGGAGCAGAGAGCAGAGGTGGGCTGCTGTGGATGTTGATGAGGTTGGGGACGGGAGGGTTGTGGATGCTTTCAGGGGGTAGTCAACAAACCCGGGAATGAGAAAGATGGATGACAGCAGGGCACGAATAACCTCTTTTTACTAACGAGTGGTATAGGGGGAAGTTTTCCCCAACTCAAGCCAACCCTTGAATGGGGTTGCCTTCTTACAGATCCCCCATACCCTCCTGATATGCCCCAGATTCCGTCTCCAGATACGGCTCCAGCCTACCCTTCAACTCCTCCACGCTGATATCCTCATCATTGACATGATGCCCGTCGCCGTCATGCTGGCGCGGCGGAATCAGCACCTTGCCCACAACTTGAATGACCCCGTCATTCGCCACCCCGTCCCTGACCACCACCCTCACGAACCCATTCACCACGATCGACACAAACCCCCTCCACGTCTTTATGTCCACACTAACCGGCTTGTCATCCAGCAGCGTCGGGAGGTCCACATGGCGGTAGTCAGCCACCCCTTCATCATCTTCCTCACCATCATCATCAGGTCGATAGAACGCGTCCGAATACAGCGTCTCGTTGACAACAATATGGTACTTGACGAGCGCCTTGAGATACTTGCGCCCCCATTCCGAGAACAAGAAAGCGTTCGCCCTAGGCCCAAGCATAGCCCATGCGTGGTTGGTGGGTGCAAAGAGGGTGCCCCCGACCCTGTCACTCCCGCCCTTGGAAGCCTCCAGCTCGTCCACGAGCCCCGTCCTCTCCAGCGCCAGCGCGAAAGTGCTAAAGGTCCCCGGCAGGAGGCGCACCAGGGTCGCCTGGCCGGGGGGCGGGAGGAGGAAGGCGTCGACGGCGTGGACGAGGCCGTTCTTGGCGACAAAGTCGCCCGCCAGCAGCCGCGCGTGGAAGTTGAAGGTCACCCGGTGCAGAAGCGGCGTGGCGCTCACGCGCAGCCGCTGCGGGTGCTTGTCGCTGCCGCCCAGGCCCGCGGGTTGTAGCTCCGTGGGGAGGGTCTGCGCTGACAGTATGTCGCGCCACGAGTGTAGGCCGGGGAGGAGGTGGTATTTCAGCAGGGCCAGGACGAATTCCTTGGGCGGTTTGTGGTCGTCACCATCGTCGTCGTTGTTATCGTCACCGTCATGGCCATGCTTGCCTTTGTGGTGGCGAGGGATACGGCGAAAGGCGCGGTCAGTTGGGACCAGCAAGGTATGGTTGTGCTTTGTGTCTTGCAGCAGCTGCTTGATCTCGTCGTAGTCCTCGATGAGCTTGGCAAACTTGGTGGTGTGCTTGCTTTCCTTGATTAGTTCGTAAATGGTCTTGTCCGGGTCGCCGCGGGGCGGGTGGTGTCCATGGTGAGGTGGGTGGGAGTGTTCGTCGTCGTCATCATTATCTTCTTCCCCTTCGCTGTGGTCACTGCCAAAGGGCCGGCGCAAGATGCTATCAACGCGGTGGACGCTCTCGGTTATGCGCCCTTCGACCGCCGAAAGAAGATCGCTCGCATCCGGGAGGGCATCCCACCAGGATTGGACTGCACCCTGAGCTGCACCTTTGTGAACAATTGGAACTTGTTGGCTTTCGGCCGCACGAGGGGTAACGAAGCCAGCTGCGGTAGCAGCAAACAACAGTATGGCCTGCCTCATGATGTCGTGCTCTTCTGTATAATACAGCAGTGGTTTGCACAATTTTGTTGGAGGAGCACAACGCCAACGAAGATGTCTAGTAGCGTCTGAAAAGACAGACACATATGTACGGAGAATATCAAGCTGTCATCCTACCTCATGGGGATCCGCCGGAACGCGCGGCCATGTCGTCCCGCCTTTACTTTGCAGTATAGCGTCATCTTTCTCGGAGCAGGGCGACTGATTGGTCATTGACCCCGCGATTGGACCGATATGTATCACACCTTTGGTGGCTCGATGATATGTGGCTGCATGTGTGCGGCTACTTTGTAAGCCTAGAGCCTGCGTCATGATCTCCTCATGAACGGGGTTCAAGAGCTTTGATATCTCTTATTGTCCGGGATCCACTCGGTGTCATTGAGCCTCCGATTCGCCGGGAGCCGGACCTGGCCGTGGTTCCGAGTTCCGTCCTGGCCCACAGGTACGAAGTAGACAGTATTTGGTTGCTTGGGATAGGAGGCAGGAACAGGAAGACTCGGCCCCCACGCTTGCGGCCGTCGAGGACCTCACCGCAGAGACCGGCCATGCTTTGTGAGCTACATTTGTCGGGAAATGTAGCCTAAGAGGTGGTGATGATGGTATATTGGTAGCTTTGTGAGCTGGTACGGTTGCCACCGGTTGGTTTCGGCATCAGACACGCCTTGGCTAATAAATTGGGTCGGCGCTTCGATCCAGATTCCCGGGAGACTCGGTTGAGCATGCCGTGCTGATGCGTGCGTAGGATACCGGCGGTGCAGATACATACCTCCAGCTGTTTGGATGACAGCGAAGGTAGGTAGTGTATGAACTGAAATGCATGTGCATACAGTGCATCAAGTACCATTGGTAACTGATCTCGCCGAAGCTCTTTGCCCTACCCGATGCCATATATCGAGAAGCAAGCACATATGCCGACATCAGATACTCCGTACAAGCAGCCTACAGTACCTAGATAGGTTGCCGACATACCGTATCGCCTGGGAACAAACCTGTCTAGGAATCTGCACGACGACGGCGGGGGCTGCATGCTAGAGCTGCCTCGAGGGCACCACGCTGAGGAAAGCCAAAGGCCCAAGTTAGTTAGCCAATTCGTACAAACAACGCTCTTCAAGATGCAGAGTAGCTCTGGTCAGAGCCGGAACCAACAGTCGCAAGTGCGCCTATCTGCTTGTCATTGATTGGATAGCATCCACTGGTTCGGTAGGGCCTGGTGGCGGGTGTGGCCGTTTGGGGGCCTAGAGGCTAGTAGTGTAGTGCGTGGCGGGCTGTGGAGGGGGAGAAGCGTTCTCGAAGACAAAATTTACACGTATTGTTCATCTCGACCATTTAGCTGATACCCCTGCAGCCAGGATGCCTGTTGCTCTCCCGAGTCACCTGCTTCTGCGGCAATCTGATGCAAAGTGCCAGGTATCGGTAGTCACTAGCTCTCGACCTTTCCATCAAGAGAATGAATCGATATCGATCGGCAGTGGTCTGAGAAGCGTGTTGTACGGAGTATGGTAGCGTTACCTCCTCCATGTTTGAACTTTGAAGATTGGATGAAGTGGGCCCTAAAGTTCATGGCGGGGTTCGGGACAAGATGACATTACATTAGCGGTGGGGTTGGCAAGCGAAGGTGGGCCTGGCCGGGGGAGGTAGCCGATTCTGCCCAGTGACAATCGTTGTCTCCTGCCACAACCCTTCAGTTGCTCGATCTCGCCCGTCCTTCACCACCTCGACCACCTACCTACCTCCACACACCAGTGACACCACAAGCACACCGCACCGAGTTAAGGCTCTTCTCGCTCGCTAATGTTACTGTACACACGTTGAATAATATGCCGTGTATGCTGCCAAGTGAGGCTGAACGGTTTTCAATTCAGAGGCCCGGGCCCTCTGCATCCTTGCAGGGCGGCCAGGTTGAGCTGAGCTTCTTCGATTATTGTTAGGCTACTCTGCCCTGTTTCCTCACCTTGGGCCTCTTCCATCCCGCTTCGCTTCATCGCGACACCTCATCCATGTTACTGTTCGCCATGACTTCATCAACCACAACACTCAGAGCCGTTGCATAGCCCGGGACTCGAAGGCCTCACCACGGGCCGCTTCTCAGCTTTGCAGGGACCGGATTTCGCTCCTGGTTTTCTCGGCTCCGCCGCGGAGCGAATAACAGCAGGGCAGCAGGGTCCTGCACAGCCTCGCCCTCCACACTCACTCACACCGCACACTCCCATCGCTTTCGTGGCTGGCAGCTCCCCTGCCCGCGTCGCGAACGCCGACCACGGTTGATACGACAGCCGTTTTTCCCTACACAATCCAAATTCCTCCTTCCTCCTAATCAACTACCGCTGCTGTTGAGTTTTCGATTGATTCATGCTGCAGCAGCTGCAGCAAAGGCACTCTGCAGCCATGGCTGCGAGGCCGCTCGCCCGCTCAGTGCTCGCTGCCAGATCGACTCCTCTGTCCCCTGGCGCCATTGCTGGGGCTGTGATCGGGTCAATCGTCGGTGTCGTGATCATTGCGATCTGTCTCTTCCCTTTCATTGTCCGCGCCAGACGCCGATGGCTTTCCCGTTATGACGAGCCCACCCTGGCCGAGATGGGGCAGAGCCCCGGAGGCCCCATTTTCCCTGCTCAAGACCTGGACGACAAGTCCTCCAAGAGATGCTCAGGGTCCGGCCTTGAAAATGGTATTGCCCTCGACCATCCTCAACCGGCCTCACCTGACCACCAACCTCAACCCGCAACCGTCCCGCAAGGCGTCGCTCCTCAGCAGGGTCTTCCCTCGCCAACCTCGTCCCTCTCGCCGGTTTCTAGGGCTAACTCGTCACTCGGCTTAGCCCACGTCGACAGCCAGGCAGCTTCCCCTGTGGCGGCGTCTGCTCCGGCGCAATTACCCACCGAGGCCTCCTTTAAATCGCATCGCGGGTCCAGGGGGACTGTAGGCCGCGAAAGCCCCCGAGAATTGAGCTTTACCGAGTCCTATGGGCCGCCTAGCCGTGAGCTCACCCACATAACCTCAGTCGGCATTACAGAGGAGCCCGAGTCCTTTGAGCCCACTCCGCATCGTCAACATTCCAAAGTCACAGACTCCATCCGGAGTCTCATCCACCGCCGACATTCATCACAGCAGCGCCGCGACAGCAAGCGCTCTACCTCCGACGCTACTGACAGAGCGCGTTCGCCCTCCATCGTAACCAACGAGCTACTCGCCCAGACCGAGCTTACTCCGTCCGGCCTCGAGATCGATCCCAACACTGTTGGCTTGGCCTGGGATTACTATAACGACCCGACTCTGGGGACTGACGCTTCTCAGCGACTTGCGACAGTCCCAACGTCTTTCAATACTCTTCCACCAACACATGCCACAGCTTCGGTGCCAATCAGCCCCGTCTCTCCCATTGACCAAAGTGCACCCTTTATGACAGCAGGACCGGTTACAGGGGACGCTATTTCGCAGGACAGTGACAAAACCATCACAGCCAAGGCGCCCACGAGGTCATTTAGCAGACAAAGCACATTCGCACTCGGCCAGAAACCGCTTGGCCCGCTGCAGCGTACCGACAGCCTCCCCCCTCCAACTATTGTTAACGATATCCCTAGTCCTCCTCTGCAATACACCATTGGCCCAAGCGGTAATCCCATGGAGATGATGAAGCCAACCAACCCTGCCGAAAGCGCGTGGATGCTGGAACACGAAATGCGTATGATCCAAAATCCTCCGCCGCAACCTCCCGCCGAACCTGACCTGCCTGTCCCGGTGCCGATGCCTGTGCCTGTGAATGAACCCTCCTACGTTATCCCCAGCCAGGATCTGGAGCCGAACTATCAAGCTCAATATCAATCGCCTTATCAATCACCATACCAGCCAGCCTTGGACTTTGAAGCACAGCTCCATGTCGAGCCGGCTGAGTACTACAACCCCACCATATTGACGACGACTGGACAATATGCGACACCACCGCCTTCAACTGGCCCCTCGGCGCAGAGCACACCTGACACGAGGCTGACATCTTACACCGCGTCTCCCTCCCCACCCACCGATCTTGATGCAGTATACCATAGCCAACTGGCACCGTCGCCAGGGCTATCGCCAGGTCAATGGTCAGGACCGTCGAGGGGGCCGTCGCCTGGACTATCACCGGGTATATCGTCGGGACCCTCGCGGGGACCCTCGCCAACACCTTCGCCATTACCGGGGCAGTCCCCAGGCAGGACGTTCGCTTGTGATCAATGCCATCGTGTGTTTGACCAGATACATAAGTTGAAGTATGTGGACTCTTTCTGGTACCTGCTCGGTATACGGCTAACGGATAGTTGTAGTCACCACAGGCGCTACCACGAGCGGCGCCATGAGTGCCCTCAGCCGGGCTGCACGATGCGTTTCGGTACCAAGACACACCTGGATCGCCACATCAATGACAAGCACAACAAGACACGCAAGTTCTATTGTACCGAGCGGGGCTGCCCGTACTCAAGACAGGGCGGGAAATCCTTCCCCCGCAAGGACAATTTGCGGCGGCACATGCAGAATAAGCACCAATTATCTCCCGACTTGGGGGCTGCTACAGATTACATTGACGAGGCCATGGGCGGGACATGACAGTCGCTATCTCCGGCAGGCCGGTTAGTATCATGTTTCATTCGAATTGAGCTAGCAATTGCGGCTCAGACCAACCCCAAAGGATACGCATTTCAGCCTTGACGCATCTGGTGCGGTTGAGAACCGGGCTTCGAATTAGAGGAAGCTACGGATTAGCTATCCTTCCACGGAAAGGTGATCCTCTGGCCTCGGACCCAGAGATTCATTCGTTCATGCGGCCAATGCTGCAATGAGCCGACCCAAGGCGGCAAGCCGTGCCCACGCGATAAGCATCGCTTTACAGGTGCCGCCCCGGCGTTGGGAATACCCCGAGCAGTAGGGGAGATCCACACTTTATGGAAGGACGATTGATTATTCCGGAGTTTGGCCACGTCCGCGGAAAACGGAGAGCTGGGTTAAGGCATTTCTGCAGCGTTGAGCATGCCTGCTTGTATGCGTGTACATAGATTCTTGTGACCGGAGCTTCGGAAGCTCTCGATTGCTGCGGTACGGGCTCCAAGGGGCCGGAATGGGCGGTCTCGAATGCAAGGGTATCCTGCAAACTCTGGCCGCGCCTCTACTGTTGTGGTATATCGCTGATCCTCGGCGAATCGAGATGAGAGTGACGGAACAGCACAGCCCGCTATGACTGCCCAGAGTAACGGCGGCGTGTCGGCTTAGTGTATGTATGACACCTCGTCTTGGCCGTCACATCGTGTCTCGCTTTCCCAGCGCATCGATGCTTCTTTCTTTCGTTCACTCTCATATCACCTCATCTCCCTAATTAATCTCTTCACCAACCGCCTCTGCTCCTCAATCCCCAGCCCGCCCCGGTCCGTCTCTTGCAGCGCCCTGCCCACAATAATAACCGTCTTGACGCTCTCGCTGCCCACCCACACCTTGCCGTTGCGCCCGACAGCCGTCTCAAACGCCAGCCCGCCCCCTTCCTCCCCGCCGAGCATCTCGAGCACAGCCACGCGGCCCTCCTCGCGACTCCGCGCCATCAGAAGCCGCCGCGCAAACCCGAGCGACACGTCAAACACGGTTCCCGTACCTGTACCTGCCGTTGCCGTCAAAGGGCCGAGCCCGTCGCTTTTGCCTGTCGCGCTGCTGACGCATTCCAATTCGGGGTCCATGTGCTTGTTGGCGAGCGACACGCGCGCGTATACGAGGGATCCTGGGGAGAGCATGGGGCGGGTCTTTTTGGTGGCGCCTTCAAATGAGAGCTGCGGGAGCGTAGCGGATGCTGTGTAGGGCGATAGTGAGGCTAGGTAGGCGTCCTGCGTGGAGCGGACGATTTGTGCGATTACCAGGTCGCCTGGTTGTGGGATGTACTGTTGTCGTGGGACATTGTGTTAGTGAGAGTGGGTGCGGTAATCCGGGCACAACAGAGCAAACATGACTAGGGATGAAAAGGGGTTTCCTTGAGAGAAGAGCTTACCCGCTGGGAATTGTATTCGACCCATATGGAGTTTTTGACCGGGTTTGTCACCAGCTGCCCGGCTACGGTAGGGATGATGTCGCTTGGCGGGATGTGTCGCAAGCCGGGCCCAAGTCGGAGAGGGTGTTTCTTGTGCGTCGGAACGAGGGACGGGTCGACGGTTTCGCCTGGCAGGACGAAGGGGCGGCCGGTTGTTGTCGTCATGATGGTGATGGTGAACTTTTGGGTAGGGCTTGTGGTGGTGATGGTTGTGGTTGTAGTTTCAGCCTTGTTTGCGGCTGCTCAAGGAGAAACGTCAGCGGGGCTCGCTTGGCGGTCTGCAGGTGTGCTAGGTGTATTACAGTAAGTACCGTAAAGGATACTGTTATACTATTGAGGTAGGTACTTTACAGTACATGTATACGTGTCTGAGGAATTGTCAATGCTTACAAGAACATGTCCGCAATGAGTTGTAGCTTTTTATGTCTTAGTCTAAGTCCAGAATCCCGATGCATTTGAGCTTGATTGTGGGTAGGTTACCTAGATTTGGGGAGCTGGTCTGAGACTCTGGATGAGGCAGCTTAGAAGCAGGTATGTACTTGTACGAAGTATGTACATACATACTACAACATAGTTCGATACCCTTAACGTTCGTATGTAGTACGGTAAATTACCAGAGGTACATCCTCAAGTAAGGCTGGCGGGGCAGCAACGAGCAGGGATGCAAAGGCCCAAATTTTTTCGACTGGGAAATTTTGGGTCCCCCACCACCGCCGAGTTTTGGACTTTGAGCCACCCATTTATACCTTCGGTCACACTCGAGAGCAAGTCCAGCACTCTACATACCACAGCAGTCCTTTAAGATGAGCGACAACGGGGCCTCCAAACCTGGCCCTACGCCGGGCGACCGAACCGTGATTGGCATCACTTTCGGCAACTCCAACAGCTCCATCGCTTACACGGTCGACGACAAGGCTGAGGTCATCGCGAACGAGGATGGAGGTGAGAACGAGTGCGGTCCGCTCGCCTGCTGCACCTTTTGCTAACAAACCTTCCAGACCGTCAGATTCCCACTATTCTGTCATACGTCGATGGCGACGAGTACTACGGCCAGCAGGCCAAGAACTTCCTCGTCAGGAATCCCAAGAACACAGTCGCCTATTTCCGTGACTTTCTGGGGAAAGAGTGAGACTTGATGCCGTCGTCTACTCCGATCGATGCGCTGACGGCGTCTAGATTCAAGTTGATAGATCCTACCCACAACCATGCCTCTGCCCATCCCCAAGAAACCGACGACACCGTCTCATTCACCATCAAGGACAAGGAGGGCGAGGAAGCCGAGACGTCAACATTAACCGTCTCCGAAGTTGCCACCCGTTACTTGCGCCGCCTCGTGGGTGCCGCCTCCGAGTATCTAGGGAAGAAAGTCACGTCGGCCGTTATCACCATTCCCACCAACTTCAACGACAAGCAAAAAGCTGCCCTGATCGCAGCAGCGGCGGCAGCGGACCTTGAGGTCATGCAGCTCATCAGTGAGCCTGTTGCTGCGGTGCTCGCTTATGACGCGCGCCCCGAGGCTCAGATCGAGGACAAGATTGTTGTAGTTGCAGACCTAGGCGGCACAAGATCCGACGTTGCCGTTGTCGCCAGCCGTGGCGGCATGTACACCATCCTCGCAACAGTCCACGACTACGAGTTCGCCGGCTTTGCCCTTGACAAGGTACTCATAGACCATTTTGCCAAGGAGTTCATCAAGAAGCACCCAGGAGCCGGGGATCCGCGCGAGAACCCCAGGAGCTTGGCCAAGTTGCGGCTCGAAGCCGAGTCGACCAAGAAGGCGCTGAGCTTGGGCAGCAACGCGAGCTTTAGCGTCGAGAGCTTGATCAATGGGCTCGATTTTGCCAGCACTATCAACCGCCTGCGGTACGAAACCATTGCGAGAACCGTCTTTGAAGGGTTCAACCGACTGGTCGAGTCGGCCATCAAGAAGGCCGGCTTGGACGTGCTCGACGTGGACGAGGTGATCCTGTCAGGGGGCACCGCGCACACCCCTCGTATCGCTGGAAACTTCCGCTACATATTCCCCCAAAGCACGAGGATATTGGCGCCCTCGACCGAGCCGACGGCCATTAACCCGTCTGAGCTCCAGGCCCGTGGCGCCGCGCTCCAGGCCAGTTTGATCCAGGAGTACGAGGCCGAGGACATCGAGCAGTCCACGCACGCGGCCGTCACAACGGTACCGCACATCACCAATGCGATCGGCGTCATCTCGCTGTCGGAGTCCGGTGAGGAGGTTTTCGTCCCCATCGTACCGCCCGAGACGGCCGTCCCCGCGCGCAGGACAGTCCACGTGGCCGCGCCCAAGGATGGCGGCGACGTCCTCGTCAAGGTTGTCGAGGGCAACACGCACATCAAGGTGACCAAGCCCGAGCCCAAGGTCAAGGAGAACGGGGACTCCAAGGCGGCCAAGGTGGAGGATGCCGACGAGGATGAGGCCGACGGTGACGCCAGCGATTTTTCGGACGACGAGGACGAAGAGGAGGAGGAGAAACGGGAAAAGGTCTGGAAGATTGGGTCCACCCTTGCCGAGGCCGCCATCCGCGGAGTCAAGAAGGGCGGCAAGGTCGAGGTTACCATCAATGTCAATGCAGACCTCTCCGTCATTGTGACAACAAGAGAGGTTGGTGGAAAGGGCGGCGTTCGTGGGACGTTGAGTGCTTGAGGGGGAGGGATTGGGATGAAGCCTTAATTCTTAGACATGGGCGGCATGTAGGTATAGAATGCGAGTGATCTGCGGCCTGGGTAGAGAGGATTTGGGCGGCATCTAAAAAGGGCTGGGTAGATACTGCAGGCATTTATGTATGTCCATGAAACGGTAGCCTCGTTGTTGTCGTTGATCCTCTCTGGTCTATGCTGTACCTACTTCGTGTACATCTCGGAGCGAATCCTACCGGCTTTCGTTGATTTGACGGGGAAGAGCAGCAGAACGAGTCAATCCTCGCGAAGGGAAGACGACAGCACAGGGAAGACGACAGCACAGGGAATTTTCCACCTTAGGAGTGGCTCTGGCACTACTGAAGAATGCCAGGACAAAGGAATTCCGGTTGCGTCTGGTTGAAAAAGGGTATTTCCCCAGACTGTTGCCGGAGCCAACCCCTTTTATTACAGATCCAAGGCTCCACTCCGTGATCAACTACCATTCTTCCCCCTCTATATCTTTCCCTCTCTTTTAATTTCCACTCCGGCACTTCACAAATGCATAACAGACATACACCGGCTTGAGATTCGTCTTTCCCTCTCCTAGATCAGGACCATGTCATGTGCATATCCATCTGTGTATGAGCTAAACACAATACGCCTGGACTAACCCTCAACCTGTCGAATAGCAAAATATATAAGCTAACCTCCCAGAACATTGAAATCTATGAGCCCGCCCAGCCCCTTCTATGCACCACAAACTCCTCGTTGAAACACAAAAATAAAATGGGAAATTATAACTGAGCACCAGGAATACTCCACGCGACCAAGTCCTCCCGCACTTCGAACTCATCCACCTCCCTCGCCCGCTTGAAACCGCTGTCTCTACCCCGGTTGTCCCGCTCGCTCCCGACCGTGGTAGCGAGGCTGGCCAGACTGTCACTCCGGCTCCGCAGCCCGCCTTCACCCCCAACGGCCGTAGCCCTGCTCTCCTCCCGCCTGTGACTGTGAGGGTGGGCGTGGTGGAGCGCCTGCAGCAGGTCGCGATGTGACGCACTGGGAAAGAGGCCGATGCTGCGGCTCGACTCGCGGTCCAGATCCCGATCCCGATCCCGGTACGGATCCCAATCCCGATCTACAACCACGGTCCGATCGCTCGCAACGCTGTGCTCGCGGAAGTGGTGATGGTGGTGGAGGCGCCGGGATAGGCGGGCCACGTCGCGCGGCCGGATGGTGCCCATGACGTCGCCGCTTTCTTCTTCTTCGTCGTCTGAAACGGAGCCACTGTTGTCGTCCCCTCGAGGGTCGTGTCTGACATCGAGAGGAGAACTTCTCCCAATGTTAGCCGCGCCGGGCCTGTCGTGTCCTGCAAATCCGGCGTGGTGGTGGTGCTGTCGGGACTGTCCGCGTACGTGGTGGGAGGTTGTGGGCGATGCGAAGCCTTCGCCCCCCGCGAAGATGTCCTCGATACACTGGTCAGCGGGTAGCTCGCCTGGTTGGCTTGCCCAGCTAGCGGCGAGAGCACGGCGGTACATGTCTTGAAGCTCGAAGACGTCCCGGGATTTGCCGGTGAGGGAAGATGGGACATGGCCTGGCGTCTTGGGCCCGGTATCGACAGGCTCAAACACGTCGCTTGCTACGAATCCGGCGATGCTGCCAAACACGGCGGCAGTCTTGGGAGCCGGGGCGACGTAGTTGCGCTCGCCGTCGACCTGGACCATTAGGATGCTGATCCTCAGCGTGGAGTTGATCTTACTGTCCTGCATGAGATATCGTCGCACCACGCCGTCCTGGACCTCTGCTATCCGGGTTTCCTCTTCGGCTTCGGAGGCGTGCGATCCTGGGCTTGTGTCCTGTGCTTCGGCTGTGGTGTTGATGCTCTGGGGAGTGTGTTTGCGCCGGTGGCCCGAAGGAATAGAAGCTTCCTTGATGGCCGTTGCGACGCCACCATCGCGTAATATCCCCTCGCTCTCTTCCACATACTCGCTGAGGTTGAGACGAACAGTGCCGAGCGTGATCTTCTCGTCTCGGCTGCTTGAGTTGCCGTTCCCGCTACTGAATTCCTGTAGCACCTCAAACTCGATAGGACACTCGGAGAGGTTGCCGTTGCGGTCGATGGCAATCCGCACGGAGATGATCTTGGAGTAGTGGTACTCAACCCGGTGGTTTAATATGGGGCATTTCTGGGTCCGTCCCCGGTGTTCTCCGTGTATACTGTGGGGGAGATGCCACTTGACGAAGGACCCTCCTGAAACGAGGGGCACATTGTTCAGATCCGAGATCTGACGTGGGGTTAGTCTTGGAAGTCAAGAATGGTCCGTTTGCAATGCTTTCCTTGATATGGACATCGAACTTGGGCTATATCTCGTGTATTAGCTAGCGAGTTCAAGTTTCAGCAGTAGCATGTGTGGCTTATGGTGGGCAAACCTTCCGAGCCTTGTGCACTAGGGGTAAGAATTGCATTATTAGTACGGGATGGTACCTGCGAACCGCGAGTAACGTGAAGTTGAAGCGGTTGGGAGGTGAAGTTCACGCAAGCCAAAAAGAGAGCTGGGTTCCATCGTGGTAAGACTCATGTCAAGCCGCTGAGAATAAAAGAGCCGAAGCACCCGGAGGAACAAGGACATGGTAAAGCGAAACCTGGCTCGACCGGGTAGGCAGCTGCTGACGGAACCGGGAGATGTAATCATGTAACCCATCAATGGTAACAAAGAATGAGGTGTCATAAACTCTTCAACTCCTAAATCAATGAGGCTCACACTTACTGAGGGATGCCATGGCTTGTCGCTAACACCAGCACATGGAGCCGTCTATTGGAGCAGATTCATTCCACAATTCCAAGGGCCGAACGGCCAAAGCCGGATTTGGACGGCCGGTCCGCGAGCTTCTCGTCGAACCCGGGGAGGCTGACGTCGAACGTGCCAAGCGCGATTGGCGAATGCCAGATGCGACCAAATGAATTCCCAGAGACTACCTACCGTATGTCCGTATCTCGGTCGGGACACGCGACAGGGCAGGAAGCGCTCGTTTGTGACAGCTGCACAGCAGCTTATCATGCCCGGGTATTGGCGTGATAGTGTACTGCAGGTAGCAGCAGTAAGGACAGGGGGATTAGACGAAGCAACTGGTGAGTCTGCAGGAGCGAATAATATGGAACGGTTGAATTCATCGAATGATCGGGGATGCGGGGTCTTGATCCATGAGAATACTGTACCAGGAATGACCGTTACCCAGGCACACCGACTGACTGAGTTCACTGCCTGTTTTATCGATTTCGCAGCCTTTCTGTTCCTGGAACTCTGCTGTGGTGAAGGGTTTCGGTTGGTGCTTTGCCTCCATCATGCAGTTGGAGTCTTGTGGCCCTGGAACTTTGTCCAGAACTCCAGGGGTTTGTCGACCGATGACCCGAATTCATGGACTGCTGTTGAGCTGCCTGGGCAGGCGGCAGGCGGCAGGCAAGTGGCCTGCCCTCGCCTGCACTCGAGATAGTTACCTCGTACCTGAGTTTGGCGGGGCTAATGCTAAATAGTCCGATAAGATAAGAGCTCCAAAATTAAGTTCGTCTCTAATTATAGCGGCGCAACAACGGAGCCTATTCTAACCTGACCCTCTACGCCGGGCCAGATGGACGGCAAAGCATCTTTCCCTCCTGGAAAGGGGCCGCAAGCCAGGAAGCGCAAGGATCCCCCAAACACTACAAAGGATAACAATTCCAAGGCAAAAGATGATGCGCGGACGACGACTACGACGCGGTCAGCCAAACGCGTCAAGTTCCAGGATGCACGCAACATTCGTTCCCAGCCGTCGGACGCCGCCTTAGAGGACGGCAAGCTCGACTTGCAAAAATTCCTCAATGCCCGCGAATTCGAGATCAAGGCGCTTGAGAGTAGCATGCGCAAATGCAAGGCTGCCAATGCAACTCGAGTGTTCCAACAGGTGCCCCGCGCTATGCGGCGGAGGACCGCAAGCCACAATGTCAAGAGGGTACCGAAGAGATTGCGCGAGCGGGCAAGGAGGGAGATGATCGAGGACAATACCCCCACCGTCGAGGCACGAAAACGACGACCTCGAACCACCCGCGCACGGATCCGAGCGGAAACCGCAAGGAGGCTGGGCATACTCGCCGCTAGAAAGAGGAAAAGGCAGCTTGAGAAGCTTACTGCCGACATTGCCTCAACAGCCGACGCCGCTGCGAAGCCGACCGTGCACACGAGGGCGCCGAGACCCAAGATCCGACGTAACGTCTTGAATGACCCGCCCAAGGCACAATCCAAGTTCAGAAAAAGACAAGTCAATAAAACATGGCTACCTACACACCTATGGCATGCGAAACGGGCGAAGATGACGGAGCCAAGCAAGCCACTGTGGAGGTTCGCCATCCCGCTGACGCCTACAGAGAAATGCTACAGACCGACCCATCGAGCCTCCAGTCAAAAGGGGCTTGTGGTATGGGACACTAGCTACATGAGCACCATAGGGCTGTACGGGACGGCTGAAGGCGTTGAGCGGGTTTTGAGGGCCCTAGGTTTGACGCAAGACGGCCTTTGGGGGGCGCGAGGTGTGAAGTGGAGGGCTGGCGTGCGGAAATGGACCGGCTTCCTCAGCAAGCAGATGAAGGATTCTAGGCGTGATATCGGACCAGCTACCATCGTTTGGAATCCCCAGGCACCTGTTCAGAATGCAGAGTCGGCCACCTCGAACCAGCCGAAAAAGATCACGAGGCAACTGCTTATTCGAACGCATCCGTCCTGTTTTCTCGAGTTATTCCAGGAGCTCGTCAAGTTGTGCAAGATGCAAACCCCCAAGCTGCATGTGGAGGACTTGCGTTTTGAGATCGGTAGCATCGAGCTAACAGGGCCTGGCTCTACCGAAGCCTTGCTGGGCATTTTGCAACCCTACTACACCAAGCCCGAGACGCAGGAACGCCACGGCCAGGTCTTCACGTCTCTTGTTGGCGTCTCTAACCCAGCATCTCTTCACAAGGATGCTCTCTTAGCCTTTTCGGTAAAGGATCCTCGGCTTGCTTATCCTCCTAAGACGGTCAAGATTCCAAACGGCAGTGCGAACAAATCTCTGATTGAAACGCTCACTGACTGGCCGGTTGAGGAAGGATTGAAACCATTCAATATCTTTTGCCGTGACAGTCGATATGTAGCCTCCATGCTACCCTCTCAGAAGGCTATAAATCGACGGAAAGGTTCTAGTACTCCCGGAGAACCGCTCCAGGTTACTAGGGCCGACCCGCCAATTCCGGTCATGCTTTTCGCCTCCCGACCTGCGACAGATGGGCAGACGCAAGGGACATGGACGCTACTGGCACCATGGAAGTGCGTTCTGCCCATATGGTATTCACTCATGCACTACCCCCTCTCCACCGGAGGTAACCCGCGACTTGGGGGCCTGGACGAGCAAAGGCAGATCGCGTTTGAGCAGGGAGCCCCTTGGTTCCCTGGGGACTTCCCGGCTACTGACGCAGGGCTTAGTTGGGAGATGGAGCAACGGGCCAAGAGGAAGCAGGATTGGGATCGCCGCCCGAAGGGCAAGAGGATCGAGTGGACATCGCTCGACCTAGGTGCCGGTCGGAAGGGCGAGATCGGAGACGGTCTTGCGTGCGATTTTGAGCATCTTTTCGGGCTCCACCAAGCACCTATCTTGCCATCCTCAGCCGACGCGATGGACCTCGACCCTCCCGAACAGTCGGAACCTTTAGGGGGCGAAGACGTCCCTCGACACAGCTCTCACGCTCTTGCAGTTATTAGACGGCTGACAAAGGCGTCCTTCAGCTCGTTGCTCGGAACGCAAAATCCGGACAAACCACTAACACAGTGTATCATCACGGTTAATCTTAGCTTCGTTACACGAGGCGTGGCCAATACTTGTGCGCGTATCTACCGGCTCCCAAGCCCAAAGCCCAACGCCGCGGGGCCCTGTCCAGAGGCTGAAGTGCCGGCTTCCGTCCCTTGCTCAAGCCACCCAGGATCCCTGCCGTTTGATCTGAGGGATCAGTGGCTTCGGCGACTCCCTTCGAAATCGACAGGGGTCGGCAAGGGCAGGTCCCGATCAGGCCCTCGAAAGATGCCGCAGGGAGTCGATATGGAGACGCGCAAAAGGCTCCTCGCCCAGTCGCTCGTCGCGACGGAGCTGCCGTATCCCAGGCCGGCGGCCAATCAGGTAGATATCGGCGGGCACCCGCTGTGTCCGGACGAGGACGACCTGATTGGCTTCGTCACTACGGGGGCATTCAGTCTGAGTGAGGGCAAAGGCACGGCAGTGGGTTCCATCTCTGCGGCAAAGGCGCTCGAGGCTCTGCAAGAATCGGGGCCCCGGAAAGGGAAACTCTGCATAGTGAGAAATGCAGGAGAGAGTGTGGGATGGTTAGCCCGCTGGGAGCTTGTGTGATGGGCCTTGCTTGGCGGGGTGGTATTACACTAGTCGAAGCCTTTTCCGATCGGGTTTGCATCTGCAAGCCACCGGAAACCAAGCAAACAGCGTGGGAGAAGAAGCGGATTACCGGATTTGAATGTTCGATCTCAAATGCCGATAACCACTGTTTGAGTGGATGCCTCTCGTAACATAGGGAGATGTATAAGGCGGTTTGTAGGTGCTTTCTCAGGAAGTGAGGGCCTATCATTGTAGGGTTAACGTGATGGGATGCAAGGGCCCAGGTGAGATTTGCCCTTCACACAACTAGCATTTCCAGACAGCTTCAGCTGATGGACGTATGAGTGTATATACATACTTCGTACATACGTCGATAACTTAGCAGACACACTGTGCTCTAAGCACTCTGCCCTCGTCTAGGCTAAGAGATGGCAATCCCAGCTTATCCCACTTGGGCAGTTTTTGGCGTGGAGGGACCCAGTGATGCTTGGCTCTCGCAACACACGATCATGATTGGGTTTGAGTACGGCCAGCACAACTTCTTAGCCCCCAGTACCCGTAGTATCCCTCTGTGGTCAACATGAGGCTCTAAAGCGAGCTCCAGCTCCCTAGATGCCATTCGCGGTTGGGCGTCTGGAATTTAAAGGGCGCGCAAAGCTAGGTAATTGTAGATCACTAAGTACCGATCAGGCCGGTTTAGTACAGCATGACTCGAGGTTAACTTATGCTCTACAGCGTGCTCCTTTTTTACACACTGCTCAAATCCGATTCTCATGAAGGGCTTGAGCTCTCTGACTCCGGATCAGGCTCGTAATAATGAAATCACCCGAGACCTCATACGATCGACAAAGAAACAGAGCTTGCTTCGTCCAGTGGGTACCTACAGTATGTATTGTACCGTACAGTGAAATGTATTTACATACCTAAGTACAAACGACGTGACGTATCCTGGCCGGGCTCCTGCCTGCCGGCTCAGGGCTGATCATATCACTGCATATCCCATCACCCACCCACGTCTTTCATCCCACCTGTTGTGCGCCGTCTAAAGTTTCACGTACAAATGCTGTAGCTGTCACCCGCCCTTGCTGGCCTATTTCTTCCCCTTACCACATTGTGTTCAGTATCGGGGGTCCTCATCATTGCAACTTCTCCCTGGTCACCTTCTTGGGCAGCATCGGGCAAGCCAGGGACCCCGCCGGCCGCCTAGGCGATGACCTCTACGCATTAGGACACCAACCTATGTGTTGGCCTTGATTCCATGTCATGTCTTCTTTGTGTGCATTTCATGCCCACCCAAACGGCTTGGACCTCTCCATACTATCTCCCGGCCCAGACCAATAAATCGTCCTACGCTCGTCGCTGGGAGCACCATGACTCTCCAGCTGGCCCAGCCAGCCGTCCTGGCCGACGGCCTTCTCAGACTTCCCGAACTCGGAGACGCCGACTATCTCCGCCATGTCCTGGGCCAGGACCACCAGACCGCCGAGGCAGACTTGGAGCAAGAACTGATGGCGAAAGCTTCCGCTCTGGGGATCGAGCTGCCGATATCAAGATGGTGCGACAGTCGAGATCCCATCACCCCCGCCGACGAGTCGGTCGATCCCCTTGGCGTGCATGACCACAGTGTATCTTCAGAACCAAACGAAACCCCAATCCCGCCGTTAATATCGCATGCTTCGACCCACTCGACCACAATGCCCGCCATCTTGACCGATGTTTCATCAAAGAGGAGATCCAGGAGCCTCCTGACTTTCAACCACTACGAGAAATATCTCAGCCACGTGCACCCCGCGCTCGATCAACCCCAGTTCCTTTGGCCGAACCACGACAAGACAAAGTGGTCCGAAGGCATGGTGATTAAGCTGGTCGCACGGAACAGCTTCAAAGGTCTCACGCGGAGCCTCACCAGCAGGCTGAGGAGGAGGAGGCGGCTTACTCAAGCCTCCCTGTCACCCATGTAAGTGACCGCGAGCCAAACAAAGCTCACATGCGTGAGATCAAGCAAGCACAGACCTGATATGTGCCATCCATGTACCAGGCCCTGCATATGTTGTCGTGAAGACTTCACGGGCGGAAGCAACAACTTGCACACACTGCCGTGCGGCCACATGTATTGCCGGACCTGCCTCGGCGTAATGATTGCCCAGTCCATAACCGACGAATCCAAGATGCCGCCGCGGTGCTGCACGCAGCCAATCCCCGGTTCAACCATCAAGACGGTGCTTCCCCGAGACCAGCAGCAGCTGTTCCTAAAAGCCGTGGTCCAGTACAGCACCCCGTGGGAAGCTCGCATCTTTTGCCCGAACCTCTCCTGCGGCGAGTTCATCCCGCCGTCGGGCAAGGTCGACCCAAAGCACCCTTTTGAAGCGCTCTGCAAGAGTTGCAAGACTCGCGTCTGCGTCATGTGCAAACGCGCCGCGCACCAGCTGGGTCACGACTGCCCCGAAGACGGGGAGCTCGACGCGGTCCTCAAGATGGGCGAGAATTCGGGGTGGCGGCGCTGCTACAAGTGCCGCGCCCTAGTCGAGCTTACCCAGGGCTGCACCCACATTACGTGCCGGTGCAAAGCCCAATTCTGCTACATCTGCGGCGCCGTCTGGGACCCCGCCGTCGGCTGCCCCAATTTTTGCAACGGTGAGGAAGAGCTCGAGCGGAGGAGAGCCGAAGAGGAAGCTCGTCTTGCCGAGCTAGAAGCGGAGAAACTGGCTCGGGAGAAGGCAGCCGAACTTGAGGCCGCCGAGAGGCGGGAGGCAGAGAAGAGAACCAGAGAGAGCGGGGAATTCAGGGCGCTGCGTGAGGCACAGGAGAAGGAGCTAACGAAATTTGCCGACTTTGAGCACAGGGCGAGAGAAGCCATGCGCGTCCGGCACTCGGACAAGAAAGTCGCTCTTGACGAGCGCTTTTCAGATTTAATGGAGAAGATGCGGGACCGGCACGCCAAGACGGAGCAGCACCTCGAAGACAGGCAGGTGCTGGCCGAAATTGAGCTGCAGGCGGGTCAGGAGGAAAAGGAGAAGAAGGTACGGCTCAAGCTGAAGTACATGGAAGACTACTGCCGCGGTGCGATGGAGGGTAAGGATCCTCCTCATCCCAAGAATCATAACAACAGCAGCAACAAACCCAAGATCAATGCCTCCCAAAATCATGACAGGGAAATGCCCCGGCGTCGAGTCACACAAAAGGATCTTGAACAGCTCCGTCAGCAGTATTGCGTGAGGGACTTCATGGAAAGGAGGCACCAGTCGCAAATCAACGGGTTGCGCGAGAAGCAAGCCAAGAGCATGGAGGAGCTGGTGGAGCGGCATCAGAGGGAGGTGCAGACGCTTATGGACAGGCGCCGGGAGGAGGTCGAGGAACTTGCCGTCGAGTTCGCTAACGAAGAGGAGGCGCTGCTGCACGTGTTTGCCGAGCGGAGAGCGAGACTGGAGACGAGGTGGGCGCTGGCGATTGAGATCCTGAGGGTCGAGATGGAGAACAAGTCGGGCTTGAAATATGCCGGCATGCCGCTGCCCCGGTGGCCTCGCGATCGCGGCACTGATGACACGAATATGAGCGGTATGGACGTGAAGGCGGATATGGATCTGGATATGGAAATGGCCGAGGCGGTGTTGGCGGTCATGGAAGGCATACCCTGACGCTGAGGATCATATATGGTGCTCCAAGTCTTCCTTGGCGCCGACACCACCTGCTCAGGCGCCTTGATCTTTCCTCGTTGGTTGCTTCAATGCTTTCTTGGGCACTGCTATTTTGGCGTTTTCTTCGATCTTGGAGGACATTCATCGCATAGATGCAGCAGGTTGGTTGGTCTCTTGTTTGACGGGGATAAGCGGTCCTTTCTCGTCATCATACTAGGAATCACTGGCGGGCTACCAAGGCGGTGCAATAAAGGTTTGGACAGTAGACTTACAGTTTCAGCAACCCCGGACCGGACGGAATCTTTTCTGCCTTTTAGCTCTGCGGGTTTGGGTTGTCTCTTTCCTGCCCTGCTACCTAGCTCAACTACACTGGATATCACACTTCCCTACACAGTGGCAGCAGCATGCCGGTACAGCGAGGATGTGGGCGGCCAAGAGGGCAAGTTTGTGAGGCGGACTCAGCATTTTGGGTAAATGGGTTAGTGATTTGCATACCTACCTTTGCTAAGTAGCTAGCACAACACAAACCATAGCGTTGCTCTACTGGAGATCTGGCAGAACTGCGTTCCTGGAACGCCGTAGTTCCTCTGTCTGGGTCCAGTGGCTTACAACGACGGTCGGAGAAATCAAGAAGTGAGAATATCAAGTGCATAGAACTAAGGAACACCCGTCTACCAACCGTCATAGGAAAGGAACATTTGTACCCACGGCCCATTACCATGTACACGCCTGCATGAAGAAAGAACTGGCTTCTGAATCATCCAAAGCGGCAGAGCCGAAAACAACCACATGAAGCCCAATCATCCAATGTCTCTCGACTCAATCCCAGCCCAACCATCTGGCCAGCCATAGTAGACAAACGGAAACGCCACCTCTTTGCCCGTCATACAACCCAACCTGATACAACCCTGACCCCTTTTAGAAGATAGAATTGACCACCTTACTCCCAAGCGTAGCGCCCGCGCCAAAAATAGCCGCATTCCCGAGCTTCTTACCAAACTTCTTGCCGTGCTCACCAACTTTACTACCACTACCCCCATCATCTTGCTGGTGATGGTTGTAGGGCACGACGGGCTGTCCCGGCGGCGGAGCAGGCGGGTACTGCTGCTGCTGCTGCACCACCGGCACCACCGGCACCATCGGCTGCTGCTTCTTCTCCTCGTCGGCGGCCGGATCAACCGTCACGACGTAGCTCCGCGGGAAAATACCCTCCTGCCCCGTGCGCAGGTTCCGCCCCATCCACCAGTCGGCGTTCATGTACTCGTACACGGCGACGCGGTCGTCGCGCTCCAGCGAGCAGTCGCGCGCGTCGCCCGCCGCGTAGCGGTACAGCGCGCGGGCGTAGGCCAGCACGGGCTTTTCCGGGGCGGCGGGCGTAGGCGGCTGGTTGCGAATGGGCAGGGGTGGGGGCGCGGCCGTGGACTGTGCGTAGGACGGTGGTGGGACGGCGGCAGCAGCAGCAGCGGTTGGTGCTGGGGCTGCTGGTTGGGGAGTAGGTGGTGTTGAGCGGGCGGGTGTGGGCGGGAGTTGTTGTTGTTGGGCGACAGTCCGCGCTGCCGGGTTGGCGGACAGGCTTGACTCGGCTGGGAGCAGCGTGGTGATGGTGTCAAAGGCGTCGTCGGTGATTACGCCCTTTTCAAGAAGCGATTCGAGTTCCTGCTTTGAGGGTTAGCATTGTGTTGTGAGCTCCCAGCAGAAGTAAGGGATGGATGGACTTGCGTTCTTGATCAAGCGCAGGGAGCGGTTGGTCTCGATGACCCGCTGGCGGTCCTCGGACACCATGGCTGCTGTTTAATGTTGATACGATGCTATTGATGCTTAGGGGATGGATGACTGGGCTTCGTCGATATTGGCAGGCTGGTAGAAGAGTAAGCAAATTGACAGCGAAGATTCTTAGTTACGGAGTTGGAGATAGGTACGGGTGGAGAGGAAGGCAACAGGACAGGGGTGAAGGAGGCGCAGACATCTGATGGATCCTGCCCCGCTAGGCTGCCAAGCCCCGACGATCGATGGGTCACCCGAAGCGCCGTTGCACGACCTAACCCTGAGAGGTTACCTAGTTATCCCACTAGGTACATCACCGGCGGTACCGTACATGTATCGTACCGACGTGTACAGTACAGTAAGGTACAATCACAGTATGAATCGCCCGAAATCAACCCCCTCCCGATCACCTGCCTAACGATGCTACCACCTTGCAACAGTGAGCATGAACCTAGACACAGAGCCTGTAGTATACTGGTCAATATACTGTGTAATCGATCGTCTACTTACACACAAGAACCCTCCCAACACCCAACAACGACTACTAGTATGATTTACACAAACATCGCGCGGATTGATCAAGTCCCCCTCCATCCCTCATCCCCTCCTCCGCCCTTTCCTTTCTCCTGCTTAGGCGCCTTAGGTTACAGGTGACAGAGGTCTTGGTCCAAGGGGAATATTCCTTTCGATATATCGGTCTCACATTGCCAGACCATCGTCCCCCACCTCACCATTAACCACCCCCTCGTATCACTTCCACTTGGTAGAATAGGTGGCAAGTGATAGCATTACCCCCGTGACACACGCTGGCCGGATCCAAGTCCCGGTCAATCCACAACGACATCCACACGGCCCACAAGCAAAAAAGCCCAGCAAGTCAGCCCCTTTCCCCCTTATTTGTACATGCCACTTCACTTGCTCCTGCTCTTGCCGGCGCCAATCTTTCACGCACGAGACAAACTCGATCGATACTCGATATATATCATGCCATTGTCGAGTAGGCCAAGGCCATCAGACCATGGGACCGTGGCTGGATAACATAGACAGATAAACAAATACCCCTCGAGATGACGCGAGAGAGGAAAAAAGAAGAAAAGTGATATTATTTAATGCCTATTTCCCCCCGCTGGACATAGATAACCGGGGACAACAACAGATAGAAACGGGGGTGTTTGAAACACGGGAAATCGACACAAGAGCCAAAAGAGAAAAGGACTCAACCTCATTTCCATCCTCAAGATCCTCCGCATTATCATCCAAGCCAGCTCATATCCGCCCGGCGCTATTTGATGGCAACGCCAGCTGCTGCTGTTGCTGTTGTTGTTGTTGCTGCGGGGGGTACAGCTCCGACTTTCTCTGGCTCTTCCAAAAGTCAATGGCCTCGATAACATCCTCGCCTCGCTCGTCTTCATACGCAAAAAGGATCTAGAAAAGAAACGTAAGTCATCAATCACACCACACCCAAGGAGCCAGAGCCCTGGATAGATAAAAAGAAGTGCGGGGAAACCAACCTCGTGCGTACTACTATGCAACATGCGAATGTTTTTATGGGGCACAATGTGCACCGCCAGCGTCTCAATGTTCCTGAGCTCGATAAAGTTGGGCTCAAAGGCCAGGATCCAGGGGTAGCTGAGCGCAAAGGCCTGCGGGGTGCCCTCCCAGTCAAGGCGCCACTCGGGCCTGGCGCGCCAGCCGTTGCGGTTGACAAAGAAGGAGAACTCGGAGTAATTGAGCAGGAACTCGCCGTTGAGCCGCTCAATGTGGATCGGCTTGACCCCTTCCTTGCGCGCGACAAAGTCGAGCGACGTGTCGGCCTGGTCAAGCAGCGACTGCGTCTCGAGCGTCTCGAGGCTGACCACCTCGAAGCCCCGGGCGCAAGCCACGCAAAGCTTGGACTTGAGGAAGTGCACCGAGCTCGACTCGGTGGGAATGTAAAACTCCTTGAACGGCTTGAGCTCGTCCTGACTGGCGTTGAACATCTTGCTGAGGCCCTTCTGCTTCTTGGTGCGCGACATGGCATCGTTTGGCTCGTACACCTTGATTGTGGTCGACAGCGCCGAGCTCTTGACGCAGCACACGAGGTGGCGGCCCATGCAGATGCCCGTCTTGAAGAAGTTGCAGTGGTTCTGGATCTTCTTCGCCCGCTTCGACGAGATGGGCTCGTTGGGATCGAGCGCGCTGAGCTGGTACGAGAGGAGCGATCGGTTCGAGAGCACAAGCAGCAGCTGGTACTCCTCGAGTACGTCGACCTGCGTCACGCTCGGCACGTCAATCACCCGCTTGGGCACCGCATCCTTGTCCTTTGCCCGACGGTCTGACATGTAAATGCCGTTGTCGGTTCCATATATGAGCTTGCGCCCGCCGTCTATGGAGGGGTTAGCCTCGTTCAAGAATCGCAAAGCACTTCTCTGCCAAACTCACCAAACGGCGTCACGCAGTTGACCTTGTTCTGACCAGAAAAGAAGCTGCACGAGATGACAGTCATGTTCAGGAAATCAGCCCGAGCCCTGAGCCGCTGCTGAGCAGCGTCAATGAGCTCCAGCCACTTCTGGCGCCCGGACTGGTTGGCACCATAAAGTAATAATTCGTATCCGTTCTTGCCAAGGTGTCGGAACGTGATAGGCCAGCCTTCGCCCTTCTTGGTGTCGGTATTAGAAGTCCGCAGCGCGGGCAGTATGCTCGATGAGGTCCGCTTCACGGCGCCCGACTGCGGTATCACTTCGTCCATCTCCTTGATAGAGAGCAGCTCCAAGGGAATGGGTCTGCGGTAGGCCTTGATCTCTTCCGTCTTGCCCACTTGCTTGACGCGCACGAAGAGGACAGCGTGGTCGAATAAATAGCCTGTGATGTCAGCTTGCTCGGTTGGGCCCTTTTTCAGCTGGCTCTTGTAGACGAGCTCTCGGCCGTCCTCCAAAAGTTTCAAGTCTACCCTCTCGTTGGGCCGGAACTTAAGCTGCTCGTGCAGTCGTCGCAGGTTGAAGCGATTCTCTGCCTTGCCGCTTTCAGCATTGACACGGCTCAAGAGGTCCCTGATCATGGTCAGGACCTTGGGAATGTCCTCCTTATCCGGGTTATCGGGCTCTGTGTATTTCAGCACCTGCTCCAGAAGCAACGGATACCGTGCCAATCTCGTCGTCGGTTTTGTCAGATAGCCGTTGAGCTCCAACTTCCTCGACTCTCTCCGTCGCTCCACCTCATCCACAAACCTCGCAAAATCCTTGTTGATGGACCGCTCCTGCTCAAACTCAAACTTGCCTTCGAGCTGCTTCGATCCGTACAAGATGAAGGGTTCAAACTGTGGCACAAACTCCAGAAACACGTCGCCAATATTTCTTACGACGGGCGCTTTCTGCTGCCGGTCCGTCAACGCGCGAGCAAACCTGGAGCTGACACCGTGGATGCTCGGAGGGTCGATGATATTGGTAAAAATGTTCCGGACGACCTTTTCTCTTCTCTGTATCGGAATGGGCGACATGCCGTTGATCCTGCCACGAAGCGGGTATATCCAGAAATCCCTGAGATACTCGAGGTCCTTGACGAAATCTCGTTCCGTGTAGCAGATCTCCGAAATGACCTCTTGGCGCTTCTTCTCGCGGTCACCTATGCTATCTGCCACCTCCTTGGGCACGCTGTTGATCCACAGCTTCTGCTCATCCGTCTGGTCCGCGTCGTCGTCGTTCACAGCATTTTCTCCCTCCCTCTTGAGACCAGGACCCATCTTTAGGTTCAGCCTCGATACCTGTTCCAGCCGCCGTGGGCATGCAATAGAGTAGCAGAGCTGATCCCTCGTGCATGTTGGGGAATAGCACTCGGAGAGCAACACAAACACGCCATTGACGGTCGGCTTCTCCTCGACGTTATCCGATATGGTTTCCCTAAACTGATATATTTCATATGTCGAATCCCGTAGTCGATGCTCATATGTAACATCGTGGAAGAACTTTTGGTAATCGAGCGCGCGACCCAAGAGCAATGCCAGCTGCCTGTCTGTAGTCCGAATAATGTACGAAAGCACGTCAACAGCTTCAGCTCCGCTGAAAGCGTTCTTGTACGTAAGTTCGTTCTTTGTCCGGTCGCCCGTGACAATCTTTTGGCGGAAGCACTCGGCAACGCGCGAGAGCAGGGCGGGATACACGATTGGGGGTCGAATCTTGGCGGTCGGCGGCCGTTCGTGTATCGAATTGCCCCTCGAAGACCGTTGCACAATGGCCTGGCTGTCCACCTTATCGCTCGGGGCTATTGAAGACGGAACTATCGTCGAAGCCATCGACATGGTCCTCCCACCGTCGGCAACGGTCGAAGACGCCATGCTCGTGGTCCTTGTCTGCGACCCAGGCGCGGCGTAACCGGCTGCGTATCCGAGTTTCGGCGATGGGCCTTCTACGTAGTCGGCCGGAGGAGGAGGAACCCCGGCCGGCCTCCTGTTGGGGATCACGCGGCCGCTCATTGTCTGGTGCGCGTCTCGGTCATGGGAAGGATAGCCGGTCATGGTCATGGAGCGGTCCTCCATGTGCCTCTCGGGAACAATCCGTCCTTGGGCCGTCGTACGTGCCGAGTGTTGTTGATTGTACTGGGCATTCCGGAAGGCGTTCGCCGGTGCCTGTTGCTGCTGGTATGGTTGTTGTGGCGGGGATGGATACATTTGGGGTCGCGGATAGCTAGCCAAGGATTGCGATCGATACGGGTCTGCGTTCATGGCGGGCGCAGGACCGCCACCCTGATAGAAGCGCTGCGCAGGTGTCCGCTGCTGGTTGTAGTAGCCCTGTGGTGGTGGCGGTCCTCGCGGGGGATCGAGCCGCGGGGGGGGCGGTTGCTGGGAGGGGGGACTGCCGGGATACGGGCGCCGTGCCTGTTGCTGCTGCTGCTGCAGATATTGGGGGGACGGAACTTGCGGTCCGCTCGACACTGAGCGCGGCTGCTGCTGCTGGCCCTGGTAGTATCCGTACCCTTGGCCACCATCGACGGGGCGTTGCCGAGGAGGATGCATTGGATCACCATAACCACCTCCTCCCGGCGGCGCTCGCTGGGGCGGCGGTCTTTGCATCTCCGACATGGCCGACGTGGTTGATGACATTGTATGCGTGCGTCCATCTTGTTGTTGCATAAACTGGGGCGGAGGGACAGACGAGGTCATGGTCTGCGAACGGCCCGGAGGGGGAGCAGCCCCAAAGATATTCGAGAAAGCAGCATCCCGCTGGTAGTTGTTGGCTTGCCCATATTGATTCGGCTGCCGCGGCGGCGGCACTCGATCGCGCGGGTAGTCGGCCATGGCGTTCTTGTAGGACAAAGTTGGAGAATTAGTAGACAAGCTCGCTTTGCCCCACGTTCCGTCTCGTGTCCCGTTTCAAGCAGGACAAAAGGTCGGGCGAGTCTTCAAGGTGTAACTAATGGAATCAAAGAGTGGGCGAGGGATGAACACACTGCTATCTCGATGTGATCGACGGCTCGCCGACCACGGTTGGCCTGAGCAGAATGCTGTTTGATTGTACCCTTACTAGAGGACCAATCAAGCTAGGGAAAGGGTGCCGCGTCGGATGGCCGCGACGGGCGGGAGTTGACGGTTTATCGTCTCTCGCCTCTCGTTGTTCAAGATGTTGGGGTGGCTCGAGGGTGGGAAAGGGGACGTTGTTTCCCAGAATGTTTCCGCTTTGTGATACGCCCGGCGGGTGACGTTATTGGGTGATTGGTGATTGGGTTTGCTGGCCCCTAAAGTTACTGTAACGACAATTTTCGGCTCCTGAGGTGGCACACTCCAGGTCCGGCCTGGCCGCTGGGATCGGTGGGATCGGTGGAACAAGCCGACAGGCCTACCGCTTCCAGCTGTTCACAACTTCACCGCACAGTCTGGCTGTGGGAAATCGCAAGCGATGGCATCCGACGTTCCGAAAGCAAAGGCTCCATCTACGAGCAGAAGGTTGAAATATTTACAATACAGACGAAGAATCAATGTTAAGTATTTTCAAGGTTTTCTCGCGCCTCGGGCTGCCACGCGGCGTCGCAGCTTGCAAGACCCGACATGCGTTTCGCGATCCACTAAGTTAGAGGCAGCCCGTCACTGGCTGATGGGGTGTGGCGCAGATCAGCTTTCAGATTCCCCTGTATCTTTGGATCTCCGGGTCATTGGAGACCTCAGAAGCACTCAACTGGGGGTAAGAGAAACGCCGTCAGGGGAAAATTAGCCCTTCAGAATTATCTAGATGGGATTGCTCTGTCAAGGATCTCCAAGAGTTCAACTGGTCATCCGGGTACTCCAGGGCAGTATCGGTATAATAACCATGGAGATCTGTATGTACTGTATTGTACATTGCAAGTGAAGTTGCCAGCCACGTATCAACTGCCGGGATCGTTTTCTAACGTTAGGGGCTTTTTATAAGAGAGGTTTCTAAACCGTAGAAACGGAGACCTAGGTTCGATAATCTCGTTATGCAATACATCATTCAGTACTCCGTACATACCTCCGTACGTGAACCGAGTATGAAACAATCCGACTCGACTCGATGATACAGGAGGTCCAGGAACCCAACGTGAAGATCCGTTGAAGACTTGACATTCTTTGCCTTGCTGGCGCTGGCTGCAATTTCCGTTTCGGTGACTGAGCAGGAATTGGAACGTGCATGTGCTTCATCACGTGACTTCTCTTGGCATAACCGTTGGACCTCCAAGTTGGAAGCCTCCTAGGCGAGACGTGCGGCGCGCATCTCGAGAACCCAGACATCGAGCTTGAGCTTCTGCGAGCGCCTGGCCCATTTATCTGCGTGTCCGCGCTACAGGGCCACTATCTACACCGATTCTATTTCGTTGCTATTTCAGGCTCCCCTTGCACCATGGCCGAATCGGAGTTGAGTCCCAAGTTTGCACCCTTCATTGGGATGGTAGGTGCGACGGCTTGTCATCAGCTGCATATTCTCATTATTCAACACTACCAACAGCTTTACTGACTCGGACATTCACGACAGGGCGGCATTGCGGCGGCCATGATCTTTGGCAGTACGGGCGACCCGGTTTCCTTTCCCTCGTTGAAACCAATCTGTCATGAGGAACATCGCCGTGTCTCTGCTCCCACTCTACGGATAGAGCGCTGATAGCATACCGCGTCTCGCAGGCATAGGGGCAGCGTACGGTACGGCAAAGTCCGGCATCGGCATCGCGGGTGTGGCCCAGTTCCGGCCAGACCTGATCATGAAGGTGAGGAGGAGCTGCAGTTTCTTCGTGTTTCACCGGAATATTTGTTGGGCTGACTGGGTGTATCTCGGCGAAGTGCCTCATCCCCGTCGTCATGTCCGGTATCATCGCCGTCTACTCGCTCGTCATATCCGTCCTGATCGCCCAGGACCTGCAACCACCGACGACCGGGTCAAACTATAGCTTGTTCAAGTGCGCCCGTTCCCTGCCGACCTTTTATCACGGATTATGACGGGAATGCTAACATCAGCGCAGCGGTTTTATGCATTTGGCTTGCGGGTTGGCTGTGGGACTTACGGGTCTCGCAGCTGGTTATGCCATCGGTATAGTCGGCGATAAGGGCGTCAGAGCGTACATGCTGCAGTCCAGGATTTTTGTCGGCATGGTGTTGATTCTGATTTTTGGCGAGGTGTTGGGGCTCTACGGGTAAGTATCCGATATATCTTGTTGTTCAAGCTGATGCTAAGGGGAACCACAGGTTGATTGTTGCTCTGATCCTCAACACCAAGAGCAAGGGCTGAATAGGTATCATGCCGGTGTTTTAAAACAAAACAGGCAGAGTGTACGAATTACATACAAGAAGAGAAACCCTTACTTGGCTGAAAGGGGTGTTGAGGTAGCATTGGCCTGGCGTTGACGGATATTCGATTCATAGATGGATCACGGATTGAGGACAGGCACGTCAGAACTTGAATTGTCATCATTTGAATTGCAGTTGGCCGCTCATGGCAGCGCATGCTCCATGAGAGGTCTCTTTTCATGGGCAGAACCCACCGAACGACAACTGCAGTTGTACTCTCCTCTGGATATAGGAGAGGGTACATTGACATCGTCTCTGGTCCAGTTCTCACCCGACCACTTGTTGAACTATCGGCATAACGTTTGGTGTCAGCCCCCCTGTTGTGGCTTGATGGTTCCAGAACACAATAACTGACCGTAATGTGGTCATACTAATATCTGTCAACCTCCTCACATGCGATCATTCATGCAACCCAAGTCCGACTTTGGATATGATGCGCCGGAGTATGCGAGAGGCGTAAAAAACCCAACTGCGATAACAAGAGGACAACCGCCCAATGCAATGATAAACCCCGAAAACCAAAGAATTTCTTGAAGGAGTGAAACGAAGATGGAAAACGAAAGAAGGGAACGCAGCAGGCGGTGCTCAGTAGCGCATCCAAGATACACGCCGGGCGCTTTGCGTCTAGAAGCGTGCCCCGATGAGAAAACCGAGCCGGCCGTTATACGACCGTTTCTCGACATCACGACGGAACTTCTTCCAGCTCCGCTCGCGCTGCTCACGATCCTTCATCTGGGCTGTAATAGAGGCGGAGGAGCGGAAGATGTTAGCCATTGCCACCTGTCAATTGCTTAGATGCTTCATGATGCCTCATTAAGGGGCTCGTTTGAAGATACACCAAAGCAAGAATAGGAAAGCTTACCAAGAAACCAATCCCACCGCCGATCCTCGCGAATCAGTATGTCGTCGCCGGACTCCCTTGCGAGCCTTTCACGCCGCGCCCGGGCAGCAGCTTCTTCGCCGACCAGATAGGGGTCCTCGAGCGGACGGAACCGGTTGCGCTCCTCCTCCTCGATGCGCTCCAGCATGGCCCTCCTCAGCGCGCCTTCCAGGCTTGCCGTGCTGTTCGCGGCACTTGCACGCCGGAGGGCTACGTTGTGGTACTGGCGCGCCGTCGGGTTGCTGCTGACGCTCGACCACGACGGAATGCGGAACTGGTTAAGTGACGGCGCGACGCTGTGCCTCGGCGGTCCCGTAGGAACGGGAGGCAGACCCTGCCGCCTTGGCGAAGAGGAGCCATCGCTACTTTGGGGCGCGGGGCCGAGGAGGGACGAGACCCCGGCTGATGATGGAGGTGACTGGGCCGGAGCTGTGGAGCGGGCCGGTGGCGAATATGGCGGAACTGGCTCCGGGTTGGGCACTGTAGAGTGGTACGATGGAGCTTCGGATGCTGCAGGTGGTGAATCAGCAAGGGGCGATCACCTGGGTAGTGTATGTATTGTACATAGGGACACAGGGCAGTTGTTCTGCGCGGCCATGAAATCCGGCCTGGATTGGCGGGTCATAGTCACATGCACTCACTATATGAGGGAGCAGCTGAGCGGATCGAGGCTGTCTCAAAGTCCTCTGCACTCAGGGAATCAATTGCCGCACGGGTGTTAGCCGTGGCACGCTCAGGAGTCGCTGTAGCCATCACGATGTCTCGGATACTATTCTGAAGTATTGGTGAACTCGCCTAGTTGGACGTCGATGAGTGTCAGGACGATAGTGAGCGAAGGAGTGGCAATAAGTCAGGACAATGGCCGAGCGGGACGGGAGGCATCTAACCGCGCAATGACGCCGTGGGGAATTGGCGGACGGCAGCAACAAGTGAGGTCAGATGAAGCCGCTAGTAGCCACTCGGGAAAACCTAAAGCTTTGACAAGCGGGATACACGTCCTGTCAAACCACTTGAAAGAGTGACAGGCCCTGTCAACGACAAGCTATGTATATATGGGCTGCGTAGCGTCAGATGCCATAGAAAGAGGGACACGTGAGAACAACAGACTAGTGCAGAAGTTCGGGCTTTGGGGAAGGGTGGGATACTAGAGCCCTGAAGGATCGTCTGCGGCAAGCACGAAGGGACAGGTTCAGGTCCCAGACGCGGCTTGAGCTGCAGGAGGTCCGCCGAGATAAACCTCGGTGACTGGTTGCCCATCGAAGCTTCGTGTACCCATCAGTGCTCCTCCTCGCACGCGGAAAACCAGTTTGGAGGTACCCATGTGGTGGAGGGGCGGAGGGGAAACGCGGGGTTAATGGGCAATGGAGCCGGCGCCCGCTCCCATGCTCCCACGTCAACCGGCGGGCCGATAAACATGGGTTTCTTATCTGGGCTAGGAAGGTGATCGCGAGCTCGCGTAACTATGGTACTATACATACAAATACAAGTACTGTACTGTACAATACATACTGGAACATTATCAACGTTACTCGAGGGACTAGGTAAAAGAATGACTTGCTGTGATGTCTGGAAAGCTGTGTAAAGTACCTCTTTAAACTCTTAAGTCTCATGGCCCTGTGCAAATCTAACTTGATGTCTTGCCGGGAGATACTGTGTTGGTGAGGTTGGTCGTGGATAATGGATAATGGAGAATGTTGTTGTCCCGTTGTGGTAATATACCGGGTCCCGGGCCAAGCTTGGCGGAAGCTCCACAGCTCCCGGGAGCCTCCGGACGAGGGTGGCTGAGCCTGCATACCTATTCGAACATGGAGATAACACGTTGAGGCCGCATAGGTACTTCAATACACAGTTAGCTGGGTTCAACACAAGCCGTATTTCTGAAGTGAAATTGGCACCTCGAACGGTTCTGGAAAGGGGTTGGCTCACAATCAGGACATGCTCGCTTTGGGTTCCTGAGCGATTTCTACCGGGACGGAAACCTCTCCCGTTGCTTCCGTTCCCAGCTTGCCGGCACGAAGCATGGCCGACGGGAACTGAATCGGTAACCCCACCTTTGGCCCACTGCGAGTGCGCAATGACGACAGCCACGACCTGTGTTCGACGTTCTTCGAACGGAGCTTGAAAGGAGCAACCGTGAAGATAGTGATACCTTAATCCACAAAACTTATTGAGGTCCATCTGAGGCCAGCTAGCCTTTAGATTCGGTCTAGATATTCATGCGGAATGCTTTGCAACAAGTTGTTTCGTTGAAGAGGCAGCTTTGCTTACCTACGTGTAGTGTAGGCACGTATGTAGCAGAGTGCCGAGCCCGAACCGCTGGGTACCCCTGCTGAAGCCCGGCCACGCTGAAGTGGGATCATGGAACCTTGACGACCATCAATACCCCCGGCAACGGAGGAGGTTTTTGACTCGACAGCAACCTGGAACCCTTTTTGTTGAAGCTACATAAGGATTTTGTGAAATTGGGGTTCGACGACCTTTCGCCGACGATATGGGCTTGAAAGTCACTGGCGGCGCTATAGCTGCGGCCACGCTTCATGTTCTCAGGCTAGCGGCCGCAGCGCAGCCGGGCGCCGTCCAACCGGTCCCTGGGCCCATGCGAGACCTGGTCTGGGGCAAACTCAATTTTCTGCACACTACCGACACGCATGGCTGGCATGCTGGCCATCTGCAGGAATCGCAGTACTCGGCAGACTGGGGCGACTATGTCTCGTTTGCCGAACACATGCGCAAAAGGGCCGACGACAACGGCGTCGACCTCCTGCTCGTTGACACAGGTGACCGCGTCGAGGGCAACGGATTGTACGACGCTTCGAGTCCCAAAGGCAAATACTACTATGATATCTTCCGCCAACAGCACATCGACATAATATGCACTGGCAACCATGAGCTCTACCAGGCCGCGACCGCTGATGGCGAGCACTTGCGCACCGTGCCAAACTTCAAAGACAACTACATCGCATCCAATCTCGACTACATAGATCCCAGGACCGGTGAGAGAATGCCAATGGCCCAAAGGTATCGCAAGTTTCAGACCAAGCATCAGAAACTTGACATTGTAGCCTTTGGTTTCCTTTTCGACTTCACTGGCAACGCAAACAATACTGTCGTGCAACCCGTTAGGCAGACTATCAAGGAGACATGGTTTCAGCACGCCATCAGAGAGAAGACGGACCTGTTTGTCGTGATTGGCCATGTGGGCGTGCGGATGCAAGAATTCCAGGATATCTTCAGGGCGATCCGGGACCAGAATCCCGCCACCCCGATCCTTTTCTTTGGAGGCCATGTCCACATCCGAGACGCGACTGCATACGACTCGCGGTCGTTTGCGCTTGCTAGTGGGAGATACCTCGAGACTATCGGCTGGATGTCGGTTGATGGCGACCTCAAGAGCACCGAGGCGCCCCAAGCGAAGACTGCGCTGCGTTTCAACCGTAGATATATCGACAACAATCTCCTGGGGATGTACCATCATACGGGTCTCGACAGCAAGACGTTTCCAACCGAGCATGGGCGCAATGTGTCGGCCATGATTGCCAAGGCACGCGACGCGCTGGATCTCGATTACGCCTTTGGCTGCTCTCCCAAGACTTACTGGATGACTCGAACCCCTTACCCAGGAGAGGACAGCATCTACAGCTGGCTAGAGGAGGAGGTGCTCCCTGACATAGCGGTCAACGAATCGCGGAAAGATAAACCACGCCTGGTGATAGCCAACACGGGTGCCATTCGCTTCGACATCTTCAAGGGCGCTTTCACCCGGGACACAACGTACATCGTCTCGCCTTTCCTCAGCGTGCTTGCCTACATACCTGATGTTCCTTATGCCATGGCCAAGAAGGTTATCAGGTTATTGAACGGCGCTGGCCAGATCATGGGGCCAGAGTTGATGGACAACCGGTTCATGGCGATACCGGAGCAGCTGGCCATTCATGAGTCTATAATTCATCATCAAGTGCCCGAGTCTGGCGCCCACTCAGACGCGCAACAAAAGCCACTTGCAGATGGCCAGGATAGGATACCCTTGACGGAAGGGTACACCACCAGGGACGACATTGGTAGTGACGGCGACGATACCATTCATGCGGGCATCAACTTCTATATGGTGCCAAACTGTATCCAGGCCGAGGTGGCATTCCCATCCAGTGGCGATCCCCCCGAAACCGTGGACCTCGTCTTCTTGGATTTCATCACGCCCTGGGTGCTGATGGCACTGAGGCTCAACGGAGGCGATTACCACAGGGACGACGTGCAGCTCTATGTGGAAGGGACTTTTACCGAATTGATGGCCGGCTGGATAGAAAAGAACTGGCCGCGGCGTTGTTAGGTTTACATTACTTCTTGTCCTTGATTAGAAATACCTTGAATGCATCCGGGTTTGGTATACAAGGTCAATATTGGCGTTATTTCCACGTGTGCACACTTATCTGCCTACTGTTGTGGCTGGCGGCTCAGTATCATCCGGTGCGATATAGTAACTCTAAGTTCACCATACAGTCACCCATGTCTTTGCATTCATCCATCATCCAATCCTCATGCCTCTCAAGCTGGGGTGAGTAATCTAGACCAAAACCTTGCTCCCAAGCATTTGCCACGATACCAGCGGGAGCCCACAAAACGAACGAAGGTGCGGACGATGATATATATGGGAACTTCTTATTTTATGCCTCCTTCCGTACCTGCCCATAATGCCAGCGAAATACATCAATCCCCGTACCCGTCCAACTTGGAAGCAAGACGTATCCAGCCGTTACTCCTCGCGCCTTTGAACGCCGCCAAGTCGATGCATATACTTGCTACAGAACGAAAATTTCCTTCATCCCGTCCCCATGCTTGCAGTCCCTCTTGGCGATGCTATGTTAGCACCTTCCTCCCCATCATAATTGGTCAAGGAGCCTCTGCCTCCTCCTATCAATCAATTCCTGCTGGACCTCGTCTAAAGTAGGGAGTTCCCAAACCCTCCCGTCCCCAACGTCGCCAGGCAACGGCTCCCACCCAGGCGGCGCGGCATCCGGCCCGACCTTGACAAGCGCCTCAAAAGCCATCTTCTCCCTCTGCCTCTCGTACTCCAACAACGCCTCATCCTCCTCCCCGGGCGCGTATCCGTAGTAAGCCGCATTAACCGCCTTGCGCAGGTCGGCCCTCTCCTCAAGGGGCTTCTCGTCTGCCTCGTGTCTAGCTTTAGCGGCGGCCTCAAAAAGCTCCTTGACTCCTGGGAGCTCGCGGGCGCGACCAAAGTATCGGTACCCTTTCCCGCCGCCTTGAATCTCGCGGCCGGCCTCGTCGTAGACTTTTGCGCCGGCGCGCATGTAGTTGGGCCCCCCCAAGTTGCGGATCTGCACCTCCCACATGTGCTTCTCGCGCATCAGCTTGTTGATCTCGTCGTTGAGGTCGCGGATCTGGTAGTCGGAGAGCGCCGGGTCCTGGATTCGCGACACTTTGCGCGAGATCTCCTTAAGCACCTGGCCCCTCCACTTCTCGCACGCCGGGATCGAGTCTTGCTCCGTAATAGCCCGCGGCCGTCGGCTCCGCCCCGCGTCAATGATGCCCAAGTCCGCGGCCTGCGCTTCGCGGAAGCGGAAGAGCATCGACTGCGCTTTCTCTGAGTTGCGCGCCTGGGGATCATGGTTAGTACGTATTTACAAGCCGCGTTTTGCTTGGCTGATAATTTTGGATTTTGACTAACCATGCTGTCTGACTGCCGGGCTTAGATATGTACTGAAATGTATTGCTATGGGCCAAGGCCTAGAGGAGGCGCGAGGAGGTTGGAGGTTAAGTTGGGCTGTGGGGAGTCGCATATCCAATTCACAAGGCTGCCTGATGAGGAAATTCCATCGCAGCCTTGTGCTGGTCGTGGGGTAGCACCTGCTGTGGCGCTGTGGCACGAGCTTCAATGGCACTTTCCAGGCAGCGCGCACTGGGCAAGCCACGCAAAACAGCTCACTTGCAGTGGCCTATTTAACTCGACGCGCTTCCTCGCGTCTCTTCTTTCACCCACCCATCACCGATCAACTTTGCACCTCAGTATTCTTCCAACAAACTTGGTGTTTGCCATCGACGGGAGTTTCGTGGCAAGCCAGCTACTTGCAGAAATGGGCTTTCTTTGGAATCGTCGATCGTCACAGGGTCAGGCTCATCGAGTACCAACTTGGCTCCTGTTGGCCTGGTTGTCCCTGCTCACAGCAGATGCTCACAAAGTCTGGTATTCTTCAGCTACTCAATTCTCAGTACTATAGTTGCAGTAGCTCGGTTCTTCGATGCGGCCCTAACTCTTTCAGGAACTTGATTCACTTTCCGCAATATCAGACAGCAAGCTGATTTCCGGGAAACTGACCATCCAGCAATATCATCCCGCAATGCATTCAGGCCAACGATCAATCTCCATACATCGAGGACGCAGTTTTCGCATGAAGCATTAGCGAGCTGCAAACACTCTGGAATGCCTTTGGCATCTGTGCCTAATCAGACGACAGACAATTCCAGGCTCCAGCACCGCCCTCTTTGAACAGCAATTACCTATCTACATCCTCCAGTCCTACCGGAACTTGGTTGCGACCTTGACAAGCATCAAGCGATGCCAGGGCGGCCAGCTTACCCAAGCCACCCGCATGCTCATCAACCCTGCAATGACGAAGAAACCAAGGGTCTAGAGCTACACCCAAACTTGACTCATCCCGTTCCCTGGGGCATATCGTCTTATTGCGTTATGCGTTCAGACACCGGATCGCGGGCGAGGTTGAGAGGTATACAAGAATGGATATCTGAGCAGGTTTCATACCACTTTACCCCATCGATTTTTATCCCTGACCCTATTGTCACAGCGTCCTTTCCTCCCATGTCTGTCTATCATGGCGTAGGCTAAGGTACAGCTTGATACCCCATGCAGGTCACGCCAAGCGGCGTTCCTGGCCTGCTCTGTCCCCTCGCTGCAATGACGACACTCGCAACCACCAGAGGTGCGCCGGCGTCAACGCCGTCACTCTGTATCCCCTCCTAACCCTTCTCAAAGCTGCTCGGGAGGCTTGCAGATTTTCGGCGTGGCGTGTCTGCGCAGCACCGATGACGGGACAACTTAGTAGTTTTCAATCGGAGCAGCGAGCGATGGAGCGAAGGTTCCATGCTTGAGCGACTTGGTGGGGATGTCAAGCCCGGAAGAGAGAGATAGACACCTTGGGGCTAGCCGGCCGGCCCGCTTGAGGCGTAGACTGGCTTGGCTGAGCTGCCAATCCGCCTCAGGCATTGAGTGGCATGCTAAGAAGCTCCCCATCCGCCCCTGGCGTCGATGGCATGGCTAAGAAGCTCCCCACCCGCCCCAGGCGTCGAGCGGCATGCTGAGAAGCTGCCAACGGCATTGCTGAGAACCTGCCAATCCGCCTCAGGCGTGCACTGGCTTGGCGGGTACCTTTTAGGTGTCTTTCTTGTTCTTTCCTATCGCAGGGGTTGGGAATACACAACAAGCAAAGCAAACAGAGCCCGGTGATGACGGAAGGTCCAAAAAGCCAAATTTGCAGGCAGCAGACGCGGCACGACTGGCTCACCATTCGTGGTAGCCGGCTGCTTAGGTCGAGTTGTCAGTGGGAACATAAGAGAGCTAATCTGAGGGCCTCGTTTGCTTTGTTTTGGCATTCTCCTGAGCTTCCCTTGGGAACCTTGACTGTTTCTTCACCCATCGGTAGATGTAAGTCATAATCCAAATCGCAAGCACTCCACACTGAGTGTGTCTAGTGATCAATGGCAAGATACTCATAGCCCTTCCGTGTATTCCTCTAGTTTATGTTTAGTTGAAGATGGGACGTGACCTTGCTGCCATCCAGTACGATACATCTCTGTAGACCATCCGCACATAGACGGTACAAGAACCAAATATACTACTGAAACCCACAACCAACTCCTCCCAGCGAGCAAGCATACACGTACATTTTCATTCGCCCGTCACTTTTCAAACTCAGGCTTTTACTGCGTCTTCTTTGTCTCCCCCTTATCCGTAAGCGGCGGCGCGCTGTACATCCACACAGCGCAGAAGGCGAGCCAGCCGGCAACAGTGACACCGATGCCAGCGATCCACGGCCAGGCACCGCTGATGGCGAAACTGCGCGGCCACTCGTCGTGGGCCATGTGCCGCACCGACACCGTGTTCTTCTCCTCGACGTTGGACAGGAAGGGCCGCTTGTAGTTGACCTTGAAGTTGAATATGCCGTGCTGGTCGGGGAGGCGGAAGTGGACCGTGTAGGCGGTCGACTCGGGCGTGGACCGCGCCGTCTCCGGGGTGAGCTCCAGCCGGTGGAAGGGCGAGAGCATTGAGAACTCGAGCTGCAGCGCGTCGTCGTCCGAGGGGAGCGTGAAGGGCTCCCAGTTGGTCCAGGCGTATTCTGAGAGGGAGATTGTATATTTCTGTTGATTTTACACGCGGTTAGCAACCTGGTAAAGAGTGTGTGGATGGTTGATTAAAGGGCAGGATTTGGTGCGGGGAGGGGACGACATACCACGTTGTTCTTGATGCGGTAGATTTTGGGGTTGGTCTCGTTGGACGCGGAATTACCGGGCTCGTCGAGCCGATGCTCGATCCAATTGACGCGCAGCACGCCGATCTCATTGAACGTCCACCCGCTCACGCGCTTAGCGAACTCGCGGTTGAAGGTCTTCGCCTTTCGTCCGCCCGTGGCCGATGGCTTTGTCACTTCAGCGTCGAACCATGTGTCTTGCAGCATCTCGGCCGAGCCGAGCAGCGTCAAGCGCGCCGAGTTGCGCGCCTGGAAGGCTGTTACCAGCGCCAGCTGCTCGCCCGCCGCGAACAGGTCGTCCACCACCTCGGCTTGCTCCTTGGGGTTGTAGCTGTAAGCGGTGCGCGGGGCGCGGAGGATCGGGGTGAGCAGCTCGCCTGTGCCCAGGACAGCGCCCACGCCCCGCGAGAAGGCGAGAACTTCGTTGCTGCCGGCGCCTGCGCCGAAGAAGTCCTTGATGTCTGGGCGGAGGCGGCCCGGAGGCGGGAGCAGCAACACGTCGTGCTTCTCGGGTGCGCTGGAGGCATCGTAGTTGAAGTGGTCTACCACTAACCCGGTGCGGTCGGCAGGGAGCTGGATGTCGAGCTCGGCAAGGAGGGAGACAAGCGAGTTGGGGGTTGCGATGCCGGAGCTGATGGCCAGGAGGATGTTGCCCTTGGCATTGAGGAAGTCGACAAGTATGTTTGGTGTCAGGTTGGGGCCGAGGCCTGCCGTCACCAGTTAGCTACTACATGAAAAACGAATGATCTGATGGACTATTGTTACCCTTTGTCTTAATTGGGAAGAAGATGACATGATCGTATGTCCGCTCCCCAAGGTGGAACAGGGTGAGCGACTCGCTTTTAGGCGTCTCAAAGGAGAGCTGGAATCCTCTGCCTGTGGCCAATTGGTCAGCCCAGAAACGGTCTCCAACCCGCAAGCATATATCACAAACCCTCCAGGTCAGCTAGAAACTTGGAATAGTTCGCCTTGTCTGCGACATCGTCTAGAATCACCAGCAGCCTGTTGCCAGAGGTGCTAACGGCCGAGACCACGGCAGCAAGCAAAAAGAGGCATAATGAAAAGAGCGACCGCATGTTGGGCGGAATATCAATCCGCTCCTATAGAGTGAAAGGAGTAGAAAGCGGCGTGGTAGAAACTCGTGTCGTCGAGTTCATGCCACGGAAGTCGCCTTGCTTGCCTCGCTCATCAACTGCAACGGCCGCACTTTCACAATCACAGCTGCTGCAGTGGTTGATGAATCGGCATACGTAGCCTTGCCAAGACCTGACAGGGCCTAGGCTTGGTTCTCCACTTGCTGGGGCTGACCTCTGCCGACAGCAGCACACGGGCCACAGCAGCAGTGCGGTGTCTTGTAACCGCAGTTTCGCCGCAATCTGGGAATTGGGGAACGAACCTCGAAGCTCAATTGAGCTCGGAGCTCTCACAGCAATCGACGACGACAACAACGAGAACAGCTTCAGCTGGTAACTACGGGCCCACTTGGCGTGATTAGGCAACCGGTCAGCAAGCCAATTGACATTGCATTCAGCCCAGCCAGGTACTTGCGCCTCATTTTCCTCCATGATCTCAAACCATCTCTCCCCTCTCACCCTTGAGTCTTGACCAGTCACTAACATGGACTAATATCACCTTCCTCCTACACACACAGACAGGAAGAGGAAGAAAACCACAAGACAATGTCAACATCCCCCCGCTTCTGGGCAACGCCCATCCGGTACCTGCGCTGGGCCTCGCGCGAGCGGCCCGCCTACTTCTGGTCCGTGGCCATCGGCGCGTGCGGGCCCCTGACACTGGCCATCGTGCCACCGGTACGGCGGTGGCTGGGCGACGAAGACGCGCCGCCCATTCCGCTGACATATCCGGGTATGTCTTGTTCTTTATTGTTTTACTCTTCATATGATGCCCCCGGCAAGAAGCTGTTGTGGCTTACCAGGGGGGGCATACAGTTCCCACCGGACCGAGAAAGAAACTTACGGGGTACGGCGATGAGACGGAACCATAAGACTGAATGAAGCTCAGGGTGAGGGTCGGCCTGTTGGAGGATGAAAGCGGAATGTGGATTCAAAGGGAGGCGGTTGGATGGAGTGGAATGCCGATGGCAGCCCATCCATTCCCGGAGAAGGGCACTGCTGTGGAGACGTGGCGAGCAGGATGGTGTACAAAACCTGTACAAACGGCGTTGAGGGCGGGTAGCGGATGGGAGGTAAATCTATACCTAAGGAAAGAGATGGCCTCGCGTTTGCGGATAGCAGCAGCAGCACAGCAGACCGCCCAAGATGGCACGGTGGTGCGCCGGGGAAACTGAAGGTGAAAATGCAGACGCATTCAATTCTAAGGCGGCATGCATAAAACTCGTCTAAGCACGGCTCATCATCGGCCAGCAAGCCAGGGCCAGCCCAAACTCCAATACAGTCATCACAGAACAGCCACCGGGCTGCTTTCTCAACCCTCCAGACATCCGCCGCGTCCATTTCCGCTGCTCTATATTCAACCCATCTCTTTTCTTTCCTTTCATTTCTCCCCCTCTTTTCCGTTCCCTTTTTATCCGCCCGTTTCCCAATGCTCTCCCCCTTTTTCACTTCTCACCTCTCGCGCTGGACCAGATTCCACTCATACTATTACAAAACAGACGTTAGCTTCACCCGAACCACGCAACAGAATAATAGGACAGGTTGAGTTTGAAAAACCAAGCAGGGTAAACTCACCACCCTCCCATCATCGTCCCCGGTATAGACCAGCGTTGCCATCGGCGCAATGCACGTGATAGCCGCTTCGACGTTCGCCCCCGTTTCACTCTTGGAGTTGACATGATCGAGCCGCCTCAAAAACTCGAGCACCCATTTCCCCGTCCCTCGGTCGACCGTCTTGCGCCACACGTTCACCACTCCTCTCTTGTGGCCCGTAAAAACGAGCTGGTTCTCCAGCCACTCGTTGCCCGCGCCACCCGCCGAGCCCTCGTAGAAGGCGCACGAGTGCACAAAGTCATCTCGGGCATGGTGATGAGTCTGTGTCTGAGACTCCTGAGGCTGAGCGGCCTCGGGGTTGCAGACGTTCTGGTCCAAAATGAGCTCGCCGTTGAGGGTGTACAGCAGGACATGTTGGCCGCTACAGAGCATCACGTCACCCGTCACGTCATTGATCTGCGCGCATTCCACTCCGGGCCGCGCGACGGGCAGTTTGCGGATGAACTCGAGACGGTTCAAATCCCAGAGGAAGGCAACGCCGTCCTGCGAGACGGTGAGAATCGTGCTGAAGGCCTTGGAGACGGCAATGTTTGTCACGGGCGTCTTGTGCCCGAAGAGGGATGACCGCGGGTGCAGCTCGACGGACTTTCCGGGGGCCGAATGCACCATGTACACCGACACCACGCAGTCCTCGCCTGCCGTGATGAGTGTCTTGGAGTCGGCAAAAGTGAGCGTCGAGATTTGGCCGATGTGCAGGTTCTCGAACAACCCGGCCGGCTGGAGCGGTCAGCTAGCTGATCTATTCTGATCTACTCGTTACAGTGCGGGTGTCTCACCTTTCTGTTGTCGCTGAAGTAGAACCGCACGCTGTTGTCCGCATAGCCCCATTCCAAGAATTTGTCGTAGTGCGGCGAGAGATTGAGACGGAATGGAGATGAGCAAAGAAGACGGTCGAGCTTAGGCACATAGATGAGCGAAGCTACGCGTTCTCGACTTTCTAAAAATTCCTGTCAGCCATACCAGTATACCGTCATTCTACACAATCATGAACATACCTAGAAGCGGGTACGGCAGCTTGGCCAAAGCTTGAACAGAAGTGTCCAGCCGTTTGATGGGGCATCGCTCGTGTTCCCTTGCCGGATGAGGCTTCGTAAAAATCTGATGCGGTGTCTGGCCAAAGTTGTGGATGATGCCCGTTGTTATCAGCCGCTCTTGGGGGTCAGTGATGTTATCCAAGTCTCTAGCGCCCTTGTATGATAGGGGATGGAACACGTTGAGGTTCTCCACAGCCACATCCCCCCGTTGCTTGTAGCCGAAGACGAGATCGATCCACTGATGCAGCCTCTGGCTGACATATGGACACTCCAAGGCCTCGCGGTGCTTGGCGATAAAAATCTTTGGATCTCCCTTCGCCCACGGCGGCAGTACAACGTTGTCAACCCTGCCCCCACCTCCCTGACGGACTCCAAAGTTATAACCGTTGATGTTGGTCAGGAAGTCCGGTAGGTAAAAGAACTCTGGTATCAGCTCACGGACATCCGACCCATTATCTCGTGATGCGGAAGTCCAGGCTCCTTCAATCGAGAAGAATAGCCGGTCTGGATGATCGAAGGTTCCTCCCTGGAGCAGGATAAAGGATTGGACGAACGGGGGAAGTCGGATCAAGTAGGATGAGACAATCATGGCAGACGAATAGTGAGTCCCGTAGTGAAAGGGCGTCTCACCGATCTCCGCCAAGCTCTTGTAGCGCAAAGCAAAGTCGGCCGCACGAGATGGAGACTGCGCGCCCATTGGCTTCGACAAGTCTCTGAATGTAGCAGGGTTGTTGAGGTCAAGCTCCTCGCTAGTGTAGTCCGCCAACACCCACGGGAAAACAGGGTACTGAGTGAGATCATTGAACGTCCTGCCCGCCATCGTGTTGACAAGCATCAGGTAGTGGAAATTGGAAATCTCCCCCCTTTGCCATCGTCTCATCATGGGGTTCCAACCCGCCGAGTTGAAGATGCTACCAAACTTAGCCCCGAGTGTCTGTGGCGTGTCTTCGCCAAACCTGAGACTTTCAAGCCGCCATGCATCTTCCGGGTTTGGCAGAAGGCTCACATTGTTGGTGTGCGGAGTCTTGGCCGTGAGCCTTGAGAAAATCTCATCTCTCATGGCAGGGTTGATAGCGGTAAGCAGGTAGCTGCGGCCGTCGGTAAAGAATATCTCAATGGCAACGTCGCGAAACAGAAAGCGTCTCTTGGATATACTGAGAACATCCTGCCATCTCCAGCTCCGTGATTCTTGGTCCCGGCTCTGGTTCTGACGTCTCTCGCTGGGCTTGTCTCCTGTGATGATTATTGAAAATGGATCGCGCTCTTCCGGTGGTGCCTGCCAGACATTGACAATCTCACCATCGGCACTTTGGAAGAGACTGTCCATGATGTACAGGGCCTCCTTGCCAATGATTAAGATGCCTTCCGAGGCATCGAGGCCGACGATCCTAGAGATATTGAAGACGTTCTGTACCGCGTCACCATGCCGCAATCTCCTCATCACTTTTCGGTTCTTGTCTTCAAAGGTGTCGTCTCCTTCTGGCTCGTTCGGATCCTCTACCAGCTCGAAATCTTCCTCTGCCGCGACGCTCTCTTGGTCCGCACCTCCGTTCTCCGGCTCTGCAGAGATATCGGGATCTCCCATGGTTCCCTGGTTTGTAGCCTCCACAGCAGTCGTTGACGCCGACTGTGCGGCCCCGCTCACCTGTGTCAGCGGCATGCTGCCCACGGAGGGGACAGGCTTTGAGATGGTAGTTTGAGCGCTGTTCCGCTTCGGCTGAAATTCCTGCTGCTGCTGTCTAGGATATTCCGGAAGAAGGCGAAGACGCATGCGGTTCCGACCTTCTGTACGGTCCAGCTTCCATTTGATGGCTTGGGACTCGCTGAACACGGCGCCTGGGCGGTGCAAATTTCGCTCCATCTTTGCAAACGTGGAAGCCATGAAAGCGTTGTCATCTTGCTGGTCTTGCAAGAGCCTCTGATGCTTGAAATGCTCTGTGAAGTAGATGCTCTTCATCCACGCACTGTTTGCCATATCATGGCGCAAGAGGACATTGTCTCGCTCAAGCGATTCGGTGTGCCACTGTCTTAACTTATCCTTTCGGCTCTTGAGCCTTAACTTAGCAGTGTCAGCGGTGCGCTGATTCTCAGAGGCAACAAATTCCTCCCAAGCTTTCGACATGCCGCCGCTAAATAACATGTCGAGCGATGGCCGGTGTTGGTTAACCCAGTCGAGAAAGGACAAATCATCAAGCTCAGTTAGCTTCTGAAAGCCCCTAGCCAGAGACTGTTGGTCCGGTGCTATTGAGTGCCGGAACATTGTCGAGGACTCTTCGGGCTTCTGGACAAGCATTATCCTCCAGAGCGTTGCGGCGACGAGACAAATGTGGTGACGTTTGTCGACCAGCTTGTTATAAAGTTGGTACCACAGCAGTTTCATGTAGTCGTCCTCCACCGACAGGCAGCCTAGCAACACGGTTTGCCAGTAAAGCAATTGCTCCATAGTAGACAGAGCCTCAGAGTCCTTAGTTTCAGCGTCGTCCATATCCGAGAGCCTGAGCAGGGTGAATTTCAAAAAAGAAGCGCGAATGGTCGCAACCGCAGAGCTACAAAGGCGGACGCTTTTCAACGACGATACCTCGGGTCGCTGCAGATATTCCAGCACGGTTCCTGTGAACGCAATCATCGTCTCAGCTCCGTTCATGAACCATCCTTCGAATACTGCTTCCACCATGTGGAGGTTGAGGCGTGCCAAGTTCTGTAGGACCTTCGGCTCAGAAAGGACTTTGTAATCTAGCTGAATGGTATTCTTCAAGTGCGTGACGACATTCCGCAGTATATAGGTTTCAAAGTATGCCCGGTGTTCTTGGAATCCCGGAGGAACCTTCAAGAACAACCCGAAACCGGGAAATTCTTTTCTGACAAGAATCTGATCGGTGAACACGCCGATGACGAGTTCGAGAATCCCTTCTAGTACAGCATGACTGATATTCCTCGCGGTGACCTTCTTCTTGGGCGACATGACATGGTTCAACCGTGCGGGTGTCGGAGACAGGCGTGGTTGTTGTGCCGTGACCAAGATGAAAGATGACGGCCGCCGAAGAGGAGTGCCCCGTCCCGGGCTTGATGAGGGTAGAGCGGAATCTGCTGGAGCTGCAGTTGCCGTCCTGACTATCGGGATCGCCGTGGACGAGGAGCCGGGAACTGGCCGGATGATGACGTCGTTCCCCTCAAAAGTGAGGTCTTTTGAGTTGAGTTCTGTCTCTGGAGTCACAGGATCGGCACTGACAATGATTGGGTACAAGGCCGAGAAGAGGTGGCGGACATAGTCAGAGGTTAAAGAGAAGTCCCTGAAATTGATCGATCGGCCGTGCATGTCTGCTAAGAAACGGATAACCGTTTGAAGAACGGCAGCGTTGGCCGCTACGCGCTCTCTGTCAGGCAGCTGGGATTCTAGGATCAAGGGTTAGCAAACGATAGGCGCATAGAAGGCTGGATCCTACTTCTTGGTTCAAGCGCCTGGCCCAGCTCCATAGACCGGGCACGAGGTCTTGTCTGGGCAACGCCGAGGCCCTCCACGGAGCTCTTCGTTGTAGCTGGATCGCCAGCTGGTGAGTCTGGATCATCCTGATACTTGAGAATGTCCCGAAGACCGTGCTGGATCATCGAGGTTATGACGGATAGCACGTCGGGGAATACAATCCGGCTGGTTCCAAAAAGCTCCAAAAGACTGAAGAAATCAAACGACTTGTCAAAGTCAATGTTGGCAACGTCGTAGCCAAAGAGGATGCTGAATAATATCGGCCAGAGTGTTGAAATGTCCCACCACTGTTTTAGGCGATATGCCATGATCCAAAATCCGCCGGTCTTAGTCGCAAACTTGGCGGCGTAACTCGGCGGCTGCGTGACTAAGAGGCGAGCGAGGATCTTGCAACCATAGACGACGATTTCCGGGTCATTCTCTGCAAGGAGGTAGAGTAGCCACTGGCCCGTCGTCAGCACGTACTCCTTTTGCTTCTTCTTTGGGCCATCTGCGTATATCACCTTGTTAGTCACCGTCTTGGCGAATTTGCGGATATCGGTCAGGTTTGTCTTGTCGCAGAGAAGCCGTGTATACATCTCCAGGATCCTGACGCCCAGCTGCTTCTTCGAGAGCATTTTTGAGGCTGGAGCTGCGGACGACGAGCTCATATCGACCGTAGGTCGGCGGAGGACCCCAAGGCCAGGGGTCCCTGACCGACTGCCTGCGGACGCAGGCTTGGGGGTTCGCGATACAGGACCAGGAGGTGTATGGAAAGCGTAAGTTATGAAGAGGGCAATGGAGCGGTGCACTTCGGCATTGTAGTTACACTTGACGAGACTTTCAAAGGAAGCCATGAAGTGAGGCATAATATCCTCGGAGATGGTCTCCGCTTTCAAGGCGTCCAACAGCCTCTTGATGATACCTGCAAGACTCAGTAGTGAGCCAATTGCAAATGTAGACCACCTGACGAGCGACAACTTACGCATTCGAAGTAAACGGCGGCCGTTGAATTGATGATGTTTGCTCTTCACGGCGAATGTTACAAACTGCTTGTAATAGAGCTCCTGAGCCAGGGGCGACGACCTTCGCCAAGTGTCGGCATCAATCAGGAGGATGCGATAGGCGAGGGGATTGACAATAAAGGATTCAATCGGGTCTGCATGGTTGTACCCGACGAAATGCAACACCAGACTGAGCAGCTGGAAGCTGAGCCGGTCTCTTGCATCGTTCGTCAGCGCGAGACGCCATGACTGTGACTGGCTGTCAGGGCCCGACGAGCCATATCCGAGTTTGGCCCGAAGCAACATGCACAAGATGGCATAGCCGTTGTCTCGCTCCATCGCCTCGCTGTTTCTCCAGCTGTTGCTGATGCAATGGAACATGAGTTCTACAGACCGTAGCAGCTCTTCAGAGGTGGACGACCTCTCGACGAGCTTGAGGCCGACTGGGGTAAAACCCCCGAGGCGCCATAGATTATCGTCAAAATGGTAAGGGGTGATGACGACAGGATCACCCGTGAGGATTGAGACGCCATTCGACCTGATGAGAGCATCATTAATGCAAGGCACAGCGCCGTTGATAGAAACGGCGGTCCCAGTCTTGGTTGTCGCAAGGAACAAGCTGCTAGCCGAATCCTTCGACAGCGATCGGAAGAGAAGTGAATCCATGAACTTGCCATCAGCGGAGAACACAGCTCGCGAGAAAGCGCTCAGCAAGACCTTGTGCTCGGGCAGAATGGTACTCGCCTTATCCCTGATGGCCTTCAGGATGTCGGAGTTTTCATCCTTGCCCGGATGGAAGACTTCGTTCCGAAGCCCAAGGGCAGCAGAGGCCTCATAAGTCTGGAAGCCGCCAAGGCAATCCTGGAAGTTTCCCTGATAGCGAGGGCCAAGGCGGTAATATACTGCTAGGAGATCATCACTCAGGACGTCCTCGAACAAGTGCGCCGAGGCCAACGACCACTTGGACTGCACCAAGCCTGGCCCGAGTTGTGCTGCGAGGCCGCGGGGCGTGCCCAAGAATGCCTGGACCGGGTTTGTCCTACCGCTGCTCGACGCGAATGACACGAAGCTTTCCGTGCCCGCGCCGGAGACGGGCGGCGGACTTGGGTAAGCTGCGCGTATCTGCTCAGCAAACTCGCCGTTGACGTAGAGGCTTGCCTTACTAGCCACCATGGTTTTGGGTCTGCGGTGAACGAGCGCTATGTGGTACCATTGGTCTTCTCTAAACGCCACTGACTTGAACCTAACACTCGGGCGCGGAGACGTGATGGATGTCTGAAGGATGAAGTTCCTCGTGTCCTTTTCGAGGTATGCCAGAAGGAAACAAGTCTGGGTAGAGTCAAAGACGCCGAAAAGCGTTGTGTGTGCCTGGGGGTCGAATCGATCGATGCGGATCCAGGCGGTAAATGTGTATCCAGGAGCTGCTTGAGGAGGGAATGATCTCCCAAGATTTGGCAACTCGAGGGATGCGTGGCCATGAAGGGAGAGATCGAACTGGATAAATGGAGGGCCAGTGTATTTTTCTGTCATTTCCAGACAGAACTCGGAGGTGGCAGCATCCTGGCGACGCAGCAAGAACTGGGCATCTGCTAAGTGGTCTAAGCCAAGGTACATCAGGGACTTGCATAGTGTGAGAGCCTTTTCCCTCTCAAACTTAGTGAGGACGCTGTCCTCGGCGAAGAGCAAGCGCAGCAGCCTGGACAACATGCCAGTCCCATGCAAAGCACTGAGGTTGAACAAGGAAGCAGATGCAACAGACGACAGTGTCGTCAATACTATCACCGACGCAAGGCTTGTCTGATCACTCTGATTCCTTGAGATGGATTCCCAAAAGGCGACAACAGCGCGAACGATTTCAGCGTTCTGGATAACCGTCGTCGGCCCAATGATCTCTTCCAGCCTCGCCTCGACGGGGTCCACGCTGTAAGCGGCACTCCCTTCGTCATTGTGCGAAGCATCCGGCTCCTGTAACTCCCCGGCCCGCGTTGTCGAAGTGCTTGGCGTTGCGCACGGGGCCACCGAGCGGCAGAGCTCATCCAGACGCTGGTCGTCCAGGGCAAAGGAAAGCAGTTTCCCAAACAGCTGACACTCGGTCCACAGGTCCGAGTCGCCTCCTCCCACGCCAATGCTGGCGATGATCTGCTCTAGAGCATCCCAGCCCCCGCCCTCGACTATGTCCTGAAAGTATCGCCTGTTTCCGGGATGGCCACGGAAAGCTGCCGAGAGAGTTGCCAGCACCATGTGTACTAAGTCAAAAATGCTCTCTTTTTCGGCGCCGCTGCGCTTACGCAGGCTGTAGAAGCCAGAGAACGATCTAAGAACGTTCAGGAGGGTCTGAAAGCCGTGAAGATGGCGGAAGTCGTCTTGTGATTGGGACGGAGGTGGCAACGCGTCGACATGCTGGTGGATCTGTCGAAGCTGGTCGAGGAGATGGTCGATTTGCGGGTATGCACCAGCAGGGCACGAGGCCGCCGCCTGCGCTAGGGTCCCGAGAAGGCCACGGAGCACGTCGGCGGCTTTGGAAGTCTGGAGATTCGACGCCGATGTCGAGGACCGGTAGCGGCGGACTCGCATGGGGAGCATTTTGGGTAATTTTGGGGCGCTCCTCTTATTAAACGGCTATCGGAAAGAGAAGGTGAGGGATCCCTAGCACCCATCGAGGGTCCAGGTGCGGGCTCTTCAGGACCGTCATGGAAAGTGAAGGGCGACCCAATATTTTGTCTTGAGGAAGGGCTTACGCCAGCCCCTCTGGCCGCCGCAGCACCTCGTTCACTCGAAAAGGAATCGCCAGTCGAAGTTCAAAAAAATGTAGACGATCTAGACGATACAGACGACGATTCGAGTAAGGCCGGCGTGGGTGAATTTACACGCAAGATAGCGGACAAGACACGACGTGTCTCTGCCTGGTCTTGCCGCGCAAGCTGGCGCAAGCTGGTTGTTGTGTCAAGTCACAAGCATAAGGGTAAAGAGAGAGCTTAGCTGGTCTCTCAGCCTCAACAGTGGTGCTGTACGAAGTAGTTTCCCAGAGCTAAGGTAGCTGTTGCCTTGCAGGGACCGCCTTCCATTTACAGCACTGGAGCCGGGTTGAAGTGGCCGTGTTGGAGGGGTCAATGTGGCGGTGTCAGCCTGAGACACGCCTAAGTTACGGTACGAGGGGTACGTTAGGTGGGACTCACAGCAGGTCAGCCACAGCGAGCTAGTGTAGGTACGTAGTGTAAGATACGAAACGTTAGTGCTGATAAGGCGGGGAGGATCGATACTTCGGTATCCGCACTTCGTAGTTCGTAGCTCTGAGTGTTTCTGGCCTGAATCTCACAGGAGTAAATAAAGTAATAAACTCTCTGGCTCACGAAATTACCTCTCCCTGATCGATTCATCTGTTTATTTGAGGTGTATATCCTCTACCGTCTGTTTAGTCTCCATTCGAGCTACTACCCCCTGGTATCCGTAGCCTCCCGGATCAATTCCTTTGAGGACCCCAGGCAACAATCTCTAAACGAGAACCAGACGCCGTAGACCCACAGCAAGTTGTAGCATCTTTGGATAGTCTCATCGTGTTTCTGACGACATAATATCCGAGTTCAATGGCATAAGGCTCTTGCGTGTAGTTGTTGACTGAGAGAAACCCGTAATGTTAGTGAAGCCAGTTTCAATTCGTCTGTGAGACCTAAAGGGAATACACTTCGTTACAGTTTGGACGCCATTAGCCCAATGGAGAAGGCCAAATCGCCCCTCTCTTGAGTCTCATCAATGACCACAATCAATAAGATCTGGAGATATTCTCAATATTCAGCACTTCCATCAGTCGTTACTCCGTACCTATGTACGAAGTACATACTTTCCAGGTTACAATAGTGAGCGACCGACACAGCAGTCATGCCGACCCACTTGTCTATCAAGGGCTGTGACGCTGCCTCCGCCAGCCAGCCTTGACGTTATCATTTGTCGCAACGTGTGCCCAGAGTAAGCAAAACAGAAGGGGCTTGGTCACTTTGTGTACTATAGTGTGAAACGTCCCATATTTGCCATACTATCATATAGGCATCAAGCTGAATTGTTCCTGGTTTACATGCACAAAGCGTAACGGGAGCAGTCCGATGATAGCTATGATGTAATCCCGCCCTGATGTGACAGAACTGGGGTCAAGCCCCAACCGCCCCGACATCGGGCTGAAGCTCCAGAGAGCTCTTTGCCGACCAGATATGGAGAATTCGATATGCCCGCCATTTCAAGTGACCATCTTTTGGAACGCGGTTCCAATAGAGACATACCCCAAATTATGCAAGGCACACGAAGACCTTAGTGTAGATCTGTCGAGTCAGACAATCCAGGCGATGCGGCAAGCTGGCACGTGTGGCCTGCTTGTGACACTCATTGTGGGGATTTCCTGACTTGGCACGATACATTGGGACCCTGCCCGTGACTTGCCTGACAGGGACTTTGGCAAGGCGGGCAAGAGCAGCGTGTCAGAACAGGGCGAGATTGTGACTCGACTGAGAATCGTCGGCGGAAAACCAGGCACAATACTTGACTGGATCCCGTCGTCCCGTGGTCGCTCCAGCAATGTTCGGATGGTGCAAGATGATGCGCGAGACACGAACACCCTCCATCTCAGGATAGGACATGCCTCTGCGTTCTCAGATTGGCATTTCTACCTACATGGGAATGCAGCATTCCTGTGCCTATCCGAATAACTTTAACTCGCATCGAGTAGCCTTGAGGTCCTAGGTACTGTACTCTGCAAAAAGGGCGCGGATGCTGCAGTCTTTCCACCCATCTGTATCCGGCTGCCTAACAATAATTACCTTGTATCCGTAGCCAGAGCAGGCTCGCAGTCGTGCAGTCGGGTGTACCGGTACTAGTATGCAAAGTGGTGTACGTTATACACACAGTATTGTGAGATCCCCGAGTCCCATGGAACAATTCTCAGCTGTCCTAAACGTTATGTCGTATCAGGACAATCCGGAGGTAGGTATACTGGACATCCCACATCATATGTATTGTTGTCCAGATAGCCGCTTAATGCACCATCATACTGCCTACCTCCCGTCGCTGCAACCGCCCGGCCATCAATGTCCCCAATGGATCAAGGCACCTCGGGTCAAGTGAGCTGATTGCGTTGTTGCTCTTATCGTGCGTCTCGCCCCAGTGGATTCCGCCTGGCGGTCACGCCATTGGCCACTCCGCCTTTCGCCTAACCAAGTTAGGCTAGAAGCGGGTCTCCAGCCCCCGGGTTGGGGATCTGGGCTGCCCGGCTCCGCCTGTCTGCTGGCGAACCAGGGTAGCTCCCTGAGGCAACCACACCCAGACTTGTCTTACGCATTCGCCCGCCTCTTTATCAGCACAGCGCTCCCCATCATTGCCGAGTTCGCTCTTCTTTCCTCTCACCTCTCCCCCTCTCCGCATCCATCTCTCCATCCAACATTTCCATCACAGCGTATCGAGCCATCGAGGAAGGCATCGTAGCAGGCTTGGTGGCTTCGGATTTGTCATTGCCCATTCCGTCTTTATTTCTTTCCCTTATCTCATCGGCTGAAGTCGCGGGTCAATCGACTTCGCCCTGTCCTTCTGATTCACAATGAGAGGCATCTTTGCTCTCTCGCTCGCAGCTTGCGCTGCAGCGGCCCCAAGGGTCTCGTTTGAGACCATCCATGGCGATGCCGCGCCCATTCTCTCTTCCTCGAACGCCGAGCACATCCCCAACTCGTACATCGTTAAGTTCAAGAAGCATGTGTCGGATGACTCAGCTTCGGCACACCACAGCTGGATCCAGGAGATTCACACATCACGCGAGTCAGAACGTGCCGATCTCAAGAAGCGGGGACAGATCCCGCTTGTGGATGATGTGTTCCGTGGTCTGAAGCACACATACAAGATTGGCCAGGAGTTCATGGGCTACTCGGGCCATTTCGACGACGAGGTCATCGAGCAGGTTCGGAGGCATCCCGATGTGAGTCAACTTGCTCCCCGTTCTCAGACTCCGTTCCCAATGCAGCTTTCAGATGCTGATACCCTGAAATACAGGTCGAGTACATTGAGCGCGATAGCATCGTCCACACGATGCGTGTTACGGAGGTGGAGGAGAGCAAGTGTGACAGCGAGCTCGAGAAGGCCGCGCCGTGGGGGTTGGCCCGTATCTCCCACCGTGACACATTGAGCTTCTCTACTTTCAACAAGTACCTCTTCGCTGCCGAGGGCGGTGAGGGCGTTGATGCCTACGTCATCGACACCGGCACGAACATTGAACACGTCGACTTTGAGGGTCGTGCCAAGTGGGGCAAGACGATTCCCTCTGGGGATGCTGACATTGACGGCAACGGCCATGGCACCCACTGCTCCGGCACCATTGCGGGCAAGAAGTATGGCGTTGCGAAGAAGGCCAATGTCTATGCTGTTAAGGTGCTCCGGTCGAACGGCTCGGGCACCATGGCCGATGTCGTCGCTGGTGTGGAGTGGGCGGCCAAGTCGCATATTGAGCAAGTCAAGGCTGCCAAGGCAGGCAAGCGCAAGGGCTTCAAGGGTTCTGTCGCCAACATGTCTCTTGGCGGTGGCAAGACCAAGGCCCTCGACGACACCGTGAATGCTGCCGTCTCCGTGGGCATTCACTTCGCCGTTGCTGCCGGCAATGACAATGCTGATGCCTGCAACTATTCGCCCGCTGCCGCCGCCAAGGCCGTCACGGTCGGCGCTTCAGCCATTGATGACAGCCGTGCCTACTTCTCCAACTACGGCAAGTGCACTGACATCTTCGCCCCGGGCTTGAGCATCCTCTCGACCTGGATCGGCAGCAAGTACGCCACCAACACCATTTCGGGCACCTCGATGGCGTCGCCCCATATCTGCGGTCTTTTGGCCTACTACTTGTCTCTCCAGCCTGCCAGCGACTCTGAGTACTCGGTTGCGCCCATCACTCCTGAGAAGATGAAGTCCAACCTCATCAAGATTGCCACCGAGGGCGCGCTCACCGACATGCCCAAGGACACCCCTAACCTCCTCGCCTGGAACGGCGGCGGCTGCAACAACTACACTGCCATCGTCGAGGCTGGCGGCTACAAGGTTGAGCGCAAGAACAAGGCTAACAAGGTTGCCATTGATACCTCGGTGTCGGAGCTCGAGAAGCTCATTGAGCACGATTTTGAAGTCGTTTCGGGCAAGGTTGTCAAGGGTGCGGCGTCGTTTGCCGACAAGATCGAGGAGTTCTCTAAGAAGATTCACGATCTGGTTGACGAGGAACTCAAGGAGTTCTTGGATGAGATCGCTGCCTAAATCATTAGCGTGATTGGCTGACTCGAAGGCGTTGGCGCTGTTAGCGGCCAGCCTGGAACGGAGACAGGGCGGCATGGGCAGTTTACACTTTCCTATGGTTTTTGGTTTAGGTAATGGGCAAGCATTATGCGGCCTACGGAGTTTCCTTGTACTGTACACGCAACATGGGCCGCACATCTGAGAGTTTGGGATGGTCTGCATTTTGGGTTACCAGTCACGTTCACTGTCACTCTTATGAATTCGAGGTTACTTTGCCAACCATACAGACTTGCTCGTTCTTCAAGCGCATATTATCTTCCTAGGTACCTTACCGGCGATGCTGTCAATGTAGGTGTTCCAAGCAAGGCGTTACACGTTCGCTCTTGCCCGTTTTGCCTTAGTTGCCAGTATGGCGGGTGCGTTGGGACTGAAGGTTCCTTCCTCAATATGTATTGCAGGATCTGGACTGTCACGGCGGTAGTGGTGACTCTGGCTAGCTGTTCCGCTTGTTTTCCACTCTCCTGTTTGCTCGCTCCATTGCTCGATTATAGGTCCGGCTTACATAGGAACGTTTAAATATCGAACTGTGACTGCATCACGATATCTCCCTCACATAGGACTAGCACACGCAGCTTTACACTCAATTAGACCGTCCCTGAATCTGCCTCAACTGCCCTGGCTTGCACCTCCATTGCCTCTCGAGCTACTTACGAGATCCTCAGCCACCCCAATGTTGCGGCAGCGCAGCCTTAAGTCCAAGCTGGATGTCAAGCATCGCAAATCCACTTCTTCAGAGCATGCTGTACACCTCGAACACCTCGACCCGACAATAGCGCAACGAGATGCCAATATCGCCGCCTGCAAGGCATATAAACAGGCTGAAAGTCGGGCGAGGGAAGACATACCGTTGTTTCCTTTGACCCCCGAGTCATCCCCCCGACGCCACCCAACGGAGCGCAGCGGCCAGGGCCAAGATGATATCAACGCCCCCTTTTCTGTACATGGCAATGGCCGAGGTGTCTGCCGACAGCAGAGCGTTCGCTTTATGGGACCGTGTTCTGTGCAGCCGAGAGAACGCAAATGTCAACGACAATACGCCAGTCGCAACTCGACTGATGGAGGTCCAGACAAAGTTACAAATGAGCTTAAGAACAGCGATATGAATAGCTCACAAAACCAGGTTCTAGGATTGCTAAAGACAGATGATAGCGATCAATTACCCTCACCTCCTCAGAGACCGCCACCCCCAGTGCCGTTGCCCGAGTACGCCGCCAGCTATCTCGATGGACTGGCCGCAGAAGAGTATTACACTCCCGAGGACGATGTTGCCTCCGCTCCGTCCTCGTACCGCCGCCTCCCAAAACCCAAGCCAACATCCACAGCCGATCCGCGCAGCACCAGAAGAAGCTTGCAAACTCAGACGTTCCTGGCCGAAACATCTCCAGGCATCAGGTCGACAATGGCGTCAAGTGCACGAAGGCTGTCCCGCTCAGATCCCAGTAGCAGCAATGTGCCACACGCTGTTCCACCACTAAGGACACCAAAGTCGATGAGTTTCTTGGGCAGCCGTAGCTTCCATGCCAGATTCAGTACAAACCAGGATAGCAATGCAAACGGTCAGAATCTGTCAGATTCACGCGAGGAGGTGCCAACTCCAGAGGGCCATCCCACATCACAGCAGAAGCCCAAGGGGCCAGACTTGCTTCAGTCGCTCAGTCGCCGGACAGAGCAGCGGATGCGAAAGTCTCTTCGCGGCAGCGGTTCAACTGAAGAGGTGTTGGCATCCAGTCCCAATCACAAGACGCTACTCTTGGGGTCAAGGGGCTTCAAATCAAAAGCCAGGAACATGTCAAAATCCTTCAAAACTAAGCTAAAGACTTTTTTTTCCACTGTAGGGCCGGGAGGAGAGACGCCTTCGATTCCTTGCCAGCATATTGACGCGCAAAGGACCCATGTCAACGAAGCATTCGGTACTTCTCGAGCCGCTGATACCGAATGTGAAGGCTCGGCCATTCAAGCTGGAGAGACCATTCACACTGTTCCTGCAAGAATGCCGTCTCTTCACGAATCACCGCAGGGGCTGGTTCATTCACGCAAAGCCAGTCTGGAGAGCCTGAAAACTGAGCGAGAGCGCCAAGCGTCGGATGACAAGTCGTTGACGAGCTGGGCACACTCAGGGCCTAGCACACTGACAAGCCAGCAGCAGGAGGAATGGAGGGAATGGGAAGGGCAGCGTCTTTCCGTCATCAATGAGAATGGTCCACAGGCTGCATCACCTTCAACCCGAAGGCCAGGTCTCCACGAGCAACTATTTCACCGTCCAGAGAATAACACCGGGAAGCCGCACGGTCCCGGCAAGATAGTTGACAGTCAGCGTGTCTATTCTGCACTGATGAAGCGGATGCGGGATATTCACAAACAGGCTGCAAGTATCGCGGAACAGAGGTCTCGATCCTCTGACACTGAGAAGCCAGCAGTGTCGGAGGAGCCGGGCGGCCGTTCTCCAAGTCAGACACCGGACACGGTCAGACATGCCATTTCCAGGATGGATCATCTGAGCGTTGATAATCAAGTGACACCCACCCGCCGTTCGAAAAAGACTAATTGTAGCCGAGCAGAAACGGTCGAAACAGGTGCGAGGTTAGCATCTGGTTCAACCGCCGCAAATCCATGCAGAAGCGTTCTGGGGCCGCCGACTGGGGACAGCGCTGGAACACTCACTCCGCCGCGTCGGATGGCTTCTGAGTTGGAGCGTGGCCCCTCAGAGATGGGCTCGAGATTCACCGACAGTCCCGCCTCGTACCTTTTCCGGACAGCAAGCCCTTACCGTCGCGCTCTTAGCAGGTCAATGCACGAAGAGCAAGACGCTTGGGCGCGGCAGAGCTCCGTTTCTGAATCCCAGGGCTCGGACACGGGCACACAAGTCCATCACACCTCAGGCTGGCAAGAGCTGCTGTCAGATGGCAACTCTAACTTTGAAAGAGATGTGGCATACTCGGAGAGCGTCTATTCGGCAGATGAAGGCCCTGGGGCGGAGATGGAGGCGGGATACACCATGCCGACCATGCCCAGAAACTTCAGCAATGACCTGACACCCTCAAGGGTCCGCCCGCTCCGGGGCCACGTCCGCGAACCGGCGCAGATTCATGGATACCCCACAACCCACGGCCATTTCGAGTTTGACTTCAACGAGGATCCGTTTGAGCCCTCTACAGAGAAACCAACCCTCCCGACCACCAACAAATTTGTGCTGCCGTTGGCGCAAGTGCAGAATAATGTGGTCAGGCAGACGACCTCTCCGTTGAAGAAGCCGTATTGTGAGGGTGGATTGGGCGATATCGGCGGTGGTAGCGTGCTGGTGGAAAACCAGAACCCGCCGCCAGTGCCGGATAAGAGTGTGCTGAGGCCTTCCTCTTATACAGGACTTGGTGGGGGTGGGTATGGAGGCGAATGTATTGCTGGAAATAGAGGCAAGCAGGCGTCGAGATGCTCTTCGCCGTCGGGTGCTTCTTCTGCCAAGACGGCTAGCCCTGGGCTGACGGCTGCGCTGCGGAGACAGTTTGGATCCGGCCCTGGGTCTTCTTGGAGGTGGCGAAGAAGAATGAGAGTGAAGAGCAATGCGGATAAGGACGGGAATGTGACGGCTGGTTGGGGTGAAGGGGAGGTGGTACTCGAGGAAGAGGAGGATAAGAATAATTACTGCCGGGTCATTCAAGTCAAGGCGTGGGGTGATGACGAGAGCGCGAGGGCGTTTGTTTAATGACGGGAACGGGAGGTGTTGGTGCCAGGGGGGGCGACTCTTTTTGCCTTTATATTTGGCATCATCTGTTTTCGGGAGTAGAGGTAGGTAAGTTGTTGTTTTGAGCATGGGTAAGGAATTGGGCGCACTGGGGCCCGATGGTGGTTTACTTTGGCCCAATTGAGGCAGTAGCATAAGCTTTATGCATGTGTAAGGCTGAGGTAGATGGTAGGGTATTAACCAGACGGACGTTAGACGGGATTACTGTAGATGATATGAGCAAAGTGAGGGTGTTATTATACATAGATGGTTAAGGACAACGTCGAGTCTCTTTTCGCGCTCAGTTCTGTGCTGAGAGTGGTAGTGATGTGCTGTACTTGTACTGTACAATCAGTTGTACAGTACTGCCCAGATCAGTACAGTACAGTTCGAAAGACAGTCTATCATTCAAGATACTACCTCAGGTACCTAGGTACGGTACCTGACAAGCAAGAAGAGTAAGTAGGTACAGTAAATTGGTAATCTATGTAGCATCGTATTGGTCACTGTAAGAGATCCTTTGATCGCAAACCCATGGCATCTGCTTAGCGGGTGATCTATTTGACGCGGCACAGGCGATCCCCGACTTGCTCCCAACGCTCACTGCCTACGCAGGGAGTGCACCAGAGGACGTCGTTTGGGTCGACAGTGCGCTTGATGCGCAGGCTGTGTTTGACGGTGTTAGTTTGGAGGTGAGGGATAATATTGTGCAAAGGTTTGATAGGAATGGGGTGGGTTTGTTCGTTTGGTTGAAGAAAAGGGGCGGGCGATCTGATGTGGTGTGATGTGATTTACTTACAGTCGGTCGTAGTTGTCCCCCCAGAATGCGCGCTGCCAGTCGTCTAGGAATGGGCTGGCCTGAGGTAGAACAAGGTGTGTTAGTCTACTGATATCCCGAGCTGGACGAACGGGCCCGCGGCTGGGGGAAGGATAAGGTTGCTGGCTTACCTCGTTCATGTATGCCCCTGAATCCGGGTCCAGCTGTCTGAGTGCCTCGGTGCGCGCTGCAAGCTCCCTGCGGGCCTCCGCTGCGGAGGTCGCGTTGAACGGGATAGTTCTAACGCCGCCGGCTAGTTTAGGTTAGGACAGATCCTTCTTAGATGGTCATGATGGCGAACCACGTACTCGCATGGATGTAGGCCTTGCGCCAGGCAGGCAGCACCGCGTTACCGCCGCCTCTGGGCTGGGCGTTGTGCACGCCTTTGCCGGAGACCAGGAAGGCCGTGCCGAGGTCGCCGCCGGCGAAGCGCTCAAACGCCTGCGAGTTCTTGTTCAGGTCGCGCGTCAGGCTCTCGGCGTCGAGCAACCACGACACGGCATAGCCGTCCTGCCCGGCCGGCGTCGTGTCGTAGTGCTCCTGGAACCAGGCGTAGAAGGACGGGTAGGACTTGGTCTCGAGTATTGGGACGAATTGGTTGGGCCAAGTCGCGTTGACGTGGGCCAGCACGGGCGCCCAGATGCGACGCATGTCGCCGGCGGTGGCATTCATCAGGGCTGCGCTCATGAAGAAGCCTCCCACTTCCGCGGCTGGGTCGTCGGGGGTGACCCCTGGCAGCGGGAATAAGGAAAGGATGCCCTTTAGCAGCGGGAAAAAGAAGGAGTAGCCCGAGAGTCCCTGGTCGCCGAGGGAGGGGAGCTGGCTGACCACATAGGCAACCATGTCGAAGATGGTGCGCGTCGCGGTGTTGTTGCCGGATGCAAGGAGGGCAAAGTCCACGTGCATCATTTGGGGGGCAGGGAAGGTTTTCATGGTGACCGAGGTCATGACGCCGAAAGTTGAGCCACCGCCCTGGATAAGGGGTTAGAGGGGGGTTGGCGTGAGCGTAATACACGTTGGGGAGGGCAAAAGGGAGCGCAAGGGGCAGACTTACACCGCGCATGGCCCAGAACAGGTCGGCGTTTTGGCACTCGTTGGCGGTCACGATGTCGCCCTTGGGGGTCACAATTTCCATTTCGAGGACCTGGTCGGCAGCAAGCCCATAGTGGGGGGCCAACATACCATGACCGGCACCAGTAACGTAGCCGCCCACGGAAACGGACCTTCCACCGCCTCCCACGATGGTCTGGTTGATGGCATCCAGTTTCCCGTATAGGTCGTTCATCTGCATGCCCGCACCTACCGTAACGGCCGTGCTATCGATGGTGACACTGCATCGCTTCGGCTTGAACGAGGCATGAGTCTCAAACCCCTTGATATTGTGAGTCCAGATGGAGAGGGAGTTGGGGGCGTTTGAGCGGCCAACGTAGTCATGGCCAGTGCTTTTGATGACCAGCCTGACATTGTGCTTCCTTGCTGAAGAAGATGGTTAGGATCTGTCAATAAGCCAGGAGAAGACTGCTGCTGCTGGCAACTCACCAAAATCTACCCCTTTCTTCACATGGTCAACCGTCGTTGCGTTTATGACGAAGACAGGATATCCTTGACTGCTGCATGGATTACCATCCCAAGGAAGACAGGTGTGATTGTTCCACTGGTTCCAGACGGTTGAGATGGGGTGGTCTGTGTGGAATTCGTAGCTTGTCCAGGCGGTTCGGACGGCGGCGCATGCAGCCTCGTTGTAGGTTGGCTGTCCGGCATGGCAGACAGCTCCTGGAGGAGGCGGTTGTAGCAGTCTTCCGGACACTGACTCATTGAGACGTGCCCAGGTTTGAGGAGAAGGCCAGCCCGGCGTTCCAGGGACGGCCTTGCAGCGGTCGGGTTGCGGCTTGCATTGAGAGTCGGACAGGACTGACGGGACTAGCGGAAGCAAACATAGGAGGACATTGCGCAGGAGCGGCATGGCGAAAAAAGGGGTGGGTGGGAAAAAAAGGGAAAAGAGAATATGATAGTGAGGGAGTGAGAGAGAGAGAGCGGCCGTGAAGGGTTGAAGGAGACCGCGGAAAAGGGGGAGAGGAAACAAGGAGAGATATATATACAATATATATATATCCGTACACAAGACGAGACAGGGAGGCCGAGAGACGAGTAAGAGCCCCATAAATTTGTACACCATCCCTAGCCTTTTCGTCATGGCCATTGCCCCAGTGCTTACGGATAGTTGCTGTACGAACCGCCTAGACCAACGGTCCATGGTGTAAACAATAGTCCGCGGCTTCCCGTTTGAGCTCTGACCTGACACAGTGCAGACTGGATAGACCGGGCCCCACGCGGCAGAGTCAACTGTTTGAAGTTTTGAACCGGCCGAGGCCATTCTTTGACTTTGGACGCGAGATGCTAGATGCTACGTTCAGTGAGCCCTGTTTACCCGTGCATGAGGGATATGTCTTGATTTGGCGGATTTTGGATCCTTGCCATTCTCCATTCTCACTCGCAAGGCGTAAAGTGACGTTGACTAGGTATATTCGGGGAAAGGCGTCGTAACCGGGTAGTGGCCGTGTAGGAGCTACCTGAAGAAGTGCGTCTTTAACTGCGTGCGCAAGCGCGTATGAGTCGTATATGCATCCAATTATTAGAACCCCCGGCTGCGGGGCCGCAGGGCGGAACCGAATGGCCGGGAATTCCACCCCAGGAAAGGTGGCGGGCATTGTCAGACGGCGGGATTCTCACCGATTAAGGCTGAAGATCAATATGTCAATAAGTGTACCAGCGACTAGCAACATCTGTCAGTGTCCTTAGAAAGCGTATGCCGTGTATGTACATATGTGCTGGCAAGAACTCGAGACGCGAGTCTGCAAATCCGAATTACGGTGTTCGGTGTTCACGCCGTCCGAGGAATACCTAGCGTCCATGATGAGATGGCTTCGAGGGTCCGTTGCAACAAGTTGAAGCGAGCTGCACAGCCTTGCCGTTGACGTGACGTAGAGCCAATCTTGATCTTGATCCGACGAGTCCGAAAGAGGGCGCGCCCCTGCCACTCTTGCAATGAGATCCTGACGCCGTCAAATCAACCTTGAGCCAGAATAGTACGTATAGTGAGGGAGTGGCAGCTACCATGTTTTGACCCAAAAGCTTGGCAGCTAAATATACCATTTGAGGAAAGTGAGGGCCACGAGGCGACTCGGAGTATTTTACATCGTGCGCATAAGCGTGGTGATCACTGCAATGCTGCTCTGTAAGATTGTCGACGCGTCACAGCTGTCCTCAATCGGTATATCTATGTGCCAAGATTGGAGGTCGAACGCGTAAAAGGAGGCTCAGGAGGTCACACTCGCACCGGCCGAGGATAACGATCCGACAGCGAAGCGCAACTTCAAAAGACCACGGCGGAGGCCCGTCAGGCTATGGGGCATTCAGAACCGTGGGATTTTGTCAAAGAATCGGGGCCGCCGCGGCAGAAAATAAAATACAGGCGATCGAGGCGCACATAATGGCATCACGCAGTGCCAAAACCAACAAGCCGGCCCATCAGACTTGGGGTATAACTAACTTGGAGGCGTGATATCCGTAGTTGGTGGTGTTGTCCACCTCCATGTCGACAAACCTGGAGAATTGGAGATGCAGAAACATCAAACATGCCCCAGTGAGGCCCGAGCTTCCTCTTCACCAGCCACCCAGCCACCCACTGCCTGCTGTGGCACTACCTTATCTACGCCCAAATATTTAGCTCCACCGTGTTGAACGGGCAAAGAGTCACTCGACACTGACGCCAATTCCAGCACCCCGGATTCTGGACCCAGCGCTGCATCTTGTCCACCGGACAAATGTGCTCTGCGCCTTTGCTGAACAACATCAAGACAGAAAGAGCTGGAGTGATGCCGCATGCGGATACGGACAGCTTCCTGAACTTGCACCCCGCCGCAACCGGTTGGTAGCAGAATTGCAAATGCAATGCACATATGATGATGGCTGTGTCGCTCTGATAGCGTTTTGGCCCTTGTGCTACGCCGGTTCAAAAGTCGAGGTCGTTACAACCAGCTTCCCAAAGCGGACACATCATCATCAATCTACCCTACTGGTACGGAGTATGTACCACGGTAATGAAAGCCATCATCACCTGATAGGACGCTTCCGCAGAACCCTTCCCTACGCAAGACAAGCCGGAGCAAGTTGGGAGACCTCGAGATTCGAAGGCCAACAGGACATTGTATACCTTAATCTCTAGTTGCGCGTGCCAGGCTGTCGGAACGGGGTGAGCAGCCTGGTAACCTCACGATATTGTAACTTTCGGTAGTGGGTACTTGTCGACCTTTCCGAGTACATGGGATACCTGATTACGCACTCCAATCCCCCCCCTTGTCAGCCCCCGAACGCCAACTGCCTAGATCTTCCCAGTGCAATTTCGCCCGTGATATTTTTTTCCGTTGGCGCCAGACACATTTCTCGCAAAAGGATTGCCGACGACCTGCTTTGTCTGTCGGAGCGATAGCCCTGGCGACACCGGGCAATTGGGACTTGTCTTTCTCTGCGCGGTGCTCGTAGCCGTCGAATCCGCCCAAACCCGACGACACACTGCGCCAAGGTGGTTCTTACAGTAATTAGGCTGCCAGTCGCCGACCGACTCGTTGTCGCCGTCGTTGACGACACACCATCGTTCGACGTCCCATCGCCCGCCATGAACGCCCTTCAGCAGAAATGCCGGCCGAAGCACCAGGTTCTGGTCCTCAAATGCTACCCGCGCACCACCAAGGGCGCCGTCGATGTCAAGCCAAATTCCAGCGAGCTCAGCTACCTACTCTTCTACGCCCAGTCACGCCGCTCCAAGATTCAGAAGGTTGGCAGCTTCCTCGAGAAGAAGACAGCTAGTGACGTCTACCGCCAGCGGATAGGGTGAGCTCTCTCGCTGCCTCTCCAGATGAGCAGGATAGACGAGACTAACCCGCTCGTCCTTATAACAACAGAAACGTCCAGGTCACGCTGCAGATCCTCACGGCTCTGATTGAGAAAACGCCAAAGGAACTACCCCTCTTTGCAACATGCGTCCTCCATATCCTCGACCAGATCCTCAAGTCCAACGACATCACCATGGTGGAATCCTCCATCCCGACCTTTGAGGCCTTTTGCATACACCACGACCCAACCTCGCTCCTGGCCGACCAGGCATATCTGCGCCAGTATCTCTCCATCGTCCAACAGTATGCTTCCCTAGCCTCGACCCGCGCCTTCCCGGAGAAGCTCGAGCCGAGCAAGCCGCTGGCACTGCGATGGAGGAACGCGGGCTTGAAGGCCATCAAGAGCATTGCTTCATCCGAGGCGTTATCATCCGCCACAACCGGGCAGTATGATGTGGCCGTCCCCATGATATTGGAAAACCTGTGGACCGACAACGAGGATTTCTTGGATGTTCTGCACCAACGAGCCGAGGTGGAGGAAAAGCTCGGCGGCGCGCTGCTGAGGAGACGCACAAGCGTTGCGACAGTGCAGACGGCCGACACCGAGTCCAACATGAACCCCATCGCCTTGGCAGACACGGCGGTAGACATGGACAAGCTGGCTGAGGAGGACACTGGTGTGTTGGCCATGGAGTGTCTAAGACAGATCTTTATTGCCCCGAACAGGTCCCAAGCACATGCTGCTACAGTTGCTTTGCTCGCTTTCATCCAGGAGCGCGTAAGCCAGCAGGAGGAGGTGGTCAGGACCGACTTCAACGGAAGGGATAGCGGTTGGGCCATCAAGATGTTCCTGCTAGTGGCCCGATGGGCCCCGGTCGCAGACCGCTTCACCATTCTCACCACGGCCATGGACACATTGACCCAACATCCCCTGACTGACGACACCCTGCGCCAACACATTGTTCTCGCCGCCATGGTTGGCGCGCTGCTGCGGTCTGATATCAATCTTATAGGGCTCAGCGTCATGGACGTCCTGCTTCAGTTCATCGCCCACATTCGCAGGCTCGTTCAGATGCCCGGTGATCCAAACAGCATGCGGAGCGAGGCGCCTCTCCCCGGCCAGCCCGATCCCCGCTCTCCCACTACGATACAGTTGGCCGAGAAGGCCGACCGAGCCGCTTCCGAGCGTAAAGATTTGCTGATCCGTCTCCAGGAATGCATTGGAGATCTGGCCACGCACGTCTACTACGCCGATCAAATTTCCGACATGATTTCTACGATACTAGTCAAGCTGAAGCCGTCCCGGTCTAGCAGCATCTCCCAATCGCCGCATGGGGAGAAAGCAGACGGGACGCCCAAGTCATCGACTCAGGCGCTCGCCGATGACCATCACGTGGATTCGCTGTTCGCGCTTACCGTGGCCAAAATCGCCGCACTGAGGGCAATCAAGTCCGTCCTTCTTGTGGCGAATCCGCGGACAAAGATGAGTGGGAACCTTAGCCTGTCCAGGAGCCGTGTACCAATCCAGGTCTGGGAGGGCACCCAGTGGCTGCTGTCGGATCCCGACGGCCTGGTGCGAAAAGCATATGCGGATGCCGTGGTGACATGGCTGGACCGCGAGACGACCAAGGCAGACCGGAAAGCGAGAGATGAGACGTCCAGGCCCATTCTCAAGAACCGGGAACTCCCCGCCGCGACACTCGCGAGGAGGGTCGTATCAAGTGCGTCTACCCGTGAAAAGCCCGTCAAGGTTCCCCCGTCGCACTTTTTGCAGCTCCTTCATCTCGCCATCTACGACAACGCCATCCAGTATATCGATTACGAGACCGACATCGTGCTTCTACACGTCCTGCTAGCAAAGCTGGTGAACAAGCTGGGCGTGAATGCTGTGCGATATGGTCTACCCATGGTGTTCAGGCTCCAGGAGGACATCCAAGACGCCGAGACGCCTATCCAGAAAGTACGCCTCGGCAGTCTGGTGCACGGCTACTTTTGGGTTCTGACCGAGGAATTTGACTTTGAGGGCTCATTCGTGGGCAGGGCGGTGCATAGCGAAATCATCCGGCGCCGCAGCAAGCACTTTTGGGTCGAGGGCATAAGCGTCCCGGCCCCTCGCGTAGAATTGGTGGGTACGCCGGGCATCGTCCGGCCGCAACCGAGGCTGCCGCTCAAGGAGATAGAGTCGGAAGCGCTGCTGCCCTTTGACGAGCGTCTCGCGCTGGTCGAGTGCATCTGCGAAGGGTACCAGCTGCAGTCGATGGCGCCGTCGACGAGCCCGGCTGCTAGTCCCGGCCGCAGCTTCACGTCGCCGATGCTTGGTTCCACGATGAGCACAATCCCCACCATCGAGACGGAGCAGGAGATACCGCTCGCCTTCCGCGAGCAAATGCTTACCGAATGGTGCCGCGAAGCCGCCCTTGCGGCGGTGCAGACCAGCAGCAAATCCGCATCCTTGAACGGCTCTCGGTCAACCAACCGCCTCCACGCAAACGGAAACGGCCATCACCTCAAACCAGACAGGTCATCCCCCACCGGCAGCAGAACCAACCTCCGCCCACACTCGGCAGGCGCCGACGGCGCCGCTCTGCAGACTAGCAAACACCGCAAGACGAGTCTCCGCAGCGAACACTCCCCCGCATCACAGCCACCACACGCATATAATGCCGATACCAGCATCACCAGGGAGCAGGTCACCTCAGTGGAACAACTCAAGCTTGTTCTATCGGGCCAACTGCAGCCGCCGCCGACGATGCACGGCCCTGGGGGGCACCAGCATTCCCGCTCGGGATTCCAGCTCGACGATTCCAGCAGCGACAGCGTCGCCAGTTACGACATGACGCCGAGCGAGCTGTCCTTCAACCCGGCCATGGTGGACTCGGTATCTACCACCGCTGACGGCGGAGCAGCAGCAACAACAACAAGAATAGCAGGCAGGCGATCTGTCTCCCGCGAACGGGGGGAGCGCAAATCCTCGCTCCCCGGCGGGCCCCTCAGCTCACACCCGCCGTCGGCATCTTCACCCGAGGCGTTAGCCAACAGCGGCAGTATTGGGGAGAGAGATGGTATCCAAAACGAAGATGAAGACGACGACGAAGCGGTGCCGCCCGTCCCCCCAATCCCCTCCAGCCTGGTGGCGGGCATCGTAAGCGGAGGGAAAACGGTGACGCAGGACTTTGCCCCTATTCCTAGTAGTGCTGCGCCCCGGCCGGGAACTGCGTCGAAGCGGAGCTTGAAGAGCAGGGATAGCACCAGGCTGGTAGGTAGTTCTGCCGGGGAAAGGTCGGCGTCGGCGGACGGCCGCGGTGGTGATGGACGGAATGGGACCGGACTCGGGCACGGGCACGGGCATGGGCATGGGACGACTCGGCCGGTTATGGACCTGAACGCGCTGCTGAGGGGTATTGATACCTCGCGGGATACCAAGCTTGAGGATGAAGGGGGCGTTGCTAGGCCGCCTTATTGAGAGGTTACTGTTTCCTCCCTTTTGTTGAGGCGGGATGGATTCGGCATTTGGCTTTGTGAGAAGCATCTTATTCCCTGGTGTATATTAACAGAGGGGATTCATGGTATTGGGCTCCGCGAGAGGCTGGGATTATTTGTTTAGATGTTTGCGGTCACGGCTGTGCAGTTAAGGGACTGGTATGTACTTGTACAGCGCCTATCTGCCGAGAAGAGGGCAGGCTGGCAGTAGATGGGTCGTTTTATCTGTTGGTGTCGTATCTATCCTCCTACTTACTTGTGTACTTTACTCTCTAGCGTTATACGTACAGGCTACTTTGTCTGGCCGTATGGGATTTGACTTCTTATCCATTGGCAAATGCAAGGAGAGGAGTGAAGGGGTGGGATTCGAGTACGTATCAAAGCTCTTACTGTAGAGGAGGTAGCACAGTGGAAGGTTGTAGGGAAGTAGTCCCTAAGAAGGTTGTTTTTGGAACTTTTGGCGGTGTAAAGACTGGCCAGACCATCCCTGCAAACTCGACGGCGAGTGCCGCCTCTTCGTGTCAGTGGAGATGCGCAGGCACCCAGCCGTTCGTTACCGTGGGCCCGGGCCGGTGGCTTGGGTCCGGCCTTGGCAGAAAAGCTTGGCAAAAGTCCGTAAAAAAAAGAGGCGTACGAAAGCTCATCCATCCTGTGAATCGTACATAGCTCTGCAGCCTTGACATCAAACCGGCGGGAACGCCAAAACAAAGTGATCCGAACACTGCATATGTACCCAATCCCGCAGCACGCCTACTGCATAACGGATTGACAGTCAATCTCATCCGGATCTCTTTCCTTGGCCAACATGGCGCCCGCAGCAAGGGTATGCCTCCACCCGCTGCGCACAGCAGCAACCTCATCTCGCGCGGCCGTGGCGGCACGCGGTAGACGGGCGACAGGATTTCGCACAATACGCATCAACCCCGCACAGCCCGCCAAGGTGGTGCCCGTGTACGGCACCGGTCCACCCCCCGAGCCGCCACAGCCGACCGCCGAGTATGCCCCCGACGCCGAGAGGATAGCGCGGCGGAAGCGGCAGGCCGAGATGTTGCGGCTCGCAGGCGATTTTCGGGCCGGGAGTACTAAAGGGGGGAAGACCTCTGGCCTGAAGAAGCGATTTTGGAAGGATGTAAACGTGCGAGAAGTCAACGGTACACAAACCCCTCCTAACCCCCCAACTTTACTGCCCACCTTTGCTCACATAGCTGTAAAGGCGCCCTAGAAATCCACCTCGACACCCGTCCCCTCCGGCACCCAACCACCAAAGCCATCATGCGGCTCCCGATCTCCAAACCTCTCCTCGCGCACGCGCTCGCTGTAGAATGGGACCAGCTGGTCTCCGCGGCACAGGCAACGAAGCAGCACCTGATCCCACTGACCTCGCTGGTCTGCCGGGCGCTGGACATCTCCTCTGAGGAGGGGGTCACCCCCTCTTCCCCATCCACCACCACCACCACCACCCCCGCGTCCTCCACCATCCGCAACTCGATAATCTCCACCCTCCTCCGCTTCCTCGACACAGACTCCCTCCTCTGCTGGAACCCCCCTCCCTCAAACCCCGACCCCTCAACCCACAACGACGAAACCTCCCTTCGCACCCTACAAGAAACCACCGCGGCGCGCATCACCTCCTACCTGACCACCCACGTATGGCCAGGCGTGACGTTTCACCCGGCGCTCGACGATCAGAACTCCATCCTGCCCCGGCCTCAAACCCCCGACACGCACCGCGTGATACAGGGCTGGATGCTCTCGCTGACGCCCTTTGAGCTGGCGGGGCTCGAGCGGGCCACACTGGCGGGGAAATCGCTCCTCGCCGCCGCCAGGCTGGTCGCGGAATGGAGCGAGGACCACCGGCGGCTGCCGCTTCCCACCGTTGAACAACAACAGCAGCAGCAGCAGCAGCAGCAGCAGCAACAACAAACAGAAAAGTTTGGAGTTGAGGAGGCGGCCCGCGCCGTATCGCTCGAGGTGGACTGGCAGACGGGGCGGTGGGGCGAGGTGGAGGACACGCACGACGTGGAAAAAGAGGATCTGAGGCGCCAGCTGGGGAGCGCCGTGCTGTTGGTGTGCGGGACTGGCAGGTGAAGTTCACCAGTGAAGGGGAAAGTGGCACGGAGGGGAGCCGAGACCGGACGGAGGGAGATTGAGCATGGGACATGTAGGATACAGCTGTTATATATATTCAAATGTGGAAAGTGGATTGTATCATGGCATGATCGGCGAACGCAGTGAGTTGCTTCTTCGAGCAGCTACAACATTCAATGAAGAGTGTACATATACCGAGAATTGTACAATACCTCTCACAATGTAAAATGCATAGAATAGCCTTCAATAATGCGAGGCTGACTTGCCCCCTATCTTCGCCATAACTGTATGCTATATACGGCTGTTGTACATAATGCTCATTTTACCCCTTTCTGGGTTTCCTTGCCGGTTGTGCGCGTCAAAAGGCAGACAATTGAGAGACAGCGTTGTACATCATCACTCGACGCCATTACTTTACCACAACGAGCCCTTGGGCCGCCTGTCCACAGCATCGTCACAGGCGGCAACACTCAGGGGAAATCACCTGCATCATGGTTCACCGCGGCGCAGATTTATGTATTGCTGCTGCTATCGTGTATTTGCTGTCCCTGAGATCTCTGCTAATCAAGCTATAGCTCCTGAAAGGCAAGAGAAACTTTCAATATGGTGCATCTGTCAATTTAGGCACATCCTGTGAGTCGCCTCGCAATGATGTAGTGGCTCACCAGAGTCTTAGGCCGTATCAACTCTGCAGCCCCCTCGCATGAGGCCAGTGGTCAGGCAGTGAGGGCTCCTTTCTTGGTGCCCACTCATAACGATGGTGGTGGCTCGAAAGTATCGAGCCTCCCTGTATGAGATGATGTATACCATTCCTTTCCGGAAATTCCACCCAAAGCAACTTTCCTATGAGTTGTTGAGTCCGATGCAGGCTTTGCAGCTCGAGCGCCGTTCCGCAGTTTGCCTGATGCGCCATCTCCCGAGCACATCCCACATCGAAAGTTGTATAGCAAGGCACTCCAGATGCCTGTCCAGCCATTCAAGCGCCCAAGTGTAGCCATATAAGAAACAGAAACGAAGATCCGAAAGAGAGAGTGCAGCAGGCACCCCAAATCCCTGCCCTCCAGCAATTTATCCGCTCAAAGTGAGCCATATGAAAGATAGAAACGAATATCGTGAAAGAGAGAGCGCAGTATCCTTCAAGAGATAAGGCCTTTGTGCAAATGTCAGGCATTGTTGCCAAATGACGTCTGATAAGAGTTGCGTGTATCCCGCATGCTTCGAGGGCTTGGATGAGCTCAGATGGATCATGGTGATGGTTGAGACTTCGTATCAGTATCCGTCGTACGTAAAAGCCTTGGCGTGCTCCGGGATTGCACCCTTGATGGCAGCATCGTCCCTGTCTGCTTGGACTAGCATCTTCAACGGGTCGATGTACCGAGCAGTAAGTGAAAAGCGCCGCTTCCCGTAAGGGTCCACGGTGTGCTGCTCTTGTTAGACGCAATCCCAACCGTTCGGTGCCCGGAACCATAACTCACCTCGTAGACTCTCTGAATATCGGGTCCAATCATGACCATCATATCGCCGTGCTTCATGGTCACTTCGAGAACCTCCTTGTAGCAACATTTGCCGTGCTCCATGTGCGTGGGCAGGAAGAACTGCGTTCTTCGCTTAGGTCGGAATCTCATCGTGGACGGGGAACCCAGCGCAAGCGCAGCAACGACTGGCCCAAGCTCGCTCTCACCGTCATCGTGGTACTGAGACTGTTAGTTTGAACTAGTAACAAAAGGTGCCAGGACATGACGAACATTTATTTTATCATCCTCCATGTAGCCAAGAGCTAGGAGCTCATTGAAGTCGTTGCTCTCCTCTACAAGGGAGGATGAGCCAACAAGCCTCTTGGGCAGAGTTTGGATCAGGCCGTTGGACGCGGGGACGGCAACCTTCTTTGCCCAGATCAGGCGGTGGAGAGCGCGGAGAACCACGTCAGGCGCTTCATCAAAGCCCTTTGACTGAACCGATACACCGAACTTGTATCTCGCACCCTGGAATGTATTAGCCAAGAACTTGGTCCATTCCACTTCAACTTACAAAGTTCTGCTGGAAGTGTCGGGTATAGCCCTCAAGTTTGTCTATACTTCACATTAGCGACTACTTCACGATGGACGTTGAAAACACTTACGCCCAACAACAGCAGCAGGGTTTCGGCGCAAACCAATGTCAGTGACTTCCAAGGTTGTGAAAAGTTCGTCCGCACCGCCGGGTTTGGCGTTGATCTCGGGGCTGGACGAAAAGATACTAAAAGAACCCAGAATGCGCCCCTGAGAATCAGGGAGGAAGTACTGGCGGACTTGGTAGCCGCCAAGAGTCAGGGTTTGTGAGTGTCGAAGATATCCTCTCTGGAAGATTGTGGCGACTGGGTCGTAAAGAAAGGGGTGCTCGTTCAGAGCGTTCTCGTTAACGCCATTGGTCTTTCTCCTCTTGTCCATGGCAGCGTCAAACTTTGTGTTCTCATCGTCGAGGATCTCCTTGGGATAGGGCATCATCTGTGCCGGCCGTGTATACTGGCACTGCTTATTCTCGCACACCCAGCGGTTCCAGTAGACTCGACGATTGCAGCAGCCGCAATCGGGACAAACGAAACCACGGCGAAGAGCAAGCTCCGTGCCGTGAAGGCCCTCTTCGTCGGGCACTGCGGGCTTGATGGAAGGTATATCGCCTGTGAAAGGAGTACGCTCACCAATGAACGCCTCAGTGTAGGTCAGACCTCTCGGGTCCACAGCTACACCGCTAGGGAGTGTGTAGTACTGCTCGCAGAGGTGATTGAGGCAAAACCAACCAGCCGTGAAGATTTCCTTGCTCTTGACACCACATTTATCGCATCCAAACATTGGCGCCACAATGGTGCCAATGTGGGTGGTGGTTGGCTGGGGCATATCTTCGCCCTTGGGCATCCACCAGGACGGCTCAGTCAGGTCTGCCTTTTCCAAGCGTATACGCCAGACCAGTACGGCATCATTGGTGCCCTTGGAAACCTGTTTCTCTTTCCACATGTAGGTGATGTGAAAATAGCCAAGCACCGCATAGGGATGTGGGGGCTGGCAAGGATAGAGAGGATGGTTTTCTCCTGGAGGCTGTCAGCAGGCATAGTGGAAGAAGGCAGGGTGAGTATTACCAGCAATAACGGCCACAGGGCACTTGCTGTCGTATGCGTTTTTGAACGATCTAACATTGGGCGCACTGTCGGTGGCATCTTTCGCACGAACCATGTTGCCGGTCGATGGATCTTTCACGCGGCCTCCGCCACTGTGGGTAAGTCAGTAACAGAGATGTCAAAGAGTTGTGGGATCAATCAGAGATGTCATTGCACTTGCGCGAGTGGCAACCTCTACATTAGCGAGGACCATCTTTGTGAACAGACTTACACTGAGGAGATGACCACCTGCGCGCTAAACACATCTCCATGATCCACCTCCTGATCAATCAGGAATCCCTGCGCTACTACGGCTGCTGAGTGAAGACTGCCTTTGAAGGCACGGAAGTACGGCAGAGCTTCACACAGACTGCCACGACCGTTAGCCCACACCTGGGGCTCAGCGACAGATTGTGGGCGGTCCACCAGCTCCGCGGTCGGGTTCTTGAGGCGTATGGTACTTGGGCGAATGTTTCCAATGAGATCCTTTGAGTCAACGTGACCATAAGCTTCATTCTCGTCCATATCATGCTCATCTGTGCGAGAGCGTTTGATGTGAGTATCTGTCTCTTCGAGCCCAAGACCGGTGATAAATGCTCTCTTGATTGCTGTCTGGGCGCGCTGAGCAGCCAGGCGACCCGATGTCCGACCAGGAATACTAGTAGATGCCTGAGCATTCAGTAGCATCGTGTAGGTATCCGATTCTACTGCGATGTTCAAGCTGAACGATGAGACTGTCTCAGGAGTGACAGGACTCGACGAAGCGTCTTGCGATGAATCGGGAGGGCTTGTCAAGAGAGACATTGGCGACGATCCACGCGGTACCGCGAGACGATCCATCCTGGAAGCTGCTTGGATCCTGACTCGCCGGTATGTGTTATACACTAGAGATTCATTAGCGGCAACTTAGTGACCAGCTGCTAGCTAGCAGCGCCAAATGAAGAGGGGACAACTCTCAAAATCCAGCCAGGCAAAAGAACGGTGGGGAGAAGCTCAAGGGAACAGTGCGATGGGCCGGGCTAACATGCAGGGCTGCTGAGTAATTCACAGTGTCTGGGAGTATCTTCTTGGGCACAGGGACCTGTAGTAACAGCGATGGCAAGGGTCACTTACGCGTCGCTAGTGTTTCTTTGGCTCCTTCCTGCGTCGGGGGAGAGCCGTGCCTGGATAATGATGCTTTCTAAACTGAAAGTAGAATTGTTCGATGACCCTCTGGGAGCGAGAGAATCGGTCAGTATCGGTGCAGCTTTCGCGGTTGGTATGGTGCTAAAAGGAACTGGGATTGGAGATTATGCTCAGCCTTCTGAGCGCTCAACAATCTTTCGTTGTAGGACGAAGTAAGGAGAAGCTAGGAAGAAGGGAAGAAGATTGAGATAGGCGTTTGGGGAGAGGGGATACGGAAGCACAGAAGACTCACATTTCAATGAAATCGTCTGGATTCGGAGTGCGCTTCCAAAGCCTTAGAAAGAATGGAGGGGATTTGGCAGCCGATTAACCGCGCTAGAGTAGAAGCACCTTACTCCAGTCCCCAGCGACCTGCTTGAGTTACTGCTCTTAGTGTTCAAGCACAGGGAAGACGCTGAAAGGAACGTGACCGACTGGCTAGATGAAGGAAGAGAATTGCGGAGGAGGAGAGCCATTGGATCTGAGAAAGTTTTGGGACGTGTCTGTGAGAAACCTGGCTTTTGACCTTATAGCAGGGTTGAAGCAGGAGCGACCAGGTCAACTGGTTACCAAAGATCAACTCGATGGCCTAAAGGGGAAAGGCAATGGAGACACTTAGGGCAGGGAAAAGTTCCAAGTGCTCTCCTGAAAGCAAGAGCGACTGGGCTTGTCGCTTGTGCACTGGTTGAAGGCTAGAATGGGGAGGAAGGAAACTGAGCCAGAGGGAGGCTGAGAACGCACCTTGAAATGCTGTCTATGGCCTGTAATCCTGTTCACTGTGGATATTGCATAGGCCTGCAGATTGAACCCATCAGCTTGAAAGTGATGGTATACGTTTGAAGGATGGATAGATAGTCTCCTGTCAGTGTCTGAAAGATGTCTGGGGGAACTGAACTCTAGTGATGTGTTACTAAAGCGCCGCGTTGCACAGCTGCTGCTGTGGCGAGTAGAGCACACTCAGTGACCCTGAGTCCTGGGGAGCACAACCAAGATGCTCAGAGCAGCCTTGCAGTTCATGCTTGGCTCTCAATGATGAGGAAGAAACAGGAGCAACCTACCTTTCTGTGGAGGTTGAGGTCAAGCTTGCGCTGACCTAGAGCGACCACTACCAAAGACTTGGCAAGGTGCTATTGTTTGTTTGAAGATTGGGGCTCTGTTGGACTCTGGAGAAGAATATCTAGGTAACTGTTTGAGGAACGTCAGGAGGAGATGCACCCCGAGGGAAAGGAAGAGAATGCAGCATCTCCCTGGCTGGGTCAATATGTGATCACTCGTGCCTTCCCTTTCTAGATGCTCATCTGGGAAAAGGCCACCACAGCCTGCCATGTGAGTAGAGCACGGGCCAGTCTCCTCGATAGCGATAAATGCACCCAACCCAAGGATGAGAAGGAAGGAACGAAAGGAGACACTCAGGGGGCCACGTGAAAGTCACTTGCTCTCTTGGTTAGTAAGATCTCAGGCCGCTCTTGGCCCCAGTCCTGGCTTTGAATATTAGAATGGCATGGTGAGTATGGTCTGTTGACAGCTTGAAATGGGCTTTGAATTTTCATCCTAAGATTACCTGTAACCTGACGTGGCGGACTACCTGCCTAGTGGATTGGTGCGCTAACAGACTGAAAGAATTGCATACATTTGAAAGTTGTAGCAGTGTTTGATTTCTTACACTCATCGGCTGATCACTAACAGCGTTTGAGACTGGGTGTGCGGTTCGATAACTGGCAATACAGCCTGGTAATGGATTGCAGCCGGGTGTGCCAAAAGTCAAAAAAGGGGCAATCAGGGGTGACTGTGTTTGTTTAAACAAAGGGTCGATGGGTGGCAGGGCAACATGGCCATCTGAAAAATCCCAAGCCGATCTTCACTTGACAGCACAAGCCACAGTGGCCCCTGGACCCCATGTCATTGCTTTTTATGCTGGTGCAAGCCCCAATCCTCAAGCCTCGGGTTCCAAACAGCCTCAAGCTGCGAGTCACGAGCCACATCTGCAGGATCCATGCAACGCACACAATGCGCTTTCTGAACGGCTCAGGCTGGACCGAGCAGTTGACAGTTGGCCGAGGTCTCAACGGGCGCTCAATTGGCTGAGACGGATGGAGCCGACCCCATGAACCAGCTTTATGGAGACGGGCCCACTCGGGATGCTCAACGGGATTTGGGGGATTGCGGGGTTTTCTTGGCGCGACAGGGATGGCTGCAGAGAGGCCGGTACAGTATAATTGGAGCGCGGTGACATGGAGGATGCGCTGCCACTTGATCACCCCTTCATCGGACCTTTCATTAGCAGTCAGCTTTCTCTTCACATTACCTAGCGACATCGGTATCCAGATATCAATCTTGGGCACTTCAGCGCAGGGCTTGGATAGATACCTAGGTAAGGTACACAACAAAGACGGGCCCTCCCTTGTTTGGCGCTCCTTTGTTCCTCCTGGCCACTCTAGTATCTTGTAGACTCGCTGCTAGAAAGGACGACTGACCGCTTATAGAAGCTTGACTGCATACAAGCTCTGTGGATCCCTTCTTCGAGGTTGAACAACGTTTCACCGACTTCAACTCGACCAATCGGCCACAAAATGGTCTTCTATCCGCCTCCATGGGTCCCCAAGCTCCCTTTTGGTAGGTGGGAGAGTGAGGGTATCCGAGTTCTAGCTGCTAACACCGCTACAGACCCGCCCGACTCGGTCACCATTGGCGAATTTATGAGGAACGAGATCTATGGCCGCCGACCAATCGCCAAAAGCAGGAATCCTTTCACCTGCGGCCTCACGGGCAAGACGTACACTGTGACCGAGTCGCACAAGCGCTCTGACCTTGTCGCCAAAGCCTTGTCCAAGATTATGGGCTGGGAGCCCAATGTCGACTCGCCCTGGGACAAGGTTGTCGGTGTCTTCTCTTTCAACACTGTGAGTGCTTCTTTGTGCTGCATCGCACTCACTCTCACCCTGGACGCCTTGTTGATTCCGGACGATACCTAGATCGACTACCTCTCGGTTCTCAATGCCGTGCACCGCTTGTCTGGCATTGCGACACCCGCAAATGTTGCCTATTCGGCCGGTGAGCTGGAGCACCAGCTCAGGTCCTCCGGCGCCAAGGCTTTGTTCACATGCGTGCCCGTCCTGGACACGGCGCTCAAGGCCGCAAGGGCTGTGGGAATACCCGACGACAAGATCTTCATCATGGACCTGCCACACCATTCCAACAAGACGAGCTTCAAGACGGTCGATGACCTGATCCAATTGGGCCATTCAGTGCTGGATCTTGAACCTCTGAACTGGGTCAAGGGGCAAGGTGCGCGGCAGGTGGCATTCCTCTGCTACTCCAGCGGTACCTCTGGTTTACCCGTGAGTCTATTCCCCAGATACCCTGCCTAAACTTGTGGGCTCATAGTCTACTAGAAAGCCGTCATGATCTCGCATAGGAATGTCATAGCAAACGTGATGCAGTACTGCCTGTTCGAGGACGTGTCCAGGAGGAAATATGGAGTTGAGACGCAGGTTGAGCTCGGCTTGCTTCCGTTCAGCCACATTTACGGCCTGGTAGTAGTCGCCCATTCGGCAACATGGCGGGGTGACGAGGTCATAGTCCTGCCAAGGTTCGAGCTCACAGATTACCTCCGGGCTATTGAACGGTTCAAGATCAATTATCTGCCTTTGGTACGCCCATCATACGCGAGGCCCGAGTTTCGTTTGCTAACAGCCTAGGTACCTCCAATTGTTATCCGTATGCTGGGCAGCAAAGATCTGCTCAAGAAGTACGATCTGAGTAGCGTCAGGCTAGTGTTTACGGGAGCAGCACCGCTGGGGAAGGAGACGGTCGTCGAGCTCCTTCGTCTCTATCCAAATTGGCACGTGGGCCAAGGTTACGGTAATTATTTCTAGCTGTCTGACAGCATGGCAAAGTTACTGACACGGTGGTAGGAATGACTGAATCCGCAACCGTGGTTTGCTCAACAAGCGAGCACGACATCTGCCCGGGGACCTCGGGGTCGCTCGTGCCTGGCACAAGAGCCAAACTCATCGATCAGGAGGGAAGGGAGATTACCGAGTACGGCAAGCCTGGTGAGCTGCTGGTGCAGTCTCCGTCCGTGACTCTGGGCTACCTGCACAACGAGAAGGCCACGGCCGAAGCCTACATCTGGGACGAGGACGGGAGATGGCTGCGGACCGGCGACGAAGTCATGGTAACCAAGGCGCCGAGCGGATACGAACACCTCACCATTGTCGACCGCCTAAAGGAGCTGATCAAGGTCAAGGTACGGTAGTCTGTTGCTCTAGAAGCGTTAAGAGTTAGGCCAAGCTGACCTCTCGCAGGCCCACCAAGTCGCCCCAGCCGAGCTGGAGGCCCATCTCCTGACCCACCCTGCCGTCGATGACTGCGCCGTCATTGCTGTGCCGGATGAGAGGGATGGTGAGGTGCCCAAGGCCTTTGTGGTCACGCCGCAGTCCATGGCTTCCCGAAAGAACGAAGATATCGCGGCCGAAATCATCAAGCACGTTCAGGACCACAAAGCGCATTACAAATGGCTTAAAGGAGGTGTTGAGTTTATCGACGTTATCCCCAAGAGCCCCAGCGGCAAGATCCTGCGGCGACTGCTGCGGGACAAGGAGAGGGAGGGCAGGCGGGCCAAGGGGTCCAAGCTGTGATTGGATGCGGTGTGTATCAGTATTGTATACACAGGGGCCGGCGGCTCCATCACTGGCAGCAGCATGTAGCTTTGATGTTAGTTGCCGCCAAATAGCGCGCTATATCGACTTTGGACTGTCATCATCTAACTTGACTTTTTTGATCTTTGACCTTGTTTGGATGTGGCTTGAGACGAAAGGAAATATGGCCCACAATTGGCCCTTCATTGCGTGCTTTTCTGAGTTCAGACGGGTAAAGGAAAGATTTTGAACAAACAAGTTATATCCAACCTGCACACATTCCCCATCGTGAACGCACTTTCCTCTCCTCAACCGGTGAAATCAGCACACCGACCGATGTATGCCATCCTCCATCCGCTTCTTGGCCTCCTTGCCCAACCCCTTGACTTTCTCACCGACCCCGTCCGCTTTCCCCGGTCGTTGTTCCCCTTTTTCTTTCGTAGCCTCTCCACCCTTGCCCTCACCTCTACCCTTCTTCCCATCAGTAGCCACAACAGGCCCCTTGCGCTGCCGGGTCAGAATGCCCAGGTCCTGCTCCTCGTTCTCCATCAGCGTCTCGGTCACCTGCACAATGTCGGTGACGAGCCGGTCGAGCAGGTCGAAGCTCATGCTCTCGCGGACCACGACACGCAGGATCTCGGTGCTCGCCTCTCCGGGCGGCAAGGCATAGTTGGGTATAATCCACTGCCGGGCGCGCAGCAGCAGCGAGATGGTCTCCTGCTTGACGTGCGGGTACTGCGCTTGGAACTCGTCGCTCAGCCGGAAGGCGACCACGGGCAGGCCCGGCGTGTACGACGCCGAGGTTTCGGTCTCGGCTTCGTAGTCGTTGTCGTCGTCTTCGTGGGGCACGGCGGCTGATGACGATGATGGCTGGCGTGGGTTGTTGAACTTGATGTTGTTGTCGCGGGGGCGGTGGATGTCGCTGAGACACGTGTACCAGCCCGTGGCCTCGAGGGATTTGGACAGGATCCGCGCGTTGGCAAGACAGTTCTCCATGACCTCGCGGTAGCCGGCAAAGCCCAGGTGGATCAGGTTGTAGTACTGCACCACGACCTGGGCGCCGGGGCGGGAGAAGTTGAGCGTGTACGACTCCTCGGTGCCTCCCAGGTAGTGCAGTTCAAAGATCAGTTCCTTGGGCAGGTACGACTGGTCCCGCCAAATGATCCAGCCCAGACCGGGGGCTACGAGGCCGTATTTGTGCCCTGTGAAGGTGGTAAGTGGTGGTTGGTCAGGGTAACTGAATGAAAGGGGCATACCTGAGGTATTGATGGAGTGGACTCGTGGAAGTTCAAAGTTCCTGGCAAGTCATCATCAGTACCTGGCGTATAAAGCCTGAATGAATGGGACGAATTTACCACTTGGGTCCTCCAGCGCCAGCGTAGGTAAACGGCGCCACGAACCCCCCGCTCGCCGCATCCACATGAATCGGCACGCTCACCCCCGTCTCCTTTTCCACCTCGTCCAGTACTTTCGACACCTCCTCCACCGGCTCAAAGTGTCCCGTGTAGGTGCTCCCCATGATAACAAACACACCAATCGTGTTCTCATCCACGTTCTCCTTGACCAGCCGCGGATCCAGGCAGTAATTGCTCTCCTTGCTCACCGGGAGAATCCTTGCCTCAACCTCAAAGTAGCGGGCAAACTTCTCAAGGGCGACCTGGGCATTGGCGCCCATGATGATGTTAGGGCGGAGAGTGTCCTTGCCCTCTGCGCGTCTGCGGGCTTGCCAACGGCGTTTCATGGCAAGGCCGCCGAGGTGGATGGCCTCGGAGGAGCCAACGGTGGGCGATCCCACCGCCTTCTCCCCCTTCTGGACGCCCCACAGGTGGGCGAGGATGCTGACACAGCGGTTGCTCAAGGACACAAGGGCTGGGTACTCGTCATTGTCAGCAAGGTTCTTTCCCATGTTCTCGACCATGAGTTTTTGCGCATTTTCTTCGAGGTAAGTGTCTACAAAACTGAGATGAGGGAAATGTTAGTCAGATATGAGGAGCGTCAATGGAGTATGCGAGGGAGGGGAGACAGGCACGCCTAGGTACCTAGCCAAGTTGAGGTTCGGTCGGCCATCGAGGTCTAGCTCGTCCTTGAGCATCTCGTAGACGGTATCTCCAGGGGCGCCATCCTGTGGGATCCGATACTTCGGAATCTCCCGCTGGCTGGCGTATGGAGTTGAGAAAGGGGTGAGGTGAGCGCTCTGTCCGCCGCTATTGCCGCTGGACGGCTGCTTCGGAGTAATATGATGAGCCTGGAGGTGGTGGATGATATCCTCCGGGTCTACCTATGAACGAGTTAGTCATGAATAAGCTTGGGCGTATTAAGTCAGGATCTCATGTTGTTGTATGACGACTTACATGTCGGGCGAGAGACATGGCGGGCTAACTTGAGGCTTCACTGTGTAAGTGGCAGCGACTGAGACAGTTCTTCGTTGAATTCACCACTTCAATCGGCTTCAGCGCTGCGAAAAATTGAGTAGCTGGCAGGACAGATTCGAAGGAAAGTTGGCTGAAGCTTCCATCCGCCTGTGAACATTGTTTCTTTATTCTTGTCATCTGTGGCCAAATTCATGACGGTTGACTGAAGCACCGACAACGACGTCATGACTGGGGGGTTGCGAAGTAAGCTACTTCCGATTGAGTTCCATGCTTGAAGCTACTGCATGATCCGGATCGTCATGCAACTTCAAGGTTGAGTACCTGAGAATCTCAGTACGTATATGGAGGCATTCTAATCGCACTCTTAAGCTCACCACAAAGCGCACAACGTCGTCCTGCTGGTCCTCTTCCTCCTTTGTTGAACGGTGATGGATGGGAAGGCAGTCCTGGTGCATTCTTGTGCGAAGAATCTTTCTGCCAACCACAGCCTGTGATTGCCTGAATTGGAAACTTCAACGAACTCGACGCACGGACATCCCGCAGATGCGCACGGACATTTTGCAGAATGCAGACGCGCACGGGCCATGCCTCTCAGGGTATATAACAGCCTGATCCCACCCCAGACTTGCTGGTTTCCTTCTTTTCTCTCCATCCCGGTGCAGGGGTTTTACGTGTGTCAGTGAGGATTCGTCCGAGACCACGTTTTTGCTAGTTGAAAACTACAACCTGACCGCTCCTGTTGGGCTTCGGCCTGGCAGGGAATTTTTGGAACTTTCCTCTTTGCAGGAATCAATCTTTTCCTTTCATTTCCATCGGTCCATGCGAATCGAGGCGATGAAGGGTGTTTTGGCTGTGGCCATGGCAATGCACATGGTTATGGTCAAACGGCTTGCAGAATGATTGGAGCTCTCCTTAGAAGCTCTACTTGTACATACAATACGGAGAGCTATTCCTCATAGCTGTTTTTCTTTATTAACGGACTCTTCTAAGCAGTGTCCAGAACAATGACTTCTGCCTCGGCCTCCCCGACACTCTCCACCGAAAGTCTGTCTCCCGCGTTGATGCCATCCACAAATGCACCATCACCCTCGCCAAGGACTGCATCCTCCCGATTATCCAGCCTGATCTTGGCTTTGCCGCCCTTGGTCATGGGCAAATGTACATAGACTTTGCGCTTGCCCGACTCGGTCGCTTTGGCGCCCACCGCCCATTCGAACTTGCTGCCCGGTTGGATGATGCCAGCGGCCATGACAAAGTCGGCGTGGATGGCTATTGTCCCGGGGATGGTCGGCTCGGCCGCCTTCTCCTCGGCCTCGCTTGCATCGACGCCGCCTTTTAGCGGGCTCAGAAGACTGACAAAGCCCTTCCGCTTGTCCTCGTCGTTATACCGTCCCCAGTGGTAACGCGGCGTCAGGCCACGCCTCCACGGGATGGCCCATATCTGGAGGAAATGCACCGTTTCGTTGCCACGGTTGAACTCAGAGTGCGTGACTCCCCTCCCCGCCGTGGTGAATTGTATGTCTCCGCGTTGCACTGTGCACGACAGCTCCGACTGGGTGCCGCCCTCTGCTTGCTTCTTGCTCATGGTCGAATCGCTGTGCGTAAGGGCTCCCGAGAGGATGTAGCTGAAGATCTCGAAGTCCCGGTGCGGATGCATTGGGAAACCTGAGTTGGCCTTGACGCGGTCCTCATTGAGGACTCGCAAGGACCCGAAGTGGGTGAAGTTGGGATTGTACCAGTCCGCGAAGCTGAACGAATGGTACGTGTCTAGCCAACCATGGTTGCTGTGACCTCGCGCCGATGACCGGTGGGGAGTGATCTTTACGTGGTGTAGTGTCTTGGACATGGCGTTTGTTACAGTTTTGAGCATGAGCAACAAATTGGTCTCTGATGACGAGTAAGGTGAATAGGCAGGAATTGTGTCGTTGTGAGATTTTGACTTTCCTATGTTTTCTAAGGTAGCACAGGCCGGGGGGTTTCTTATAGTTGAAAGCGATCACAGCTATTGGGTCTTGAGACTGGCAACACCATGCTTGGTGAGCATTTCCAAAGCATTACTGTATCTGAGGAGATCCGTCGAAATCTTCATCTCTCATTGTTAGTGATGCGTAATGTGGAGAGTTCCTGCTGGTAGTTAGTGATGACTGAGCATTACCTCATGCTCAAGTGCCGGCGGGCAAGCCTGATGACTCAGCATTTGCGAGGCCCTAAAATGGTCCGGTTCCGCTTGCTTCATGTTCAAGACCTTTGACCCGAAACCTCATGAAGTCGGAGTATCGAATGCAGAGCCATGAGGCGGACGATACCTGGACTCAACCCACGCACACGGTACAGAGCCTTTATTGTTTGACTGCTGGACATGCCAATTCACTGTTCAACAGCCCGATCTAGTGTTCGACGCCCAATCCGCTTGCTCGTATCACGAATTGAACAATTTCATTGTCATGCGCTTTAACGAGCACCATGCCACCAAACGACGATGCCTTTGCCTCTGCACCTGTTCATCCAAATGTTTGGCCATTTAACATCTCTTTTCCCAGCAACATTTCTCCTTAGGACCCCCATCAGTCGTTCGTTTTCGCATCACTCGTTCGTTGTCACAGCTTGAGTTGCCCAGTTCCAAAAAATTCTCTTGCTTCGCCAACCCGCTCTCGCATTCGAGATGTGCTACATCAGTAGAAAAATCTACACGGTGTGCGCGCATAGCAGTCTTGGAGAACTGATCGAATGCAGGGTCCACAAAGACAAGAGGGCGAAATGGCCCATTGTATATACCGGACTCTGCGTTGCACGTGGTCTCAGCTTCTGGCGCTGCCGGTCCCGGTCTGAAGCGACCGAGATCGTGTACGGTTTCTGCCCCAACTGCCGCGACTTCTACCGGGGCTTCAACACGAGAGATGTGAGTGCCATCTTGAACTATTGGGCCTTCAAGAATAGACACGGCTACTCGACCTGTGTCCCTGCGAACATGATTTCTGCTGACGAAGTCTTTGGACAGCCACCACCTCTTGAAGAGAGCCTCAAGCAGCCTCGATGCGAATTGATTGCGCTTGGCAACCAGCTGCCACCCAATCTGAAGCTCTTGGATTCTCCCGTAGATTGGCTACGGAGACTGGAGGGAATTAGGAAATCGACTCTGGAATGGGCCGAGCAAGGTCCGCGCCGGAAAATGCCAATCTATTGGGCAGCTAACGTCAAGGTCCGTGGTGGATGCGACAGCACGCTCTGTATCCAGCCAAGGATTAACTCGCCAATGTCAGTGTACCCACATCCATCGGCTCCCAGCTCTCTGCAGTGTCATGGAGAGACATATAGAAAGCTGTGCGGAGAAGACTTCTCGCTATCCTCCACTCTGTGGATGAATGGGACGGCCGAAGGAAGCGATAATGAGCTCGTTTTTGACATGGAACTCGAAACTGATACACCCGCAACAACGCCCGAGGCATATCCTCAGGCAAATCCTGGTATAGCGGCCGAGCCAAACCTCACGAGCCGCTTCTCGCTGGATTCCGATTCCACTTCGGACTCTGATGAATCTGACCTTGACTTTCTGAAAGAACCCTGGTCTGACTCTGAAGAGTTGCCCAACACCGCCGATGACGGCTTTGCAATCCCCAGTTCTTGGACGGGCACAGGGTTTGCCTACGGATCGTCTGGCATTGTGGGCTTCTTCTCCATCGGGGATTCAGATGACGAATCCGAAGGAGACAAAGGAGATGAAGAGTACGAGCTAAGAATAGGCCACTGACAACATAGGCGCAGATAACTGCCCCTGCACAGATAGCACCGCCGCCAGCAGTACTTCCCCTATGTGCAGTAAAAAGCATTGCTCCGCTCAGCCGAGATCGATCAGTCCGAGCGACCTGTCTCACCGCTCCGATATATGTATACATATATGGTGGCTGGGCGGGTTTGAATGCATTAGATGGCAGCTGTGTAGTGTGAGGTGAGTGAAAGATATTTCAAACTGGTAAATAACGATGACAAGAGGTGGAGCCTTCTCCCTCTTCAACCGCGATATTGATAACTGCATGTTATCTTCAAAAAGTATAATCAAGTCGTTCACTATTTGAACTCAATCTTATTTAACTTGATCTGCTTACCTAGCGTAGGTTGCTTCTCAAGGTGACTTGCGATTTCAGCATGTTTACAAATGTGTCATGTCCGGGGAGAAAGTGTACTAATATCAGCTGTGTATATACACTTCACCCATCAGCACATACACAGGGGAACCGAGAAGTAATATAAAACCCGGCTTGGTCATTGGGATTTGGTCTGGCGGTGGGGGTATTAACTATTATGTACAGGACAGTCCACCAGCTGCGTATATAGACATATATGTATAGTAGGGAACACTGTACATATCGCAAACAGCTGGGGGCGTAGTGGTATGTTTTTGCGTTGCCCTTCTCTCAGGGCGCATCTCTATCCCTGCCCAACAAAGCCAAAACAAGAAAACATGGAAAACATGGGCATGAGGATATACAACCAAACCAAACCAAACCAGCCCAGCCCAGACCCAAGCCAACGCCCGGGGTTCTCAGGGATAAAACGTGTCATGATGGATGCCGCTTTGCTATGCTGCCGTAAGGATCGTAAGAATCAGATGCTGATGTTGGTTGTTGTTGTTGATGGAAAAAAGAGCCTGCCACCGGCCGATGGATATGATGGATAGTAGTACATGGAACCCCCTTTTGTCTTGTTGCTTGTGAGGGGATTATGGTAATAATACAGCTTATCAACACATGCTTTAGAGAGCAACGGCAACAGCAAGCGCAGCAATGGCAGCGAGGCCAAGGCTGGCGGCGGTGCGGCCGCTACCAGCAGTGACGGGGCCCGTCGTGGTGGGACGGATCGAGCCGGTGCCTGCGGGCGGGGTGGGCAGGCCGACGGTGGTGCCGTTGGAGGTGATGACGGGGACGCCGCCGCCGTTGCCGCCGGCCGGGCCCGTGACGATGGGCAGGGCGCTGGTGATGGGGACGACGTCGACACCGCCCGTGGTGCCCGTGGTGAAGCCAACTTGGGGCACCGTCATGCTCGTGTTGATGACGGCCGTGGTGCTGGAGCTGGGGATGGGCTGGCCAGCCTCGTCGGTGCAGGGTACGACGACGGTCGTGTCAACCACGACCGTGGTGTAGACGGGCGCGACGGTGGGCTGCGCCGTCACGGTGATGTACGAGGTGACGGTGGCGTCGGTGGCAACACCCGGGTTCTGCCCGACGTAGGGAGCGCAGATGCCCTGGAAGTAGGCGACGGCCTCGGCGATGATGGCGTCGGTCTCGCCGTGGGCGTACAGGCAGTCGTAGACGCTCTTGACGAAGGTGGCGTCAGGGCAGTAGCACGCCGTGTCGGTGTTGTCGGCGCAGCTGACCAGGAACATGAAAGTGTTCAGGCAGGACGGCACAACGTTGGGGCAGGGCAGGGTCTCAACAGGCTTGACAGAGGTGGCGATGCCGCTGGTACCCGGAACAACGACGGTGCCGGACGGGGCCTGGGTGGTGCTAGAGCCGGCGCCCAGAGTCGTGCTGGAAGCGACAGAGGTGCCGGGGACGATAGTGTTGGTCTCGATGCTGGTCAGGGTCTGGGTCACCGGGCAGATGGTGGTCGAGACAGCAATGGTGACAACCGTGGTCACAACAGACGAGTTGCCAGGGCACGAGGACACGGTGGGCGCGCACTGGGTGATGGTCGACGTGCTGGTGGTGAAGATGGTTGACGTGCTCATGGAGCTGGTGACGATGATCTTGGTGGTGGTGGCAGTGGTGGCAGGGAGCGTGTCGCTGCTGGTCGAGCTGACACCGCTGGACGGGGCCTGGCTGGTGCTGCTCTCTGCGGCAGAGCTGGCCGAGGTGGTGCTGCTCTCGGCGGCGGAGCTGGCGGAGGTGGTGCTGACGCCGGGGCTGACAGTCGTCGTAGTGGACCCTTGAACAGGAGCGGTGCTGGTCTCCGAGGCAGTGGAGCTGCCGCCAGTGGGCTTGGGGCTTGTGGTTGTGGGCTTGGTCTCTGAAGGGCCGGTTGACGAGCTCCCCTTGGCCGAAGTCGTCGAGCTCTTCACCTCAGTGGTAGTGGTAGCAGCGGTAGTAGACGGCGGGGTGGTCTTGGTGGTGCTGGTCTTGGGAGGCTTGGTCTTGGTGCTGGAGGCGGTGCTGCAGTCGAAGGAAATCGTAGGAACTTGGATGCTGCAGCTGGGCTTGGGCTTGTTGGGCTGGGGAGGATAGATGATGGTCACGTTCTTGGCACCGCCGCACTGCCTGTTGACCACAGTGGTACCCGACTTCTTGCAAGGGCTCCGGTGCTTGCAGGTCGACCCATCAGGCATGTCGTAGTGGAACTCGAGATCGCAGTCGAACTCGGGCTTGACATGGATGGATCCTAGGGAGAACTTGTCGATTGAGGCGCCGCAACCAAACGAAGGTGACTTCTTCTTGTCGGATGTGCATGTGCCGCCGATGACCTTCTTGAAAGTCCGAGGAGCAAAGCGGCCGCCCTTGCTTCCGCCCTGGTCCTCGCACTTCCAACCGCTGAAGGTGAAGCCGTTGTAATCGAAGAAGTCACCAAAGTCCAGGTCGTCCCAGCTGAAGCCAGGCTTCTGCTTATCGGTACACTTGTTGTCGGTGTTGCCAGGGCATGTAAATGGGGGGGCATTGTGGAACTGAGGTTTAGGTGTTAGTCGTCGTCGAATAGCACCCGGAGGACAAAAGAGCAACTTACAGTGGCCGTCACCCCGGCCGCGAGGGCAAGAATCGGAACGAAGGTCTTCATGATGAAGTCTCTAATGCCTGTGTCGAATGCTGAGACAAGATAACGATGGACTGTGGAAGTGATGTGTATATATTAGGACGGCCTTTTGCGCCTTGGAGCTGTTGCCAACGAAAGTGTGTTTGTTTTCTATGTGGAAACAAGACGAGAAGAAAAGAAAAGGGAAGCGAGACAAAGAAGCGAATGACTTTGCCTCTGTTGGTTGGAGTGAAAAGAGAAAAAAGGTCTTGTTGAACACAAGTGAGGAAGACAAGAGGGAGAGTTGAGGAGAGAGACGGCGGTTGGCAGAGATTGTTATACACACCTTGGACACCGAGACCGACATGCTCTCACCCCCCTCCCCCCCGTCCGGGCCCCGTCCGGGTTGCTCGGCAGGGGTGGTGGGCCAGACAAAGAAGTGGGATCATGGGAGATGGGTTTGCCCAGGGCTTCCTTCCCAGGGGATCGACAGGACTCCCGATGAGATGCCAGGTTGGAGGAAGTGCAAGTGGCCGCCAGCCAATGAGATGGGAAGCACACCCCGAAATGGGAAAGCTTCCTAAATTGCAATTTTTGCCGTAACTTCACAGTATACAGGGTCCAAAGGTGAGTGAGTGGTTGTCGAAGGCCCATCTCTGAGGCCACACAATGCAAAACTCGAACCTGTGGTGTTACAGTTCGTTACACTCACCACTCGTCGAAAAAGGGGTACGTCCAGTTAGAGCTTTGGTGGCGCGCGGCTCCCTCAAGCCGCGGCGCTGGGCGTGCAACGGTTGGCTGACTGGTTGACAGGGGTTATTACCGGGGTCTGGTCAGGGGTCGATGGGACCTCCCAGTCCAATCCATTCCGTCTCCAACAACACCTGGCCAAGGCCGGAGAGAAATGTCTTACCCTCTTGCATAGCGCGTCTGTGTAGTGGAATAAGTGGGTAATAAGTGTATGGCAGCGTATAGAAACTCAAGCAGTCGGGTCATTCAACTTTGCATCATCAGTGCTATGGTAGTTAACAGTACATTGAAATTCTTGCCATATGACTGGACATAACACTAATTCAGGTACTGTAATTACCCGTACTGCGTATGGAAACATCCATGCCTGAAAAGGACAGACTCAAACCACCAGGATTGAAGTGTACAAACATGAAAATGTAGTTGAAAATAACGTTATGTTGACTTCAACGTTGAGCAGACACTTGTCCACGGTGAGGTCCGTTGGCACATTGTAGCGGAGGGTGCACCTCTGAAACAGATGGCAGCGAGCTCAGCCACACCGGCCGCGCTACTGCAGGTACGGAGCAATCAACTGGGGCCCTGCAGTCAACCTGGTTTTTGCTGTGCCTGGTGCCGGGATCTGGATCCAGACTGGGCTTTGTCGGGCTTTCGGTCTCTCAGCGTTCTCATCAAGCGATCGACTTTCCCCGCAGGGAGCGATTCCCAATCTGCTTAGCCGCCACGGGCCGAATGCTCGATCCAGCGCTGCACGTGTACGCTAATGTTGAATAAAGTCTAAGCGATGCAAATGGTATGAATTGCTATGTAACATTACCAATATAATTCGTGTGTTAATATTGCTGGGAAAGAACTCCTGGTCAGAAATTATAGTGGCTAACTTGACTTGAGTTACTACTGTACTGTATAAGAGAATTGGATTCCAGTTGAGAGACCTCGGAGGTCATCATGATGTTAAAAATGACGGGAGCTTGTTTTACGGTCAGCGAGTGCCACCAGGAATCCAGTGCCGCGTTTCACAGCAGCTGTCATGCTTTTGTTAGACTGGCTGGGCTGCCCTTGCCGTCGGTACACTACAATACACTAGCCTTTGGTTTCAGGATCGTGGGGACGCAGAGCGAAACAGGTAGAATATTGGCCCCTGTATGGTCCAGAAGGCAATCGGGCGAGTCGGGGCAGTTGTGTCCGCCTGCGCTTGTACATCACAGTACCGTCGACGGCGACCTCACCAATGTGCTCAAGTGTAAACTTCAAATGCTCGGCTACCTACACACGTAGGTAGCTTATGTGATTGCAACTGCGGTCTGCAGCTGGAGAGAAGGTCGCACGAGGAGCACAATGGTCACCGCTTGCTGCAACGATGGCGGCCTGTGCACTCTACAGTCCCCCCCTTGTTTGTTCGTTAGCGCCTGACTTCAACACCAGGGTCAGCCCTAAGATTTCAATCCCAACAGCAAAACGGCAAATTTTCTCACGAAAAAAAGGCTCCGAAGAAAATAGTCTTCTTGAATAATGCTAGATACTCTTTTTTCTCGCATTGAGTCAACCGTTTTGGCTGCTGAGAAGCATTTTCTCTGATTTCTGGACAAGGACCCCTGTCAGAGTCTTGCGCTAACAAACAAGGGTTGAACTGTATGTGTCCACCTTGTGCCCACCCGGAATCACACCGCAGATGCCGGGCACAGACAGGTCGTCCTAGCGAGAGCGAGGCCGATTCTTCAAGAGGTCTGGAGTGAGCATAACCTGACGATAGGATGGCCAGAGTCATGCCATGTGTGAGCTCGGTGTTTGGCGAGCAAACAAGTGAAATCCCACTCGACGATATTCGATAGGTACCTATTTTTACATAGCCTGAAAACGCCCAAAACCCAGAGAGAATCGTCATGGCGCCTCTGAGCGGGAAGCTGACCCGCACCCACGAGGCTGGCGAATCGCTTGTCAGATCGGAGCGATCAGTGGGACCGCCTTCAACAATGATCTCTCAACGACCGCCGCCTCGAATCTGCATGTTTCAAAAAGCAGAAACGAGAAGTAATCAAGTATTAAGAATCCTAGATCTCTATTGTACAAAGTGGTGTAAGTGTAAAGACTCCACGGACCTCGGTCGGTCCAGGACGTCTCAACGCCAGAAAGGGACAAGACCAGGGGCAAAAGCTTTTCCTGATTGGTATGGGTGGTGCGCCCGTGGGCGGACATGGTTTGTTTCGGGTTGGTCGTATTTCAAAGATCCACCGACACCGAACAACACCCGACAGTTCCTCCTTTCGCTGATGCAACCGTAAACCGTCAACATCGTGGCAGCAGGGAACGTGGATACTGGATAGCATCGCTTGTAGGAGAAACTTTTAGCGTGCTATCTTGCTGTGCGCCGAGAGAAGATTGCCGAGAGAAACAAGGCCGTCCCAGCAACATGGCCCTCTTCCCTAATCCCTATCCTGCGTCACAAGCTCTCACAGTCTCCAGAATCCAGTCAAACACACAGAGTATCTTCACTCAGCCAATTGATTACATAACGGTAGATGGTTTACCCAAGAAGAGGGAAGGTACAGGTCAATACTTGTTTGTTTGTTAGCGCGGGACTTCACCCCACTTAATCTTCCCCTTCTCTGGCATGGCGCTAAGGCAGCTGCATCCAACCAAAAACCTCTGATCCGGCCCACATCTCCTCGAATTCGTGCTTTCTCTCCCAAAATATCACTGAGCAACCTTCTATGAGCTTCAATGCGGGTTGGAACCCAGCTTCAAGGAGCTGAGAGCCATTGACCGAAGAGAGATCCTGAGTAGAATTGAATACTGTTCACTTCACCCCACCTGAAATACCACGCTAACGAACAAACAAGGGTTGTCCTGTACTGCACATAACCTAAAGTATCGGGGAAAGCTTCCTCAGAGGGCACAGCGCGGCACGCAGTGTTTAAATAACAGCAAGCAAGTAAACAGGCCATCACGAACGAGGCCCAAATTACAGTACCGAAAGTACTTACTTGTGTCCTTGTAACGATCCCATAGGGCGGCGATGGGGCACGTCGTTGAACGTGCAGATCTCCGATTCTCATCTGTCATCTAGAGCCATCATCAGGTGCTGTATCCCGGCTCTTCGTGCAATCGCCACTCTCGGCACTGGTATTGTACGGAGGTATGTATGTACAGTACAACCCTGGTTTGTTTGTTAGCGCGGAACTCAGGACAGGGGTCCTGGTCCAAATTTCAAAAAGATGCATCTCCACAGCCATAAGGAATATATCAACGTAGAAAAATAAAGCATCTAGCAATATTTAGAATGTGCCATTTCATATGTCTCTTTATCTGTGCAAAAAGTGGCTGTTTCGCTGTTGAGATTTGGATTTTGGGGCTGAGCCCTGTCTTCAAGTCAGGCGCTAGCGAACAAACCAGGGGGGCATTGTAGTACATAGCGACTATGTCCTTGCCAGCCGAGGCCAGCCTACTGTTTCTACACATAATAAATGACCAATCATGTCCAAGTCATGCAAAGGATGAGGCGCAGCACTCAAAGCACCCACTAAGGTAGCGCCATTCCGGCCCCAATTCCTCTTCTGTTCTGATTTCCGGTGTTCGTGACTCTGGCGTGGATACAGTGGAGCACTACGGAGGTACTCCGGCCCCACTCAAGTCCGTTCCGAGATTCGGCGCCGGGTCCGATAGCACAGACCCAAGACAAGTAATCGACGACCGGCGTTCTCTCAGTGTAGGGATCCAGAGATCCCTAGGGATCACACACCTCGAGTTGAGATATGATGCATACTGGTAGACTTGATGAAACTGGTTTAGTCGTGTCTGAAGGTTGAATGAGAGCTCAATTTGAGTCTCTCCGCCCAGGATAAAGGTAAATGTTCATGACCCTTTTCTGCTCCACCGAATACAGTCAACGCGATAAGTATGTACCAAAATTCAAGAGCTTACTTCCCTTAACTTGGTCATCGGCAGGACCAACACCTACCTGTGCCTCCTCCTTTGTGTATTTGTGTACATCCTCCGCGGGCTCGGTCTGTACGACACGAGCTCATACTGAAGTTATCACCTGCTTCCCCACAAGCTACGCGCCAGTCTCACCACGGCTGGACTTATACCTCTTGCTTCGAAACTGATGTGAGCACATCACCCAAGGAGCAAAGATGTAGCCGGGCAGAACGAGGTTTGCCGTTCGGCAATGGAATATGCCACTTTCGTAGCATAAATTCGGTTTATATTCAGCTCCCCTGTAAAGCTCTAATCCTCGCCTCCGCCGCCCTCGCCCGCCTCTCTCGTTCCAGCCGGATCCTCTGCTCATCAGACAAGCCTCTCATCTCCTCCTGCCGTCGTTCTTCAGGGGTCTTGGGCAGTCCCGCACTCAAGATTCTTCCACCCTTCTTCCCACTTCCACCACCACTACCATCAGGAACCCTAGGTCCCTCAGCACGCAGCCTCTCCTCCTCGGCCTTGCGTCTCTGCTCCTCTTTGCTCTCCCTTTCCTTCCTCTCCCTCTCAGCCCGCCGCTCCGCCTCCTCACGCTTCAGCGGGGCTGGCACCCGCGCGGCAGCCCAGTCCCATGCGGCCTCGCCCAGCTCAGCGCGCGCGACGCGAAAGGCGTCCCGCGTGGCGCGGTCGCCGGCCAGGTCGAAGGGAGTCTTGCCTTCGCCGTTGAGGACTGTCGGATCGGCGCCGCCGCGCGCGAGCAGGCCCACAACGAGCGGGGCCGCGTTCTGCGAGGCTGCTAGGTGCAGCGGGGTCGGCGCGTGATGGTTCTGTTGCGTGTCGGGTGGGTGGAAGCGGAAGTTGGCGTCTAGCTTGTTGGTCGATAGGTAGGAGAGGAGGGCAGGTAGTTTGGAGCGGCGGATAAGGGCTTGGATTTGTGTGGTATGCAGAAGCGCGGCTTCTTCCTCCTCGCTGAGCTTAGGTGCTGAGGGTTTCGGCTCGGCCTTGGGTTTAACCGGTTTGGCTGCCTCGTCGGGCACGGGGAGTTCGGCCGAGGGCTGTATCTCCTTGACCTTGAGACGTGTCAACTCAATGAAGGAACGCATCAGCTCATTTTGGGTCGCTCTGCGCGTGCTGAAGGGGAAGCCCCTGATGCGGGGGTCGTTGGGGCGTAGGACTTGGTCGTCGTAAGGCCCGAATAAGGTCCGTCTATTTGTCGTGCCTGTCGCCCGAATGAACAGCAGATCGCTGGTGTCAATCAACGCTTTCCAGTCTTTGAGGAGGCCCCGGACATCCTCAACAAGGGCCTGCTCGTTGTAGCGACGGAGCGAGGAGCCAGCAGAATGAGCCGTTCCTTTGGCATTATCGTTGGCAGATTGTGAGCCGCCCTGCTTCCGCCGCGTTGTGTACCGATGGAAGGTTTTGTGCGCCAGGACGACCGCCTCCCTGTTGAGCGGTCCAGTAGAGCCATGCTTACTCTGCTTCGGAGCCAGGGAGACCACCATGGCGGCGAAATGACCACCGCCAATCATGCAAAGAAATATATGTCTGCCATTGTAGGGAGGTGGTGCTGCATTACCGTCTTTAGCGGGTTTGGGCATCGATATCGGCGGTAACTGTCTTTGTCTGATTGCATCGACAATGGCCTCTTCCTTGCCCAACTCCTCTGTCGAAAACAACGCCCTGTATATCCCAAAATAGGTATTATCTGGCAGTTTAGGGGAACTGAACCAAATTAACGGTGGTTTCCCGGTCCCTCTCCTCGTCTTCTTTGGTTCCTCCACCTCTTCCGTTGTGCTCGAGCTGAGCTTGTCAGCTAGCGAAGCTTGCTTCTTAAGCAGCGCGGACAAGGTGGTTTCCTTGCGCGCATCGTCCTCTTCATCATCGCTATCCGGTGTGTCAGAGCCCGAGATGCTTTCGTCCAATTCGTCCACTAGTTTCTCGAACTCGGCTTCAGAGACGGGTCTGAGGCCATGTAGCTTCTGCTTGAGGTTATAGTGGTGGAGGTCGGTTTTGAGATGGTCCCTCTGCTCCTGAACCGTGACAAAGGACAAGCCGCAGAGGGAGCATGTTTGGGCTCCGAGAAGATTGTCTGAAGAGCCAGGTGCTGGGCTTTGTCCCCGAGAAGGTGTATCATCGAGTCCGCCATCCTGGAGCTGCGAAGCTAGCCCCTCCTCCTCCTTGAGCGATAGCGATTCAAGAATTTCGGGGGGGAGCGCAAACAGATACAGTGGCCGCCGAAGTAGCTCTTCCTGCGTCTTGTCCATGACTCGTGTGCTTCACGGACTGGAGAATGGTATAGAGGCAAGAACAAAATACGTGGAAAAGACAGTGACAGTTGCTCGACGCCGATCAGTTGGTGGCGGGGTGCTTGTTTTATCGGCTTGGTGGCACGCCGATAAGAGTCATACCGCGCTTATCGCATATCGCCGAGACAAACGTCACGAAAAACGGAGCTGATGATCGACTGCATTGAGGAAAGCGTTGGAGAATCAGCGTGGGTGATGAATTCTAGCTACAGCCTGTTGTCAAATAATGCCTTCCCGATTGTTCCAAGCAAAGTGGTGTCATTAGTACAACGGACGGACGAGGAGACGAAGTGCCTTAGAGAAAGAAAGGGTTGTGATACAGTACAAGACAACAGCAGACAGGGTATGTATTTCTTGAAAAAAGATGAACGGGAACCGCCAACCCTCCCCTCGCTCTTTCCCGGGTCTATGAACAACATCCTTGAAGCAACTTATACCCCAAACAGTTGTGCTACTGTCTGGTCGCATCGTCCAAGTCACTTTGACGTTCCTCATTTTCCAGTTCTGGGGCGCTCCTGCTAACCCTACGGTCTTCGACCGCGTGTTCGCCACTGCTACCGTCTGAATCCCATTGAAACAGTTCGCCCAGTAGTGGCAGTGTTTGGGCCTCTTCGACCGAGTCCTTGTCTTCAACCAACCGCCCAGGACTGCTCCTCTCAAGCCGAGCCTCTGCAATGGTGTGCTCAGGCGTGTTCCTCCTTACCCCCTGATCTGCTGCCTCCTGTGTTATCAAAATCGCGATGGCGCGCTTCACCACCTTTAAGCCGTTTGCCAGCCAGGATCTTGAGCGCCGGAAGAACCGAGATTCCCACATACTCAGAAGAGCAAGTGCAGTCAGAACCACATAAACCCATGGCACTCCCCGCGGTGCCGTCAAGAGGTCCCATACGCACAACACGACTAGGCAAAGCTGCCACCGGAACTTGGACCACATCTCGCGCAGGTCGTACTCAACCCAGTGCCAGAGTGGCACATCCACAAACTCTTGCCACCTCGCAAGCCACTCCCCCTCAGCATCCGGTGTTGTCTTGGCATCATCCAATTTCTGTTTGAACCAAGCTAAACGGCCGTCCCATTCTGCCAGGAGCTGAGCGTTCGACGGCTCCTCCGCGTACGGCTTCTGCTCGAGGAACCGGACCCAGCGCGCCACAATGCCAGAGGCCACGGCCTCGTCAACAGCAAAGTATTCCCGGTGATACTTTCCACAGCGGCAGAGAAACTTGCACCTGTGGTTTCGAAGCTCGGCATGCACGAGACGCTCTATGCGTTTACAGTAGGATTTGGAGTTGACGGGGATCGTGTAAGGCGACTGGTCCGAAAATGTGAAGCCTTCGTCGTCGCCTCGGGCTTGACAATTTGCCTTGATTTGCCTTATGCGCTCTTCCACGTTGTCTTGGGTAGTATAGCCGATCTTGATGAGCTTGGTGCCGTTGCGGACGGCCGACAGGACGTAGACGCGGCCTTTGGCGTGATCCAGCCTCGCTGGTTCCTTGATCAGCTTGATGATGGATGCGTCAATGGAGCTGCGATTGGCAGTGGCATGTTTGCCGCTGAGAGTTGGCGTTTTCGTGCCGTTTACATCGTGTTCTCCACTCGCGACTCGTATTTGAGCGCCGTTGGCAGTATCTCTGCTGCTCGGTATGGACGTCTGGGTGTCTCCTGTGGCATCCCTGCCACGCCGGACAGGCGTCCGGGGCTCTTCCAGGCGCCGGGCCGACGTCTTGGTGCCGTCGGCATCTCTGCCGCTCGTGATAGGTGCTTGGGTGCCCTCTGATGGTGTGCTTTGAGTAGGCGGAGGTTCATTGGGCTTTTCTGGGGTGGCTGGGGGAGTAAGGGGGAGACCTGTAGCTGGTAGGTGTATGCTATCTTGGCCCGTCATAATGGCACAGACCACTCGATGTCTTTCCACTTGTTCACAAAAGCGACCATTAGGAGCCTCCCCTGAGAATATCAGGATTTAATACCGAGTCTCAAAGCCTCAGCGAGGTAGCCATAGCAAGGGCGGAGGGATACTGCGCCTTTGGAGCTGTCGGCCGTCCCAACGCGGCCATCGTTAAGCCTCATTCAGGTGTTTGAGGTAGCCAAAGAGCGGGAGCATTCGCAAAGGTGGAGTATTGCAGTAGACCGAGATCCGTCGGAAAGAGTTAACATCCGGATGTATTCTCGGAGAAGTTGCTGTAAATGCGCGATCATATGGAGGCCTGCCCTATGTGGCCAACCTCATACCAATGTTTCGAGAACCCTGAGAGAGAATGGCAAGGCAGAATATCGAGACTGATAACGACATAGCGCTAACGGTAGAGACAAGAATGTATATTTCTGAAACATGATATTAGCATTAGGTCACGGTTGAGGTGAGGGGTTACTGCCTGGGCAGGTAGGTTACCTTTATTACGGCCTGTCTCGACTCTCGACACTTGATATCGAATCGTTGGACCCGACGGTTTGGGTAGGGGCACAGCTCCTTGCGCCATCGTTGTGGCCGCATGACTTTTAGCCCAGTGTGATCCGGGGAAAACAAAAATCCCTTCCCTTAAGGTCAGCAACACACATTCTCTAGTTGCTTCCGCTGGCCTCAAGTTTTGAGTTCGAGGCTCAGGCACAGCACGGGATGGCGTCGTGCCGCGAACCCATGTTCATGTTCAGGTCTGCAACGAAGGACCTGAGCTCTGCCTTCCGACGGTGCCTAGGACCCTAGGTAATCCAGACAGAAAACGGATGCAGCATGCGGTATCCATGCTCTCTGCATTTCCGTAGGGTTTCGCCTGGCTTTGCGATGAGATTGTAACTCTAAAACTTCACCACGATGATTGATGATCACGTCGGTGCCTTGCTCCACACGCACGTGGAGAGCAAGGATAAGCGGCATCAGTGAGGACCCGCCTAGCATTCGGTGATGATCCTCGCTGTTCGGCATTCACAGAAGAGGAAAAAAAAAAAAAAAAAAAAACCCAAAATCAAAAAGGAAAAATTTTCCTCGCTCATCATCCTCACATGATACTCCAGTGAGGTGTTTCACCGTTACCTAACAAATCCAATTGTGGAGCAGCTAGACATTGCTTGGATCCTTATTCCGTGACCATGGGGCAGGTCCATGGCAAAGGGACACTGATCGTGCTTGCCGAAAGAGGGCCACAGAATGGCGCAGTTCACGCCGGCCATGCCCCTTCCTTCCCTATTTGATAGGTAATAGTATGCCTCATCATTCGCCTTGACGCGACTCCTAAATCGACGTTCAAGATTCGATGCACTCGCGACATCGACGGAGAATACTGGACGAACTCCAGTCGGTCAAACAACCTGACCCCACACGGCAACGGGGATACCTGCCTTAGGGTTACGGATCCTGGTGGCTGCTCCCGTCGGGGAACATGTGGTTCCCGTGAAATATTCTAGAAGCTGCCGATCCGTGCCCAACTTCGCCAGCTTGGCTCTCCTGGAGAAAACTCACCGAGGCGAAATAGCGGCGTGGAGAGCGCCTGCTTTCAATGGCCTTCAACAAGTAAACCCAACAGAACGTCAGCTACGCAACTTGTCAGGGAACCAATGCAACCTCGGGACGAGTCCTAGGACAGCTGCTATCGCCGGGCCCGACGCTGTCAGAAACAGGATTGCTGTATCAGGGCGCCAAAAGACCTTGATGCGACGAGGCATGCGGGAAGCGAGTTGTAACGATTATTTTACACCAAGGTAGGTCGGGATCTTGGAGACCGCCAGAGCTCAACAGAACAGGGCGTTCGTGAACGAAAACCTCTCCATCTCTCAAGTACCGCGTCCAGCTGGTTCATTTGGCGGCTGACGGCAAGCTGGCCACGGACAGGAAGCTCGCGTCATGGGCTTCGAGATGAAGACATGGACTGACATGGGCAATCCTTCCTTTCCCCGAGACGATATGCATCACAAAATCGGTGAGGCTAAAAGATCGCCTTGCTGTCATATCGATCGAAACTGCACTGATGATTCATTATTGTCCAGGACATCCTTGTCTCGCTCCTATGCAATCTCTTCGCGTCGATCGAATGATATGGTGGAGCATCCGAACAAACCTCTTGTTTTTTCATGTCGTGGCTTGTATCTTTCCCGTCGGTCTCTGCTCACGGCCGAGTTTCGGCACACGGCCAGTGGCAGGAGCCGACGGAGAGAATAGGATGCAGAATCCAACCTCTCCAGACAGGAGGAGTGGTGCCCTTGTCAGTTGGGGTCGATCCAGAAATGCCCTCATGGCTGTCAGATCTCTCGCAGCAGGTAGGGCAAGAGGTGACTTAACAAGACGCGGGTGGTTGTTATTCCCGGGCAATATCGCAAACGATTCGCTACAGCAACAAGTGCGGGCTGCAAGCATCTTGGCTGTTGTTGCCCGTGAACATTGACCCCCAAACGGAGCGCGGCTTACTCAGCTCCTGACCGGTCGGCATTAGGGATTCAGTCAGGCCGATGTACTCCACGAGTACCTCCGTACCCTTGCTTGAACCGCTTCCTTTGTCCTCACCCTTCCATTCACGTCCATGACAACAGACTGCCTGGCATGTGTATATTGGTGAGACTTTTCCCGGTAGGTAAATCCTCTGATACGCCGTTGCGAGGTCGCTCATAAGGGGTTTGCTACATAGGTATATCAGAGGACAGGATACGGAGTATATGGTGCAGAGTACTCCGGGCCATGTCCCGACTTAACGCCGACAGGAACGGGAAGTCTCCGAGCTGAGCTCCGTGAATGACCCTGAGCCAGGCCGGACCCAGATGAAGTACAAAGACGCAGTTCGAAGCGCCTCTAATCGATGATGATTGTTGCAAGCACGAGCCCGTGAGCAGTTCAGATCTCCAGTATTCGAACCAGGCGTTTCGCACAAGTCATTCATTTATCATCACGACGTCAGCTTGCCTCTTGCTGTCTCCGCAAATTAGTGATCAGAAATTCCCTTGTCAGTGAGTCAGGACAAGTTCGGTACCTTAGCTCCACTCTTACATCAGGCGATCCGCGTTTTCGGACATAACGAGCATGCCGACCGTTGACCAGCCAAGCAACGGCGCAGGACGCAAAGCCCGAGAAATGACGGGATGTCAGTGTCCTTACTGCTAACAAGCGACGCATTGCCTCGCCCAAACCCTCGTCTCGAGGCTACGTATCTTACAGGTACTTGGTAATTCGGTAGACAGACTAAGCGCATCATCCTAGCCCTGCTTTCAACGAATTATTAATCCCGGACTCCAATCTGTTATGCATGCACTTCTCATCCTTGAGATTGGGGGACGCCGAGTAAGCTCCAGTCTGTCTGCGCTGAGGCGGTTCCTTTATACATCTACTTGGTCCCTCCCCCCACCAAAGCGAAGTTGGACTTACACCTAACCTGGAACTTTCCCTTGTCCGTTTTGAACCATCTCTTCACTTCATATACCCTATTATATCACGATGGGTCTTCCCTCGCCTCCAAACGAGGAACTGCTCAAGAGCCAGGCTCTTAAACGAGCACACTCGATTCCCAAACCACAAAAGGCAGGAAACAGGGTCACGAAGCGGACAAGCACTCATGTCCACAGCCAGCCGCAAACCCCAGTCGTAGACAGCCATTCTCAGCATAGCGATGGGAGGCATAAGAGAGTATGGAAGGCATGTGAGAGGTGTAGAATGAAGAAGACAAAGGTAACTTATATCCGACCCCGGCATGTGATGGGTTGCCCTTCCCTGAGCCCCTGACTGACTTGGTGCAGTGCGACGGGGAGTTCCCGTGCAAGAGGTGTAAGGACGACGGGTTGGTTTGCACCGCAGGGACAAGGAAGAAGACCGAGTATAAGCAACTACCGCGGGGGTACGCCGAGGTGCTGGAGAACACTCAATTCGCCCTGGTCGCCACGGTACAGAAGCTCTTTTCGATGGTACGAAACCAGCAGCCGTGGGTATATGGGGAGCCTGAATTGAACGACCGAGGCCAGCCCGTCATTCATGATATCGCCTCTAAGCTCGGCTGCATACGACCCAACAGCGACGTGGATCTTCCGGTACATTCAATATTTCCCGAAGACGAGGCTGGACTGGCAGAGCTGGCGAGGCAGTTGGAGGAGCAGCAGAAGGAGACGGGCTCGCAAAGCGGCGGCGGCAGCGGCGGCAGCAGCAGCAGCGGTACGCAAGAGACAGAGTCCAACTGCAACCAGACGGACCGCGCCAGTTCTTCGGCGGCTTCGGACCTCGATCACTCGGACCTCGAACAAGACTACCGAAAAGCGACGATGGGGTCGGCGACGGCCGTCACCATGTCGCCAGTCAGTCTCTCGTACGGCGACTTCGATCTAACCCCTTCAACAGCGCGGTCCGAGGGCTTCCCGCCTAGCCAAACGTCGCCCAGCATACAAACCTCTTTCTCGTGGCTCGGCAGGCCGACGTCGATCGACTTTCCTGCGCAGCCCTACATCACCAGCGGGACGTCGTATCTTGATATGGACATGGATATGTTACAACGCGGCCTGCTCGACACCAATTTTAGCACCATCAAATCCGAGTTCATGATGGGAATCAACGACCCCATGACGCCCGTGATGTATCCGGGCTATGACGCCCGCTACGACTAGGTTTCTTGGGGGTCGGGTTTCATGGCGGCATGGGAACGTGTTCAACTTTGGCCAAGGCACGGCAAGGAGTTAGGGCGCAGGAGGAGAGAGGGCTGGCTGATGTACGTGTACCATACACACTATTAGACCGCTGGGTGATTTTTCTTTCTACACTACGGAACATTGGAGGCACGAGGATTCGGATGGGAAATGAGGTGTACGACTAGGCATGTGAGGCATCATTCTTTCGAGCCCATCAAGCTCGAGTCTACGGGTTCCAGCTGGCATCACCATACATAATAGTGTGGCGAAAAAAAGGGGGGCTTGCTCGAGCACACGTTAATAAAGTTAGGCCATAATTTCTCTCGCCGCTTAGACACGGAATACTATACCTACACATGCTTAACATTAGTGCGCAGCACAACAAACACGTTCACTTTGCTTTTGCAGATTCGCCGGGGCCGTCGCGGGCTTGACCCTTTGGTGAAACGCGCTGTAGAGAACCACGTAAACGTGGGCGGCTCAGCAACAGCCACTATACGCGTGGCATTGGCATTGGCATTGGCATTGGCATTGAAATCTCGGCGTTTTTGATTCCTTTCTTGTCAACTAGCAAGTAGAAACCAAAGCTGACCCTGCGGGTTGGCTGCACTGCCCCAGAAATCCCCCCAACAAACAGCCAAACGAGGGGTTCGAAGCGACGAGAAGGGGGCCGGGGTGTTTGATCCCAAAATCTGGCTGGGAATGTATCCGAGACCGTGGGATTGGAGAGTCGGGCTAGAGATTGTTTTCCGCCCTGGGCTTGGCGCTGGTCTCCTAAGTGATCGCTTTCGCTTTCTTCAGGGCATCAAAACGTTTAACTACGGACGTAACGTGTTCTGTACTGTACAGTACCGGTAGGACACCAGGGCACTTACATGCTGCATCGGCTCTGCTTTGACCCTGTGATTACTAAAACAAATCAAGCATAGCACTTATTGGGTTTGTAAAGGTCAAACTGAAGTTTCGGGCCAAGAGCCATTTTATCTGCGGATGCGCTTACCTTCTCACACCTGACCCTGTCACACAAGAACCCCGTACAGAAGTGTAGGTGCACTTCGTACCTCACTATCACTTGGCCAACTTGGCGGTCGGGTCCTGATGTCCTTCCTTCCTGGTTCGGAAACAGAACCTTGAACTCCTGTCGTCGTCATTCCCCGCAAAGCCACGATCGGTAATTTCCCGTCTGAAGGCCTGTGGATTCTGAAAGGCCGAATGCCAAACACCCCTGGTCCCCCGGCTACAGGTACTGCTTGGTACCGGTACTGTTAGGGAAGGGAAATGAAATTTCAATTTTCCGAAATTTCAACCCTTCTATGGAATTTTTTCTTTCAAACGGCCCATGAATTTCAATATTTTTCATGTCAAGGATTTTTCTCCTAAATATGTAGGTCAGGAGGCTGCAGAATACTCTATAAGCTTCCCAATTTCAGTCTTTCAGGGGCATTTCCCTTGAGGATCAGGAATATCTTCAAAATGGCTCTGGATCAGGGGAGTCGAGAGCCCAGCAACAGGGTAGGTCGGTTGAAGAAGATACAGGTGGCTGGGCATACATAACCCTAACCCTTGTGGGCTTACTGCCTTCTAAAAGGCGTTAGCTGAAATGGCGGAAATTTCGAAATTCAAGAGCCATTTTTCAGTTTCCGAATTTCGAAGCCGTGATGGAAATTTCCCATCCCTAGGTACTGTGCACGTGGACGGAGCTAAGCTATGTTCGTACTGGTCTTTGGGATTGCTCTGCAGATGGATTTTGAAAGTTGTCTCCAAACTCCCAGATAGGATGACTGTTGAATCCTTTTTAATCAAGTGGCGACGCTGGGCCAGTAAAGGGGGAAGCTCAGATGCAGCAGGATTGAAATGCTCAAGGTAACTTTACCATCCGTTCAGAGACGGGATCCGGAATCCCCATCTTCTCGCAGGGTCTTCCGATGCCATGAGGAGCATCGGGCTCGGGCTCACTCCGAGTCCGTGCCCCGCCCCCCGTCCCCGCGGCCGCCTTGCGAGCAATCAGCGCCTAGCCTGACCGCCGACCACATCACCGAGCATGCCAACTCAAAAGAAATCCCTAGACAACCTAGAACTCTTGGGCGCTGTATCCGTTGCACGTATTGTACTTCCTATGTAGTTACACACATTTCGAGCAAGCCAGGCTCAGCTCACTGTCGGCGTCAACTGTGCTCGCTGGGCTTCCACTTCCACCCGCCTCTCACCAAGACATGATGCTTCGAGGTACCTGATGTACAGTACATACCTTGAGCAACTGCATCCCCAAACCTGCCCTTCATTCTTCCTGTTGGCTGTCCGGCGTTTAGACGAAATACGCAGAAACCTCAACTGACAAGACCTTAGGGCTGACACCCTATAATAGGTGCACTTAGTCGATCCCTGTTCCCTCGTTGTTCTTGTGTGAATTACCTTAGATACCAAACCTAACGGTAGCGAGGTCAAGCGTGACTGCAGTGATGCGGCAGGGCGAAATTTCTTAACGCGCCTAGAGGGAAACGCTAACAAGCCAAGGGCGACCAATGAAACCACCCTTGAAAGGCAAATGGGATGCGGAGTTAAGTCCGGCGAAGGATTGGTAATGTCCGCATATGAGGATTCGAAAAATTCAGGGGTGCCATATCCCGTTCGTGCCTGGATTTCTCAGCTGACTTTTACCATGGACTGCTTTCCTGTCAAGGAACATCCATAGAACTTGCACTATTACATGGAGAAAAGCGCAGAGGAAGGGAAGAGAATCAAAGAGAAAAGGGGGGGAAGCCAATCGCCGAAGTGGACGAGCTGTACTTTGTAGAAGCTCTTCAGATGCAAATAATCCCCAATGGTGATATATTAATTACGGTATTGTTACCCTTACCCGTACTGTACGTATGTACGGATAGTGTACGCTAACACCGCAATCCGCGGACATCGAGCGCCAAGACTCGTTGTCATTCTGCCAACCTTCCAGCTTGTCACACCTTACACAGTACCTCGCCGACCTCACAGTAGCCTGACAGCAGAAAAATTGAGCCGACCCCGCTCCGTTTCCGAATGCGAGCGGAACAGTGACCTTCACTGCAGTACTAACATGACTGCACAGGCATGCCTGTTGACAGCAGCTCGGAGTACGATTGCCCCTTCCGATATACGCCAACCCGCCACTCAGTAAGCAAAGCATGTGCGTAGTGTACCTACTTCGAAGTTCGAACATATCTGGCCTCAAATGGGACGAAACAGACAAAGAGTCCTTGCAGATAACTAATGGCAGTTATGAGTCAACTGCATACCGCTTCTGACTCTCTAGACTACAATATCAATACGCTCTTTCCCGAAAGAGATCATGCGGCAGGCGACCAATTTCAACCACACTGATCCGTCAATGCAGGCCACCGGTGATCAGTCTCACACGCACACAAATACTCACGGCTTTCACAACGTTGCAGAACGGGCTCACACATGGATATTGTAACACGCAGTAGCCACCATTTTGCAACACAACACAAGCCTACAACCTCTCCGGTTCCCAATTACATAGCGATGCCCAGGGATGTATGTACTGCAACGGGCGGAGGGGTCTAACCGAGGCTAGACTCAGCATTTGTTTGTTGAAAGCATCAAATTTGTCAGCCAGCGGCCCAAGTCCCATACCCATAACCATGTCGACGCCCTACGAAGGACAAGCCCATGGCGAATTGATGAGGATACCGTTTCACATATCATATGTTCTGCCAAGGCGGGAGGTTTGCACAGGGCACACAGTCCTCCCATGGCACACATCTAGTTAAGGTCAGCTGGGTTGTTAAGGTACAGAAGGTACAATATCCGTACTAGATGCAGAAGCGAGTAGTTGCCGATGAACCACATTGGTGTGCGACCCATTCCACGCTCCCGTCTCGGCCCCTCGCTGGCACTCGCTGTCATATCATCGTCCGAGGTCCGATTCCTCGGATCCGAGCTAGCTTTCGGACGAGCACAGTACATAAGGTGATGAAGCTCAAGCCACGTCAAGAGTATATGTAAGTGGCTACGGTATCTCAGTCCAATCGTCCGTCTTCCGTTGGACTCACCGATCAGAGGAGCACCTATCGGGCCTGACGAATGCTCCGAGGATGGTCGGAGCATCCGTTCGGGCGCCAGGTCCATAAATGACTGCTTTCTACTATTTTGTCTCTTCACGGGGCTTGTAATCCCTCATCTTATCAGGTAGTATGAGTATTGAGGGACGGGGCGGGCGAGACTGAGCTGCTTGCCTATGCCTCGGCACTACATACCGTAGCAATGCTGTACAGTACCTGCTCACTCTCGGTCGCGGTACTTTGCGAGGGTACGATATCTGTTAGTGCAGCCAAAATTTCACACCCGAAAATCGTCCTCTCGACTACCGCCCTTAACAGAATCCCGCCCTAAGGTTGTACCTTTTCTGAAGCTGCCAAAGCTTCACAGAACACTTCCAAGGAATCCCATCTAAACCGCAACCTGCACATTTCGATGCCTGCCCAAATCCAATGGCACAGAGAATCGAGTTCCTCCATGGATCACTGCACTTCCATATCTCCAAACCAAGTGTTGCTTATGTTGCTTACTACTTGCCTGCAGTACTAGTAAGGTCTGTTCCCCTCACATCAAAACCCGGACCTGGCAAACCCGGCCATAGATGAGGGGGGCGGAAATACTACGTACACGTAAAAGACAGAGTCTAAACGAGGTCGGAATCCGAGTGCGAATCGGGTTCCATGTCAAGGAAGGACTTGACCCGTCGCATCTACAGGATCTTAGTGCAACAGTTCACTCTTGTGATGAAGGTGGTGAGATCCGATACGCTCTGCTCCCTTGCTTGTTTGGGCACATTTATCTACCTAGGTATCTACCTACGCACTTGGTAGTGTACATGCAGTCAAGGTACTGATAGGATTGGACTAGGAGCGCCGTCACGGTGCAGAGCAGTAGCTAAATCCATGTTACACAGAATTGAGTCGGACAGTGGAATGGATGGCCGATAAAGGCCTCGATTTCATACCTAGCGCTTTCCCATGCTTGAAGTCTCGCGCTGCGAGACACCAGGTCAGTTCTTCCTTTACGTTGCATATAGTACTATTTGTAGACAACCTTTGAAATATCCAATGTCTTATCTGGCACCCCCTCCTGCATCGACATCTGCGTGTTCCATGTTCCATGTCTGGTATCTGGGCCGGGAGGTTTGTCATGTTCAAACCCTCGATGCATATAACGGACCACGAATGGCTGGCACTAATACCTAAAACAGGTACTCACATATTATAAAGCTGACGGTCGCCTACAACCGACTGTGGGAGCTACGAGGATGACATGATTTCCGTGACTCTCAGGGTGTGAGACCAACTTGATATAGGTAGCCATCCCGCATTTCTAGACGCACTGGGATAAAAACGAATCACACTCCCATTGAATGGTATATCTCGTAGTAGCAAACCGGAATGCCCACCAGCCGAGACCGACATCTCAGGTATCCTAGGAAACAGCACACTCTCCCGTCCCTTAGCCATAGGAGATACCCAACTTTGATGATATGGACACCCTGAAAATAAAACCAACCCGTGATGCCCTTCCCCATCAACAGTCAACAGACGAGGTAGTGCTCGAAAACAACTACGTATGTACTTGTACTGGCCGGCGCTTCACAGCTTCGTTTCACCGATGGATATCCACGCGCTCGACCCTCCTCACGTCGTCGGGCATGCGGGCGATGCACAGGGCGGCGCAGAACTCGCCCCACTCGCCCTTTGTGGCGTCGCGGACGGCGTCCTGCAGGTCGGCGCCGTACTGCTCGCGGAAGGCGCGCTTGACGAGCGCCATGTGGCTCGCGTCCCAGTGGTACCGCACGAGGCGCGAGATGAGCAGCTCGCGGCGCAGCTCGTCGCGCTTGGACGCCGTCAGCGCGTGGTGCAGCAGCATGGCGTCGCGCACCGGCTTGTTGATGACGCCGTTGAGGATGTGCGCTAGGACTTCGCCCTGGGATTGAGTTGTGTGAGATATTGGGGGAAAGAAGGGAGGGAGGTGGGGGAAGGGAGAAGAATACTCACCACCAAATTCCCGCTCTTCCTCAGGGCATCCTTGGCAAAGTTGGCCCCCTTATACCGCTCCCTGTACTCGCGCAGCACCTCCCTGAGGTGCGCGTCGCTGCGCTGCGTCACGATGGAAATCATGAGCGACTCGCCGCCCTTGTCGCTCGAGACGGCGCGCCACAGCTGCCGCGCGTCGTCCTCGACCAGCTCGTAATCGATCCTCACGGGGCGGCCGTACGCGTCCGTCTCGTCCATCCTCGTCTCCTCCAGCACCATCAGCACCGCCTTCTTGAACTTGTCCTCCTTCAGCTCCGTCTTCATGCACTTGACGAGGCTGTTTGCGTACTTCTTGTCGCTGAACCCCTCCTTAATGGCCCGGATCTCCTCGTTGGTGCGGCCCATGAGCGACTCGATCAGCAGCTCCCGCCGCGTCTTGTCGCCGTGGTACCAAAAGTTGGCCCAGTAGGCCTCGCTCTCCCAGCGACCGAGCGCCGTCGCGTAGCAGGCCTTCATGAGGTTCGGGTCCTCGTCCTTGAGGCGGGCGCGGATATGCTTGGCGATGTTGACGCCTTTGCGCTCCGCTCCCGTCTTGACGAGTCGCTTGTACTCGACGCGCAGCTCCATGACCTGCTCGTGTGTCAGCCCGGGCAGGATCTCGATGAGCGGGGCCGTCTCGGGCGCGCGCTTCTCGCCCTTGAGCGCCTTGGCCAGCCGCGCCGCGTCGTCGACGGGGTCGTGGAACCGCGCCCGCCGCGACGTGCGCGACGACTTGGCCTTGTCGCGCTCCCCGTCCGAGTCGATGGGCGAGAGCGCCTCCAGCACTTGCGCATTGCTCGTCGGGATGAGCAGCGGTGACGGCATCGGCGACATGGACTGGTATGTCCCGTGGTAGGCCTCGAGTAGAGGCGAGGGGGGTGCCGACGAGAGCGAAAGAGATGCGGCGTGGTGCGGCGTCTGCACCGTCAGCATCGACATGCGCCCTGTGGGCGGCTGCGGAGACCGGTCGCGCTTCATCGCCGACCTGAGCTCTCCGCCTGGCGCGGGACTGGGCGAGCGGCGCCCGCTTGCACGGCCGGACGGGCCGAGAGGGTCTAGGTGAGTGGTGGTGGCGCTGTACCGGTGCTCCTCCGTCTTGGCGTACTCCCAAGGCTTGGGCTGGGCATAGACATAGCTGGCAGCCGGCGGGGAGTCTGAGGAGGCGGCGTCGCGCTTGGAGGGACCGGGCAGTTTGCCGTAGGCTAGGTCTTCCTCGAGCTTTTCTTTCTTGCGGCGGCGCTCACGCTCCTTGTCCGAGTCGCGGTCCTTGTCGCTGCGGAGCGAGTCGCGTGACTCGCGCGGGGAGCTGGGCGGTTCGACCGTCTTGATGTGGGCGGCGTACTTCTGGGGCAGGTACATGCTCTCGCGCCGGCGCTCCTTGTCGGAGTCCGAGGAATCCCGGTCCCGGTCGTTGTCACGGTCCTTCCCGTAGCGGTATTGGACTTCGCGCCGGGCCTCGGCGAACCGATCATCACGATCGTCAGCCGGTTTCCCGCGCGGGGCCGCTCGGTATTGACCATGGCTGTCGTCGAGGGAGCTAGGTGGCCACGTAGACAGGCGCTCATACTCATAGGCGGGTGATAAGGGGTCGCGCAAGGCGTCAGTGGAGCTTGGGTACGGCACGGCATCGACAATGCTGACCGAGGGACGACGGACACGGCTGCGGTCACGGTCCTCCTCGCCGCGACGGCCCGCGGGTGAACGGGACCGGCCGCGGCGGCTGCTGTCATCAACCTGCAGGGACATTTTCCGGCCAATATAGGCTCCCGGGTGGCGCCTTGCAGATGAGCCGGGCCCTAACCTTAGTTTCTTAGCTTAGGTAGAGCTGCAGTGTTTTTGCTTTTTGCCCACACAGAATGCCGATAAGGCGCCGAAATGCGGGGTGATCTTGTGGCCGAGAGACCCGCTCCGGGCCGCCGGTAAGGGAGCTGTCGTTACTGGAAGCCGCAGGAACGCAGAAAGCAAGATGGCCTTCTGTAAGTCACGGAAGAGATGACTTTCGAGAAAGGACGGCTGATGTCCTTTTTAAAAGCCTGCAGCCGAATTCAAGGGAGAAGGCTGCGGCGCAGTACGACAGACAGACAGCGGTGGTTGGTGATTTGGGCTGAGGTGAGGGGCGGCTGGGGCGCTGGGAGCTGGGATTGCATGAAAGCCATGAAACAAACCAGGGCACCTTGTCAAGTGTGGGCCGCCATCACACATTCAGCTGTTGCCTACGATAGGCTAGTGTAGTGTACCAGAGGGCTAACGGAGAGTTTAGTGCTGAGCCTGCTGACTGGACGGGTTTACGCTTGCTTTGTTCTTTTGTCCGAGATCAACTGTAATGCACAAACCAATTGACTTGCCCATCGTACGCGAGGGTTGAAGTCCAAACCAACGAGGCTGGCCATCTGTTCCAGTTGGTCCTAGTCCCGTGGTCTTCCCGCCTTCTCCGCAACAGCCCTAACGTCGAAGTCGAAGCGCCCCCGGGCTTGTCCCGTCCCTGGCTTTCCCAAAGCGGAAGGGTGCGTGCTTGGCATTGCTTGACCGCCCCTCCGATGTCCCCACAATTCCCGGACCCGTGTCATGGTAGGGCAGATCCGATGAAACTCAGATCCAATCAGCCTTGGGACATCCGGATCGGTGCTCACCGAGCTTGTGTACCGGCGCACCGGTTTTGTTGTCGTCCGTTGTGCAAATAAATAGACCGCCCTGAAGTGCTGGCAGGATCGTGACACGGATGGATGTATGTGATGATTGCCATTGGACAAGAAACTGTTGGGCACAACAAGTGGGCGTGTGATGTGGTCATCAACGGCTTCGACTGGCTGTTGACACAGGCTCGGATGTGCTGCCAAGTATCCAGCAGCCTGTTGAGGCTCAAGTTCATCCGATCTCAAAGACCCGTGGAGACCAGCACAGATTAAAAGAACTGGGAGACGTCATTGTCCTCCGGAGAGCCGGATTAGGTAACCGGATGCCGGACAATTCTGCTGATTTCGGATTCATGCGGCTGTCGGGGGCTCGCGCTTTCTGACGAGATGGCCTCTCGATTCTCTGGGGCGTCGTTAACCCGCTTGATGAACTGGCTGCTATTCTCATGACCCCGTAGACACCACACCCTAAGGTGAGCTCATGGCTGGTCAACCATGCCCCCAATGAAGAAATTGCGACAAAAATGCGTGCTTCGCCGTACAACATGTAAAGGGTAAATATGCGAAACAAAACGCCGAAACAAGGAGGGTTGATGCTGGGATATCATGAATCTCCCATGACGCCGGTCCGATGCTTTGCTGTTTGCAGCTGTTTGCTGCTCCCGTCCAAACTGTCTACACTCGCAGCCTCTGTTTCTCATCCTGGGTACTGCGTTGGTGCGCTGTTAATGCATCGACTGTCAAGACCGGCTCAACTAGTGTTTGCTCCATCCGAATTGCTTCTGGCCTAGGGGGCGAGCGGGTTAGATCAGCCCACACCAGCGAGATTGATGAGGGTAGCTTACTTCCTTCGAAAAAGACTCTTCCCCGTCTCCATCACGATAACCCACAGTACGAAGGCCACCACCAGATACACCACGAGCATATCATTGCGTTCTGTCGTTTGCCTCTCTAGCTGACTAGGCATCACTGGCCGCGCGAATTCATCGAGTTCTGTGACATCTCTAAGCGTTTCTTTTGAGACAACATGTGCCGGCAGGCATTTCGCGAGGTGAGCCACTCCGAGAGTGAGACATATCCTGCTTGCCCTCATCTTGCGCGAAGAGTTGCGCTCGCCGGCGCCAGTCGTGAAGGTAAATTATTGCGGGAGCAAAGAATAAGCTGTCTGTGGGACGGGGCTGGTTGGGGTATAAGAATGTATGTCAGACAAAGAAATGGTGTCTAACTAGCCCGGCGCCGACTGGCTATGAAGGCACGGAAAAGCGAATGAGTGTCGTCAGTGGCACGGCTAATTGAGACAGAATGTCTTAGTGTACAGTATGGCATGTATCCGTACAGTCGCCCAAATGGTGCCGATTAGCCGTGGAGTGCCAGAGGAATTCGAGATGGCGTTTTCCGTAGGAGAGGTTGAAAGAGGATGCGTAACTTTAAACGATTTGTTAGACCAAATCCGCAATACTGATGCCTGCCGGCCTTGCAGGAAGGAGCAGGTAGGTAAAACATATAACACATGACAAGTGCGCGAAGTAGCATTGGTCTAGACCGTCCGGCAGGTGAGAAGTTATTGTGTACTCCGTATGTAGGTTGCAGCCACATTCCGCTAGCATCAAGCTTTTTTGAGACAAGCTCCAACTTAGCTCCTGCCTTGACTACCAGTAGGTAACCATGGATGCAGCTCACGCAGCGATGAGTTAGCCCCTATTCGGCGCCTCATTGAAGCCCCTGCCATGTCTCGGTAAAGATTTGGAAGAAATCCGCGCAGGTTGAATGTTTCCTTGCTACTTCGTACTTCGTACACGTGTACGAGGATGGATCCCACAATTCGGACCAGGGCGGTTGAATCCGCCTGGAGGGGCTCGAGGGGTATTGGGGGCTGAGTGAGATCCAATTCTTCGATTATCGGTGCATGCTGAGGCGAGATTACAAACGAACACGAGAAGTGCGCTTATTCATGGAACCAACTGCATAGGTAGCCCGGTTTCACATTCATACCATACCTACCTTATTTACGAACTATCACCATGGCCTAGAAAGTACGGAGTACATAGGTCGTGCTGAAGAAACAGATCAATAAATTGAGCATTTGCGTCGTTACTTGATAGTAAGGTGATTTGGGCTTATTAACGTTACCATTCCTGGTCGCAGATCGGGCTGGATTGGTCTGTGAGACCCCTGAACCGTACCCCTGGCGGCATGATGATGCAGAAACCAATGCTCCGCTTTGGTTGGATGCTTTGGGAGACAAGCATTTCCAACTTCCACCGTCAGACCCACAGAGCGAGGCCAAGGAGTCAAGGACACCATCTCAAGTTTCTCGAGGCTGGTATTGTACAAGATACGTACGTAATGTCCAAGACCTGTTCTCTTTTGTAAATTGACCGATTCGGCCCCACGATCTGTGCATCACCCAGCGCAGCATCTCATGGTGCATGCATGGAGCAGCGTCCGCTCTGATCCATGGCCCCTCCCTCGGGTCTCCATCAATCCTCCATCGCTTCCGATTTCGAGGCGCCGTTTCCGCCCTTGGTCCGCTCGTCCACCGTTCCCGCCAGCCTCAAGTCGCACCGCGTCGACCCCTCCCATTTGGCGCCCGAAGACGCCTACGCTTCCTTTTCACCCCCGCGCCGGACCTCAACCTTTGACAGCGCGGGAAATGGGTCCGGGACAGACTCACGCCCGCGCCGCATCAGGCGCAAAGATGCAAGTCGGAGTCGGAGCCGAAGGCGCAAGCGCTTCCAGAAGTTGCTCTGGGTGAAACAGTCATGTAGGCCTCGCACGCCATCACTGCCATCACCTCTACTGTTCTCAGGACCACTCACACGCGCCTTCGTGCAGACCCCGACAACTACACGGACCAAGCAACGTTCCTCGAGAACCTCCAGCGGAACCCGCGGGTCCAGCCCTACGACTTTTGGCCCTTGGTTGCCGACTCAACTGTCATTGTGCAGCACGTCTGTTCAGTCATAATCTTCGTTGTGTGTTTCGTCGGCATCTTTCAGGAGCGCGTCAGCCCCGTGTCGGTGGTCGGATGGGGCAGCTTCGCAACCTTCCTTGGCTGGCTATTATGGGACTATTGGGTGACGCAAGAGACCCAAGGCGGTACCGCCGACGCTGCTGCCAGGGGGAGGATGATGCGTGGTGAACGCACCTACGAGGAATATCGCCGTCCGCATCGGCATAATTCGAGTCTTGGCCAGCCAATACTCAATACCAGCACTGCCAGCATCTCGAGCACGTCCAACTTCCCCTCAGCCGCTAGCTCGACGTCGAACCTCCTCCAGGACTATCACCACAACCTACGTCGACAGTCTTCCCAACCGCCTTCTAACGCCAACAATAACTCGAGCAACCGCAACAGCCTCCTCATTCCGGGTCACCCCTACTCCCGCTCCGCCAGCTCCATTAACTCCGCGACCTCCCAACCGGGCGCCAGCGCCCACAGCCAGACCAGCAGCGCAGCGACCGCCAGCCGTCCCAACGCAGATGGCTACCAACCCGAAAAACCACCCTCTCGCCGCACGCCTACCTCCTCTCCGGCCCGCGGCTCCAGCTCCGATGGGCGCAGCACCCCCGCTGGCGGACGGGCCTACGTACGCGTGAGCACCATCAAGTCAGCCATCCTCATCTACTTCACGCTGCTCGGTCTATCACCCATCCTCAAGTCGCTCACGCGGTCGACGTCGTCCGACAGCATCTGGGCCATGTCCTTTTGGCTGCTGGCTATCAACATATTCTTCTTCGACTACTCGGGCGGGCCGCAGCGGCCCTCTCCCGCCGCAGCGGCCGCCGCGGCGGGATCATCACCGCAACAACACAACAGGACATTGAAGCGCATGCCCGTCGCCTCGCTGTCCACCAACGCCGCGCTCATGGCCTCGACGGTGCTCGCCAGCCGCCTGCCCTCGACGGGCCAGGTCTTCAGCCTCACGCTGTTCAGCATCGAGGTGTTTGGCCTGTTCCCCGTCTTTCGGCAGTACGCTCGCCACCGCAGCTGGCGGTATCACGTGATTCTGACGGTGCTGCTCGTGCTGGGCGCTGGCGGCGGGGTAGGCATGGTGCTCGGGGACGCCGAGGGCGCCGGGAAGGAAGGAGGCTGCTGGAGCTGCTGGCCATGGAAGAGAGGGCTGCTGGGCATGGTGGTGGGCTGCCTGATCTCGGCCGTGGCCATGGGCGGGTGTAGCTGGTGGCTGATAGGCCTGCAAAAGTACAAGAACGAGATCTACGGCCCGTGGGACCCGGCCAGGCCCATCATTATCAGTCGGAGGCACTGGGATGATGAGTAGCTCGTTCTGTTATGTAGGTTTATAATTCATGTGGTTGTTTGGTATTCTGAAATGATGCGCCTCAAAGTTAGACTCGAAGCTTCGCTTGGGGATAGTCATGCTTATTATCTTGATGAGGGATGCATCGTGGATACACCTCACCTTCGAGCAGATTGTATGCATGACCAGCCCTAATAAGCTAAAGTTTTTGGGCAAAAACCTAACAAATCAGAAACAGCGTCAGTGGTTTAGTGGTAAAATCCATCGTTGCCATCGATGGGCCCCGCGTTCGATTCGCGGCTGACGCACATTTTTAACCTTGCTTTTTATTCCAATCTGGCCCTTCTTTTTTTTTTTCCCGTCATCTGTATCCTAGCATGAAATGAATTGGGCTGCTCCCAAAACCTGGGTATACTCTCACCGTACGGCTGAGACACCTCCCGCTTGGGTCAGTCAGTCTACATCATTCCAACCATGGAGTCAAGCAACAGCCTCATTCATTCAACGGCGGTCACAAAGCTACAGAAACACCAAGGTTAAGCGAGTAAGCAGGGCTTCTCATTGTTTTACCATTGCCTCGCTTTCACTGTGATTTAATAATGCCCAATAACTGGGGGGTCAGACCGGAACGCCATTCAAGAAGACGGGGCAACACACGTCATGTCAAGTCAGCAAAACCGGGGAATCGTAAGGACCAAAGCTCAGAAGGGAAGGATTTAGAAGAAAAGAGATGAGGAAAAAGCAGAACTCCAACCCACAATGTTCATCATCCATCCGAGGAAGGAAGAAAATGAATCAAGATTCGTCATCAAGAAAACAGGAGAACAAAACGGTAATAACCCACCACTTTCCCGTCTTCTTCCAAAGCTCCATGCCCGTTCAAATGCTCCCTTGCCCTTCTTCCAGCTGTCCCAAGCGAGAAGCTCATCAGCGACTCTACTCCTTCCCTTCATCACGATCCATGCCCATCCATCTATCATCACGGTCATCAAGATTCCCATGCCCTACCCCCCAAGACCTCAGCGCACGCAAGAAGAAACCCAGCACCACCATGCTAAAAGAGCAAGCAAGCTGTATCCCTAAGATTTCTCCGTATGGCCATCATTGAGCAACATCTCCAGCACGATCTGGCCGCCGGGCACCTCCGGGTGACTCATGCAAATCTTGACTGTCCCCTTGGAGTCCGGCTGCGGCGGGGGCTGCAGGGACGCCGCGCCGGGCCCACTGGTGCTGACGCTGCCCGTAGGCCCTCTAAACCCGTAGTCCAGGCAGCGCACATCCCTGCCGGCAATGATCTGCCTGAGCCTGCCGTTCTCGGCGTTGCGGACCTCGACGTAGTCCTCGTTGAAGAGCAGCAGGTACTGGCCATACATGGTGGCGGCGCGCGCCTTCTTCTGCTTGCCCGAGTACTCCATGATGAGGGTCCGGCTGATCTCGCCGTGCTTGTCCACGTAGACGGCGCAGTCCTCGTAGGTTAGCAGAAACTCCTGGTCGTTAAGCTTGAACATGCCCAAGGGATGCGGCTCCTTGATGCGCGACGCAATGTTGGCGATCGCCGGCAGGCCCAAGTCGCGAGGGATCGATTGTGTCACCTTCTTATCGAGAGTCAGCAGTTCAAAACCCTTGGCAGTGGCCACGGCGATGTACGTCTGGAACAGGTTCAGTGAGAAGCACTCGGTGGGGATGTAGAACTCGTCAAAGTCACGGAAGGACTCGGTCGTGCCACTCCCGCCGCCGCGCCGGCCGCCAAATAGCCTCGATTTCTTCTCGGTGGATTTCTGGAAGACGGGCTCGAGCACCTTGAAGGTGTTGTGCATCCCCTCTTTTCGCTTGTAGAACAGGAGCATCCGGTCCTTCATGCGGGCTGTGGCAAAGAAGGCAACGTCCTTGGCCAGTCGTTGGGGTGCCCGCCGAGGGTTGTCGTGGGACGGCGCCGGAAAGTTTGAGACAGGCGCCACCACGTCGAGCGGGTACGAGATCAGTGATCGATCGGCAATCAAAAGGCAGACCGAAAACTCCTCTAGGACGGCGATCTGCGTGACCTTGCTGATCTGGACGGATCGTGTCCATCCTCGGGGATTGGCAGACTCGGAGATGTAAACACCGTAGTCTGTCCCGATGGCAGTAATCGACTTGCCAAATGATGTAAAGGTGCAGGCGCAGTTTACAGTTGCCCTGCACACCGGCGGGGGGCCCCTGCCTGGGCCGTACACGTGCTCCATCTCCCGGATAGCCCTGTCCAGCGGAGTGCCCCTGATAGACACGCTGGGTTGCCTTCCTAGAGGCGACGTGGAATCGTATGCGAAGGCGCCGTCGGAAATGACGCGTAGGCGGAAGGGTTCGGCATTCTGCGCATGCAGTGCTCGCGCGTGCCTGGTCTTGGCCTCGATGATGGCCGAGCACCAAGCCGAACGCTCTTGGGCCGATGATGCATAGAGAGTGTATATCTCGTGACCGAGATGTTTTATCTTGAAAGGATAGATGATCTTGCCGTCATCAGGGGCCGAGGATGTCAATCGAGAGACGGTTGTTAGCGAGCCCATGGAGGAGCTAGTCCCTGTGTGCTCAATCCCAGGGCGATCGTTTCCGTTGGAAGCTACCTTGTTGAGCTGCGTTCCCGAGCCCGTTGCGGCAGTCGTCCGGGTGAGGGGAGCAGTTAAGCTCTTTTGCTTGGCCACAGGGTCGTCGTTCATGCTCTCCAGGAAGAGTAACGGCATTGGGATGGGCTGGGCAGACAGTTAGCAGGCCGTAAATGACTACGTGATTGGCATTGGGCATACCTCTTTTGAAACGTCGTATTTCTTATCGCTCCTCCCGTCCTTGGAGGGTATAGCCTTCGCCAAGATAAAGTAGTGATCAAAAAGAAGAGCGTGTGTGTCTACCCAACGGACGCCTTTCGAGCCCTGCCTCTGGAGCTCGCCTTGTTTCAGTAGTTCTCGCCCGAGGTGATCGAGATTCAAAACGGATTGGAAGCCAGGCCGCAGGACTAGCATCGTCTGCAGCTCCAGCAGCTCAACCTGCTTGGTCATCTCCGCAACCTTCTCGTCACACTCATGGGTGACCTTCTTGATCTCCTCAAGAGCCCTGTCGAGATTGGTTTTCTCTTCACTTTCTCCCGGCATGTTCTTTTTGACCGTTTCAAGGAGAAGACCGTATCTTTGCAGCCGGGTGATGGGCGCCTTCACAAAGGTTGTCCACTCGAGACGCTTTGAGCGCTTGTGATCACGGACGACATCCAAGAACTGGCGGAACAGCAGGTTCCGAGCCGCCTCTTTCCGGATCAGATACGAGGCATAAGGGAACGAGGAACAGTACTCAATGTAGATCGGCCTGGCTTTGCGAATCCATTCGCGGAACAGGTCGCTGAAGCCGACGATCCAGGGACCCTGCTCCTTTTGCCGGTATTTGAGCTGGGCAAGCAGGTGCTCCTTGTTGATCTGCTGCACAGCATCCACTTTGCCGAACACAGCGTCGAGAAACTTGTCCATCCGGTTCGCGGCGATGATGGGCGGCTGCCAGGCGCGGAGCCAATCCCTATAGAGCAATCGCAGAACATCAAGCTGGTTCATGTAATCCTCCTCACCAGTGACAATCTCGTGCAGTACGTTTTGCCTCTCGACCTCCTTCTTGGGTTTGCTCTTAATGTCCTCCATCGTTACGCCGTGGAAAGTCGCCCAGTCCAGAATCACGACGTCCTCCTCAGACATCATGTTATCCAGGTTCACTTTCTTGAGCGTCCTACCGCAGTGGTATGAGTAGCACCTCACCGGAATGGCGTGGTCATGCAGTCTAGGCACAGCTCCATCGTCCTCGTGCAGCTTCGGCGCATAGCACCCCGACCCGGTTAGCTGCCAGAGCACACCCGAGAGCTCCCCTGACCCGAACTTGACCCATTCTTCCTCGGGAATCAGAATGCCAGCCGCAAACATGGAATCAACTACCTTTGCGGTCAGAATCTCGGCGTCGGCGACGTTCATGGTCGGAACCTTTGAGCAGAAGAGCTTGAGGACGCCTTCTTCAATCGTCTTCCTCTTCAGATCCGGTTCACCCTCGGCCATTTCGCGGACCCAGGAGGTTATACCGCTGAGGGCCCATGGCTCGGCACAACGCTTGATGTCGGCAGCTGTGAGTTTTGAGGGCACAAACTTCTTCCGTCTGCCGGTGGGCAAAGTAATCATATCATAGGCGGCTAGAGATGATGGCGTCGCCGCCTCGTAACCCTCGTACGGCGATCCCTGCTGGTAGGCTTGCAGATGCGGTTGTGACATGTGTTTCATGGCTCGCTTGCGCTCCTCGGATGCATCTGTCCTGGACCGAGCTGGGGCTTGCACGGGCGGCGTCTTGCTATGATCCAGGAGAGATATCGACCTTTCGACGTGCTGCTGGGCGGCATTCTGACCGGGGTACATCTCGTGACCGTCAGGAGGGTAAGGCAGCCTGGTGTCGGTGCTCAGTGAGTAGCTGTGCGAATACGCGGTCCTGCTCGACGGTTTGGCGGAAAGACGGGAGCTACTGTCTGGTTCGGGCGGAAGGGCCGGCAGAGGCCGGTTCGAGAGGCCAGGGTGCCAAAACATCTGGTCGAATGGGTAGTCCTCTTTGGAAGGCGAGTCGCTGCTCTGCCTCGAGTGGACCGACACTTGCTCGTCTCCATCATCAAAGCTCAAGCGGTGATTTTGAGGGGGAAGAAGGCCACCAGTGCCTCCATAGTCGACCGACACTTGAGAGAAGGGCGGGTATTCTGCTGCCTGACTCTGCGGAATAGGCAGAGGCCGTGGAGCGTCACCGGCTGCTGTTGCCGGCGGAGACCCGACTTCGTTCCCATATTGGAGGTTGCCAGCGTATCCCCCACCATACATTCCGAGATCCATTCCACCGTAGTCGCTGTCCGTGCTCGATTGCTCTTCGGTGGGCGGGGGGAGCTGGGATACGTCCGGCGCTGCCGCTGGGGCTGCCGCTGGAGCAGCCGCTGGAGCTGTGGGAGGTTCCATATACGTCGGAAAGGTCAAACCGCCAAACCTGCGATCATCCATGTCATCCTGCATCGCTAGAAGCCCGGCAGCACCCTCGGGGTCGCTCTCTTCGGAATCCCAGTTGTAGGTCGTCGAAATGTCGTTGTTGTTCAGGGCCGAGGAGGCGTTAGAGGGATACCGATTCACCCCCTGATTCGACGTCCTGTCAAACGAGGAAGTCCCATAGCTCCGCGTACTCTCGAAGCCGTCACCTGGGGTGCCGTTGGCGGGAAGGGGACGCTGGCCATGCGGTAATACTCCCAAATCCGAGACAATGTCCTGAATCAAAGTCTCTTGGGTCAGTTGGAGATCAGTATCACCTTGGCCATTTGTCCTCCAGTCGGGCTCTTCGGGCAAATCGTCCATCGGGCGACTGGGAAGCGGGGCGTTGGTTGGGTGCCTCTGGAGCTGTGGGGAGACCTGGCTACGGGTTGGAGGCGACGGCACTGGCGACGGTTGCGACCCGGAACGGGATGCTCGGTTGGCAAAAGAGGTCGGATCTGAAGAGTAATTTGGTCCAACGGGAATCTGGGATTGCACAGGATACGGTATTTGCGCACTCGACGTGGAATAGGAGGGGCTCGGGACGGGGCTAGAGCCGTTGGCAGCATAGGACCCTGAGTATTGTCGGGCGCCGTACCCGGCCGAGTATGTCGGTTCATACTGTGACTGTGATGGTTCGTACTGTTGTGAGACTGTGGAGGGAGGGTATTGCGGACTGTGGAGTGCTGGCTCATATCGCTGTGGAGCCGAAGGCGTCGTCGCTGATGTCGGTTGCGATCCACTGTAGGTCGAAGAGGGTGGGGCGGCGTAGGCCGTTGAGACGGGAGGAGCGGTAGGTGAGGTGTAGCCGCCATAACTGTAGTTGCCGTACCCTGCAACGGTAGAATGCCTTTGGGGGGCAGCAGTGCCGGTGTTCGCATATGCTGCCGGATTGTATGCCTGGGGAGTGTAGCTCGTCGGGGGAGAAGGGTAGGTCGGGCTTGAGGGCGTATACCTCGAGCTAGGACTGGGGTGGTACGGGAGAGAGGTCGACTGTGACCGAGCAAAGTGCTGGGGGTTGTAGGTCGAGTGCGATGGCGGTGGCGGCGGGACTTGAACCGTGTACTGGCGTTGGTAGCCAGTGGCAGCGGTATTCTGAGGGAGGTAGCTTGCACGGTTCTGGGGCGGGCGGGAGTCTGTAGTTGGGCTGCTTATGAAAAGCTCCTCCTCGCCCCTGCCGGTCGTCCCGGTATAGAGAGGTTGGGGCCGTGGCGCGGCTTGGTCGAATAGGCTGGAGTCGTCGCCCCTGTCGAAACTCGGTCTCCGCGCAGGATATGCGACGGGCTCTTGTTGGCCGGAGGGGGGAACGGTGTATTGCGCCGGGGGCACATGGCCGTACCGGCGCGAATCATCGCCGCGGAACGACATGTCGCGGGGTATCAGGAATCGGGATCTGGAATTTCGCAAAGTGATATCTTGACACGGGAGGTGGCAGCGACGGGGTCGGCGGGGGTGGCGCGGCCAGTTGGCTTTCGCACATTCAATGGCACAGGAGCAGAGCTTCTGCCACCGAGACACACGATGGCCGCGGTTCTTCAGTAGTCAATCGCCAGGTGTCTTCCCTAATCCTTTGCGACAGACATGAAAACTTCGAATCTGCTCAGGGATAGGCCACCGCGCAGTTTCGTTCCCAAGACCCGTTGTCGGCTCGCATTCGTCGGTCGAGGGAAAAACGACAGTGGGCTGAGCAGCGCGCTTCGCAAGTTTCGCAGGGTCCAACTGTCCAACGCAGCGGCGGTGGGGAAGGTCCTTTTTCTAGTAATGAGGCTGCATTCCGTCACAAGCGCTTTCACCACTAGTTAATAGACCCCGTATGCAGTTTCTCCAATGATGCCGTGGTCGAATATCTGTCGTCTTTATCAAGTCAACTCTTGGGATTTCCAAGATGGCGACCTGCCGACGTGGGTGACTTAGGCTGAGCCCAAGCTTGGCGATAGACAAGCCACATTCGGGCTGAGGATTTACCCTGAGTATGTAACTTAGCAGAGGCTGGGGCCCCGCGGCCTAGGTCAACGCAAGGGTGGTTCACGCTAACTACGATAGGTAATCAGTGTTGGGCAAACCCCATGATAAGGCAACCAGGGTCTTTTTTGGATGTCGCCTCCATCGATGCTTCCACCGGACGTTTTGGTTCGGTCGAATCGCATACCCAAGAGTGTGGACATTAAGCTTACCACACCTGATTCCTTTGCTGGCTTAATAGACCAAAGGGCCTTCAATCAGCCCTTGTTCGGATGAGAAAGTTTGTTTTTTTAGATCCTTTTTATCGACTAGGCGTTTGTATGCACAAATCTACTCTCATAACAACACTTCCGTTGGGTAGCAAGAAGTATGTACACATCTTCGTACCCTGATTTCCATATTAACCCAGTTGCACAACTTCGTCCCTAACATCAGCAAAGCGCCGGGTCTGCTTGATCGTTGCCCTGAAGCCCTTACCCCCGAATCAGGCTGAGCCGCGCTGGCTTGGCTGCCGGTCTCGGTGTTACATACAAGACGTCCTGGCCAGTCCCATTGTCGTTGCGAACTGAGTCGAGGTCGCACAACCACGTCTGGCCGAATCTACCGCAGCCTGGGGCGGATTACCTAGGCCTGGGCTGACTGGTCGATATCCGATGAGACTGGCGAATTCCCCAACGCAAGTGAACAAGCATCCAGGTTCCGGTGCTCCTGGCTACAGTACTACCGGTAACTCTAACATCGTCCATACCTATTCCCCTAACAGCTGTACAATACAGTACATACTTGAACAGTGACTATCCATTCCTCTAAGACATATCCAGCCCGATCATTGGAAACACATGCAGCATGCGAATTGCGAACTGCTTGAAGGCACGATTGGTCTCCGCATTTCGGCGGGCTTCCTTTTCCTTTCCCTGAACAAAGCATTAGTCATCGGTCCATTCTCCTCCCTTACTGCACCCCATTCCCATCTTCAATGTCACTGCACAGCTGCTTGCTAAGCACTCGAGGCACTGCGAGCTATATCATCGTCCCAAGCCAAGCAAGTATCCGGCCAAGGAGTAAGTGAGAACCGCTGATGAAAGAGAAGACTATGCAAGCCAAGATTCGTCTATAGTGTACAAGCACAAAACCTGAGAATACCATATCAACGGTGAAGTCTAGCTTACCATCCACTTGGAAACCCTCCACTTTGTCTGCTTGCACCGCCGCAAGGTGAAGCTTCAGGGTCAGCCACTGTAAATGTGGAGCCACCTTAAACGTGCTGTGAAAACTGGTACAGTATGGTACCTTAAGGTTATGACGCTGTGACGGCAGTGGTGCGGGGTCATAGAAACCCGCAGACACACCGGCTCGTCATGGTTGAAGCCCCACTTCATAGCAATCCGTGGGCTCCGAACGTTCTTCCTCGGAGTTTTGCTTATCTGCCCGAGCTCCTTTCCCTTCTCTTGAAATATCACTCGTCTTCCCCGTATATTCCTCACAATTCAATCAGTTAGTGAAGCTCGTCCAAACAAACCAATTCGCGCAATCACCGACAAAATGGTCAAGGCCGGTAAGTAACACGCTCTGAATTATACCCCGCCTTCCAGCCTGTGCCCCACGGTTCGGGAGCTTGTGTCCGGGGTTGGGGGGGTTCGAGTGCCCTGGAGACGGCTCGATCGGGCGGGCTCGTCCTTGATCTGGCAAGCAACCTTGACGGACACTCTATCTTTGACTGGATTAGGCCACCAAGGTTCTAGTCATCCAAACCCTGCACCGGGCAGCCGCAGGAGGCGACTGGGAACCAACTAGACGAGTCATTGGCAATCGCTAACATGCATGATTGTTAGTCGCTGTTGTACGTGGTGACTCCAAGATCACCGGCTCTATCGTCTTCGAGCAGGAGTCGGAGACTTCGCCTACTACCATCACCTGGGATATCACCGGCCATGATCCCAATGCCAAGCGAGGCATGCACATCCACACCTTCGGTGACAATACCAACGGCTGCACATCGGCCGGCCCGCACTGTAAGCAGCCAGGGTAGCTTCAGGGAGCTTCTTTGCAGGATTGAGGCTCACTCAGACTTCGCCAGTTAATCCCCACGGCAAGACCCACGGCGCCCCGTCGGATGAGAACCGCCATGTTGGTGATCTTGGCAACATCGAGACGGATGCCCAGGGCAACTCCAAGGGCACCGTGACCGACAAGCTCATCAAGCTCATTGGCCCCGAGAGCGTCATTGGCGTACGTCTTCTTGTGTCGCACAGTTGAGAGCCCAATCGCTAACTGGACTAGCGCACCGTTGTCGTCCACGCCGGCACTGACGACCTCGGCAAGGGAGGCACTGAGGAGTCGCTCAAGACTGGCAACGCCGGCCCCCGTCCCGCCTGCGGTGAGTTGATCTGCTTGCTCAACCATGCCTCTGCCTGAAGCTAACTCTGCACCCAAGGTGTCATCGGCATCTGCCAGTAAACCCACCCCTCGGCTCCAGCCGACGCATAGAAGGGGTAAATTGGCGTGGACAAGAACAGTCGAAAATGCATATGTATTGTACCATCCTCTTGGCCCCGTCCTTTGCTATCTAGAACTTCCTTAGGTAGCGGGGTGAGGAATGCAGTATGCGTCTCTACAGAACTTTAAAGCAGTTAGTTCCATTCTGGGTGCCAAAGAATGCTGAAGCTTGAGCAACGACACACCTCGGTTGAGATGCCGGCATATGGTGCCAACGCGGGGTACTATAGGAGAGTAACCGGTAGTGCAGTATATCCAGTGCAACAGCAAAAGCGTTCGGTTCGCTCCGATAGCCCTGAACCGAGAGACAATTCATATCAAACGTGAGGTATGTATCCGTATGTATTTACATACACATCAGATATCTGGGGCCAACAATTGAAGGTGTTAAAGGGTGGGGTCCGTTCCGAGTCTCGGCTAGCCACTGAGTGGAAGCACTGCCCCTGAACGCCTCTGGGGAAAGCGGTTACCCCACAGTCCCCAACTAAGAACAATCCAAAATTAAATCAATGAAAGCTGTCAAAAAGACCACGGTTCACAACTTCACCCGCCTCCTTCAAGTTGTTTCTCCCCGATACAGTATCGCTAACGCTAACACTTTGTCTTCCCCTTCACTCGACGCTCAACGCCTCTAGCACGGTATGTACTTCCATCTACCTTCTATATTCAATGGGTTCTGTGCCTTCCCGGCCACTCGGTTGGTGGAATGTGAGACAGGGTCTGAGAACCGTGATGGCAGCTATGGTATGGGCCCCGCGACCTGACCTTCTAGGCTCTCTGGACATGCCATTGTCTGCACCAGTGAACTTGTGAAGGAGGCCGCAGCCTCGAAACCCAGGTATTCTCTAGGCACAGTTCACCCCCTGCCAGAGGAGGTTTACTCGCCTCACAGCCTGTCGTGTGACTCGAACAGGACTCGGGACAGCTGGTGTGGAATTCAGCTAATCGAGATGGACAGAGGCGGCATCCTCGACTTGTAGTGGCTCTCGCCTTTTCAGCCCGCTCCTGTCCCCCCAAACGCCAATTCTCTCATCATGGCCAAAAGCTTCATCGCCAATGTCAAGTCGGTGCTTAGCGGAGACACCCTGATCCTTACCAGCCCAAACAACCCAGCAGCCGAGCGGACGCTTTCGCTTGCTTACGTTGCCGCTCCCCGCCTGAGCAAGGATGGCGATGAACCTTTTGCATTCCAATCCCGCGAGTTTCTGAGGAACTTGACAGTTGGGAAACCCATCAAGTTCAGCGTCTCGTGTAGGTAGATTATCCCCATCCGGCCGATGGCTTACACAACTTCGTGCCCATCGATATCAAAGGAGCATACTTACCTGGCTGCCGCACCAGATACCATTCCAAACTCGGGACGAGAGTACGGTACCGCTGTTCTTCAAGATGGGACGGAGCTCCCGGACGCATCAATCAGGGCTGGCTGGGTCAAGGTCCGAGAAGATGCCGGCAGAAAAGAGGAGTCCGAGGAGATTCTTGAGAAGCTTGAAAAGCTCCGAAGTCTAGAGACGCAGGCGAAGGATGAGGGCAAGGGCCTTCATGCGGGAACCGGCGGCGTGATTGAGGTCCAGAACGACCTCGGCGGCCCGGAATTTATGAACGAGTGGAAGGGCAAGACGGTTGACGGAATCATCGAGCGCGTCATTAGCGGTGACCGCCTACTCGTGCGTCTGCTCCTCAAGGACAAGAAGCACTGGCAGGTCATGACTCTGATTGCCGGCATCCGAACCCCTTCCACTGAGCGCGTCAACGCCTCGAACGGACAGACTCAGCCGGCTGAGGAATTTGGCAACGAGGCACGTGCCTTTGTCGAGCAGCGGCTTCTCCAACGTCAGGTGAAGATCAAGATTGTGGGGGCCAGCCCCCAAGGCCAGCTTGTCGCCACCATCCTACACCCTCGCGGAAACATTGCCGAATTCCTCCTACAAGAGGGCCTTGCTCGCTGTAACGACTTCCATTCTACAATGCTTGGCGGCGACATGACTGCCCTTCGGGCTGCCGAGAAGCAGGCACAAGAGGCTCGTCGTCGTCTCCACAAGGGCTATGTTGCCAAGGCCACCGATAGCAAGGAAAGTGATGCGATTGTCACCAAAATCATTGGTGCCGATACCATTATCGTCCGGAACAAGGCCGGAGCTGAGAAGAGGATCAGTCTGAGCAGTGTCCGCGGACCGCGTGCCGGGGAAGCTTCCGAAGCACCCTTCAGGGATGAAGCGAAGGAGTTCTTGAGGAAGAAGCTTATTGGGAAGCACGTCCGTATCTCCGTGGACGGCACCAAGGCCGCCACTGAGGAGTTTGAGGCCCGAGATGTAGCTACCGTTACCCAAGGGGGTAAGAACGTTGGCCTACAACTAGTGCAGGAAGGCTACTGCACAGTCATCAGGCACCGGAAGGACGACACCGACAGGGCGCCCAACTATGACGAGTTGCTAGCGGCACAGGAGACGGCCAAGGAGGAGAAGAAGGGCATATGGTCTGGAAAAGCACCCAAGGCGAAACAGTATGTCGACATGTCAGAGAGCGTCCAGAAGGCCAAAATCCAGCTGTCAACACTGTCGAGGCAGCGGAAGGTCCCCGGAATCGTCGATTTTTGCAAATCCGGTTCTCGCTTCACTATCCTAATCCCCCGAGAGGGCGTCAAACTCACGCTTGTACTTGCTGGTGTTCGAGCTCCTCGCGCTGGCCGCACGCCACAGGAGAAGGGAGAACCCTTCGGCCAGGAGGCTTTGGATTTGGCCAATAGGCGCTGCAACCAAAGGGACTGTGAGATCGATGTACATGATATCGACAAGGTTGGTGGCTTCATCGGCGATCTATACGTGAATCGCGAGAGCTTCGCCAAGATCCTTGTGGAGGAGGGCTTGGCATCTGTTCACCAGTATTCGGCCGAAAAGTCGGGCAACGCTACTGAACTATTGGCTGCTCAGAAGCGCGCAAAGGAGGCCAGGAAAGGCCTGTGGCACGACTGGGACCCGTCTCAGGACGCGGAAGAGGAGGAAGAGGCAACGCCTGCGGAGTCTGCAGACGCTTCCATCACGATCGAGAAGAAACCCGAGGACTACCGGGATATAATCATCACCAACATCGACGCCAACGGCAGGATCAAGGTTCAAGAGATTGGTAAGGGCACAGACGCCCTGGAGGCATTGATGGAGCAGTTCAGGCAGTTCCACTTGAATCCCACCAACAGCGCGACCATCAAGGACGCGCCAAAGGCAGGAGATTATGTGGCCGCCCAGTTCTCGGAAGACGGCGAATGGTACAGAGCCCGAATCCGCTCCAACGACCGTGCTGCCAAGGTAGCCGAAGTCGTCTACATCGACTACGGCAACTCGGAGAAACAACCGTGGTCCAAGCTCCGGCCGCTCAACCAGCCGCAGTTTACCGTCCAGAAGCTGAAGGCTCAGGCTCAGGATACTCAGCTCTCGTTTGTCCAGCTTCCGGCGGCTCCCGACTACCTCAGCGATGCCATCAACTACCTTTACGAGCTCACCGAGGGCAAACGGCTCGTCGGCAGCTTTGACTACGTCGACACCAAGGAAGGGCTGAGCTACCTTACTATATTTGACCCCAAGGCCGAGGGCGCCAACAAGGCCACTGAGTCCATCAACCGCAAGATGGTTCTGGAAGGTCACGCCCTCGTTGCGCGGAAGCTGAAGGCTTGGGAGCGGAGCAAGGTCTTTGAGCCAGTGCTCAAGAACCTCAAGGAGGCTGAGGCTGAAGCTAAGGAAGCACGGCGCGGTGTCTGGGAGTATGGTGATATAACTGAGGACTGAAAAGGCCGGCAGAAAGACCAGGTTATGGCTGCTGTGATTATTGTATGGGAGACTGGAAAAGGCGGACGGACTGGTTCAGGCTACTTGCATATCCTTATCCTAAGATCATGAGTGTGGGTAAAAAATTCAAAAGCACTACGTGTTAGTTCATGGTGTGGACCAGCATCGTCTTATCATTTTCTGTGATGCGCACCATTCAGGTACAGACGTTCTCCGCGCCGAGGAGAAGAAGCTGCTGTGGAGAGCTTTCTTTCCCGGCTATTCAGGGGAGTGGATCCCTTCTCATTGCCCAATCATGCGATGGGATGTGGCACGCCCAGTCTCAGGAGCTCGTAGTCGCGCGGCGCGCTGAGTAAGGGGCATTGAGACCAAAAGATCGGCGACAATGTCGGAGGTGCTGTCAAACCCAAGCGAGGATTGCGGTGCTTCATCGGAGTCTGGGAGTGCAGGTCGGGACACAGGGCATGGATGGCCTGAGTCTAAAGAAGAGACTGACGGTTGTCTTGTATAGTGCAGAAATATACAGAGTAACAAAGTGTTTAGAGTCATTTCTCCCATTCCAATAAGCTAAGAAAACAATGGAATGACAATACTTGTTCAGGGGTATGTTGGGGCTTCTGGAGTCGTGTGGAGGCGGCGGGCGGCGATGAAGAGATGAGGAATGGGGGTCTGCTATGACGAAGGTACCCCGCTAAAAGCTCGCGGCATATTATTACCCGCGAGACGGCTTGCCCCCGATCACAAAAGTTCATCATACCACTCAACATCCCACTTCTTTCGACAGATTTGTTAACAAAACTTCACGAGAGAATTTGCTCGTTGAACCGATCCCTAGCCTACTACTCATCACTCGACTCAATCGTCTGCTCCTTTGCCCGACATGGCCAACTCTCTCGAGCAGCTCAAGGCCACTGGCACTGTACGTTGATTTTACCCCGCCAAAGCCCCTCCTTGCGATGGTGGCGATGTCTTCGGTTGGCCTCGGACTCGCTCTCGTGGGCCATTTCTCATGCATGTTGCTAACGACGTCTTTGACTATAGGTTGTTGTCAGTGATTCTGGTACGTTTGACAATGGACCGTTTGCTTTTGTACTGTACAGGGCCAAGCTAACATGATATTCCAGGCGACTTTGCATGTGAGTATAGTCCCGAATAGAGACGCCAATGCCCAATCATGCTGCTGATTTGCTCACGCTGCCACAGCCATCGGCAAGTACAAGCCTCAGGATGCTACCACCAACCCCTCCCTCATTCTCGCCGCGACCAAGAAGCCCGAGTATGCCCCGCTCCTCGATGAAGCAATTGCAAGGGCCAAGAAGGAAGGCGGCACCATCACCGAGCAGGTCGACCGGGCGCTCGACCATCTCTTAGTCCAGTTTGGCAAGAAGATTCTCGAGATCATCCCCGGCAAGGTCTCGACCGAAGTCGATGCCGCCTTCTCGTTCAGCACCAAGCAGTCGGTCGACAAGGCCCTGCACCTCATCAAGGCATGATATCTTTGTCAAGGGGTCACGAATGCCAGCTAACCGTTCGTACACAGCTCTACGAGGCTGAGGGCATTTCCAAGGACCGTGTGCTGATCAAGATCGCCTCGACATGGGAGGGCATCAAGGCGGCTGAGATTCTGCAGCGGGACCACGGGATCAACTGCAACCTGACGCTGATGTTCTCCCTCGTCCAGGCCATCGCGGCCGCCGAGGCTGGGGCCTTCTTGATCTCGCCCTTCGTCGGCCGCATCCTCGACTGGTTCAAGGCGGCCACCAAGAAGGAGTACTCCAAGGAGGATGACCCGGGCGTTGCCAGTGTCAAGAGCATCTTCAACTACTACAAGAAGTACGGCTACAAGACCATCGTCATGGGTGCCTCGTTCCGGAACACGGGCGAGATCACCGAGCTTGCGGGCTGCGACTACCTGACCATCTCTGTAAGCTTTATTCTTTTCTTTCTCGCTTCAAAACGGATTCTAGTATAGTCAGTAAAGCTAACGCGCCCACCACCAGCCCAACCTGCTTGAGGAGCTTTTGAACTCGACTGAGCCGGTGCCCAAGAAGCTTGACGCGGCTGGCGCCGCCTCGCTCGACATTCCGAAGAGGTCGTACATTAACGAGGAGGCCAACTTCCGCTTCGATTTCAACGAGGACCAGATGGCCGTTGAGAAGCTCCGGGAAGGCATCAGCAAGTTCGCGGCCGATGCCGTCACCCTCAAGGACATCATCAAGTCCAAGCTGGAGTAAACGGTGGCAGCGAAATCAATAAAACATGTTACTGGGTTTGGAATTCGGCATGACTTAGAATGAGTGGGTATGCTCTAGGTACGGGTAGAATGGGTTATTGTGGGGCAAGAATGATTGCCCATTCACAGTCATGTCATGGTCCATGTACTAATGGCAATGTGATACACGCGATGCCATAGCTGCTGGGCAACGAAGGGTGTTTGACTCGCTCAATGATGGACAATGGCCGTTCAGTGCTATATATTGGCTTGTGCCTTGCATTCTAATCTGTCACAGCTAGATCAACTTTTACATCAACCCCTTGATCCAACCCAACCCTCAAATGCTGAGGAAGAATACGGTAGAGCCACCTCCGCTGTTCAACCGTGCTTTCCGCCCTTCAATATATACCCAAGTAGATACTGCTTGGTGTTAATGTCCCAGGCCCCTCACCAGACCCAGCCCTCTAGCCAAGCCATCCACTTCCATGGTATCAGTCCCCAAAGGCAAACGACCTACCGATGCTAGACCAAAACGCATGCCCAACCCCCAACCCTACTCCTCGTTGAAAAGAAGACCACAAAAACTCCCATGTGTAAATGACAACAGGATTACAACGACAGAAACACGCCCCAACTAATTCAAGAACACTCAACCTGCTCAACCCGCCACAGCACTCCGCCTTCCCCTTCCCCATCCTCCTTAGATCCCGAATTCGATACAGCGGCAACGGCCTCAATGACGAGCGCAGAAAGCTGCCTGCCGTGTCCGCACCCGGAGTCGAGGCCAAAGGCGTAGCGCAACCCTGTCGGCTTTTGCTTTTGCTTTTGCTTTTTCTTCTTCTTGTCCTTGCCAGTGGCATTCGGCGGGGTTATGTCGACGTGCAGGTCCGCTTGGAGGCCGGCTTTGGCGTCGTGGCCGTAAATTACTAGCGTTCTTTGGGACGGGTGGATGGAAGGGTGGTTTTGGTAGCGGTTCCTGGGATGGTGTTAGTGGTTGGCTGGTTTGTTGAGATGGAAATGGGTCGTTTAAATGGTGGTGGATTATAGTATAGAGGATGGGATGAGAGGGGATCGTGCGTGTTCAAATAAGGATGGAAGGTCGGGGAGACGGGATGGAAGGGGGAATGACAGCGAAAGAGGATTGTGAGGATAAATGATGATAGATGTAGTGAGGTGTGTGAAAGTGTTTCAGAGGCAGGAGGAAGCGGAAGGGTTCAAAAAGACTAGGGAAAGCATACCATGCGTGGCTCCACGGCTCACCGTTCCGGCCGTCAACGGGTACGGCAACGGCGTCGATTTCAACATCGGACTCTTCATTGTCGTAAGTCTCAACACCGCCGTCCTTCCCGGCTTGTTTGCCTTTGTTAGTGCGCGGGTACACCAGACTCCGCATGTTCATGACAGCCCACGGATCCTGCTTCTCCAGTGGCACACCGGGAACCAGCCCCGCGTGGACTACCGCGATGGTGCCCGCGTTGAACGGCGGCAATTTCGCGTCTGGGAGTCTGGGGATGCGGAGAATGACGGGAAGGGAGCGGAGCCAGGACAACTGGGCCCTCGAGAGGGACTTGGCAACCTTGCGGGCGTGGTCCTTTTTGCGATATGCTTCGGCCTCATCTCCTTCGTCATTGTCGCTGAGGACGGTGTCGGTATTGCCCTCACCCTCGCCATCGCCCTCGTCGTTCCCTTGGTCCTCTTCCCCGTCCCGCCCGTCGGCCCCAGACCAGGCGTCTGCCGATATGCGGTGCATCTCCCTCGCAGCAGCCAACACCCTGTCCTCGTGATTCCCACGCACCGCGCTCGCACCAAGCTGCATGGCAAGCTGGACCACGCCGCGGTTATCCGGACCCTTGGTGATCATGTCACCAACGAGGACGAGGTGGTCCCCATTCCTGTTGTCAAAGTTCAATTTCCGAAGCAGCGCCTTAAGCGCAGCTGCATTGCCGTGCACATCACCGACGACGACGAGTCTTCTACCTGGCCTTTGCCTTCCTCCGGGGGTCTCTGTCGAAGGGGCAGAATACCTCGGGACATGTTCTGGAGCGAGTTCCTGTATGAGCGTAGGCGGGTCATCCCTAAGAGGCGGGTGCTTGTTTGTCCCGTAGGCCATTTTCGGGTAGTCCTGAAAATCTCCAGAGTCTGGGACCTCTGGGTCGCCTTCATCGCCGAGCGGCACCTGTACCTCTGAAGCTCCTCCTGCAGCCTGAGGGCCATGGTGGGGCACTGGCGCGGTTTCCGCTGTCCACGACGTCATGTCGGGGTCCTTTTGAGGTAACATCGAGGGTCCGAATGGACGCATGCTAGTGAGCTGCCGCATCCCGGGGAAATGGCTTGTGAACCAGCATAGCGTTAAGAAAAAGAACCCGCCGAGGAACAAGAGCATGGGACGCTGCGTTCTATGACGGCGAGGGATGGCACACCTGATTTCATGAGGCGCCATTGCAGTGTGGTCTCGCTTGTACTCGAAGAGGAAAAAAAGGTATTATGCCCAAAAAAGGTACCTTATTTAATTTGTTGTAGTGTGGGTTAGAGGGATGGGCATCTTTCCACGGCGACATGCCTGTCCTGTTCCCTTGTTGAAAGTAAAATGTGGACGGTTTCGACGAGCCGATGAATTGATGAAAGTCAGACCTCTATAACCAATGTCTCGAAACTCCTTTGCCGTCGCCATGACGCGGCGAAGGCCGCTGTGGATCTCGGATCCCCGCTGTGCCCCGGGCTTTGTTTCCGGTGCCGCTTGGCATGTGCCATGATCACAAGACATGACTTGCAAAACCCGCCAGTACTTTTTGAATCTCTCGTGTCCTTACATTCCCAACATCGAATCCCATCAGCCTGCCCGCTCCTAAAAGCCATGCTATGAGCCTGGATCTAGGCAGGTCGGGGGTTCCATTGTATTGTACAATATATAGTGACTAAATCCGCCTTTTGGTCCGGCTAGCGGAAGCTCCGGACTCCTGGCAACCGGATTAGTCCGGCATGACTTGGAAGGCTGGCGTTTTGGTTTCGCGGGCAAACCGCCCGAGCATACCATTGCGCTCCCTCTCGCCTATTATTGCCGTGAGTGGGCACCTTGCCGTTGTCATGACCGGTTGGACGCATTTCCGGTAGCAGCAGCAGTCGCCGCCCGGTACTTCTCGTTCTCTACCTCCCTCCAATCTTTGGGGTCCTTGTTGTTACCGTCCGTCTCACCCCGTGTGCCAGCAAAAGCCGACTTGCCCGCGTAGAGCTGATAGCCCTCGCCCGTTGTGTCCGTCTGTTCGAGTTGGCGGAAGGCGATGGGCTGGTTGCCCCGAAACCGCTTGCGCATGTCAATCATGCCGCGGCGGCATTCTCCAAACCCCTTTTTGAGCTGCTGGCACTTGAGCGGGAGGGTGCTGACGAGGGGTTCGCGAAGACATTCGGCGGCTGTGTGACGCTGGACCAAGACACATTCGGATTCCTGGAGGCATTGCGCCAGCGCGGCTCCTTTGGGGCACTGTTAGTCCTGGGCAATTAACCACAGAGAAAGATGCAAGGTTACGCACGTATTTCTTTACATGAGCTCGGCATTGCTGGTTGCTGTGGCTGCTGCAAGCGAGTGATTGCAGTGTCGTGGGTGGAGAGAGGTTTGGCACTCGGGTGATTGATCAAGAGCTCTAGCCGCTTAGCGGCGTGAGCGCCCTATACTCCAGCAAGGACACTGCCGATTGGTCCTGATTTTTGGGTCCGTTATCCACTCTATAGAGCACGTTACACAGACGCCTCGCAGTGAAGCACCCACCAATCGACCTGCAAGCTAACGTTAACTTGCCAATAATTGAAACACGGCACCTGATGGCTGGGCTGCACCAGATTCCTGCAGTTTCAACGAGAAGGCACATGTAGCATACAATTTAGCCACACCCACTCGACAGCATTGCGGCCAGAATCAGGCACCAAGGGCGAAGCAGTTGAGGCAGGCACAGCTGACCAACGGATTTGCATGTGACAGTTGTGACCAGTGACATCACAACGCTTCGCTTCTTCAACGTTTCCCTCGCCAACAAAGCAGCCCAGCAACGCCCCAATTTGGAAACACCCCGGTTCCGACATGGGTCTAATCGCAACGGCCGGCGGGTTGCAGATCTCTTGTCCTTCAACACTTGGAGATGCGTAGGAATTTGTCGTTTGCACCCCAGCAAGCCCGACGTGAACATTCGAGATCAAAAGAAAGATACTTGGCATCGATGACGAGGTGAACGGACCCCTTGGGATCTTGTCAATATGCCCGTCCCGTTCATCGGGCGACTCAACCTGTGAGACGATAGAAAAGCCACCATCTCATGCCCCGATCTCCGTGCTGATCTCGTTTGCCCGTTCCGCAGCGCCGAATATGCCGCCCTTGTCGCGTCGTTCTTGCTTGTAGGCCTCGAGGCTTTCATCCGCATCTTCACTCTTGCTCTACGTGAGGTCCATTTTGCCCAGCAACCGCCAGTCCGTCTCATCTAACATGGCACAGCACCATGGCTGCTCGAGCTGTTCTACGGCATATCCCGACGGCTGTTTAACAGACTAACGTCGCCGCAACAAAAGAGAGCAGAACAGAGGAGGAAGTGTATGCTTTTACCTACTGTCTCGAAAGCGAGGACCTGATATGGAACCGAGTACTGACCCGAGTAGCCATCTCGAGCTCAATCCGCAATGCGTCCGACTTTGTCGATCTCTGCGCTACCTTTGGGTACACAGCCGAAGAACACGTGGTACAGACCGAGGATGGGTACCTGCTTGGCTTGCACCGGCTGGCATGGCGCAAAGGAGAGGAGATGACCAAAGTCAACAGCGGTCCGAGAAGTGTCAAGAAACGCGTCGTGTACCTGCACCACGGCCTGTTGATGAACAGCGAAGTGTGGGTTTGCCTGACGGACGAACACCGCGCCTTGCCATTCGTCCTTGTCGAGAGGGGATTCGATGTCTGGGTAGGCAATCATGTAGTAGAGAATGGCGAATTCGTGCTGACGACGATAGCTTGGGAACAACCGGGGCAATAAATACTCCAAGAAGTCGATCCGCTACTCGCCACATTCCCTCGAGTTCTGGAACTTCTCCATCGACGAGTTCGCCTTCCACGACATACCTGACAGCATCAGCTATATCCTCGAGACCACAGGCCAGCAGTCCCTCTCCTACATTGGCTTCTCCCAAGGCACGGCTCAAGCCTTTGCCAGCTTGGCCGTACACCCCAAGCTCAACGACCAAGTCAACGTCTTCATCGCCCTAGCACCCGCCATGTCGCCGGCGGGGCTCTCCAACGGCGTGGTCGACACACTTGTGAAGGCCTCGCCGCAGGTCCTCTTCCTGCTCTTTGGCCGGCGCTCCATTCTTAGCTCGGCCGCCATGTGGGAGTCGCTCCTCTACCCGCCCCTTTTCACCAAGCTGATCGACCTCGGTCTGTCGTTCCTCTTCAATTGGCGCACCCAAAACATCAGCACCTCGCAGAAACTCGCCGCCTACCCCCACCTTTACTCCTTTACCAGCACCAAGTCGGTCGTGCACTGGTTCCAGATCATCCGCACTAAGTCGTTCCAGATGTACGACGATGACGTCCACCCTCCCATCATCACTCCGCTTTCGTCATCCACCAGCAGGCGGTACACAAAAGTGGCGCGATACCCCACCCGCAACATCAAGACGCCCATCGTGTTGGTCTATGGCGGCTCGGATTCGCTAGTGGACATCAAGGCTATGCTCAAGGAGCTGCCGAGTCAGACAGTGGCTAACGAGGTGCCGCACTATGAACACCTGGATTTTCTGTGGGCGAGGGATGTGGCCGAGATGGTGTTTGACCACGTATTTGACGCCTTGGAGAGCTTTACTGGAGCTGAGCATACCAAGGAGGAGTATGAGCGGTACCGGATCAAGCGAGAGACTTCGTCGCTGGGAACGGGGAAGGGGGTTGGCATCGGTGTCGGTGCGCGGAGGGGCAAGGGGCTACTGCTTGAGCTGCATCAGCAGCCGCATGGTCGCGGCCATACGCGGGGATTGAGCAGCGATATCAACGACAGCGATGTCAGCACTGCCGTGGAAGGTGGGAGTAACAACGACGAAGAGGGAGACGGTGGTGCTGTTGAAGGTGTCTCGGCTGCCGGGCCCGGCGCTGAGACTGGCACGGTACAACAGCAGCAGCAACAGCAGGCTGCAGGAAGGGGTTTAACGGCTAGCCCGACGCCCTCAGTGCTCCAGCAGCAGCAGTTCCGTGACAGGCACGAAACACGCATCCCCTCGCCCACCAGCGGACGGTTTGGCATCGCCCGCCCGCGCAGCGCGCGCAGCAGTCTTAGCAGCTTGCCGGACGAGTTTGTCGGCCCTGCTGCCGTGGCGGCCCAGATTCAGGCCTACACCCAGACCCATCCCGGCCAGGGCAGCGGCACCAATCCCCCCGGCCAGCAGCATCATATGGTGACCGCCCCTCCGGTCTCGCCGCCTTCTTCTCGGCATGGCCCTCCCGCGCAGCAGAAGACGATGAGGTTCGGCGAGGCCGCCGCTGTGTCGGTGCCGGCGAGCCGCGGGAGGAGTGCGAGCGTGGGTGCTGCTTCAACTATCAGCGGCGGGAGCGATCTCGCGGTTGCCGTTGGTGCCGGTGCCGGTGTCGGTGTTGGTGCTGGACATGGTGGCAGCGGGGGGGGCCTAACTACCCCGCACACTACTGCCGTCACGCCGCCGCCTAAGAGGAGGGGCACGGCGGGCGGAAGTCAGATCGCTCTTAGTGAGTCGTTGAGAGGAGGCAGGGGGATTAGCTTGGGAGCTAGTACGTTTTGAATTGTCCTCTCACTGATCTGGTGTGTCGGGGTTGGGATGGTTGTCGGAGGCTTGGCTGGGATGCTGACTTTGATTCCTCGATATTAGGCAAAGCTGTTGGCGGAGTTACCACGAGCGGCGCCGAGGCAGGGCTGACGAGCCCAGGGGGTACAGCTCGAGCTGGGAGTCCGGAAGAGGTCAAGGGGAGTCCGTTAAGGAGGAGTCAGGTGGTGAAGAAATGAGGGCATGTCATGTCTGCATTTGCATACCGACGTACGGGTAATGGATGGGCATTGTGTGGATAGGGGGTAGGACTTGGCAGTCGCAAGGAGAGTGTTATCGGCCGAGTCTTGATTGGAAAGGGAAGCTGGTGATGGCAAAAGTCGGCGTTCGACAGATTGGATAGATATGCATGGGGTTGCATCAGTGTGTAGTTTCTGCGAGGTTGGGGTGTAGGTATAGGGGTTAGATGCATGATACTGTACCCAGGGACGATTTGGGAACCGTGGTGAGATGGCCGAGGCTCGGGAAAGCACAAGTAAGAAAGGGGTTGAGTATCGCCGTTAGGTTATGGCCAACTTGATAGCGTTGTGACAATCAGGAGTTCAGCCATAATTTACATTGAAGAGTTGGAAGATGGAAATTGACCCAATCATGGGCCAGTGTGCAGCAAGCAGTGAAGGCCCCCATGATGGCATAGCCAAACTTAGTGATACGTTGCTGAGACGGAGCGGGTAGCTGTTGACGACTCTAAGTCTCAACTACTCTGCATGAGCGAGCGTAGGTAGCCTGGGTCTCTCAGGTTTAAAGTCCAGCTTCGAGGTGTAGGTCCATCTACACGGATCTGTACAACCCTCCTTATCCATGGGCAAGTCACAAAAGCATCCTCCCGTGGTAATAGAGGTGGAACGTCTTGGCGGGTGCGGGCCGCGGATGCAGGAACCGGGGAGGCTTTCTTGGGCCAGGAATTGCGTCAGCGGCGCTGTTCAGCCTTGTGTCAAGCCAGTGTGAGGCTGCCATTATTCTTGTATCCGAGTCCAAACCCCGTTAACAAACGCTTTGACGACGGCACAGTTTTGTTTTGATGGAAAGTGCCATCAAGCACCCACGGCCACCTACCCAATGGCAACCAACCGACTATTGTCCGCCACCGAAGCGGTTGCGAAGACGGCGCCAGTCTTCACCGCTGCCTCGGCCGTCACCACCTTCCAACCGCGCCAGAAATACGAAGCCTCCAATGACATCCCTCGCTCCTACTTTCTCGGCCACCACAGAGCCGGTCTTGCGCGCATCCGCGAGTCGCTATCCAACGTCGGCCTGATCATTGAGTGCCGCGACTATCGCGTGCCCATTACCTCATGGAATCCTCTCCTGGAACAGTCCTTGATCTCCTCTGGCGGAGGGCGGCCCTCCCGCATTATCGTCTACACCAAGCACGACCTGGGGGACCCCAAAACCTCGCGCCAAACCATCCGCACCCTCCGCGACTACCACCTCCAGCGTAGCGCTCAATCCACAACAACAACAACAACAACAACAACAGCAGCAACAACAACACCGAAAGCCACAAGAAAAGTCCTCTTCCTCGGCCGCAGCACAAGCAAGCCCGACCGCCACGGCGGCCACAGCAACAGCGATACAGTCACGCTCGACCGCCTGCTCGCGTCCATCAAGACGGTCGCCCGTGAGCGCGACAGCTTGACAGGCCTGCGGGCCATGGTAGTGGGGATGCCCAACGCGGGGAAATCGACGCTGCTCAACGCGCTGCGGTGGCGGGGGATGGGCCTGCCGCAAAAGGTGGCGCGTACCGGTGCCGAGCCGGGTGTGACGCGCAAAGTGGCTATGCCCGTGCGCATCATGCCCGGCGAGGGGGGCCAGGGTCAAATAAACCCTAGTAGTAGCGGAGGGGGCGAAGGTGAGATTGGGCTGGGCGAGGGCGTGTTCCTCTACGACACCCCCGGCGTCTTCATCCCCTACGTGCCCGACCCGGAGGCCATGCTCAAGCTGGCGCTGGTGGGGTGCGTCAAGGATGGGTTGGTCAGCATGGAGACGCTGGCGGACTACCTCCTCTTCCACTTGAATTTGAACCTGGACGTGAATTCCAACCTGGAGCGGGATCTGGCCGGGGAGAGGAGCTATGTCCAGCGGTTTGGCCTGCCGGCGCCGACCAACGACGTGTACGAGTTCCTGGCGGCCGTGGCGAGGCGGACGGGCAAGCTTATCAAGCGCGGAGAGCCCGCCTACGAGGCGGCCGCGACGTGGGTGGTGCAGGAGTGGCGGCACGGGCGATTCGGGAGGTTCCTGCTCGACAAGGTGACGCCCGAGGAATTAGCAAGGGCAGCCGAGGCGGCGAAGGAGCCGCCCCTGAGCATGCACCAGGCGAAGAAGAGGGAGAAGGAGGCGATCAAGCTGAGGAGGGAGGCAAAATTCTCGGGCGCAGAATTGTAATTTACAGAACGGAGTTGGCATCAAGAGGCATGTGGGTGGCGTTCTTAGGCCGGCGCAGGAAACTCGGAATGGCGCAACAGGCAACTCGGCTTTTACGAGATACCAGTCATTGTAGGATCATGTAACGCGACATGTATACATACAATATAGAACAAGTTATAAGATCCTTTTCGCTGGCCCCTGAATCCCGCCCAGAGCGCCTCACCAGTCCGAAGCTTTTGTACGAGGGTATTATAAGTCGTCCACTTCGCCCTTGAGAACCAGCCGCCCGTGTAGTCATCTGTGCCGTCCAGCCCCTATTCACAAGGTCTCAGATGAGCCAGATCAGCCCACCTGGAATAGAACAGAGATAAAAGAGCAAGCTGTGGCTCCCAAGCGGTCAGACGCAGGAAAGAAACCACGATGCGCCGTCCAACCCATATTTCCAGCCCTTGCCTCTTCGAAAAATCCCACCGGCGCCATCCATGCAAAGGAAGAAAAACTGTTGAAAACGGGATCCCATGATATACATTACTCTTCATGCCCCCCGGGGTTTCGTCACGCAGCGTATTGCTGCTGCCACTTGACCAGCCGTCGGGTCAGGCTGTCCATCATCTCCATGCACCCAAGTTCCTTGAAGTCCTTCTCAGGGCGAACTTCACCGCCTTCTCCAGATCCTACGGCCGGTGAACCGCTGGTTTCGGCACCCGTCTTCTCCGGCACCACCGCAGAGCCGCTAGTGGCATTGCTGGCAATCCCCGGTGTGGGCCCTACAAGGCGCTCCCCAGCCAGCTCTACTTGCGTTCGCGAAATGAAATCCAGCAGCGCCGCTGCTCTCCTTTTCATGTCGTTCATCGTGATCTTGCTGTTCATTCCGCCGCGGGCCTTGGAGTTTGCCTTACCACTGCCTTCTCCGCCCGCTTTGCCACCACCTGCGGGCCCGTGGTCATCCTTCTGAATGTCGCGTGACTGCGACCGTGCCGGCGAGTCTTCGTCGTGGGCATCCCGATCCCGAGTGTACTGGTTGCGTCCCTTTTTTTTGTGCGACCGTTTTTTATCGTTTTTCGTCTGTACGTTGATCGTGGGCGGTGTGTCTGGTGCCGGGTTTGACGTAGGTGGGGGTTCCATTGCCGCTGATGGTCGGGCGGCTTCTGCCGCGACACCACCAGCAGTATTCTGGCCTCCGGAAGACGCTACTCCCTTGTTCGCCGCTGTCCGAGCTGCCAGCGGTAATTCTTCTGAAGGATCTGAATCTGTACCCGCGTGAGTGCCGGATACCCTGACATGGATCGTGGATGCCGTACCATCAACCCGCCGACGATCGGCCCTGACCTTCCTCTTGCTTGCAGTCTCAGCACGCTGCCGCTCTCGCTCTTCCTTCTCCGACGTCTTCTCCGTTCGCTGGTTCCGCGCCGCGGCGCCGCTCCGCGCCTTAGATTTCGATGTCGCATTGCGCCCGCTAATCAAAGCGTCATCCGAGTCATCGGCGTCCTTATCTAGTGACGGTGAGACCGACCGGGAGTCCGTTCTCTGCCTTTTGGCACCATCTGGCTTCCTGTAAGAATATTAGTCATCGCTGCTGCAGGCAGTAGGACGCAACATACTCCTGGCTGTCGCTTCGTCCGCGCTTTGGCCGTCTACTGGCGCCATCCGCCTGTTCAGGGACCGCATCCTCTTTGCTCGCTTCAATTGCCCTTCTCAACGCCTCCGCTTCGTCGTAGGCGGCATCCCTGCTGTTCATCGTCGACCGTCGCTTCGATGTCTGGCTTGCTGACGACGTCCGCCCGTTCCGCGTCTCTTTTTCCTTGACAGGCGAGCGCGCCACATCCTTGTTGAGTGATGCTGCTCTCGAGGTCGTTCTTTGCGGTCGTCTCAGCGGGAGATAATGGGAATATACACTCCTGGGAGCCATACGGTCAGCATTCTGAACCAGATCGGAACAAGTCACAGGGCTTCACGGCGATACGAGCCGCATAAGGGCGTGATCGGCGTGCGCTGCGCCAGCTGAGTATCGCAGCGCAACATTCAGCCCTGGTGCAGAGGCAACCAAAACTCCGACCAATCAGGAAGGGAGAATTTACCCATTGCTTGCCGTCCAAAGCTTATGTAAATCCTGTCGGCATTGCTCGCAGAAATACTCATCGGGACTCGACTCCTCGGTCATGATGCCCACACAGCCGCCGTGTTGCCAGACCTTGCAGATGTCGCATTGAACAAACAAGCCGGCTGTGTCGTCTGTCACGTCGGCCGAAAAGAAGGGGTCGATGTCAATGCCATGTTTCAAGCCGTGCTTGGAGTCTTCGTCCAAAGGCGGAGGGCCCTGATACTCGTCGTTGCCGCAGACGCAACGGACGGCCTCGTCCTCTTCCTGAAGATCGCCGTCTCCATTGGCCATGTCGGTTGCCTCAGCTTTCGCTATTGCTTTGTCCCTTTCTTCGCCCTGTGCACGAGTGCGACGCCGAGTGCCGGGCGGCTCCTCGGCCGTGATTGTATCTTCAGGAGGCTCTGATGACAGCGACCCTGTCGATGTCGACTTTTGCGGTGACCCGCCCTTGTTGAAATGTCTAGAACTGCGCTCGGCGCGGCCCGACACGCTCGAAGCAGTAGACGATATCTGGGACTGGGACTGCGTGACTCGCGCTCTCGAGGACCGCCTCGGATCTGTTCCTGCCATCGCTTGCAGCGCGAGCCGCAGTGACAAGGCAGGAGACTAAGGCTGGAAGTGGAGACCGGCGATGTCCAGCCAGATAGGTATAGGCGGGGGACGCGACGAGCGCAATACGGCGCAGTCGGAGTATGAATCGAAATGTGGTCCTTGCAAAGTAGCCGGGAGTTCTCACAGTGTGTGGCGGCAGGTCTCGAGCCTGTTGGTTCAGCGAGGCGAATTAGATACGGGACGGGCAGGCCGGAGTATAGGCTCGGGAGGTTGAAGGCCGCAGACAGTGTCTTGTGTGGTTCTTGTCGATATAGTGGCCAATTACACGATGTTTTGCTCGAATCTGTGATCGCGCCGGTGGCGTCAGCTAAAAACGATGGGACTGGTGACAACGACATAGGACGAGTGTATTGGACTCGACTTACGCGGTAGCTGAATAAGCCAATGAATTGGCAGATCGCCCAAGAGCTCTGCCTCGGCCAATCGCAGGGGATATAACTGAATATTGGTAGACAGAGGGGGATGTAAGGAGGAGAAGAATTGCGACGCCTGGCGAGAGTCGAGAGTGTTCGAAAGTGAGGAGGAGCTGGGGTGGTCACCGGGACGGCGTTCGGCCTAAGTCGAAGTCTGGATGGCCGGGCGAAATCCACAGTGTGTTTGGAAAACAGAAAGTCTTTTCATGACGAGATCGCCTGCAGAGCGGCTTTCCGTGCAGACAGCAGGCGGTCGCGAAGAGACTGGTGGTGGTGGGAAAGATGGGTGAGGAAGAGGAGACGGAACGGGGCAGAGGAGGGAGGAGCGGAAAGCGCTTTGCAGCGCTTTCACACACACGCTCTTTTTCCCCGAGCGTGCTTGAGCTTCCAGCACCAATTTTTGGGAGACTCGCGCTGTGCTCCTCGCCCATGCGGGGCCGGCCAGCTCGTTACCCCATCCAATCCCCATTGTCCATTTTATGGGTCCCAAGCTCTCGATGGCCATTTTACACAGTGCAAGCCATGCCCTTAGCGACATGGGCTGTCCGCTCTGCAGGGCACCTTCGACTCCAAGGGCCCGCGGTATGACATCACGTCGGATCGAGTGAATGAAATGAAAGACTCTCGGCGGAACCTGTAAAAAGGTGGCTAAATGACTATTCTGATCGCAAAATGCTGCTGCCGAGTTTGGAAGACGCTGGTCGCTGCATTCTTGGGCGAAGAGTCTTGGGCGAGGGTACCGACCGCTAGGTATGTTTGTTGGGAGACAACAGAAGGGAAACTGCCGCTGTTCATGGTGGAAAACACAGTGGGCAAAGCGGTCCCCCGCCCCGCACAGCCCAGGGGACAGGGCGGAACATTCTCGGGCCCATATTGCCCCTCGCCGATGGAGCCAGGAACCCAACGTTATAGGGGCAGAGCTCCCTAAATGGAAGAAAACGGCTTATGTAATCGTTTCGATTAGGTCCTTGCCAGCACTGAACACCGTTCCTCCACCACAGAACTTCCCTTGCTCCTGAAAGTTGATGAGCAACCCTCTAATCCCTAGGCATCCGCCATCAATCTCGGTTTTCTCAACACGCTGTGATAGCTTGCATGCTATTTTGCCCTAAAGGAACGCCAATCTCGGAACAATCCAGAGAGGTGGGTTTGCAGAGTGTCCAACCCGGTCGACGTCTCCCGGATTCTGGCTGCGACGGCTATCGTGGCCTGTCTGGGCCTCTCGCTTCTTTGGGGGGTCTGGGGATGATGCTGAGATCAAGTGGTCCAATTCCCAACCCGGTTATCTTTGAGGGATTGTTTTCGTTGTCGCCGTCATTTTGAACTGGAGGCTGATGAGCACTTGGGGTGCCAGAGGAACACCGAAAATCCGACGCACAGTCCACTCCTATCACCGGTCTGGACTGCCGTATTGTTGCGACATCGAACATTGGTCGAGCAGTAGACATTGCCATATCACACCCTGCTCTGGGACAGCGGGATCAACGGGGCGAGACAGAGGAAGAAGGGGGGTTCTGCAGTCGGATGGTCGTCGGACTGTCGGCCGTCTTCGGAGTCCAGTGTTGGGTAACTTGTCGACTCTACTATGTGAAATTTTGATCGGTATGCCTACCCGCACCTTCCCTACCTGTCGACTCACGCTACAGACTCACTTCTTTATCCGAGAACGCGCCTCGGTGTGCCCACACACTCTTTACAATTCCGCCTCACCTGCCCCTCCCAGGTCCACCTTTTCCCTGCAATCGTTGGCAGCACAGACACTTCCCCAATGTGCGGAAGGATGCCACCGAACACACGGCGACATTTCCGTGCTCTGTCCACCATGGGCAGGAGCCCGGTCATGCCCGCGTTGTTCCTCGCCTTGATCTCCGTTTTTCTGGGCTTGGCCTGGAAGCTAACTCGCCGTCAATCAGCGACCCAAACAGGACACGAACAAGCCTCCAAGATGGCTGCCGACCCCGTGTCGTCTCTTTTCCCAAACCGACCAATTCGGCCTTTGCCCAAGCGGCGACTGCGGGAGCGGTTGTCTCCCGAGGTTGCCGATTCTATCCAGTATCCCCCGCTACCACAGACCATGGCCCCGCTTTTTCCATACCCGTATCCCTTGATAGAGGAGAACACGGATCCGGCCTTCGCACTCGCTCGTGCGGACAATTCGTATATCGAACCACGCCAGCACCAGAATACCGGCTTGGGCATTGGGGGCCACGGAGATCGCCTTGTGCTGAAGGGAGGTGCAGGTAGTCGAGCTATTACGGAGCCCTCAACCCTTGGCGCACGTGCAAAGTTAGACCACGCGCGATATGGCGATTCTCTTCCGATTCTGTCGGTAACACCGTCCGCTGATGGATATGATCCCTTTGAGAACACCAATAACAAGAAGCGGAAGATTCCAACGGTGGGGGATTCGGCGCCGAGCGGGGCTCACTTGATCAACGATTCCAGCGTTGGAATGAACCCAATGGCTACAACCCAGGCCGCAGAAGGCAATGGCGAGACCGCAGTCTCGGCGTCCTCGCCTTACTATGGCTCCGGAAGCTTGGCATCGGGCTTGCAGAATGTCCCAGGACCGGGACGAGGAAGATTTGGCCGACCGAGGAGTGGCAAGAGTACAACCCGACCCCTTGCCGACTCAACTAATAGTTGGGCCGGACGGAGCAGCAAGCCGCGTCCTAGTCAGTATCCGAACGGGTCAAGTGAGTCAAATGTGTTGGCTTATTCTAGAGCGAGTTAGACATACCAGAGCACTTGCTAACGGTTTTGTTTAGGCGAAAGCACGGGCATCATCTCGACTGCCATTGCCAATGCAGAAAAACTTCCTCCGCATCAGGGCCAGGAGAATATTAGTCTGCTGCATCAGCAGCTGTCTGCTAAGCGCAGCCCGGCGTCGACGCAGTTCACATTTACCTGCAATTCTCAAGTGCCAGGCTCGCTGGCGTGGCCTGGCGCGGATCGTAGGGTGTCAGCGCAAGTCCACCAGGCGAGTTCTGCCCCTCAAGGCAAAGAAAACTGGCCGCATGCTCCGCAAGCAACACAGGCCGGCCAAGCACCCCCGGCGACAGTTCAGACCGCCGAGATGGGACATAAGGAGTCCCCCACTCGAAGCGTGGGCAACGCCCAAAGCCAACCGACAACCGCCCCAAAAAGTTCGCGCAGAAGCCTTGTGAAGGAGTACATGGCAGCGGCCAGGGCACGCCGCCGGGAGACGCAGCTCCAAAACAGACGGAAACCACCCAAGCCCGAGGATATTTGGATCTGCGAATTCTGCGAGTATGAAGCCATATTCGGACACCCCCCAGAAGCTCTGGTTAGGCAGTACGAGGAAAAGGACCGCAAGCAACGCCAGTTGAAAGAGCAACGACAGGCTCAATGGGAGCGGATGAAGAAAGGGAAGCACAAAGGCAGGAAGAACAGCAAGCTTCCAGCTAAGGGCAGTCACGCGTCGCAAGATTCGCACCACGGGGTTGACGGCCGTGACGGCCCAGGAAACCATTACGACCATGGGGCGCAGGACGAGGATTACTACGAAGATGAGTACTACGAGGATGAAGACTACGACCCTGATGACGAGATCCCGCCGCTCGAGGCCAGCCCGACAACACCGAGCCGGCACGACGAAGGCGTAATTCACTCATCGCGTGGTGGTTATACTGTTCATGATGGAGGAGGCACCTAGCTGCCTGGGCAGGCTTGGGATCTCGGCCATGCACAGTGATACCTGCATTAGCACCGTTACATCCCTTCGACGCATCTTTAGCCAGACAAATCAGGCAATGAGGACAAGAAGATATGATGGGGATGAAGCAAACCCAAAATATGTGCTCACGGCAACCTCACGGACAACCATGGGCCTGACAAGGGGTGCTGGGCTCTCCCTATGCAACAATTCTCAAACTCACCGCTCACCCTGCACAACCCCTTTATAGAAATGTCACAAAACTCTTGAGACTGTCAAGCCACAGAGCTTCATCAGGTCATAGTACTGTTTCTTGTCCTTGCAGCGAAGGACGGTGTATGGTAGACTGTCTCCGGTTAGAGCTATCGAGTATCAGGATCAATCAAGACGAGAGTGATCGATGGGTTCATGGCATTATATGGTACTCTCGGCACCCCGCTAGTGTACTAGCCGGCATCAGAGGTTCAGCGTGTTGTTAGATAAGGTAGTGAGCATTCACATCGACTGCTTCAGCGCAAGAGACCAGTTTCTAGGTGCTATATACTATGGTTGGCGAGGCTCTGAGAGTGGTCAAGAAAATCCATGTCTAAACTGGCAACGATATATGTACGGAATTTGCAGAATGTACAAATATCCCAGCCCAAAGCAAGGTCCCATTCCGGTCGCCATAAGCCAGGCCTAGGAGAATGCAACTCCATCGAGTGCCGGAGCGAGTGGGCCGGTTGTGGGGAGCGTGCCTGCCTCGCAGCGAATAGCTGACCTTGGAAGTGTCCCCCGTCCCTTGTCAGATACCCAGGGGAGCTAGGGCCCTGCATGACGTTCCAGGAGACAAAGCAGCTAAGTCAGCAAAAGGTCGTCTCGTCATCAGACATTCCATCTCGTCTCATCCCATCCCATCTCATTCCATCTCATCTACTCTGTACACACCAAACAAACACCTTACTTATTTTTCGGTTCCTGAAATCACTTTCCATTTACATTTGCGCACCTTATCTCGGGCCTCATCCATGATTGTGGTACCAAGATAGCCTGGCTATCGCAAGCCCAGGCCAAGGTTATCCACTGCCAGCATGTTTGGCTCCCGAAAGCATCGGCAACGAAATCCGGTATGTCGTCATTGTGCGCGTCGAACCTCCCTCGATGCTCCCGTGCAACCCGTGCAACGCATGTAGTCTTTGTTTTTGTTGGTGGATGGGCCGAGCCGTGGAGAATTTGAAGTTTGAACCTTGTGCCATTTGCTGACGGCGTAAGTTGGCCATTTCCCGAGTCGAACAGCCGCTCACTGCAGCGACCGCCGACCCCAATGCTGCAACCGCTGCCGCTGCCGTTTTTAGGCGCCATGAATCGAATCCTTCCTTGTCGGCTGCCGCCGCCGCCGCCGCCCTCCGCGCCCGACCAATGACGCCGACTCGAGTGGCCGACGTTCAAACGAAACGGACTGTACGCCGCAGCGCATCCGTCGCCTCCGCCGGGGCTGCCTCAGACCGTCAGGGACAGCCCGCTTTGCACAGGCGCGGAAGCAGCGGGTCAATGTCCGAGCGCACCTTTCGAACTCCGAGTCCTCACCGGCCCGGAAGCAGCGGGTCGGCCCGCCGGTCCGTCAGTTACGATACACCCCCGGTCCCAGCGCTACCAGGAAATCTAGATGCCACCTCAAGTCCGCCAAGAGCGGGCACCCAGCAAGTGTCGCAGCACCAGAAGGCCAGCAATATGGGTAGGGGCACTGCCCCTCTACGTCTCGCCTCTCAGAAGCTTGCATCTGGGGATGCTCCGTCTTGGTTTTCCGCCGCAAGAATGGGTGACCCTGGCAATGTCCATAGGACAGACCCTGCCATGGCTAGCCCACCATCAAGTCCGCTCCAAATTCCAGCGCCCAGTGAGGAGCCTGCCGACGGAGCCAGGCCAAGCAGCCAGGCCTCGTCTATCAACTTCTCCTACCCGGCGCGGGCGAGGGTGAATTCTCTGCCATCTTTTCATGCAACCGAACTGTCCGGCTCTCGTGAGATGCCCGTTCTTGCAAACCAGCCACAGTCAGTAGACGGCGGGTCAGCAGCCCCTATACCACATGTGAAGCAACCGCCGAGAGCAGCAACGACGACACCTTCTTCAAATACAAGACTTGCTTCTCTACCTTCCGATCAAGCATTAGTTTATGACCCAAATTCGCGAAGAATGGTGCCGCAAGCCGATCTGTTGGCCATTCAACAGGCAGTTCTTGGTGCCGCGCAACAGCCGATTAAAAGGAAGAAGAAGACTCCTCAAAAGGTTGGGTCTCATCTCGCCGCAGGTACCATGGGTCGCACTAAGAGTGTTACCGCTCTTACTATGCCTGAAGCGAGTATACGATTCGTGGCCGCGCCGGCGCAGGGTCAACAACTGCCAGACTCGTCAGACGCGTTGTCCAATCCCCAAGTCCAGACAGACGTCGACGACCCCGCGATCAAGACAAGTATTGGTCCACTGAGGACGGATGCCCAGATGCTTGAAGAACATGGTGCCCAAGAAGCTGCAGAACCCGCCCAGATCATCGTCCCAGCGGCCGTCAACCTCGCCATGGCTGCCACAGATGCAACATCGCATGCTGTAAGGAGACAGCCATCAGTTGTGAAGGAAGAGCAGGAGCCCGGGGAAATGGAGCCCGAGAAGATTGCTCAAAAGACAATCTCCGATGCGTTGGATGCCGTCCCCGGGCGACAAAGGATGCATTCATGGGCAGACGCGCAAACTTCTCCGCGGCCACGTCCGATACGGAAGGCGGCTTCCCCAACAAATGCTCCACGCCCTGATGCCGATCCGATACTGAAACGCGGTCCCGCACTCTTGCCTTCCATCGATATTTCGGAGGAACAAGGGTCAAAGTCAAGCACTGCCAGACCAGCACAGGTCTCGCGAACGCATTCGAACAGCCCTCCTCGTCAGGCGCATTTCGGGCCCGTTCAGGACAAACTGACAATCAAGCATTCCCCGCCCCAACGGTCCATCTCCCCACGAAAGTCGGCTCTGAAGCGCACTGGCTCGTCCCGAGGCGCCTCGCCTTCCGGCAACACGTCCGAGGCATCTGGGAGCATCAACCAAGAACCTCTGGTGGCACGCAAGAAGTCCGTTCGCGTAAGTTTTGAGGACGGGAACACATCAGTTACTGGCGAATCCACGTCCGCGGACCGCAGCGATTCAACGGTCCTAGCCAAGCCCCCACATCCAAACCTTCCGCGATGGCTTAGCCACCTTGGACATGCCAAGAAAGAGTTTTCGTCGCTCCAAGACGAAGAGATGATGAAGCCACGGCCTACTCTGCCTAGCTTTGGCAGCGTACGAGACAGAAAACCCCGGGACAGCAGTCTAGACCTGTCCGAGCGTCCGCTCGTGCGGCCCAGGGGAGAGACAAGGTACACTTCACCACTGCTCCCTAGCCCGCCACTAGGCCAGAGCAGTGATCACGCTGTTGGAGGAGTCCTGTCGAAGGAGCATGATGATGGATCCAGACACACGGCAAACACCTCGAGGCTTAGGGAACCATTGCCTCCAGTCGTTACTAGCGTGGAAGGGACCGGCTACGAGAGTGACAGTTCTAGCACGAGTTCTCTAGTCAGCTCAGTAGCTGAGCAGCCGGGGGCGTCTGTCTCGACTATAGTCCGGCAATCTCAGCCTACAACAGCTGCCAAATCGCAGATCATCCTTGCCCAACCCATCATTGGCCCGGTAGTGAACAGCGACAACCAGCCTGCAAGCCAGGTTACGAAGACAGACGATATAGAGAAGCCACAGGCTCCGGCCGTCTCCGTTCGACAGCCGATGCTTGCTGTGGTGGAAAATAAGTCACTCGGGCAATTATTTGCTGAGATCCCTGGAGGATTCCCAGAAGAGGGGTCCGATCAGTCTACTGCGTCTGGTACTCAGAACCTCTCGCCGGTTACGATGACAGTCACGCACACTGATGCTACACCGCAAAGTAGCCTGTCAACACCCGTAGCAACTGAGGTTCCTCGGATCACATCGGCTGAAAGCTCAAGTGACTCGGAGAGCAGCATTTACAGTGACGCTTACGAAGACCTCTCCGAAGTTGATGGTGATGGCTTCCAGTCCCTGGATGCCGTGGTTGTGAGACCAATGCAAAACAGCTCTTTGGCAGTGAACGCCCCCCGGCAGACACTAATGGAGCCCCCTGTGCCGAAACACCACGTCGCAACGCCAAAACTCCAGACCGATATATCATCAGCCACGACCGCAGTTGAAACACCGCCTCCAGAAAGCCCCCAGGATGAGTGGGAACGAGTTAAGGCATACTGGCGGAGCCTCTCGGCAGAGCAGCGAGCGCAGCTCGAGAGGGAGGCAAGGGAAGAGGCCGGTATGGACGCAGATGTCGAGGAAGCGGAACCAGAAGCCAAGCCTAGAAAGAAAAAGACAGTGGAGCGCAGGAACTCTCAGCGGAAGGTGTTGGCTGCCCACGTGGCGCAGCAAATGCAACGAGAGGAGGAAAAAGCGCCCAACCCTGAGCGAAGCTACATGATCAAACCTGGCTCACGGTGGGACGAGAACGAGTTGGCTGTTCCTGCGATGCGGAAGACAATGCGCGGGGATATTCAACAGCAGCAGGTGGCTTCCAGCGCCGATAAACCCCGACTACGCAAGTCAATGCGAGCCAGCGGTGCAGGCGTCAGTAGTCCCGAGTCCGCCACGGCCGGAACTAGACGCCCAATATCACCTTTCCCAGCCAGCGTTGCTCCTCCCATCGGAGCGATCGACGGCGAGTTAACCACTACGGAGATTGGGACCAACCCCCAACCCGCTAGACGACAGAACTCAGCCGGCAGTGAGAGCAGCTTCAAGCGGTCTCGACCAGGAAGCCAGTTGCAAGGCTTTGGGCTTCGCCAGTCCTTGCGGCCGACCTCGCCCGATGCCACGCAGGACACACGTCCTCCCAGGCGGTTTTCGCTGCGTGCTTTATCCCCATCCGGCGCCGCTTCCGGGCAGACCGCGGAGGTTGCCGCGGCCCAAGTGCCCTCGAACAACCAAATTCGTAGAACGTTGCGCGGTTCTTCAGTGGAAAAGAACCGTCCCACGGGAATACGCATGCCGAGCTTTGGCCTCCCGTACGGCGGGAAGAAGAGCGGCGGCAGTAGTGCGAAAACCAGGACTTCATCGGGCCCCCGTTTCTCCAGCCGGTTCGCCGACTCGAGCGATGAAGAGGGCGGCGGGATAGCGCCAACAGGGTTCCGCAGCCGCTTTGCGGACTCGAGCGATGACGATGAGTCCATCATACCGATTCCAGTACCTGTCTCCAAAACTCTCCCCACTGATAGCTATCTGAAAGGGCGGAACTCCACCGCGAGCACGGCCCTGCCCGAAGAACTGGAAGAGTCGGAAGACGCCAAGCCTGCCGTCGCGACAAGATCAGCATCACAACAGCTGACACAATCAACCTTACCTGTCGATACCACTGCGAATACAAGCAGCACCGCACCGGTTCCCTCCGACGCTATCGACTTCCGCCGCTCCCGCTCCAACCGCTCCGGTCGTGGCCAGCTTCTCGGCACAACAGCCCCGTCTTCTTCCCAAGCCGCCGGTGTTGCCGTGTCAAGTTATCCTCCGCCCACCACCACCAACCCTGCTCCCATGCGGCGCCAGTCCAGACGCGATAGGCTCCTCATGTCGGTCCTGCGCCGCCGTAAAAGCGGCAGGCCCGGTGAGTTGGGCAAGATTGGCCGGGGCGAGGTCATCGAGAGCCCGGCGAGGCGGGATACGCCCTTGGAAAGGAGCATGGGAGAGCTCAGGGGCTTGCGGAGGAGGCCGTCCCTTGTCTCGGAGCAGGAGGTTGAGCCGGAAGCTGGGGATATGGACGAGGAAAAGGAAAAGAAGGTGGTGGAAGCTCCCCCCAGGAGTCCCAGGTTGAGGAAGAAGAGACTTTCTGCGGTTGGGGCCGCTGCTGCTGCTTCTACTGCTGCTCCTCCTTCGACTGGTGGTGCTCCTGTTGCTTCTAAAGACATTGGTGCTCGTGGTGATATAGGCGGAGGCTACGATGCCGAGCGGGGGAATGAAGCCGGCGGGCTCGGTGCTGCTGATGTTCCATCCCTCTACCGGCTGAGCCGGTCCTCCACCTCGGAAAACCTGGGCACTAGGACGCTCAGCGCGGGGAATCATGCCCTGCCCCTGAACCATCACCATCACCAACAGCAACCGCAACAACATCGCAGAGTCATGTCCATGTCATTACCCATGTCCAGGGGCGCGCCTAGTATTGAGGAGGGGAGTGTGGCTGGGGGCTCGTCATTGAAGAAGAAGAGGTTTGGGACGTTGAGGAGAATGTTTGGGCTGAGTAGCGACTGACTCATTCATTGATTCATTGGTTATATATGGTGCGGTCTTGGCAACAGCTGGCTGGCTGCTGCTCATAAGACTAGAGGGGAGATTTGCTCAGGGATTTGACCGGCGTATTGGAAGGATGCCGCAAAACTTGTGTTAGTTGCGGGTTCCTTGGCTGCTAATTAGGCCCGAGTTTTTGGGGAACTGGATGGGACACTGGAAACTCAAAAAGAAACGGGAAAGGGGGAAACCAACAGGGCAATCGTTTGATCATTTCGGTTTGTGTTCCTTCTGGTTTGTTTTCTTGGACTACCGGGCATAGAATATATACCCCCTATCGCGAGGGAAGCACAACAGAATCTGGGTTTCGTTTCTGTCTTGGGTATGGGTTCTAGGAGGAGATAGCTGTCTGTATATCATAAGTATGAGAGGTTGTGCCGTGTTGGGCATCCGACCAGGTATAGGGCGCGACAAGTAGACGGGAGGCAACTTGCAAGGCCTCTTCCTAACCCCTTCTTTAGGATACGATGCCAGGGAACTCAGATGCAGGTAATTGTTGTGCACCTTAGTACCTCCCAAAAGCATTATGGGCTGTGTATATACTCGACATATGTTCTCCTTACCAGGTGGGTTGGGTGGACATATACGAATAGACATTACATCCATCGCATCTAGTTATCAGTTCTGCAATGTGATCTTATAATCCCCACCTCCCTGGCACGTCCTCTATGCCCAAGACTCGGCCCATGTGGCCTTATCCGGGTTCAATGTGATCGTGTATGTACATACATACAATTGATAACAGCATGTAAGCCCCCGCAGGCCGGCGGATGGTCCCGGGCAGGTTACACAGACACACCAGGACGCAATGTTAGGTATACTCGCCCCTCAGCCTTCTGCCTTTGATGCACACCGATCAGCACAAGGGGCGTAGCACCCGGGACACGCTTCCATTTCTGGTACCGACGACTGTAGGACACATGTGACGCCACCTACACACCACACCAGGGTTTCCACTGCTTCTCTGGAGCTTTTGTCCTTGCTTGACGAGTGTCCCAATCCCTTCGTTCCAGATTTCGAGTCGCGGTTTTTGCTTCGGCCGACTTCACGCCGAACCAAATAGCCCTAGGGACGGATGGCTTTGATTCTCGCTTGCCCCGACTCTCACTGGCGAATTCCACCCCCTGGGTGGCATGACCAGACACGCATGCTTGAAGACAGCGAGTGACCTGCTTCCAGCCCGTCATATCTATAAGATGATGTAATATCGCCCGTCCAAGCCAACGCCAACCGCTGTGCAGCTAATGTGACATTGAAGTGCTCCCAAAGAACAGCTCAAGCAATTACCCCAAAGATGCCTCAGGAGTAAGAACGCGCCCGCCTCGTAATCCCACAACCCGCAATCATGCTCTCAGACACTGACAGCGGAGTTGAAGCCGCAGTCTTCGGTGTTCCGCCTCGTGCAGGTTGCCAGTAAATTCTTGGATCCTGTCCTAGCCGGTCGTAGTCACACTATGAGGTTCCTTCTGTGGGTGAGTGTGTTCCCATGTGCGAATTCATGCATAATTCCGGTCCTCGCAAGTGACTCGCCATGCGTAGCGATAATTTAAGCTCCTCCGCCCTTACGCGCCTTTTCACGCTCCAAAAGCAGAGTAAGTTCACTTCTCGTCCGCCCAAAGGGGATTGGCGGCGCCGGATTGGGTGGTGTCGGTTTGAACTGCAGATCGAGCAATACTGAAGACGACGGTTGTGTATCAGCCTTCGAACTATCGGGAATATCCATGGGCTCCAAGATGGATGGTTTAGGTGTAACTGTCTCCGAGTCAAACCGCCCTCGAGCCGTTGCAGTGATCATGGCAACGCTACTCGTGGCTTGCGATGGGAGAAGAGCCAGGCCAGGCTCACGATGGCGATATCGTGCCTCGTTATTCGAGCGCGAGCGCGCCATTGGAGGCGCTCCATCCTCGATTGCACTATCTGCCACGAATCCAGCAACGGGTGGATGTATCGGTGGAGGTTCCTGGATAGCTCCGCCATGTGCTCCAGTTACCCCTCGCATCGGCCCAACTTCTCGTACATCCCACGTCGACCTCCGTTGCGGGCCCGTGGTCTGCGGCCTCTGCACTGTCTCGACCCCGTCGACCTTGCCCTCCCGCTGCATGGGAGCACTTTGAGAGCTCGGTCGCTTGCTCGTCGTTGCCTTGGCTGGCCGTTTGCCAGCAGCCTTGGCAGTCATTCCAGGCTCGCTTGGCTGCGTTGAGGGAGCCCCGTGTCCGAGGAGCTGCTCGGTTGCCGGCACTTGCCGCTTGTTCTCGGGTTGCTTAGCTGAGTGGTTCACGAAGCCGGCCACTCGTGGGCTGGAATCAGATCCTGTTGTGGAGTGTGAGCTCGGTCTGCGCATCACCACTGGCCTCCTTTTTGACGCCGCTGTAGTGGCTACAACCTTTCTGGTCGTGGGCGCCGCCGCGCGCTCCCTGGATGGTGAAACTGGTGGAGGTGTCTGCTTTTCCGCCCCCTGCACGACAACCAACGGGGCTGGGGTCTTTTTCACCTTTGCTGACGGAAGAGGCGGCGGGGCCATCTCTGTTGCAGGCACAGCAGCAGCGGCAGGTGTGACGGCTTCGTTTCGGCTGGCTGACAAAGGCAATGGTGGGGGCGGCATGTCTAGCGAAGATACAATCGCGCCGGTCGATTGAACGTCTCCGTCACTACTCTCGTCGGCAGAAGCTGGCGGTGAGGCAAACCGTGCAGTAGGCCGTGGCCCTGACGCAGAAGGGCCTCTGGACTTTTTCAGAATCGGGTGAGGGGGGGGGGGCCTCGAGGAAGAAGGAGTTGGCGCTTTTTTATTGTCTAAAGGAGCAGATTGGGAAGATTGAGCAGATTCCTGCCCTGAGCCATAGCCTCGCTGTTGGGTCGTCTCAGCATGAGTTCCATCAACGTTGCGCCGACCTAGACCAAGCATCTGAAAATCGTCAGGAAAAGGTACATCCTGCGGCAGAGCAGGGAACGCCTACCAATAAGCCTCCATCAGAATGGGAGGGCCCCGTGACCGGCACGAATGTTGGGCCTTCCGAGAACTCTTTGAAGAGTCTCGCAAGCGCTGGCCCACTCAAATTCCGCCTATCACTACCCCATACATGCCACCAGAAGTTCTCAAGGCGGAAGGCACTGGGGTCGACTAGCCTTCGGAAAGTGGTAGTATAAACTGTGAGCCCGTGATTAGTCCACGATTTTGGCCGAGCAGGTCGTCTTGAGGTGGTGATCCAATACCATTCCAGTACTGTCTAATCTTCTCCGGAGGCACCACGGGGTAGCTTGCCACTTCAGCGTATATCTCCTGTGTGTTCCCAAAGATGCCTTTGGGCATCGCCGTAGCTAGCGCCATCATCCGGACGGGGGGGTTGGAATGCTTCTGCATAGCAGAGGGATGCGGGCACCACTTGACCGTCCGCTCACCATGGCTTGCGCGAGACTCTTAAGCTTTTCGGTAAAGCGACTTTGTACCCTAGGGCGAGGGAGACATGAGGGCTATGCAGAGCGCGTCACGGATCCTCAAGGGCTTCTCCAAGGCGTGAGAACCAGAAAGGAACGTGATTTTGGATCTGAATATCCCTCAGCGTTAGAATCAACCAGGCCAGGACACTCAGGGGGCCCGCTCGATGGCTAGGCCTGTGTTTTGTGAGAAGACATGAGACAATCATTGACAATAATTTAGGGGCGGGAGGCAGTAGGGCTAGCTCATTACGAGCCTGGAAGATTCTCGGTGTAGGCATACTGCCACCTCCGCCACGGAGATGGGGGGGAGGTGGGCGGTGAGAGTGAGCTTGTAGCTGGGAGCTTGGGAAAGGCGTGGTAGAACTTTCCCACGCCACGAGGTAGAGCAGACCGTCTCGGCCGGGACGAGTTGGGTAGCTGGCGGTTTGTGGAGTACGAAGTACGGTGAGAGGCTTGGTCCTGTACGGGGAAATCCACAGCAGTGCAGGCAATGCACGCGAGCCGAGGACAATCCCCACTACTGCCGTCTTGCCCGGCGAGTGCATAAGTATCGTGTGTATGCCACATACCGTGAGCTTGAAGAAGTCCGGACAACCGCCTTCGACCGCCGGCCTTCACCGACCTACTGGAATCCCAGAATTGGGCTTGCGATTTTGGGCTCAGGATAACGAGATCAAGCAGTCGTAGGACAAAGCCGCCGAGAAAGAGTGTGTGAGCTCGCGAGTCAGAGGAGAACCGGACAGACAGTCCCATGAGCGTCCCCGTACACCGAGCGGACGCTTGTGTATCAGCAAACGCGGCTATATTATATTGCGCATGTCGAACACGGTAAGGAGGACCAACAAGTAGAGAATCAATCGTCTTCCCCTCCCACAATGACGTGTGAGAAAGAACGGCAACGAGATGGAAGAAGGAAAGACAGGGGATATCTCAGGAAAGCGCGCTTATGAAATTGGACAGGAATACCTTAGGGCCCCGTCGAGGGTCAGGTCCAACCTTCTCCATCCAGCACTTTCCTCCTGGTTCCTTCCTCCTGCCTCCGAGCGTACACCGAGGAAGTCTACCTTAGCCGTGCTTCAGGGCAGGGACAGTGCCACCAGGGACCCGGTGCTCCGCTCGATTCATGCAGCCAGCCGCCTGACGATACCTAACCCGGTAAGCCCCCAGGGCCGTGCGACAGGCCACATGTGGGGTGTCTAGGATGTCAATGTGTTAACTAACAGGGTACCTATCTTGGTTGCTGCATAGCTAATATTTCGCCTATCGTGATGGCAATGCCAAACTTGTCGCTTGGTATCCCAAATGCTCCTATCATCTACCCAGAGGAAAGAAAACATCCATAGTGCGTCGCTGATAAAAATGAGGGATTAGCAATGACTAACTGATTCACTTCAGTCACTTACATTTAGATGACGGGTATCCCGCCGCTGCTGCCTGTCCAAAAAGAAGCGGAACCATCCGCGGCGCGGTTATCCTCCTTCCCATTGGAGCTTCTCCCATCCTCTCTCGAATCACGTCAGAAAACACCCAGCTTTTCTCGAAGGACTGCCAACGTGGAAGCGGGTTTGCGAACGATCTCCCAATCTCAGCGTCGTCCCCAGCGAGGGCTGCGAGGCACATGCCTTGCGGAATTCCGTACAGCAAGCAAGGATCGAGACCACGTGGGTTCCAAGAAGATGGAATGCGTTCCTGTCAAAAAGCCCATGAACCAAACGACAGCTACGGAGTATTAACGTTGTATAGGTACAGTACATTCTTGGTCATGCAAGCGACTTGGAAACCATACCCGAATACCCTTGGCTATCCGTACAGCACGATTAGCACAACGCTTACCTCATAAAGCTGTTGAACCTTCGACTATCCAATTCGGCTAAGGTGCTTGTCTGTACAGTACATACAGCCTCGACAATGTTTGAACTCAACTAGTTCAGCATAGAATAGCGGGTTCCTGCAGCCCGGGCCGTCTGGGTCGCCCTCTGAATCTCCAGAGCTATAGCACGGTACTGTGCTGTACTGTACTGTACATACAGTACATACAGCACCTCACTATGACCACACTCGGAGATCCTAGTAGCCCCCACGCCCAGCATTCGGGATAGCTCTTGTCTCTCCAGCATTCTGGTTGGCTGTTCGCAGAAACCCAGCCTTCGCCGAGCAGCTCCTTTACAGATGCTGCGCTACGCCAGAGAAATGGTGAGGTGGGCCGTCATTGCCCGGAGGTCCCGTGAACCTAACGTGAGATCAGCCGGCGGGGCGGGGCGAGCAGCCTGTGATCATTTGGTGACGGCCGGCCACTGCAGCCCGCAGCACCGCTGTCACGGGAGCTGGCTGGTTGTGGATATCCCCGCGGCTACACAGGCAACGACGGCTTCCGATTTGCACCTCCGCACGACGCCTCGTCTGCAACAGATCACGCACGGTTTTCGGACACGGTTTCATCGGCCGATGAGGCTCATGAATGGCTCGGTTAAACTTCAGTTGACTGAGCCGCCAGCCAGGTGAGCCAGGGCCAGTTGACGGCTCCACTGGATCCGCTGGAAGGCACCACGAGCCTCCTGCACAGGCTCGACAGGGTTCTTCTACCTTTCCAGCATACGCGGCCACAAAAGACAAACCAATCACTTTCCCGCAGTTACGGGATGGCACTGAGGGATGGTCTAGGAGATCAAATGGGAATTACATGAGAATAAAAGACAACTGTTCTGTTGTTCACCGCCTTCACCGCCTTCACCGCCGCGCCATCATTCACCGACCTCCTCTGAACTGACGTTTTACCCCGCTATACATGAGGACTCAACGGCCGCGCTTATTCGACTATCTCCGTGTCCGTTCGGGACAAAGGTCTGACCATCTCGCCGCTGGTCTTCTGTTTGGACTTCAATCTCGTGAGGGGAGCAGGACCCTACAATCACCCATTGGCAGAGGGGCTGTTGCAACGAGCCTCGCGGTTCAGAGGGCCGGAGCATCGATGGCTAGGGCTTCCTTGTATGTGTGTACTGACTGTTTGAGGCTGCCAGGACCAGTTATGTTTTCTTGCATGCACATTTCATGTCATACGATCACAGAAGTCTATATTATATATATCTACAGCAATCCAGTAGGTCGCTCGGCCCTACAGCATGTGTTACCGACTCTGATGTAGCACTCACTTACACAACGGCAGTTTGATACGAAGAACTGTCCGCAGCATACTCGCCGAGCAGCTAGTATTCAATGGTAACACCAGCAGACCTGACCCAGCTGAAAGCGAGCGGCGGGCTTTTCGTGCCCTCGATCCGCCTGGAAACCGCTCAGCCGTAATATCCACAGCCAAGGGAAACAGCAAATGATACCCCAGGACTGAGGCAGGAATACGTACAATCCAATGCTGGTTCGTTCGTTAGCGTAGAACTCCCGACAGGGGTCCTGGTCCCAAATTCAAAAAGATCTCTCTCAGCACTGAAAAAAGCTAAAACAACGCAAGAAAATGGAGCATCTATTAAAACTCCAAACGGACGTTTCATTCCAATCCTACTCCAAGGAAAAAAAGTGGCTGTTTTGGTGTCGAAATTCGAATTTTTAGGTTGACCCTTGCCTTCAAGTCAGGCGCTACCGAACAAACCAGGGGGGGATTGTATCTGACGTTATACAAGCTTCTTGACACCCTCGCCATACATCAGCTACTACACTGCTTGACCTCAATCTCCAATTCTTTTCTGTAAGCAGGGCTATAGCCGGTACTGTAGTCAAGCAAACCAGTGCCGTGCCACATCCAGCTCATTGCCAATCAGGATATACAATACATATGTACTTTAATGTATACATCACATTATTATCAATCATCACATCTCACATTCAGTTCACCATCTTGTGTCACTTCACGGATCTCGCCCACGGGAGGCGGGATGGCCCTCCTCCCAGCTTTCCCGGGATGCCGGAGCTGGAAAGGTTCCCGCCCCTGACGCATTCATTTACCCTACACCATGATTATTCCCGTGAGTCCCGTCCCACAGCCGGCTTGCCGAGGGTACAGATACCGGTGCCCAAATGCCTAAGCCGCTCCCATTGTTCTGGGTCGGTACTCGGTTCCGTCTCGCTTGTCAAGCGGGGTCTTTACCGCGTCGCCTAAATAAAGCCCTCTTGCCTGGGAGCTGCATGCACCAGGCCTGGATGTGTGGCTGGCTATCGGACCTTCAGAGGGGCGGTGAGAGCCATCGGGGAAAGGGGTGAAAACACAAAGGTCCAAGTCGATCTCAACCTACACAACCTACCGTCATTCTCTCAATAACCCGACATCCAATCTTGACAATCTGGAATCCTCGAAATTCATTGTCTATGCAACTATATGCACTCTACCTAGGTATATCCCGAACCAACCCACCCACAAAACGACTCCACTCGCATTCGCTGCTTGCTGCTCAGATTTGCGCACCCTCGCTCACATATATCCTCCCTCCATCCATCCATCCATACATACATCCACGATAGTAGGCCAGGCCCACAAGTTCGCCCCTGACACTAGGTAACAGTATATCCCCCATCAACCCTCAAGTCGGCGCCCGTCACGTAGCTCGAGGCGTCCGACAACAGAAAGGTCACGGGCCCCATCAGATCCTCGGGCGAGCCCATGCGTCCTGTGGGATCAGAGAGGTCCATTGCCGCTTCAGATCGGGCTTGTCGTCGAGGATCTTTTGTGTTCTGTTTTCAAGTTCGAGCGTGTGTCAGCTAAGAACTCTCTCTCTCTACCTTTACTGTTTGGTCAAAGGCAAGAGAGTCAGTGAGGGACTCACAGAGCGGTCAGCATGTATCCCGGGGAGATACAGTTCACGCGGATGCCGGCCTTGGCCCATTCCACGCTGAGGGAGGCGGCCAGGTGCCGGACGGCGGCCTTGGCGGCGTTGTAAGGGCTGCACGGGGGATTGCGTCGGTCAGCATGTGCAGCTGTTTCGTAGGTTCTGGAAAGGGAGCATATGTGCTGCCTACGCTTGCGGCTGGGGTACGTTTACGATGGAACCGCTCATGCTTCCGATGAAGACCATGCTTCCCTTGGCCTTGCGCTCCATCTGTTGTTATTCTGACGTGTCAGTTTCGTCTGTGCTTTTGCTTCTATTCGGGCATCTGCCAGCCTAAGGGGTAGTGAAAACTCACCAGATGCCGCGCCACGGCCGTAGCAAACAGGTAGGTGCCGTCCACATTGACACCCCACAGCTTGCGCATCCGATCGATCGGGTAGGTGACGGCCTCAAAGTTCTCGGTGAAGCCCGCCGAGGTCACGAGGTTGTCGATCTTGCCGTGCTCGGCAATGATTTCACGTATGCAGGCGTCAACCGAGGCCGGGTCAGACACATCGGCATAGTGGGCTGTGACTTTGGGGAGTCTGCATGGAAGTTTAGTTGGGTGAACGTTACGGAGGACGGAGCAAAGGGGGAAGACCGTGGATGATGCAGTCAGTGTAAGGGAGAAATAGGCGGTGAAGCCCAGCGGGAAGGGCTAAGGAACAACTGACTTTTTGGCATCGGGATGGTCTTTGCGGAATGTTTCCACTATGGACTTTGCTTGGCGGGCTGCTTCTTCTTCTGGAATTGGTATCTGTCAATATGTGATCATTCATCCTCGAATGGGTTAAGGAAGGGGGATGTGACTGACTGTTCAAATCCACGATGGCCAAGTCGGCCCCGCTGATAACCATGCCCTCTGGAAATCCGGCTGTGTGAGCATTCTTCTTGATTTCTTATCTCCTTCCAGTCACCTGTTAATCATGATGAAACTTACGACCCATCACTAAACCCAACCCTCTAGCACCTCCCGTGACGAGGCCAACCTTGCCCTGCAATGAGAAGGTAGCCAGGGTGGGGAAGACATTGGCACCTGCTCGCCCGGCGCCCGCGACAGGTTTGGACGCGGGTAATTGCTCGTCTGGAGGGTACTCGACAGTGATTGATTCGTCAGTACGGGCGTATGAGCCTGCTACCGACGTGACATCTTCCTCATTTGGCTTCTTTTGGGTGCCGGTTGTGTTGCTCAAGGGCTTGCTTTTGTTGGTGTTGTCCTGCCGCCGAGACGCAGGGACGGAGTGGAAGCTGGCAGTCCGCGTGAGTGTGTCCCGGACTCGCAGGCCGGCCGGAATAAAAGTGGACTCGGCTGTGGAAATGATCTTGAGTAGCCGGGTCGTGGGAAACGCCCTTGACCCGGCAGCGCTCAATTGGACTCCTCTAAGAGGCAGAGACATGACCGTTTGGTCGGGATGAAGTTAGTTCTCGGTCATCGTCAAACCGAGGGCTCTCAGAGCGGGGAAGACAAGGCAGTTATACCTTGGGCGACTTGCTTGATCCGTATATCGGTCATCGTATCCAATGTCTAGACCACCAGAATGTGGAGCCTGTGAAGGTTGCAGTTGGGGCGGATCTGCAGCTGTGCCAAACACTAACGTTAGCTACAGCAGATAGGCGTGGGACATTGTGGATGACGACGTCAATTTGACAGGCCTGGAAGGCACTGTAAAGACGTGAGTTGCTGAGTGTCAGGGTTAGGGGATAAGATTACGGCGCCCGGAACGCAAGATCGTCCCAAAACCCAAAACCATCAAAAACTTTTCACTAGGTCCACACCACTACAACTTTGACACTATACTTCCAGCCACACAAGGTCTTGGCTAAATTTCTCCACTATTGTACTGGTACCTTCTCACAAACCGGGCAGTCTTGCAAGCCAGGCTCAACCACTTGCAAGTCGAATGGTCTTGCAAGTTGAATGGTCTTGCGAGGTGAATGCGTCTTGCAAGTCGAATGGTCTTACAAGTCGAATGGTCCTTGCAAGCAGAGTGGTCTTGTAAGCCGAGCAGTCATTGCAAGCCAAGTACCTTAGTCATTGTAGGCTAAGTAATTATTGCAAGCCAAGTATCTAAGGTAGTCCAAGCAGATGGGCTCAATCGTGCTCGATTGAACCACAAAACACGCGATTGAATTACAACGCAGGAAATTGAACTACAATATAGGAAATTGAACTATAGTATAGAAAATTGAACTATAATGTAGGCAATTGAACTATAAGCTTATAATGACTACCTGACTTACAAGACCATTCAACTTGCAAGACCATTCGACTTGCGAGACCATTCGACTTGCAAGTGGTTGACTGCCCGGCTTGCAAGGAAGTACTGGAACAATGGAGGAAGAATTCGGTTGGGTGGAAAGGGTGGCTGGGCTATGGCTGTAACTGCTATTTTGAGTAAGGTGGAATTCTTCAAAAATGCACTCGTGGGGTAAATGGATAAAAAGTTTTTGTTGGTTTGGGTTTTGAGACGATCTTGCGTTCCGGGCGCCGTATAAGATAAGCATCGCAGAGCGCCATCCATGGATGGGCCAATGGCGCACTTTTGAGAACAGCACAGAGCACCATAGCTCACTACCACAGTAACCTTAGCTCAGCTGGAACGGATAATGCGCTGGCTCGAGTTCTTGACATTAGCACTGCCTATAGACCTTGCGGGATTCTATAAGTGCTTCTGACTGGTCACTGGATCCCATTGCTTCCTTTCTCAAGCGCGGGTTGTCTTTGGACACAAGAGCTGCAAGCGACAACCGAACGCTGCCGTCGAACTGCCGATGCACTGCAGTGACGGTTTTGGGGCCACACACTGCCGTTCCTCTGGTGTATGGAAGACCTGGGGGTTCCCTCGGATAGCATCAGAGTTCAAGGGTTTGGCGGCTAGATGCTGGCTTCAATATCCCCGGGCCTTTTGATCGCGGCGTTGGTAGGTAGGATAACAGGAGTCGAAGCTGGCATGTCTCAATTTCAGATGAGCGAGCTTCAGGTCGCATCATGGAATTCTTGCATGTCAAGAATGACCGGACGATGCGAGCGCTGCGCATCAATTGGTACTACCGGCCCAAGGACATCGAGCGCAAGGTGCAAGACACGGGTCTTGTCCCGTCATGATGCACTCAGACATTAGCCAACTACCTAGTCGAAGGCTTCCTCCAGGCCCTTAGCCAACTATATCCAGCCAAAGGCCGCCAGTGAAGAGCGTGGGCATTGAAATCTGAAACTCCCACGGCGAGAGAGAGAGAAGGGGGGGGTTTATACTGGCGCGAACCAGTAAGGCCGGGCTGGACTTTCCTCCGTTGGTGGCATTGAGGATTGAGGATGGATAACAGCAAGAGCGAGATGCTCCAGTGTACCTCGGGAGCTAGATCCATAGCGCGCCACCCGGGTACTGCAAAATGGATACGGTCAGAGTTGTTCAGTGCCAAATGGTGTGGCCATGTCAGGACTATGTTGAATTTCAGTTAATGAATCAGCGTAACAGTCAAGGATCTAGCGCGGTCATATCACTCGAAGGGCAAGGCTTTGTCTTGGTTTCGTAGTCGTAGAGTCCCGATGGCTCAAAATGGGCAAGACTAGATCGAATCCCTTCGTGCATGTGCCTCGCTAGGCGGCTAGGGTGATGATATTCTAGTCCCTCTCTCCTGACTCACTGACTCATTAGGCTGCTGAGGACATGCAGTGAACTGAGATCAACTTGAAAGAATTTGAAGCTGATAAAAGTGTAATGAAACTAAGAGCTACTAGTATAAACAAGATAAAGTAAGACTTAGGTAGTTGGTTGGTATATCTCAGTCTTCTCAGGTCAGGTAGTAGTATTTAGGTACCTAAATATGTGAGATGATGTTTTCCATTTGCCTATTCGTCTTCATTTTCAAAATTCTCATGCTGTGGTGTTACATTGCTTTTGGAAGGCGTTCTTGCTGTCACGACCTCGCCCAACACTGTCAGAAGTGCAGGCGCGGTGACTCATTCTATTTCTGGCATCTCAACTTCGTTACTTCCCTCTCATCTCGGGCACTCGAGTCAACTCTCTTAGCTTTATAAGGGACCACCCAGCCCCAAGCAGCTCACGTCCCAGCGACGCAAACTCATTTCAGAGACCTACTTATCCACACAAGATAATGGGAGAGCAGACTGGACGTCGCCCGGTCCTACCAGAAGCTGGAAAGCGGAATGTTCTTATCACAAGCGCCTTGCCGTACGTGAACAATGTTCCTCATCTAGGCAACATCATAGGATCAGTCTTGTCTGCAGATGTTTTTGCCAGGTATTGCAGAGGAAGGGGCCTCAATACTCTGTACATCGGCGGTAAGTGACACTAGTCTAACCTATATATAAGATGATGTGGATCCTGACTTCCATAGGAACGGATGAGTACGGAACGACAACAGAGACGAAGGCCTTGCTAGAAAATTGCACACCCCAAGAACTTTGCGACAAGTACCACGACTTGCATGCCGAGATCTACAAGTGGTTCAACATCAGCTTCGACATCTTTGGCCGAACGACGACTCAGCTCCAGACAAGCATTACGCAGGATATCTTCCTGAAGCTGAAGGAGAATGGATTTCTCAAAGAGCAGATGACGACCCAGCTCTACTGCGAAGTCCATCATTCGTTTCTAGCGGATCGCTTCGTCGAAGGGGAATGCCCGGTCGGTGGTTACGCAGATGCTCGAGGTGATCAATGTGATCTTTGCGGTCAGCTGCTGGAGCCTCTTGAACTTAAGAACCCCCGTTGTAAAGTTGACGGTTCCACTCCGATTACCAGGGATATCAAACACGTTTTTTTTCGAGTTGGATTAACTTCAGCCTGAGATTGAGACGTTCTTCCAAGGATCAGCACAAAATGGTGGATGGTCCAACAACGGCAAAGTGATCACATCTGCCTGGCTTAAAGCAGGGCTGCATCCACGCAGCATTACCAGGGACCTGAGGTGGGGAACGGCAGTTCCTCTACCGGGCTACGAAGAGAAGGTCATCTATTCTTGGTTCGATGCCTGCATTGGTTACGTTTCCATCACGGCTTCGTACACCGATGAGTGGCAACAATGGTGGCGAAACCCTGACAACGTCCAGCTCTATCAGTTCCTCGGGAAAGACAATGTTGTCTACCATTCGGTGATATTCCCAGCCACGCAGATCGGCACCCGAGAGACCTGGACGAAGCTACACCACCTCTCGACGACCGAATACCTCACCTACGAAGGCGGCAAGTTTTCCAGATCTCGCGGTATTGGCGTGTTTGGGGAATCGACCCGGAAGACCGGCGTTCCTTCCGACGTTTGGCGCTACTACCTGATCTCTCGGCGCCCAGAGACTTCGGATAGCGAGTTCAATTGGGACTCGTTTATAGCTGCCAACAACGCGCTCCTGAAAAACCTGGGCAACTTTGTCAATCGGGTGCTCGAGTTCGTCAATGCCAAGCACTTCAATAACATCATACCCGGTCAAGCAGACGTTCATGATCCGTCATTTGAAGTTCTGAAGGACGAAGTGAACCAACTCCTTGCCCAGTACATCGAAGAGCTTGATTCCGTCAAGCTTCGGTCCGCCCTGTCTACTGTCCTCTCCATCTCGCAGCAAGGGAACGGTTTTCTTCAGTCAAACAAGCTGGATAATAAGCTTGCGGAGAATGAGCCATCCAAATGTGCGGCCGTGGTCAATCTTGCCGTCAATCTTATTCATCTCCTCGCCTCTCTCGTTGCTCCGTTCTTGCCGGATACGGCGAGTTCAATAAACAGGCAGCTTCGGATCGAACCCTTACCGATTCCCACACGTTGGAATGCAGATTCCATCAAACCTGGCCATGAGATCGGAAAGGCTGAATACCTATTCAGCAACATTAAGCCGGAGAAAGGCGAGCAATGGCGCGAAATGTTCGGCAGCGCAGAGGCGAAGAAGGTCAAGGTGGAAGAAGCCGAGAGGAAGGCAAAGAAAGAGACGGCGACGAAAGCGGGAAACAAGCAGGAACTTGCCTCCAAGGAACAGTTGAAACCACAAACGGCAGCCAACTGACCGTCGCTCTACAAGATCATAGGCTGGTTGTTTTCTCCGCCTATATCTGTCAGAGCACCCCAAACGCTCCCCTTTCCCTTTAGCTCTACTTTCGTGTAGCACAGCCCAGCCAGCTGCGACCATAGAAGTTACATTCAGGTTCAGAATCTTTCTGGCATCTCCAAAGTAGCCTAGGGATAGTGAATGAATGCCGACCGACACAGGCCATCGTAGATAACACACACCGGATATGTATGACAAAACGTCCACATCGGAGGCAGGGAACGCACTCAATGTGGTTGAACGCCTGGAAGCGTAAGCCGTCATACGGTGCAGGGCTCTTGTGATCTATCCATGACTGACATACGCGGTAGCCGAAGGAGATCCATGCATGTACGACGCGTAGATGTCAAACACATCGGGTCTTGAGCTAGGCAAACACCACATATCGGACAGCACGACAACCGATCACATATGAAGTTAAGAAACCCCTATACCTCGCTAACCTGCATACTAAAGACAAAATTAGGCTGTCCACCATCCCAACCTTTACAAACCTCCAAGGACCTGAAACGCTCATTTACATCCTGAAAACGCCAAACTTTGTCTCCCCAGGGTTAACCGCATTCCGGCCGCCCAACGCCGCCTGCAATCCCAGCCCGAGATATCTCCGTGTATGTGCCGGGGGAATAACACCATCATCCTGGTACCACCATGTTAGCGAATTGGGCAAGAAACGGGGAGGGAGGGCAAGGGAGGGAAAATAAAAACGATAGGACCCACCCATAACCTCGCCGAAGAAAACACAGCATCACTCTCCCTCTCAATCCTCTCCTTCAGCCCTACATCCACCTTTTGCCCGACCGTCTCCATGACACTAGCAAGCTGCTCGCCGCCCATGACACCAATCCTAGCATTGGGCCACATCCAAAGAAACCTCGGCCCGTAAGCACGGCCGCACATGCCGTAGTTGCCCGCGCCGTAGCTGCCGCCGACGACGACTGTGAACTTGGGCACGTCGGCGCAGGCGACGGCCGTGACCAGTTTTGCGCCGTTCTTGGCGATCCCCTCGCGCTCGGCGTCGCGGCCGACCATGAAGCCGCTGATATTCTGCAGGAAGACGAGCGGGACCCCGCGTTGTGCGCACAGTTCGATGAAGTGGGCGCCTTTAAGTGCCGAGCTGCTCAGCAGCACCCCGTTGTTGGCCACGATCCCAACCCGCTGCCCGTAGATGCTCGCAAAGCCCGTCACAAGCGTTGTTCCGTAGTCCCGCTTGAACTCGGCGAAGGCGGAGCCGTCTACGATGCGGGCTATCACCTCGTGGATGGGCAGCGGCTTGCGCAGGTTGGTGGAGGCGATGCCGAGGAGTTCGGATGCGGGGTACAGAGGCTCCTGGAAGGTATCTGAGGATGGTGATGATGAAGAGGAGGAGGAAGTGGCGGCGGATGGCCAGTTTAAATTGCTGATGCACCGCCGCGCGAGCACGATGGCGTGCGCGTCGTCTACCGCGAGGTAGTCGGTTACCCCTGAGACGGACGAGTGCATCTTGCCGCCGCCGAGATCCTCCGGGCTGACCACCTCGCCAGTGGCGGCCTTGACGAGGGGTGGACCGGCGAGGAAGATGTGGCCCTGCTCCTGCACAATGATGCTCTCGTCGCTCATGGCTGGGACGTAGGCTCCGCCTGCTGTGCAGGGGCCCATGACGACCGAGATCTGGGGTATTCCTGCCGCTGACATGCGGGCTTGGTTGAAGAAGATGCGGCCAAAGTGATCGCGGTCCGGGAATACGTCGGACTGGTGCGGCAGGTTTGCGCCGCCCGAGTCCACGAGGTAGATGCATCTGCCATGAGCATGAGCCCATACTGTCAGCTCGTGCTCAATGCTGACTCCCGATTGAGAGACTCACGGGAGCTTGTTTTCTTGCGCAATAGCCTGTGCCCGGAGGTGCTTCTTCACCGTGATCGGATAGTACGTTCCTCCCTTGACAGTGCTGTCGTTCGCTACGATCATGCAGGTAACGCCCTCGACAACACCAACGCCCGTGATTATACCGCCCGCGGGCACCTCGGCTTCCGGGTACAGTTCGTGGCCGGCCAGCGGCGACAGCTCGAGGAACGTGGTGCCCGGGTCGATCAGGGCCGTCACGCGGTCTCGGGGCAGCATCTTCTTGCGGGCGAGATGCTTCTCCCTGGCCTTTGCGGGGCCTCCTTGCTGCACCGTCTTGGTCAGCTCCTCAAGCCGTGCCATGGCCTCGCCCATGAGGCGCTCATTCTCTTTGTACTCGTCCGAGCTGGGGTCGACATTGCTCTTGATGACAGATATGGCCCCGGCGTGGTGCGGCGCGTTGAAGGTAGCGACGGCTCGTTTCGTTGTCGTTGCTACGGAACAGGACAGGACGGGGCGGTTGCGGGGCCGGAGTGACGTTGAGCGAGCGCATTGGCGTCCCAATTGCCGCGATAGAAACAGCATTTCCCTCGACGATGCGGAGAGCGACATTACCAAGGTTCAATTGACACGGCTTGCTACAGGTGCAATCATTGAGCAAAAAACACAGAGATTGGAGAAATAATAGGAATGAAAGTAAGGTATGGCCGACAGACGTCAACGACGGGCAAGAACTGGGGATGCGTCGGGACAGCGACACCGGCTTTGACTATCGTGGCTTGCACCGGCCCGAAGCCAGCCGATCTAAGCCGAGAGCGCGGCACATGGCACATGGCACATGGCCGCCAGGGGTTTTGGAATTGGAAAGAAGGAGCAGCTTAACCAGGCAAAGCTCTGAGCAATCGAGCTGGGAAGGAACTGGAAAGATATACACTAACCAGCCTCTCTTCTGCTTCATTTCCAACTCTCAATCCCCATCCAGCGCAGAATGGCTAGCACGGCGATATCACGAGCATTGGCTCGCTCGACCTCAACAGCGAAACCAAGCGCAACCGTCACCATCCCCCGCAGACAATTGTCACAATTGTCACGTCGCAGCATTGGCTCCACGCCGTCACCATCATTATCACCGTCGCCGTCCTCCAGAGCAGCGGCGGCAGCAGCCTTAACCCACCGACAACAAAGACGACATGCCTCGTCCAAGCACCCCAAGGGCTTTGAGCCGCCCTCACCGAGCGACCTTGCCGAACTGCGCGAGCGCGTGCAAGAGTTCACCCGGCGCGAGCTGACCGAGGAGGTGGCCGCGGCGACAGACAAGAGCAACAACTTCCCGGCCGGCATGTGGGCCAAGTTGGGCGACGCGGGACTCCTGGGAATCACGGCCGACGAGGAGGTGGGCGGGTTGGGGATGGGCTACCAGGCGCACTGCGTGGTCATGGAGGAGCTGTCGCGGGCGAGCGGGTCCGTCGCGCTGAGCTACGCGGCCCACTCGCAGCTGTGCGTCAACCAGCTGCAGCTCAACGGCTCCGACGACCAGAAGCACCGGTACCTGCCGGACCTGATTGCGGGGCGCAAAGTCGGCGCCCTGGCCATGTCCGAGTCCGGCTCGGGGAGCGACGTGGTCAGCATGCGCACCACCGCCTCCCAGGTTTCAGGCGGTTACGTGCTCAACGGCTCCAAGATGTGGATCACCAATGGCCCCGACGCCGACGTCATCGTCGTCTACGCAAAGACCATCCCCGACGCCGGGTCCAAGGGCATCACCGCCTTCATCGTCGAGAGCTCCACCCCGGGCTTCTCGTGCGCCCGCAAGCTCGACAAGATGGGCATGCGCGGCAGCAACACGGGCGAGCTGGTGTTTGAGGACGTCTTCGTGCCCCAAGAGAACGTGCTCGGCGCGCTGCACGGCGGGGTGCGCGTGCTCATGGAAGGGCTGGACCTGGAGCGGCTGGTGCTGTCGGCGGGGCCGCTGGGGCTGATGCAGGCGGCGCTGGACGTGGCGCTCCCCTACACCCACACACGGAAGCAGTTCGGGACTCCCGTTGCGCACTTCCAGCTGCTGCAGGGCAAGCTGGCCGACATGTACACCAAACTGCAGGCGTCGCGTGCCTACACGTACGCGACGGCCCGCGCCGTCGACGAGCAAGGCATCATCCGCACCCAGGACTGCGCGGGCGCCATCCTCTACGCCGCCGAGCGCGCCACCGAGTGCGCCCTTGACTGCATTCAGGTCCTCGGCGGCATGGGCTACGTCGAGGAGATGCCCGCCTCCCGCATCCTCCGCGACGCAAAGCTCTACGAGATTGGCGCCGGCACCTCCGAGATCCGCCGCATGGTCATTGGCCGCGCCTTCAACAAGGAGTATTCCCATTTGTCAAACTGAGTACCCAGCATGGTGGTGTAGTACACGTGGTGTCAAACGGGGTATAGTGGACCGCGGGGCCTAGAAAGGGATGGGCTGATGCGCTGCCGTCGAATCGGATTGGGTTCCATTGCAGCAAGGGGGTCGGGCTTTTCCCGTTCCTTGCGATTGCAGGATTCGAATTGGTAGAATCTGTAAGGGGTGGGAGAAAGAAAGAGAGTACCACAGCGGTTGGATCGACCGTAAGCAGTCAATTATCTTTGCTATGTATATTAGCAGCTTGATAGAGCACGACATAAGCATTCTGCACTTGCCATCAGTCTCCTATACAGCACCTGTTCCGCAAGTCATCCGAGAGCCCGTATTGACGGCAACTGACCTACCTCCCTGTAGGTCTCACGAGGCATCCGATCCGGATCTGCAGCTGCTTCTTCCCCGTGCCGGGCGATCTGCAACGGCGGGCCGTCTGATTGTGTTCAATGCCCAGCTAGACCCGGGGAATCCGCCCCCAACGACAGAATGGTAGTTTTCCCCCGGAATTATATGCTTTACTGCCCGGCCTTGCCGTTTCCGAGGTCGCTGTCCGTCCCATCCTTCGTTTCCACAGCCCAGGAGGAGCATTTTTAACAAGGGTGAACCCCGTCTGGCTACTTATGTATGTGTTGTTTCGTTGTCAGCAGACCGTAATCGGCTGTTTCTCAGGGTTCTGTTGCTTACCGCTTTTTCATTTTCGGGCTGTCCCTTTCTGGCAACCTACAGGTGCACAGCTGATAATATGAGCTTTGCATTCTTGCTGTTTATGTATCGGCTAGCTTGTCCTCCAAATCCATTCATGCTCTGCTCAAGACGGGTATCTGGATCCATATTGGATGGAACGCTTCGGTTGCAGTCTGGTGGTACTCCTTATGGTAACCCCAGAGGAGATCTGGTGGATGAGCCTGGCCCCATCTCACGTTGCCGCCCTGTCGAACTCGGAACCGGGAACTCGGCAGATGGAGCGCATCCCTAAGGCTCACGCCCAATTTTCCGCTTTGCCTCAGGAGAGCGCCACAGCCGCGGGAGGCGGAACAAGTATGCAGTGTGTTGTACATACAGAATCAAGGCGGAAGTGGGGTAGACGATTACACTCCGGGCCGAGCAACGGGTTGCCATTTTAAGGAAGTGGAAGAAATTGATGAGGGCGGAATGGATCATCCACCTATGCTACCACACAGACTGGCGGCCGCTGCGAACGGGTCGAGTATAATTCAGTGTGAAGACGAAGCGGGGTCCGAGAATCCTCGCGGGAATACCCAAGTTCATGGGATTTGGTGTTTTCCAGGAAAACCAGAAATTGTTCAGCGGCTTCTACCCCTATTGGTGGCCCCGGATGCTCGTCGAATTCGGAAACTGACAGTTCGGAGACTCCGCTGAGGATTCTTGCATGTTGGCCAGTCTCAATTGAAAGTTACCAATGAGATGGTGACTTAACTTGCCAACCGTAGTTTTAGCTGACTCCCTGTTATCGCACTATCTGAATTTAGTGTTCCCCGGCCAAACCCGCAAACTGCAACTTTGCCGTTCTTGTGAGGAGGACCTCAAATCGATGAGTGACGCAGAAATGTAGCCTCGCTTGCCAGACCGCAGCTTGGCAGCTTCCTGTCTCATACGTTGGACGAGGTCAAGCTGCAGTGCATGCCAGAGAAGAATCTGGCATCGGGTTCAAAAAGTCTGTGAGCGGCTGACCCGGATTGTATGGCAATGGCAATCTCAACTGAGATGGGAATTTATCACTTGCCGGATGTGACTATAACCGAATGGCACTTCGTCATCCGACCGGTTCCTTGCCTTCCAGCTCGGCGGCACTCAGTAGCATCCGGCTGGGCGAAGTCACGGCAAGCCGATGACGCCGTGGCTTGCAGTGATGCTACTCGGCCCAGCCGGCTACTTTGCGGTGATGCGGCAATAAATGTTCCACTCCGAATTTTGATGCCGCGTGGGGGTCAGTGGTAAATGAGGGCGGTCATATGGACAGGAAGGGGATCAGATTATCCGTCAAACGATTGGATCTTGTACATGTGGCCTTCTCGCCGAGCCGAAAGTTCTCAGCACTTAAGGTTGACAACACACTGGTGGTCGAGACTTGGTAACCGTGGCGCCGGCATGTGGAGAGGTCGTTATTGGTCCTCATTCACCGCCTTGCATGATCTGCGGTGCTCTGGTATGCTCCGGCAAGCAATCTAATGTCCGCTCCAGCTGTTGGTTCGTACGATCAGGGCTTTCTCTGGAGCCATGAGCACACCGGTTGCTAGGGTCCTCTAGGGTGACCGCTGCCGTGGCTGGGTCGCTCTTCTCGAGGAGTGTAGGGCTGATGTTCGGCCATTTAAGCTTCGGACCTTGTTGGGACCACGCGGCTGGTGCGGTGACATCCCGAGTTCCCCGAGCTGAGGTCTTGGGATGCGGCGCCGATGGTCTGTGGCTCTCCAGATTTTCACTCCAGAGAATCGGCTTAATGTGGGGTATCGGCGGCTGCAAGGCACTCAAAGCCCGGCAAGCATAGGAGATAGGGGTTGTACATGGATGCAGACCTCCCTTACACCGTTAGTCCTCGCCATCTTGCAAAAGGTGATTCGCTGAAGCTTTGTTGTCTTGCATGCTGTGAGCGCCAAGCATTGAGTTTGGTCCCACGTCCTCACCGGTCGCTCGCTTTCCCTTGCCATTGCTCAGACAACGTTCCGACCATATGGGTGCAATGAAGCACGCGTGCTCAGGAGATTGATTGGCTGCGAAGGTTCAAGGAAAAAGTTGTGGCCGGGCGATAAAGGGGACTTGAGTTCCCGTCGACGCCACATGGTATACCAGTTGAACAACAATCAGTACCCGGATAGCTGACGGAGTTGAACTCTTCTGTCCTCGGCAGGCGCACAGCTTCTCAAATTTGAGTATTGACCAGTTGCTCCCTACAAGCGACAATGGCCACTTCCATGAACGAGTCTGACCTCATGCTCTGGCTGGACAATATCGACAAGAGCATGGGATTCCGGCCAGCGAGTGCGCTCGGCATGTCTTGCGGGACTGTGACTATTGATATCGCCAGAGCCAAGGTCCTTGTGGTCTGGAATAAGCGGCTCAAACTCTACCAGCTTCCCAAGGGCAGGAGGAACATCGGCGAGAACATGCTCGCTGCGGCACTCCGTGAAACGTACGAGGAGACGGGCCTTCAGGTCACGCCGCTCCGGCTAGACATCGCAACGAGGGCGACACCACCCCGGACGGAGAAGTTCGGCAAGGCAATGAGAAGCCCAGATATTACCGAGGGCCACCCGAGTAACGAGTTTGTCGGTGTATGTTTATATCCGGACCCGCAGTCCGAAACCGAGGCGCTGAAGATTGTCTTCTTCTTTGCGGCAACGGCTGATTGCACGGCTACTCGGGACTCTGGAACTCAGGAGGAATGGGAGAAGCTTGATGCGAAATGGATACCATTCTCGGACGTGTCCAGAATACTGCGTTTCCAAGCCGAGATTGACATAGTCATGAAGACCGTGCAGGACATGAAGAGGTCGGGATATGTTGTTGGAGATGGTTTCCTGTAGCAATCTGGTTTCAGAGGCTGGTGAGTAGGACAGGTGACACCTACCCGGGTCAATGGTTTCACTCTGTGTGTGCCAGTGTGATTGCACTTTGTCCCCCCACTTTTTAATTTCTTTTCATTCGTTGTTTGAATGCTGAAAAAGTCATGCAGAACAGCGTGAGACGCGGTGAGTTGACGGTGTCTTCATATAGTCCGAATATAGAACACATGTACTCCGTAGTGTCTGGTTGGAGCCGTGTTTATTAGGTTGACTGGGCGAGCTGGGTTTGAACTTTGAAGAGGTTGTTGAATGGAGGTCGTGTCGCGTAACGTCAAAGCTCTCTCAGTGGAGCAGGAAGGAGCTTTGTGGAGCCTGTGCACAAAAGCTGTGATTGGTCAGTTGTTTCGGCAAATGCAATGGGAAGAAATGGAGAATCGCGATTGACATGATGACATCACACGGATACTGCGTCTGGGCTACCCCGCCAGGTTGTGCTGAACCAATTCATCGTGAATGGCAGTCCAGAACAGAAGGAATAATACAGACATCACCAGAAGGTAAGAATGACTAGATTTTCTCATAACAACGACACTTGAGGAGATAGAGGTTTATTTGCTAGTTTGATACATTTTTCTGTCTAGAGGCAAAAAGAATCCATAGGTCTGCGTAGCTGTTTCCCTATGCCCAAGCCAACTCAGCTTCGTCTCGCTGCCAGCAGCGTCCACTACCCCGCACCTGCAAGCATCTCCCACCCACAACCAGGCACATATTCCCGTCTTTATTCGGGCAATCGTCTGCTTCCATTGTCTTCTCGCTCGCAAATACCCTCGACCCGTCTCTTGAAGACTTCTTCAACTGTTCCTAATACTTCGCCATATCCAACCGCCAAAATGTCGACTATGCCAGCGAGCCACGGCCACAATGAGGCCTGCTGCAACATCCCGCCAGTCGTCTCCACGGGATACGCGGCAAAGGGCTCCTATGATGAAGTTGATGGCATGAAGACTTGTAGGGACCGAACGACTAGCTTTGCAGCCAGACCGCCATCTCTAACTCCTGCGCAGATGTGACCGGCCCTGCCGACGCCACCAAGGGAATCGTTATGATCTACGACATCTTTGGCTACTTTGACCAGACGGTTCAGGGCGCCGACATCCTGGCCACCAGCCACGAGCAAAAGTACAAGGTCTTCATCCCTGACTGGTTCAAGGGTGAGCCCTGCCCCATCGAGTGGTACCCGCCCAACACCCCCGAGAAGCAAAAGAACCTCGGCGCCTTCTTCGGCAAGAACCCGCCTCCGGGCGTGGCCGGCAAGCTCCCCGAGTTTGTCAAGGCCCTGAGCGCAAAGAACCCCTCAATCAAGTCATGGGGTATTATTGGTGTACGAAAAAACCCCCTTCACTGTCCCATGAAGCAAAATCGCTAAATACATAAATGAAGTTCTGCTGGGGCGGCAAAGTAGTAAGCCTGGTCACGTCGGGCGACGCCAACCCCTTCTCGATTGCCGCCGAGTGCCACCCGGCCATGGTGGACCCCAAGGACGCCGAGGGCATCAAGGTGCCGCTGATTATGCTGGCGTCCAAGGAGGAGCCCGACGACAAGGTCAAGCAGTTTGAGGCCAACCTCAAGGTGCCGGCCAAGCACGTCGAGACCTTCAAGGACCAGATCCACGGCTGGATGGCGGCGCGCTCCGACCTGTCCAACGACCGCGTCAAGGAGGAGTACACGCGCGGCTACAAGACGGTGCTCGACTTCTTCGCCAAGAACTGGCCGTGAGTGACCAAGGTTTGGATGTCTAAATGCCAGATTGAAACGAGAGGCTAAGATGTCGGGTGACAAGGATTGGTTCTCAGTCAGGGTCTGCTCGGTTGTAGATAAACTGTACATGTAAAACATAATCATCTAAACTAGGAAAATCAAGACAGAGTAATTTGTAAGATCATCAATGTCAAATGCGTACTACCTAACCTGAAATTTCCTATTCAGGGGGGATGTTGAGCGTGACGAGCGGTGATATGAGGGAAGGTTGAGGAGATATCTTGCTCATCCCACATCTGACGGTTGGGGAAAAAAAAATACAAAAAGGAGACATGGACAGAGATAGCTCCAGATTGATAAAGGGGAAAACAAAAAAAAAAACCGAAAGAAGCAATGGGAGACCAAAAAAAAAAAACATACAACACCAGGGATTCGCTGGTCGTCACCGACCCAACTACTAATCTGGCCCTTAATGGTTTATCTAGGGGAGAGCGGACGGGATCCCGAGCTTTCCAGTAGGTGTGGTCGTATGTGAGGGAACTTTGAGCGAATTTCGCTTCATCTAGGCAGTAGACAAAGAACAGTCAATTGCAAGCAGAGCATTTGTCTTGCAACGGCTGTGCGAGGCCAGTACAATGCGAAGGCAGGGGACAGGAGGAAGTCGCCGGAGGAACAGATTCCAGACTTCCCAGCAGCAGTGTTATCAACCTGATAACAGCAACCCAGACCTGGCTTCGAGTGGATATATGCTAGCTCCTGAACTGCAGCACAATACAAGTCCCCGAAGCTACCTACCTTACCCACTTCAGGATTCCCATACACCACAACACAGCAATATAACAAGGACACAAACTAGGTCGCCAGTCCACATAATACAAAACACATTCCGTTACAGCCCGATTGTCCAAACCACCAAACCCACCCCCCTACCAGCCTGACAACACAAAGTAAAATTACAATTAGCATAACAAATCACATCACGACCCAGTCGTCGAAGACTTCCACATAGCCAACCCCCCTGAATTCCTCCTCGCCACGCCTGGCCGACCCGCCGACGACTCCTTCAGCCTCTTTCCCAGGCTCAACTGCGCCGCCGAGATGGGTTCCTGGCCCCTCGGCGGGGGTTTCACGCCCGAGAGTAGCCCGCCCGGTGGCACGCCCGTGACGGTCACGGATGGGATCCCCAGGGGGTTGGGGTGGTGGTGCTGGTGCCGGGCCTGGCCACTCTCTCTGCCTCCGGCATCACCGTCTCCGTTATCGTCATCATTATCATTATCGTCATCTTCGTCTGCACGATGACCCATGATCCCTCCTCTCGCTCTCCTCCTTGTACCGCCCTTACCGCCGCCCAACCTGCTACTGATGGTATTAGCCGTGGGGGTAGCGGCGCGTCTTAGTCCCACGCTTCCGTGATTTGTCCCGTTGGAGTCATGCGTCGTGGCACCGGAACCGCCACGGTCACGGCTGCTACCACTTGAGTTGTAGTTCCTACCAAGCGAGAACGCAGCCGAGTCCGCAGGCGCCGATTTCCTCCTCGACCGCTGCGGCGTGGCCTTGACAGGGCTGGACAACAGCCGCTTGCCCTCCCCTCCCCCGGCAGAGCCAACCCGTTCCCTGTCTTTGTCCCTGTCCTCCGCCGCAGAATTGTCCTGCCCGTACCAACCACCGACAAGCGCAGCCCAAAGGCCGGGCCAGCTGTCGGCGTGCGCGGTGGTCGCCTCCTCGGCACAATTGCAGTCGTGTCCGACGGGACACTCGGCGCCGCCCAGGGCATGCCACTCAGCCAGGCAGGACTCGTGCGACACGCAGCCACATGCCAGGCAGGGCGTGTACAGGCCGACGACGGGCTCCCAGCAGTAGACGCACGCCATCTCCGTCTGGGGCACGAGGTCGGGTGCAGTGTACAGATCGCGCTCCCCAGCGGCGGCGCCGCCCCGGATGGTGGAAGCGGTGCTGCTGTTGGCGCTGCTGCAGCGGTGGCAGACGCCCACGGCGCCATTGACGCGATGGCCCCTTTGCGCGGGGCGGAGGTACTCGGCCGGCTCGAGCGGCACGCCGTCGTGCACGCGACAGAAGCCGGTTATGTCGACGCCCCGACCGGATGCGAGGAGATCTTGGAAGAGAGCCCGGCGGTCTGCAAAGGGGGAGGTTGGGGAGGTGGCGCCGCCTGTGGGGTAGAAGGAAGGTGTATTATTGGGGCTGTTGGGCTCGTCGAGTTTGACATTGGTGTTTTCCGTGTTGGCATGGCTGCTATGTGATGTGCTTCTGCCGTCAAGAGACGAGGACAGCAGTTTGTCTTCTTTGAGGACGTCAAATTTCATGATTTCAAGGCGGGATAGCGGCTGATCCCACATGTGGAGCATCTCAGCGTATGCGTAGCGGTAGTTGGAGTAGATCTGTCCGCGTTGGCGATCAATCAGAGAGGTTGACATCCACCCGTCGTCGTCAAAGAGACCTTGGTTCTCTGGGACGCAGGACACAGCCACGGGCACCATGGAGAACAAGTCGTCTTTCAGATACTCGTCGTCCGATAGCGACGTTCGCGACGTTCCAGGAGTCTCAGGAGCAGCACCACCAAACACAGTTGAGGTGGCCCAGGTAACGGCACTCGGTGTAAGATTGCTAGAGCTGGTCTCGGCGGGGCTCAACCGCTTCCGGGCCCGCTCTGGGGGAGACGCAGAGACCTGGACCATCCCAGCAAGGGCTCGGGGGAGACTGGCAGCGATCGCAGCAGCAACAGTCGAGTTGGAACGATAGAATAGTCGCGTGTTTGGAGAGGTAGACAGGCTCTGGGTCTGGCCGACCTCCCGTAGATGTTCCCGTGCGAGGTTTGGTGGTGTCTCTCCACAGGAGTACGAGTGCGACCTGGACTCCGCCATGCCGAGAACTTCATCCGAGCCCTGCGAGTCAGAGTACATCGCAGGTGTGGTCGCTGTCCTTGGCGTTGTAATCGCTGAACTAGCCTGGCTCTTGTAGTTGTTCAGATACCAGAGCGCTGGGTCCGTGGGGAAATACTCAAGGGAGAATGAGGGGGCTTTCATAGGGAGTGGCGTTTTGGGCTGGGGGAGGTGTGATGCTGCGATGGCTGCTTCTTCTTCCATTGAATAATCGCCAAATATGCATGCCAGCATGGCCAACATCTGGATATCAGCAATCTTCTCGTAATAGTCAAAGAGATCGTTGATGAGGTCACGAGCCAATGGGTGATGGCCCCATCTGACCCTCCCAGCTAGGCTGGCTTCATGCGTTGGGCCTTTCGCCTCCGCGTCTCTGGTACGAGCGACGGCATCCCTGGCAATGACGAGCACGGGCTGTCCGCTATGTTGGAGATCATGTATCTCCAACGGGATGTCTCTCCGAAGGAGCAGGGCTGCATACCTCCAAACATGGGCCAGGTCTGGGTGTCCATACTTTTCGGCAACCGCTGCGTTATGACTGCAGACATCTGCTCCGTCGCCGAAGATGGCATACTCCTGGGCAAGCTGCCTTTTCGACGGTAGCTCGTTTTGCATGTCGTACATTGAGATGATATTCTTAGGCTTGCCGGTTCTCTTGCGGCTCGTCCCCGTGCCGGTCCCGGTTCCGGGACCCGTTCCGCCTCCGCTGGAGCGGAGAGACTCGTTGGCACTCCACGTTTTCCGAAAATGACGGCCCGGCTGGTACCAGAAATTGATCTTGTGCACTGTGGCCGCCTCCGAGTCGGTGGATGTTGCCGAGTCTGTCTCGTCCGATTCCCCGGACTGGTCCTCTGTTGCAGATGCTTCGTCGTGGAACCGATGCTTGGGCGGCGGTGAGTCGTGGGCAAGACGCCCAAACCCGGCAAAAGCGGGCTCTCCCTTTGGTCGCTCCCGATACGCGTCAGGGTGAGGGATAGCGAACAACACCCTTGCCTTTTCCTCCTTTGTCGGAAAGAAACACACAAGCCTGCCGTTATTGGAAAACCTGGCGCCGCAAAACCTGGGTGGCGGTGGAGCGGCCGGGCGTTGGGCTGGAGCCAGGGTCGCCGAAGGGTCTAGTTCTGTGCTTCCGCTCAGCTCCTGTGACATGGATGCCGAGCCGCCGGTGGGCGCGTCATTCTCATCCTCTTCGCTAGAGCTCTCATCAGCCAGTCCATCGATGTCATCGTCCAGATCTCGGACGTTCTTGAAAAAGGCTGTGCTAGTCTCTAGGTCCGTTTCCCCGAGGAGATATGTGAATGCTGTGTACAGGCAATTTTGCTTTCTCTGCAAGTATCGATTCCCCAGTTCCTGAAGTTCCCTTTCAAGCTTCCTGTGAGTCTCGTCCGGCATGAAGGAACTTTTCTCGACATAGAATCTCGGTGCTTTTGTCTTGGGATAGCTGGTAGGAATATCCACTTTTACCTTGATGAATATGGTTTCTCGGTTGACGCCCCATGGGCCTTTCAAGGAGGCATTCAGAGTGAGGGAGTCCATGTCAATGTTTTCCCATTTCACGTTGGGAAGTTGACTGCTGATGCGGAGGAACTCATCCTGGATCGCCTCGGGCTGTTCACCCCACCCATCATCAAACCCAGGGCTGAACAAACCTGAGCCCTCCGGACCTGTTCGGGCGGGGGGATCCGCGCTCGACTTCCTTTTGGACATGTTGATGCCCTTCATCCACCCTATTTGTAGCTGAGTCTTGTCCATATGCTTTCTGGTATCCGTCTTGGCTTTCATGGAAGTTGCACTCCAGGATGGACCCACACGACGAAGGCGTGAATTCAATCCAGCACTGAGGGCGCTCATGCGGGATTGCCCACCACTTCCGGGGCGGGGATCGCTCATTGTCGGGCTCCTGCGATCATGGTGGACGGTGTCATCGACGGTGCGGAAGGTTTTGTAAATGGCACCTTTTCGGGTGAGTAAAAGGTTCTTCATCACCGGCGCTCCCCGAACGTGGCCCACTGACTCCAAAATACGGGGTTCGACCTTATGAAGGCGCAGCTCGTTGTCTTCGCCCCAAGAGACCAACTGAAACTCGCGGTTGTCTAGACCGTCGTTGGTCACGCCGCCACGGCTTCGCCAAAGAAATTCTTTCGCCTTGTGGTTTCCATGACCCGGGAAAACGGCCACGGGGTCAACGGGGCCGTCTGTCGGGGCGTTGGGTCCGAGCCGCTGATCGTAGAGGTACAGGTTGCCTGGTTCCGTCTGGGGCATTGCAAGGAGCCCTGAACCAAAAGGAGTATGGCGAGCTCGCCACACAGGGAAGTCGGTGCGAATGACTCTCTGGGGCCTATCATCGTCCTGGCCGTAGTCCCAAAACTTGATACTTTTGTCCAAGGAACAAGTAACCAAGCAGGTGGATTTCGTCCGGTTCCAATCAAGGCCGTAGATTTTGGATGTATGGGCGCTGATTGTTTTGAGGGGCTCTGCAGCCCGCCTGTTGTCCCATATGTGAAGCCAGCGATCGTGGGCTGAGGCTAGAACGTGAGGATCCTGGCGATTGTACTTGACCTGCGTAGCGCCCGCAAACCAATCGCAAAAGCCGAGTACAGGCTGCCGTGGCCTCCGCAGGTCCCAGCAATACACATATCCGTCAACGGAGCAGGTTGCCAGGAAATCTGGGTGGTGTGCGGAGAAGTTGATGTCGGTGATGGCCCTATTGTGGGCTTGAAGAGAATGCTCGATGGCGCCAGAGGACGAGTCGTCCCGCTTATTGAGATTCCAGACGAGACAGCGATGGTTCGCTGTGGATGCAACCCAGTAGTCCCGCGCTGCAAAGGGCGACCACTGTACGTCGACCACGAGCCAAGGGAGCCCATGGCTGCTCAGCCTGCGAGGAGGGCTATATGGAGAGTCCAGATCTATGATGGCGAGGCCTTCGGGTCTGGGAGCTGCAGCGTCAGCACCCGCGACATAGGGACATAAGGAATGGAAAATGAAAGGGGGAATTCACGATGCAAGAGCAACGTCTCTGCCCGAGGGCGAGATGGTTGCAGATCCCACGAGGCCATCCAGATGGATTGTTCCATCAGCATCGAAACTCTCGCTGTCGAAAGCCGACTTTATCGATTTCCCCTTTTTGGGAACATCCACGTTGCGGATGGAAGAGGAGGGCATGGTCTTTAGCCTCCCTGGATGCCAACCATTGCGAGGTTGTGTTGGTAGGTAGTAGGCTGCTCGACTGGGAAGAGTGGTCAGATGGTTAACAGTCAACTTGCATTTCCCATCTGCAGGGACCTGCTAGCTCTCTAGCTGCAGCTCGCTGATATTTTTCCTTTATCTCTTTCCTTCGCCTGCAATATTAAAAAATCATATCATGAGCCGGGGTAAGTTGACCACCATTCACACATTTTGATCTATCCTGGTAATCATGGATGAACTCGACTGCCCTGGCTGAGGGGTTGAGATGGTAACAACAGGGTGAGGAACTCGAGACCGAGGGTTAGGTGATGTTGGTAGCTTTGTGAGAGCAGGTCCCCACCCTCAGATGCCAGGGACGGGTGGAGCCCCGGGTCATGATAAACGGATGTTTCCGAGAATTCAGCGGTGGCCTGTGCACCTGTCCCGTCGTCGCTCCTTGTCGGGCTGCATTACTAACATCCCACTTGCTGCCCTGTGCTTGTCATTCAGCTTGGCTCTAGCAATCACTTTCTGAACGGCAGCATAATCAATCTTGCGATACTGCTCCCTGTGTCTTCTCACCTGCTTCCAGGGCTCTGCGCGATATCTGCCCTGTCGTTCATGTAACTTGCCTACAGTTTGACGAACACACATCTACGCCCCAGTGTGGAACCCCACGTCGCCCTCCCGTCGGTACAGACCCCACGTTAGTGTCATCTTCGGGTATCTCTTGGCTGCTTGCAAGACGATCGACGATAGAGCTACCGGGGTACACAGGCTCCCTATCCCCTGGACTCGGCTTGTACCACGAACTGGCTTAGTCCTCGTTAGGTCCTACCATGGCTCTGCCAAAGAGAATCGTCAAGGAGACGGAGCGGCTTATGGCCGAACCGTATGGAACACCCCTCTCATGGTCCGTCTTGCTCGTTGTCTAACTCGGCCTGCAACAGAGTTCCCGGCATCAGCGCAGTGCCTCACGAAGACAACCTACGATATTTCGATGTTGAGATCCACGGCCCCTCGTCATCGCCGTACGAGGGTGCGCGCTACCCCCTCCCTTGAATGAAGCCAAGTGGGCTGCATCCCGGCTCACATAGAACCACAGGAGGAGTCTTCAAGCTCGAACTTTTCCTTCCCGATGATTACCCTATGGCGCCGCCCAAGATCCGCTTCCTCACCAAGATTTTCCACCCAAACGTGGACAAGCTGGGCCGTATCTGCCTAGATGTCTTGAAGAGTGAGTGACACCGTCGAGCCATGTGGCCCCCGGCTGACCAGATATCCAGACAACTGGTCCCCAGCCCTGCAAATCCGAACTATCTTGCTGTCGATCCAAGCCTTACTCGGCGCTCCAAACCCGGATGACCCGCTGGCTGCCGACGTTGCCAAAAGCTGGAAGGAGGATGAGCAGGCTGCCATTGCGACAGCCAAGGCGTGGACACAGCAGTATGCCGTTCCAAAGTAGTCCCGGTAAACCCAGCCTTTTGATATCGCAGTTGGAAGGGCAAACTCCTGGATTCTCGGCCCAGCAATTTACAGTGGCATTTCAGGAGTAGAGGGGTGAGATCCGATCCAACCAATGTCTGTTGGAAGTCCTTGGAGAGTAGTATTCATGGAGAGGACTCACAGGAGGCGCAGATCAGACCATCAGGCAGGTTGGTGAAGAGGACCGCGAGCTGGTATACTTTCATGAATACCTGAAGTCGATGTATCGAGAACTTGAAGCCGGAATTCCCGAGTACATAGGAGGGTACTCAAACAGCCCTTTGCATATTCATTCAGAGCTTTCCAACAATCCAAATCGCAAGACTGCGGTGTGCTCACCACGACCCTGTTGCTGCCCGACATACTGCGTTCACGTCCTCAACTCTGACAGTCTGGTCGTTCCTAGATCCAGATTCCAAGCTCAATGAGCCCTCAGCTGCCTACCGAGTTTCCCGGGCAACCATGACTTAAAATGCCCTCCTTACCACAGACTTGGTCGGGGAAAGGGCCAAGACTATTGTCAACATGAGTACCTTATGCCTGGCCTATGCCTGAGGTGTACGTACTAAGAGTATGGCTGACGATGCATACGTGGGCATGAAATGCCCCGCCTACGGTGCTTTGCGTACCTAATCAGAACCACGGATACAACAGTCATCGGCAATCTATCAGTGCCATCGGCTCTCCATCTTGAAGCGACAGTTTCATTGCAACCATCATCCCGATGGCCGCAGCTCAGTAGTTCGAATGCTGGGCTGCGCCCTTGCTTATATATGATGCCCACAAGCCCGTTTGGCTTCGTTGCGAGCCAATAGATTGGCTGGCTCGCACCCACCTGCAGAACCGCGCATTCACTTTGTGTCCCAATCTGAAACAGGGCGACAGCTGGTGACCGGATCGTGGAAGGGGATCCGCGCGATCGGGCGGTGCGACCAGGTGTCGAGTCCCGGCTCGGATCTTACCAACGGATACCAGGCGATTCATGCCATTCGGACGGGGAGGAGAGGGTACATAGAAGTACGCATATTGGCAGAACTCCGCTCACTCTAAAAGTATTTGAGATTCCCGGTAGCCTACCGAGTTCTCGGTAACGTTAAAGGGTTGAGGTCATCGTTTGCTGTCGCAGTGACTGATCGTGAGCGTTGACTGACGAAGAATCGGTGTTTCAACTGCAAGCCAGCTGCAGCCAGGCTGCAGTGTGCTGTGTCAATCGGGCCCGGCAAAGTTACCGAACCAACCTAGGGACACTTCCCTTTCGGGCATGGCCGCAGTCCCGCCTTCCCTTCCTGTGGATAGGTCCAACCGTTGTCCCTGCGCACAGGGAGCTTCTGACCTGGGATAACCCTTTCTCTCCTCAAGCCATTGCGAGCTCAACTCGCTCCGGACAGCTCGCAAAAACAAACCCAAACAAGGTCAAAAGTGTAGATATTTCGTCCAAGCAATTTTTCCTTAGTTCAGCCCACAACAAAAGCACCCTAACCAGCTAGCAGGTGCTAGTGGCGTTTGCCTGCCCTCCCGGGTCTCGGGCCTTGTATTCTTCCTCCCCCCTGGCTGACCAGGAGCATCACCGATCGACCGTTTCGTTTCCCTCAAACGCATTTGGCCCCAACCCCCCGGCGCCTCAAGACGCCTGTGACTTAGCGTATCTGCACCACCAGCATCCGCTCTGGCTTTCTGCTCCATTTCCATTCGGCTTCCATCGCGTGGTCGACGTTCCCTCCCCTGGCAAACCTGACGTCGCTCCTGGCTGCCCGTCGGTATTAGCGGTCTTTACTTCAAACACGGCAGTGGTGTGGTTACCTTCCCCATCCCGCCTTGTTACAGCGCACCCCTTTCCCCGTCAACCGAACGAGTACATACGGCAGCCGCTGACCGGCCCATCCTGCCGCGCCGGCTCTCCTCTACGTTCGTTCGTCCGTCATGCCGTCACAAACAAACAGCACCACGGTCAAGCCTGCGGGCACCGTTACGAGCAAGCGGTTTGAGCTTCCAGCCCTGGAGTTCAAGTTCGGCTCGCTGACGGAGGGTACCGACATCCCCCCGCCCCTGCCATCGCCGATAGAAGAGAAGGCCGGGCCGACACCCCCCGACACGCCCACGGCCGGGAAGAAGCAGCAGGATGAGACCAAAGCAACCAACGGCAAGCCGGCCGCCTTGGCATCACCCCAATCTCAGGCGTCGAGCAATACATCGGGCGGCGGCACCAAGCGGCCGGCTGAAGACAGCCCAGCCTCCCCGACGCTGTCGGCCCGCCCGGGCAGCATCCGCCGGCTGTTCAGCCGGGGCCTGCTGAACAGCGCGTATGCGCACGGGGACGAGCACAACAACACCAGCACCGGTCCGGACGGTCGGCCGTTGAGCCCCGGCAGCAGCAGCGTCGCCGACTCATCGCGCAGGGCGAAGCGGTCTAGCGGCTGGTTCGGCCGGCTCCGCGGCGATAACGCGCCCGCCAACAACAAGGCCGCGGCGACCCCGCTCTCGCCTGCGTCTACCACCACAAACGAGAAGAAAGCGACCGGCCCCCCACCGCCCATGATCCCCGAGATTAGCGAACTCAAGTCCAAGTTGGGCGTCCCGGATGAGAATGGGTTTGGGAGCGACTTATTCAAGGATATAAAGTGAGAAAGGACCGTCTCTCCATTGGTGCAGACGAGGTACGAGATATGTTTGCAAGGGGCCTCACGCCGCCTCGTTTAAGGAGGCAGGTGGGAGGAGTTCTGTTGAGACGTGGATGCAAGATACCCGGCTTGTTTTTTTTCGTTTACTCCTTTTTTGTCCTTTTTAATCCACGGGCACAACCATTTACCTGACGAAAATTTTCCTTTGATCTCTGTTGACTACCCCATTCTGCTTACATTGGTTATTGTACTTGATGCTTCATGTCCCTTGGTCCGCTCCAAAAAGGCGTGACTAAATGTCTGAACTGCTTATCTCTCGCTGACCCTGTTTTCATTTTTTGTCGAAACCAAATCCAGTTTTGATGGACATTGGCCATCCGCTGCTCACTTGTTGCAGACGATATTGGTACATGTCCCTTCTAAAGGGAGGAAATATTTGGTGGTTGGCCTTTTGCCTTTTGGTTCTTGTCCCTTGCGTGGGCCGTATACAGTACACTATAATTTTAGTGTGTTGGGAGAAAAAAGACCCTCATCAGAGAGGGAGTATGTTGAGAGAGAGAGGAGAGAAGGAGAGGAAGAGAAAGAGAAGCTGTTGTGGACGTTCTGTTACGCAGCGCTTACGATTTGGACCTGCTTATGGCTGCTTTGTTATTGAGATTTGTCTGCTTCAAGGTCACATCTGTGGATTACAAAAGTAGGAGGACCATCAAGAGTTCCCCTACCCATTGGATTAGATAAAATTGACAGTTGACCGTCGCTACTGAGCATTGCTGGGATTGACACCAGAAAGTGCTGGCATTGTGATTTGAAATCATCGGCGACGTACTCCGTACTGTGTGCGAAGATATGCTCCGCTTGGGGGTGAGGCGTTGCCGATTTGGCCTTGGAGATGGAGATGATGCTAGATTCCATCTATAACCGGTCGTCAAGTCTGTCCTCACGCCACCGCTAAACAACACTGCTCAATGTCGAGCATACCTTAGTACATATCTTCTCTGCGTCCTCAACGCATAGCTACCCTGAGCTACCTCACCTTCAGGATAGGAGAAAGGAGCTTGGTGTAGCTTTACTCAGAATGGCGCTCTGTGATTGGCTGAGCGAAGCTCTGATGGGACCGAGGTTCAATTCAGACGTCATCGCGTCGGACCACCGGCTCTGCCTGCAAGAAACAACCGAACAGCTCTAGAATCGAACAAAATTGGCTATTCAGTACCAGTCTTGCTTGACGCATACATATCCCTCAGAAGTGGACGTTGCTGGAATTACCTCCCCGTTCTCTATATTTGGCCATCGAATTGAGCACAAATTTCTAACTACCTCCGCGACTTCAGTCAACTTGGATGGAGTGAACGAGTGGAACTTACTTAAACAAGCGCAGGCGCCTTTCAACGACCAAATCTCCACAGTCACCAGCCGAACAACCGGCCTCACTCGAAACCTCCGAGACGCCAAGGAAGGGATTCCTCTATTTCGGTTCTTTACGAAAATATACAAGCTCGTAAATAACCATAACAACGGTACTAGACGAACAAGATGGCGTCCGCCCTCCGCCTCCAAGTAGGGAGCAGGCCTCTCCTCCTCTCCGTCCGCCATCGCCCAACACCATTATCAACACCATCACTATCCGCTTCATCATCAATACCCCCTCTCACCTCGCCAACGAAACGAGCCCCGCCCCGCCGCTACAAGTCCGGGCCCTACGGATACACGCAGGCCAAGGCGCTGGTGTTTTCACGGTTCGGGGAGCCCGCCGACGTGCTCTCGCTGCACACGCACTCCATCTCGCCGACCTTACCCGACGGCGCGGCGCTGCTGCGCGCCCTGGCCGCCCCCGTCAACCCGGCCGACGTGAACACGATCCAGGGCACCTACGGCGCCAAGCCCGACCTGTCCCCGGAATCGCCCTCGGCCAAGGCCCTGCAGCTGGAGCTGGGCACGTCCCAGCCCGCGGCCGTGCCGGGGAATGAGGGCTGTTTTGAGGTTGTTGCTGTGGGCGGTGGAAGGGGGGGGAATATTAACTTGAAAAGAGGCGACTGGGTGATCCCCGCCAAGAGCGGGTTCGGCACCTTCCGCACCCACGTCCTGGTCAAGAACCCGGACAGGGACCTTTTCAGGGTCGGCGGGATACGGGGACACGAGGGCCTGACGGCCGCGCAGGTCGCCACGGCGAGCATCAACCCGTGCAGTGCGTACCGCATGCTGAAGGATTACGTCGATCTGGTGGAGCTGAGCGTCAAGAGTTTCGCCGATGCCGGGGCCGGGGGGACGACTCCCACGGGGGGCGCGTGGTTCATCCAGAACGGGGCAAACAGCGGGGTGGGCCGGGCGGCGATCCAGCTCGGCCGGCTGTGGGGGCTGCGCAGCATCAACGTCATCCGGGAGCGGGCCACGCCCGAGGAGACGGGGGCGCTCATGAGGGAGCTGTATGAGCTGGGCGCCACTGTGGTCATTACCGAGAATGAGTTCCTTGATCGGTCGTTTGGTGCGAGGCTCAACGAGGAGTGGACCCGCGGCGGCAGGGAGCCGCTCATGCTGGGGCTCAACTGTGTCGGAGGCAAATCGGCGTCGGCCATGGTCAAGGCGCTGAGCCCCAAGGGCTGCATGGTCACGTACGGCGGCATGTCGAGGCAGAGTTTCCCGTTCCCTACGGGGCCACAGATCTTTAAACGGCTGCGGTTTGAGGGCTTCTGGCTCAGTGAGTGGGGCAAGGAGCACCCGCTTGAGAAGCGCAGAACTGTGGACGAGATTCTGCAGCTGATGAGGGAGGGCAAGTTTAAGGAGGCGCCTTTACAGGAGGTGCGGTGGGATTGGGACACTGAAGAAAAAGTGCTCAAGGAAGCCGTCCAGGGCACTTTGGAGGGTTTCAGAAGCGGGAAGGGCCTGTTTGTATTTGGTGATACATAGACTGCTGCTTATTACCGGCATGGCAACATATCATACCCAAAACTGCTTGAATGTATTCATAAGCTTCATTAAGGATCGCTGTCATCCAATTATAACATGTCGCTGATGTAAAAAATAAAACCCCCTCACGCCCTGAAGGCCTGTACAAGCTCATGGAGCTTATCAATGACGACAGGTACTAGAGCGTTGAGATTGTCGTCCATGATCCTCTCCAAATGCCGAATCGCTTCTTCCTCGCTCAGCTCCAGATGGAAGCGCTCCTTGACCTTCAGGGCAGCCTTGTCCGGCTCGAGCTTGATGTCCGGTATGTTGGCGTCCACCATCAAACTAAACAGGTTCAGTATGAGATTGCTGTTCTTGCGGAGAGCGCTGTACGCCAGGAAGCAGTACTGCTTGAACTGGCGGTAGTACTCCGAGTTGGAGCCGCCCATGCAGTCCACCATCTCCTTGGAAAGCTTCATTGCCGGGGCGAACGGCTTAGGATCACGCCCGAGTATGTACCCAAAGTCGGCGTGGAAAAAGTGTCCGTCAGGTGCCAGGAGGAGGTTATCAAGGTGCCTGTCGCCAACACCCAGGATGTACGTGATGACGCAGTACCCAGCGCACGACTTCACGAATGTGTCCAGCGTCTCCTTTCGCAGGCCCATGGGGCCATGGCTGTCCGGGTTGTTTTGTTTGAGATAGGCGAGAGCAGGATTGTTGCGGTACTTGGATGTGATCGCCTGGAAGCTCATGGAGTGGACAAACTGTGATAGGCCAGCACTGGTGCTTGTGGCCAGGATCTTGTACGGTGAGAGCTTGAGGTCTAGATTTTCCTTCTGCAGCAGGTCGTCCATGAGCGTGATAATCTGGATCACGAGTTGGTCCTGGCGGAGATCGTCACCTGTCTTGAAGATGATGGGATACTTCCGGCCTGTCGTGGTCTTGAAAGTCACTTTGATCGGATGTAGGGACGACTTGAACACCACAGTCTCTTCAGGGACAACTCCGGTAATCTCCACCGACGGGTCCAGAGGCAGCGGTAACGGCGGGTCGATTGTGACAAGCTCATTTTTGGGGTCGGCTAAGAAGTGCTTTACCCGCTCCGTTCTCCTGGCGATGGATTCGTTCGACTCTTTGATTTCTCCCGATATTTTGGAGAGGATACAAATCCACTCGCCTTGTCTCAGCAAAGTCTTTCTTGTCGCTACCCCGTCTGGTTGTTTGACAAGCTCCGCCATGAAGTCGTAGGCGATCTTTCCGTAGATGGCCCGATTATCGGGCCCTTGGTCCTGCGACTTGTCGTCGCACTCGACCATTACGTACCACCAAAAGTAGTTCCCAAGCGTGAAGCTGTTGGCGGCCCTCGAGATCAAGAAGCGGGCAAGAGACGAATCCTGCGTTGCTTCATGGTTAGACTGGGGCGAAATGTGTTCATACTTCAAAGCTTGCACCAGCTGCAGAAGGTATAGAAGCAACTCGTTGTCGTCGGCCTTGCGCAGGCGCTCAACGGCGAACGCTCTCAGTGCCGCGTTGTCAAAGCTAGGACCGAGAAGTTCCAGGGCGTCATCAACGTCGATATCGGTCCACTTCCCGAGAATCTGCACGGCCTGCCTGGACTCTGACTGATCTTGCCAGTTGACAGACTTGGCAAATTTGGTAAGCGCCTTCTTGTTCCGTGTCAAATGATGGCGGAACTTCCAGATCAGGTCTTTCTCCTCCGGTGACAGCGTGTGCGTCGGTGAATAAGACGTTATTTGATTCAGCTCGTCTCGAACCTTGGAGTTGGGTTTCAAGTCCTTGTCCAGAATTCCGTTGCGATGCTGACTCCGCACAAGCCTCCGGTGCTTGCTCTCCGCAGGGTTGTCCCTGGCCGCAACTTCGGGATCATATACTCGGATCAGGCGCCCGCCATAGCCGTCATCGTCATCCATTGCGTTAATTCCTGGGCCGAATTGGACCTCGGGCGGGGGTTTCAGGATAACGTTGGACTGCGTGATGGAAGGCTGAAGAGACGAGACAGGCGGCGGCACGTATTCATGATCAGCAAAGACGACAGGGAAATCGAACTTGGGCAGTTCGACGTTGAGTAGGAAGCTAGACGGTTCCGGCACTCCGTTAGTATCGTTGACACCCTTTGAGCTACTGGATTGCGCTGTTCTTTGCAGCTGGGCCGCTCGTAACGCCGGCGATGTGGCCGACTGCAACCCACGCCGTTCAAAGCCACGGAATACAAGCTGGTCAAGCCAGTCCACGCGGGGAATCTCGCCCATCTCGTGCTTCTTGAACAGCTTCTCCATCCTTTCTAGCTCATCGGCTTCGACATCTTCAGGCGCGCCTTTTTTCGCCCTCTTCTTGGGAAGAATGGCGGGCGTCTTGGTATCATCGTTGCCGTCGGCGCGCCGGTGTCTGTAGACATGGCACTTTTGGCGGCCTTTGTTGAGCTGGTTGTCCTTATCAAACAGCGGCAGTGTGGTTCCGCCAAAGGGGATTGCATGACCCTGTGCGTCTGGCCCTCCTGTAGGAGACAGATCCCAGAGGGTAATGGCAAGACGCGAATTTTGTGGGAGAGTGGAATATGTGATTGGCAGCGTCAGCCACTCATTCCACCTCCTCTCAGTCCGGAAGGACTTGTAGGCGGTTTGGACAGGGACAGTTAGAGGCTTGGAGCCTGCCCAAACCTGAACGGTTACATAGAGGTCGGAATGTGGACTGCAAGATCAGGCAGGTGAGCTGGACTGGGCTGAGAGCGCGGGACAGCGAGGGAGAGCACGCCATGAATCGACGATACCTTTGGTTGGATCCAATGTGCCGGAGTTCTGGGTGTTCTTCAAGATATGAGAAGGGCAGTGGGGCCTCAGCGCCCTCAAGATTGATGCTGCGGAAGTGATATCAGTACTCGATGCACTCATATAAGCTGCCACCCCACACCGAATCACTCACATGCGAATGCTGACGGGGTACTCCAACTGGTTCGACGTCGCAAACGAGAAGGGCTCCATCGAAGAGACTACAGGCGATCGCCTGGGTTGCCGAAGCCTAAATGGCTTGCTGGATCAAGGTGATGGTCAGATATTAACACTTAGGGGATTTGTTGATTAAAGGTCTTGATGAGGATGAGGATGACCATTGAGGTTGATAGTGATACGGTTTATTAGAGCTCCAGCGCCGATACATAACTTGAAGCACTGGCTCGATTCCATACAGTGCGGTGTACTGTACAGTACCCTGCAGTGCCAAGCCCCGCTCAGCCCCACCTCGCAGGCAGCATGGCCCTGGGCATTCATTAAACATTTCACACAAGTTCGCGTCCCGAACTCTCTGTGACGCGACGAGGGATCAGCATTTGATTTGAGCAAACAACGACCACTTTCATGAAACAAACTCCAGGAAGTTCAACCTCAATATCAGTCATCGTTCACCACTTTATGTCAGGCATCAATCACTACTAATTCTCTTCTTGTCGTTATTATCATTACAACGCCCATGTCCAACACTGTGCCCTACCCATCTTTGGGCAGTCGCGCGTCAAGACCTCTCTCAACCCTCAGCGCCGAGATGGAGAATCGCCGGAACCTGGTAGTCCGCAGCGATGGCGATTCACCCGCCGCTGCTGGGAGCTCTACGAAAAAGCGGTCCTCAGACATTGGGAGCGAGCCATCTGCCAGCCGACGACGGACGCGCGACCCGTCTCCACAGCGAGACGACGCAGTCGATGCCGACGAGTATGACCCGGATCAGTCCATGCAGGAGCGCAGGGCCATTCAGCAGAGATTGCGTGAGATGCAAATGAGGATGCGCGAAAACCCCGATGAGTTCGTGCAGTCGGATCCGAAGGCGCTGCTCGACTACCTCAACCAGTCAGACCGCATCATCCGAAACGTCAAGCAAACTGCAGAAGCTGCGATTGACTCGCGGGGCCTGGTGATTGCCGCTGATCTTTCAGCCCGCCGTGCCCAGCGTTTGACGGCGGGGAATGTCGGAAATGGCATTGATGTCGACGAATTTGTCTCGAAATGTATTACCTACATGCTTCAGGGCCGTGGGATTGATGACGACGAGGCCGTGGAGCTGTCCAGCACACAGAGGAGGCGGCGCCAGCCCAACCGTGGCGTTCTCGGCAGCGACGACGAGGAGGAGATTGGAGATGACGGCGACATGATGAATTGGGCCCATCTCGGTCGCTTCGCTTGCCTTCCTGCTGTTCGCAGACCCGGCCTTCCTGGCTTTCTCCTTGGCCCGCTGTCAATCGAGAAGAAGGCCCGTAAGATTACCAAGAAAGCGGCACCTTTCAAGGTTAACAGCCTTCGGGAGGTTAGACCGCAGGAGCTAAACCCTGAGGACCTCAAGAAATCGGACAAGAACGATCTGCCTTCGATCTGCGGGAATATTCTTAAGCAGCTACAGAAGGCTCAGCAGGTAGGGCAGGATTCAGTTGAGGACGAATACGACCGCCTTGACGAAGACGATGAGGTCGCCCAGAGGGCGCTGATGGATCGCTACGCGCTACGGTCTACGGGCGGTATTGACCTTCTTCGATTTGTTGTCAATCCCTATTCCTTTGGCCAAACCGTGGAAAATATGTTCTACATCAGTTTCTTGATTCGAGAGGGTAGTGTCAAGCTGGAGTTCGACAAGGACGGCCTCCCAGCGATAGGTAAGCCATTCTGAGATACCGCTGGCCGGCTCGGGCTAACACGTCCAATAGAACCTATGCGCAAAAGCTCTTCGCCAGAAACGTCCCGCGCAAAGGCACCCATGAGACACCAAGCTATTATGTCAATTGACATGAAGACTTGGAGAGACATTATTGACGCCTACGATATAAGAAAGCCCATGATTGAAAACAGGCAGGAAGACGAGCAGCAAGGGCCAGGCGCACGGGGTTGGTACAGCTGATCGGCATCGCGGACTGCCTCATGAGCGCTCGCAGGTGCATGTACAGTACTGTATGTATATGCCGTGGTAACCCGCGGGTTGTCATTGGTTGTGGTTCACAAATGTGCAGGGCTCAGCATCCAACTACAGCGGTTTGCTACGTTCGGTTGACCCCGTCTGGAGGAGGGCAGCAGACGATCTACAATACGCACGCAGTGTCAGAACGGGGCTGGCGACCCCTTGCCTCTAATATCATGTCGAGCTCTTTGTCCGCGAACCAGGTTGCCTTCTCCGACACTTGCCGGAAACGGAGACCACATGCCGAAAGTCTTTGTCTGCCAGATGGCATCGCCATGCGGAATACCCTGGAACAAGCGCCAGCTCTTTTATCATTTGGGTTCGAGGTGCATATTCCATGGTCTTGTGCCAATCTTGCCAGTATAACCCCATTCGACCGACCGGGGCCGCAGCGTTGCTAAAATTATGTTGTCATTCGGTCTCTGAGACGACATTATACGCCCAGCCGTCACGGCCCCACGAGCATACCATGGCTCAGGAGAATACGGATAGCGTCTTTGACAGTGGTGTCTTCCCGCCTGTGACTGGATTGGGCGGGGATGACAGTGTAGGTGATGAGGAGGGCGGTGTGAGTGATGAGGAGGGCAGTTTAGGTGATGGCGAAGAGGGCAGTCTAAATGATGCGGAGGGTGGTGTGAGTGACGAGGAGGGCAGTGGAGGTGATGAGAGACACATCAATCATATGGGCCTCCGAGGCGATGATGATGCGGGGGCCGTTGTTGATCATCCGCCGCGTAGAGATTGGAACGGTGGATATTGGAACAATTTACTCGGGAATGAAGTGTTAAAGGGCATGGGAAGCGCGAGTTACTCGCACTCTGACAATCCCTCGAGTCCCCCTCGGTCGGATAGCCCTCGCCGTCCCCGCTGGCAGCGAAAGACTTCCAACGTCGACAATGACTACCTTTACATCCCAGATTTCCCGTGTTGGGGAGGTGAAGACTGGGCTTATCACCCATGGCCACCAGAGACTGACGAGCATGTACTGGCTGTCTTGGACCGCATTCAAGAACCACCCCACAAGGGCATGCTCGAATGGGCGGACCCGGGAAATTGGAGGGAACTCATCACGGGGTTGACAGGGGAGTTTCGGAAAGTGTGGGACACCGTGATGGTCTTTTACGACAGTGCTATGAGGGGAAGTAAAGGAGCGCAGAAGGCCCTTTGCGCGGCACATCGGCGGATCCGCTTCGAACTCGCACACCAGGAATACCTCGAGCGTAGCCTGGGTGACTGTCAACGCAATGTCACCGAGCTCGCCAGAGTTCGGCAGCAGCTCGAACTGGAGCTCGGGGAGCAACGGCAACGCGCCCATATCTTCGAGACTAAGCTTACGGTTGCTCAAAGCTCCTACCACTGGCTCGAGAGAATACATCACAACGCTATGGCGGCGGACGAAGCTGAGATCTGCTCCTTGGAAGAGATAATCACCCAGTGGGAAAGGCTCGCGGGCGTAGGGGACGCCCCACCAGCAGCCGATGTCCGCGTCGAAGAGCATGAGCGCAGATTTCGTGTTGCTCGAGACCTGCTGGGTGAGGCACAAGCAGCCGCCGCCGAATTCAGGTCCGAGTGCGAATCGCTACAGGACAGGTGCGACAGGCTGAAGAAGCGGTTGGACAAGGCTACCAAGGGCGCCGCGAAGCTGCGGGAGGAGCGGAAGTTCTTGCTCAAGGAGAGGATAAACTCAAAGGCTATGACAGCGGAGTGGACTCAGCGGGAGCAGTCGCTCAGGTCTCTTATTGAGGCGGAACGGAAAAGTACTCTCAAGCAGCAGGAGCAGCACAGAGACCACATTGAGCGCTTGACCAAACGGTACGACGAACAGCTACAGGAGAAGCAAACGAAGATCAACCGACTAGAAAAGGAGGCAGCGCTCTCCGAAGCCAAATTGATGGCTTTCAAGGAGGTCATCGATCGGCTCAACCAGAGACATGCTGATCGTATGGAGGAGGCCGCACGGGACATGCCGGAATGCAAGAACATGATAAAAGACCTCAGCACCACCATTGCTGGGTTGGACGCCACGATTGCCAGTGTCCTTAACGCTCGCGAGACAGCCCCAGGCACCGATTCACCGTCCAAGCGCACCAGTTTCCGGGACTCCCTCCGCGCAGAAGAGGCTATTCGTCTCATGGAGGCCGCTCAGCTGCAAAAGATCCAGTCCAGTTGGGCGGCGATCGACGAGATGAGGGCCGGAATTGCGAGGCTTGAAGAGCGATTCGCGACAAAATTGAGCGATAAGCCGGCCTCGCCGTTGAGCGTGGCAACATCGACATCAACCGAACAGTTAAATATACTGTCAAGTCGGAGCGGTACCAGCTCCGTAACCAGCGATTCTACTGAAGAAGGCCGAACTGCATTGTCGGAAGACCTGGCGAGGCTTGGTGCTTCCCTTAATGTGATCGGTACAGAGCATGAAGCGCTGATGCAAGGACGCTCCGAAATCGAAGACTTTCTCAACACTCTCCGCGAGACCCTTATCTCCCAGCAAAGGAAGCTTGAACGTGACGGGGGTCCACCGAGCGGTAATGAGCCTGACAACGTCGCTATCAAGTCCCTGAACGAGGCGGTGGCTCTAATCCCCCAGCTGAAGACCGAGTCGCTGAGGATTACGGACTGCGTGGATAAGCTGCAAGAGATAACCGATCAACTGAATTCCGTGACGCCTGACTCTTCTGCTAAACTTCTCATCACGTCGCTCAAAGAATTCCTCGAACGTGCGGGCAAAGGCAGAGCGAGTGAGTTCTCTGCGGCCGAGACTGCCACTCTCAGTGTACAGGAGGAGAGGCTTCAAGGGTTGATCGATATGACGATGCGTGAACAAAAGCAATTTGAGCAAGACTGGCAGTACTTGGCCGGTATTCGGAGGGACCTTGATTTCCTGGAAGCACGGGAACAGGAGCAAATGGAGCTCGTTGGGCAATACCAGTCATGCCTCAAAGAACATTTCCCAGGCTGTCTGAGACCCGAACAATCCCAAGAGCTCTGGCGGCTGGTCAACAACTTTGTGGAGAGCAGCAGCCGCGATGGGCTTAGCACAGGGGGTCGCTTGAGCCCCAGCGCCGTGGACGCGCTGCTTGTTCGTGTCCAGAAGCTCACAGTTAATGAACAGTTGTTGGAGCGGCTATGGCAGCTACGAGAAACCATGACGCTCCACGACACTCAGCGGACGAATGCTGCAAGCAAGATCTCCCAATTCTTTAGCCTGATTAACAGCATTCATATGCAGATCCAGGAAATTGATGATGCTAGACAGGGGCGGGAATCACAAGTCAGAGCAGACCCCGAATACAGCCAGGAACGAAGAGAGATGCTTGTGTGTCAGGAGTCGCGCCTCCGTTGGGAGAACAGCAGCAACCAAGACCGCATCCACCAGCTCATAGAGAACCGGAGCCGCATGGACGTCTTCCTCGGAAAAGAAGCCGACCGTTTCCGCCGGAACGCCGAGCAACTCGTCGCCGAAACGCTCCTCAAAATGCAGATCGCAAGCCGCCTGGACCGTCACCCCGAAACCGTCTGCTTCTGCGCGCTCCTCCGCTTCTTCTTCCCGGACGTCTACTACTCCGCCGTACACGGCGGTTGCTGCTCCGGAGGCAGGGTGACGGCCTCCTCTTACGCTGTCCCCGTCTCTCACCCCACCCCTTTCAGTCAGTACACATACACAACCGCCTCTCCCTACGTTCTCTGCCAAGGCCACCACGGCCACGGGCCCCTGGCGTCCTCCAGCCCACTATACACCCTGCTCTGCCACGCTCTCACATCCCTCATCTGGCTGTGCCTCCTCATCCTGCTGCAGCCCTACAATCTGAAAACCGCCGCCGCCTTCATGTTCTCGGTCCTGTGCGGCATACCGACACACCTCTACCGTCGCGCGAGACACGCCTACCGCCGCCACCACCGCCTCCGCGCCCAGCGCAGCACCAGCACCAGCACCAGCACCACCAACCAGGAGGAGAAGGAGGACCCCCCGCCAATGCTAAAACCCTTCCTCCCGCCACCATCCCCCTCGGCCTGGGTCGGCGTGGCCTTGACTTTCTTCTTGCTCACCGCCTGGGTGAGCTACCTCGCCGTGCTGGCCGAGCGGAGCCTCTGGCTGGGCCACAACGGTTTCGACTGGCGCATAGCCTACGTGCGGGATCTGAGCCTCCCGGCGCCCCGCGGCATGCCCTACTACCCCTACCCGTTCTGGACGCCCTTCTGGGTCGATTTCCGGCTGCTGGTGGACCCTGTGTTGGTGTTTTTCGAGGAGACGGTGCTGGAAGATTGGCTCGGTTCTTTCCCGGACAAGGTCGCTGATCTCGGCGACCGGGCCGGCGGGGCCTTAATGGGGTTGGTAGGCGCTCTTGCGGGGTGGGTTAAGGCTGCGGCGCTTGGGACTGGGGCCGTGGGACTGGGGATCGGAGGGCTGCTGGTAAAGGGGTCGGTCGCCCTGGCGAGCTGGGTTGCTACTATTCTCGGACAGGTGGCCGGACATGTGCTCGGTGTGGTGATGGGTCCGGTAGCTGATTTCGGGCAGTTGACGCTGTACAGGGTTCGTGCTGTGACGGCGTGGATAGCGATCGGAGTCGCAAGGGGGTTGGCAATGGGCAATCATGAGGGACTGATATGGATCTGGTCTGCATGCAAGTTGCTAAGGGACCTTGTGGTGAGTGCTCTTTTGGCCTGGGCGAGTGGCCGAAGGAAACTGTGCCCCTCTTCTGCGGCAGTTTGTGTGTTGAGCTTGGTTGAGTTGTTGTGCATGTTCTTCACTTGATGAAAGATAATGGATGGTAATCGATCATCAATACTGAGGGTCAGGGGCTTCATCAGGGGTACCTACTCTTGGGCACTGTTTGGTACCAAGGCTCGAGGATCAGCATCCCTTTCTATTTGTTCCCCTAGCTATGCTTAAATCTAAGAAAGGAGGACCGCCATTTGTGTTCAATCAGGTCAAAGATCGATGAAACTCGGAACGGCTGCTGACGACCGCAGCTGATATCCTCAGGAGATGGCTACCCACACTGACGCAAGTTCAAAATTTGAATACTCGTCAGGGCTTCTTAATCGCCGGCCTGCCCCACCCCTTCGGGGAGGGTCAGGGACGCTGATTGGGAACGGATCATTGATTGGGAAAATTGACGCCACTACAAGCCCTGCTATACAAATTTCTTAGCAAAGCAATGTCACACCGTCTTTTACATTAGACCGCTTACATACATAAAGCATCTACAAAAACTACAACAGGGCTGCAAACACATTATTGAGTTTACAGCAAATGCTAGAGCTATATATACAACTATTTAACTACTTTCTTTCAATTGTAGTCGTGGATAAATCGCTTTGCTGTGGATTTTGGTAGTATCTTGCGCGAGAAATAGGTGTACTTGAATTTGAGTGGAATGCGCTAGTAAATGGAAGTACTTCAATTTTCCCAATCAATGATCCGTTCCCAATCAGTGTCCCTGACCCTCCCCGAAGGGGTGGGGCAGGCCGGTGATTAAGAAGCCCTGACGAGTAGGTTGTGATCTAGATCCGCTCCACTCTGCAGATACAAGTACATAATTTAATCTTAGTTGCCCGTTCCGCCGCTCCGAATCCGCTGTCTGAGCATATCCTTCAAAAGCCCATTAAGCTGCGCCGTTGATATTCTGAACATGGCTAATCCGCCGCCCTCTCCTTCGGCCTCTAGCTCCTCCGGCGTCGCATCCTTATAGACACTGCCCGTAATCACCGAAGCCAGCGTCTTGATATCCCTGCCATTAGACCAACCAGCCGTCATGCCCAGTTTATGCAGCAGCCTCAGTACCTTCTCCTTCTCATCCTCCCCGGGATCGACCGTATCCTTCACCTCAATTTCCTCCTTGCGCAGCAAATTAAGCAGATGCTCTTTGCTGCGAGACGCGCTCATGGGCGGGAAGACAATCTCTGTGGCGAACCGGCCCCGGAGCCCCGCATTGACCTGCATCAGCGCATCCATATCTTTGTCGTAACCGGCCAGCACAATCACCATCTTGCGCAAATACCGCGGCTTGGTCATGCAGTCGACCAGCTCGCCGACGGCCTCAGCCTCGTATCCGGTGACCTCACCCGGCCCGCGCGCGCCGCCCGTTAGACGATACGCCTCGTCGATAAACAGCACCTTGCCCAAGGCACGCTCAAACAGGTTGATGACCTTTGGAGCGGTGTGGCCGACATATTTGCCGATGAGGTGGCTGGCTGAGCACTCAATGACTTCGTTGGTACTGAGGAAGCCCATATCGTAGAAGATCTGGCCCACGATGCGGGCCGTGTGCGTTTTGCCCGTTCCTGGAGGGCCTTTAAAGAGGAAGGTGAAGGGGACGATCTCCCGAGGATCGCGGCCCCGGCGCCGCAGGTTGGCTGCCATGCGCTGGTAGCCTTGGAATTTGTCGATAATGGTCTCGAAGCCTATCAGACCCTCGAACAGAGCTTGGCACTTTTTGCTGGCGTGCATGCCGCGGTCCCATTCGGGGTCAAAGTCTTCACGCTCGAGGACGATGTGTTCCTGCTCTGCTACTGAATCGTCCGGGTTTCGTAGGTCATCCCCGGTAGCGTCATTCTTGGAGATTTCTGAGGCTTTCGCATCGGCCCTCCTCGCCGCCATACGCTCCCTGTATCGGGTTTTGGCCTGGTTGAGAAGGTTTTCGACGTCGCCACCGTTACCAAAGTTGGGGCGGTCTCTGGCGCGCCGGAGGACTTCTGCCGCAACTTCCATGGCTTCGTCGCTGGCAGTGATGTCTTCCTCGGCCATCTTGAGCCGCAGGATCTTGCTCAACTGCTCGTCGTTGTAACTCTCGAAGCGGAACGCTTCTTCGAGCGGGAACCGTCTCCTTAGGCCTGGGTTGACCTTCTGGAACATCTCTTCCATCATGTCTGTGTATCCGAGCAGAAGGACGCAGCGGTCCTCCCCTGGCTTGTTGTGGATCTTGGATACAATGGTGTCAATAACGCCCAAGCGGAAGATGTCCGACTCGCTATCAGCGCCTGCTCGATTCCCGTGATAGAACATGTGGGCATCATCGATGATGAGCACCTTTCCGATTGTCGAATCAAGGATCTGGCTCGTCTTTACCTCGGACTCTCCAATAAATTGCCCGATGAAGTCGTCCGGAGTCTTGAACACGACGTCTTTGGTTGAAAGCAAGCCAATCTCTGCGAGGATTCGGCCATATAGCTTGGCTACAGTGGTCTTGCCTGTTCCAGGAGGGCCGAGAAACACACGGTTAAGAGAGGTCTGAAGCGGCTCTTTACCGAGGAGCTCACGGTGATAGTTAGCTCTTGCACGGGTGAGAAGCTCGCCAATGGCTTTCTTGACGTTCTCCAGCCTAGCCATTTTCTCGAGTTCCTTCCACGCTTCGCTGGTTGAGCGGATGTCCTCAGGCTCTGGCCCGATTATATCCTCCTTTGTCAGGAAAGAAAGCTTGGCCTTCAGCTCCTCATCCTCGGGTGACTCTGTCTCGGTCGTCTTGTCCACGTTGTCGGTGTCGCCGTCTGTTTTTGGATCATCGCCAGATTTCTCGTCGTCATGCTTAACCTCTGGCTTTCTTTCCCCGTCGGAGCAATCCTGTTTGGCATCCTCGTGATGCTCTTTCTCACCAGAGTCGGCAGGAGCAGTGCTTTCTTCCTCTTTTGTGTTTGGGCCCTCCTGAGTGCCATAGGGCTTGGCGTCTTGCTCTGGAATCTCGGCGACTGAATCCGTAGTTTCCTTAGGCTTGTTGGACCCGGACTCATGTTGTGTTCCATCCTTGTCAGCATTTGCCTCCTCGCTCTTGTCTGGCAGGGCAGGGCCTTGGCGGGAGTTTTCGACACCTGGCGTTTCTTTCTCTTCTTGCTGCTCAGTATTAGCCAGTTTTTCTCCACTTTGGCCCTTACCATCTGAGTCCTTGGTGTCATCGGCCTTCTCGCCTGCGTGATCGATTGTATCCGGCTTTCGTTCCTCCCCGGCCTCCCCTACAGTTACCTCCTTATCCACCTTAGTCTTGAACGCCTCGTCGACTTCCCCTTGCACCTCATTTTCTGTCGAGTCCTTCTTCTCCTCCAAGCTCTTCTCCGTCTCCTTCTCCACCTTTTCTTCAGCTTTCTTAGTGTCCTCGTTGACTTCCACTGTAATATCACCCTCGCTCTTTGCATCGGTCGTCTCCTTTGTCGTTTCGTCGGTCTTCTCCTCGGTTCTCTCCGCTTCTTGTTTCGCAAGCTTAT